AATCCAATTGGTCATTTTTAGCCATGAAACACAAATTGTTTTTTTCTTGATCCTCAGTTTTGGAAACTTAATCATCGAATAGATGGTCAATGTAGAATCAGCATTGATTACTTTCACCATTTCAATTGAAGTCATCAGTTCCCATCAACGCCCACTCAAATCAGATCGCTGTGCGGCTATACATGCTACTATCATTTCCCCAATCTTCGAGTTTTGCTTTAAGGGAAAAGCTTGAATTTCAAGCCATACAATTGATCCTAAAACCAATAGATTCCTGCAGATTTTCCCTCAAACCAATGTAGTGAAAATTGGTTTGCATCAGACAAAACAATGGATGTAGAAATAATAGCTTGAGCATTATAGCTATGTAATTTGTATTTTCTGGATAAATTTGATCATGACCTCACGTCGTGACGTCACTGGAATGATGGCTCGTAAGGGGTATCTAAATGAAACTGCCTTCTTTCCGTCTAAGGTAAACCCACGGTATTTTTTTTATCACTAATGGTTATTTCATTGGTTCAAGTGGATTAGATAAAAGCATACCCCTCCTATCCCAGGGTTTTTTCCGCCTCATCCCCACGGACCAAGGATGAGATGGAGCGTATCCTTCGCTTTCTGGTGGCCGAGATTTCTGCCATTGAGGGCTGCGAAATTGTGAAGAACAAGGTGGGCAGAAATTGAAGAGACTGGACCATCTACTTGGGCCCTTAGTAGGTGTCCACATGGCGGACACCTACCTGTATGTATATCTGTATGTATATAAACAGAGGTTCCAACATGTTGGGAAAATATGTAAATATATGCAAATATATGTAAATATATGCAAATATATGTAAATATGTAAATATATGTAAATATATGTAAATATATGTAAATATATGTAAATTATGTATGAATTAATGGACATAACCAAGGTAGTAAGCCCCATTAATGGGTCTTGATGGGGCATAGTCAGTTGCCAGCGATACTGGATGTAATAATTACAATAAGTATCCTGAAGAATAAACGGATGCAAGATATTGGCTTACTTGGATGCATGGTGTATATGGTATCTATAGTTGGATAGGTGTTGAAACTTCATGACAGTCACTAATCATAATTCCCAAGAACTGTGGGCCCTGGGCTTTGCAGTCTTGTGTTGCTCCAATTTATTTTTGACGTTCTCGCCGAAATGGGGGGATATACCTAACAAGGCCATTTTATGTTGTTGGCTATAAAAAAGAACCTCATAGGCTATATTAGTACTATATGCTATGTGATGCACAGAGAAATTTTGGTACCTGAGGTAGAGATTACAGTAGAAATCGTGGTTGCAAAAAAACTAAGCATATTCAGTGTTAAATGGACACCTGGAGACCTGGAAGACCTGGTTGTGACTGGTGACTCATTGGGATTCCTGTAGTGATCCAAGAAAACAGCTAACATTTGGAATTCCCAAGTGATGGCTCTGAACATTTGGGCAACAAAAACTGATTATCATGTATATCATACGTATATATATAATTCCAGATGTACATGATTTATATGCTACTCCCCTTACAAAAATAGACCACATCCTGAGCTGACTCCACTGATCAGCTGAACAGGTGGACGAATTTCTTCGCTTTGAGGATGCATATACCTTGGAGGGTGCCAAAGTTGCATTGGTAATCGCAATGTGACGGTGCAGTTGATTGGTTTGTGTTGTTTCAAATATTTTATAACCACAATAACTCGGATTTAACTCAGATTATTGATGGATATAGTTAGAGAGCTATAAACCAACAAACATCACTGGTGTGCACCACATTGCGGAGCTGTGCAACTTGTAGCGATAGATGATGCTTAGCATACGGGAACCCACTCCCTGAAATAAGCCAGTTTCAAGTTTCAAGTTTGGGCATGGCTCAAATTTTGCCCGGATTGCATGTAGGTGTGTTCTTTTTCCTGGTTGGTTGTTTGATCTTTAGCAGGTTAAATGGCGGGATGAGCATCCAGCTGTGCTTAAACGATTTTGTTGTACCCGGGATTGACCGGCCAGGGCCATGATACCATATTTGTGACAGGGGTAACCCGATCGAACAACAAGCTTTTGTATATGACACATCGCATCCATTGTCGCGGTTCCCTTCGTTCCCCTGAAAAAGTACATCTCTTTGCATAAAAATTGCATAGGATTTTGGGAGTTTGGAAAGAAACATGTATGATATGCGGAGTTTACCAAGAAGATCTGCGGAGACAAGCGAGAATCTGGAGAAATCCATGGCGATCTCACGGCCAAGATTTTCCGGACAGGTTTTTGGATTTGAGTTTGAACATGGGGCATCCATGGCCAATCCATGGCCAGATGATCATCTGGTGGTTTGGAACGTGTTTTATTTTCCATAATGCATGGGATGTCATCCTTCCCATTGACTATATAATATTTTTCAGATGGGTTGAAACCACCAACCAGTAATCAAGACAATATATAGGGAAAATCGTCCCAACTGACTTTCATATTTTTCAAGATTGTTTTTGCAGCACCAACCAGTCATGTTGTTCAACAGATTGCGATTTGCTGGGACCGTACTGGGCCTATGGGCCAGGTCATTTGGAGACTATGAGGACAATAAGTGTTTGTTTGTTATCCATTGTTTCTTTCACCAGCCAGATTCTAAGGTTGGTTCCTAGAAAATTATGATAAATGGTATCTTAAACCTTTCTCTATGTTCTCTGCAATTATTACCAATGCTGTACAGGCATGAAATCAGCCTCACCGGTTTAGGCGTTGAATCGGAACTTCAGTCCTTGTACAAGACCTTCATGAAGTTCAAGGACTTTCGCGCAAAAACTGGATCCCTACAATGTTGCACCCTCCAGTCACAGGTTGCTTTTATGTTCATCCAGCTATAGATAAGCCTATGATAAAGTTTCTTGGTATGAACGCTAGCAACCTTACCTTGTCAACTATGGAGCCGCTGTTTTTGCTGCTCTTCCTTGGTATTTTTAGGGATACCCATCAGATCATTATTCGCCTGTAAGAGGATCACAATCATTCTGGGTACACGGTGCCCGTTATCGGCCCAAACTTCCCGTACCATTTCTTTCTGTTCCACGAGGATATCAGATTATTTCATCATATTTCAAACTACTTACAATCTGTTTGTTGATAGTTCAAATCTGTTTGAAGAGCTAGCTTTGGCTGGAACATCTCCAGAAGCATCCCGGTGAAGGGATGTGCAGGGATGTGTCCCAGAGGTCCCAGAGGTCCCAGAGGTCCCAGAGGGACGGGTCGTCCCAGGAGAACAACATGAACCTAACCAATGAGCGCAACCAGGTCCCGGGCGATGTACCCTCTGGTAATTTAACATAGCTATTGAAAATCACAATTTTTAATGGGAAAATCCAATATTAATGGTCATTTTCAATAGCTACGTTAAATTACCAGAGGGTATATAATAAGAAGTTGGTGACGTGAATCCAACCAGCCTGGATGCCATGCCTGGATGCCTTTGGTCAAACGTGGCAATGGAAAAGCCCCCCAGTTAGAAGTTAGTCGATTTATAATCCCAGTAACTAGTTCGATATCTCTACCATAAGTCCTGGTTATTGGAGTTATAAACCAACTTAGCTATCGACTGGGGGTACCACCTTGTGGCTGGGAAAATCATCTATAAAGCGGTGGATTTTCCATTGCCACGCTTGATTTTGCGGATTTTCTTGGGGATGGAATCACAAATTTAAGGGACTATAGAGGGTTCAAAAACATGAGGGCTATGGGACTATTCGCCATATAAACGTCATCATGAACTCATAGCGGCTAGTGAGCTCCGAAAACCACTTAGCAAAGTATGGCACAGGACTTTCTGGTGTGTTTTGACGATGACTCGATGACCGTCGATTCCAGGTAATCAGCTAGTTTCCTGGGACATGTTTTCAACAGCCCTGAATGAACTTCCGGCTTGGTATCCAATCTAAGCATGTTAGGGCCCCCCAAAAAGGGCGGAGTTTGCTTTTTTCTCAAGCAAACCTCTCCACTGTATTTCAGACCATCCTTTGCAAAGTGGCTTTGTTTCCTGTATTTTTCCATTGCCAGGGGTTAGGATTACCAGAGGGTAAACTTCAAACCCCTCCCTTTGAGCCCCCAAAAATCATGTTGGCAGGCAGTGGAGGAGGCTGAGGTGGTGGCTGTGGCAAAGGCCGAGTGATGTGCTTTTTTTTTTTGGGGGGGGTGGATTGACTTAGACAAGATGGGATGTACTTGGCAAAAAATAGGATAGAATTGGTCCTGGTATATGAATCCTATATAATCCATGAAATCCATGAGAACAAAGGTGGGTTTAACCCGCAACAATAGGGATGGATTTACCTTATAAACATGTGTCATTAAGAACTACATTGAAAGTGAAACAATGGGGGTTAAGTCAACAAATTTCAACAACTTGGATTCGTAAGGGCTTATGATATGACGTGGTGGATTGGATGACCCACAGAGATCGGGTGCTGCTGGATAGCTGCTGGATGGATCACGGCCATATACCCTCTTTTTTATATACATAGTATGAACTTACGTATAAATAGAGAAATAGATAGTAGATAGATAGATAGATAGATCGATAGATAGATAATATTCTATCTCTGATGTTTTTGGGGTTAAAGTGATTTAGCACACAACCGCTATCCGCTGAGCTTCTCCAGCAGAGGATCAAGAAGCCACCAAGACAGATATATCCACCGTAAATCCAAGAGATGTTGCAGGCATGTTTAGCTGTTTGACAACATAAACCCATCAACTGGGAGCAGCAAATATCATCGGCCATCAATTTGGCTGAATTCAAATGATGTGGCACTGGCCAAAGAGGGTCAGGACAGATAGCAATGCCTTGATTGCCAATGTGGGACATCGCAGATCATCCGTGGATGGTTCTTGTTTCATTTATCATTGATCACGGTTCCTGGAGAGTACGTGTGTGTATATTGCATTATTGTTCCCATGTCTAATTGTTTTAAACCTGCAGTTTCCCAGGTTTCTTTTTGTTGCAGAGTGCTTCAGCCATTAGCAAAACCCACTTAACTGGATACACATGCAAGTTGGTGGCTAGTTCATACCCACCCTCAGAAAGTTCCTCAAGTGGTATCATACCATATCAAATGGGGCCGTGCTGACCTATGGAGGCCATGAAAAATTGCAGATCCTGATGGATGCTTGGAGCTCTTGCGGGGGTGAATGGAGATCCAGTGAGCTGTACCTCAAGATGGTTAGCAGGAAATCATCTTCGAGTTACGGTTGCCGAAGATGGCTTACTAGGCAACAGATCGCCCAGAAATACGACAACAACATGGAGCTTGCGAATTCGATCTGCGATTCGAAACTTGCAGATCCGGAACTTGCTAAGACCCACACAAAAAGTCACCCGGACTGTCCTAACAATGAGGCCGGCTGGTCTTGGGACCCATGTGTTATATATAATATGTGAAAAGCAATATTGAATTAACATTGACATGTTGTTATAGTGTTAAAATGAATGTATCTTATTATGCAATATATCAAATAGTTTCTTTCGCTGCAATTTCATCTAAAAATTGTTTACCTATAATAGTTGTTTTTCTAAACACGTGATCGAACCAGTGCACACGCTGCACATATACACAATAAATAATCCTTGTGAAAATGTCAAATTTCATCACGACCTCACGTCGCGACCGAAGCCTGGTTTATCATGTAAGCAATCATGGTTTATTTGGGGAAAATCATCCCAAAATGACCCAACATTTCAATTTAGTGAATTATAATTGCCCAGATACGTTATAATATGTATAAATATATATATATATATATGTATGTATGTATATATCGCTGGGTCACGACCATCGATACTAACATGCATTCACCATGGTCATTGGAGCCATCCTTGCTTTGTGAGCCTTGTCAACAAGATTATATTTCCCACAAACTCAAACCTTAACCAGGCTATTTTCACCAACTTAGCTATCAAATACTAAACAACGGTGCATAAATCCCATTGAGTTCACCAAGTTCACCATGGTTTTGTTGTTCAATTCACCATGGTTTTTACACATTGGGCGCCCCACCTTGCAATAAGCTCATCCTATTGGTGAAATCCACATGCTTTGGTTTAGTCCGATCCCCCTAACTATACATCAACCATATGATCTACTAAACGAGTGGTTTTCTTTCGGCTGCATTTCACAGAGTGATCCAAAAAAAAAGATAGAGTCGAGTCCGACAAAACCAAGTGAGGTGTTACTTGTTCCATCTTTTTGGTGTTTTTTTCGCCTATCAGTTCTTCGTTGGGAAGGGATCCATCTTCGACATCGCTGCAGGGCATGTTGGGCAGCGGTGGGACTCCGGACTTCATGGTGGACGATGAGAGCTTTGAAGCCAGCGCCAAGAAGCCCTTGGTGGAAGCTTTGGTCGAAAGTCCAGCGCTTGGGGTTAGGGGGTTAATAGGGCTTTAATGGGATTTAAGACTGGAATTTCATGGGTTTAATTAATGGGATTTCATAGGATTTAATGGGGCTTAGTGGGATTTAATTGGATTTAGTAGGGTTTACTAGCTTGTTTCAATGGGAAGTTACCAATTGCAGAAGGTTGGGAGGCGTGCAGTTGTGGTTCTAAATGGGGTGATGGGTGCAAACAACTAACATAAGTAGAATTGACGGTAGAGATATGAAGATGGGTCAAAAGCATTCAAAATTAAAAGCTATTATTGCCCACATTTGGGGGAATAACCACCCATTAACCAGCTATTTTAGGGTACCGTTTGGGTGCCAGGGTGTTGACAGACATCGGAAGGCGGACCCTGTAGGGATCCTGCTTGAGGGATCTTGAGGGTGCATCCCAAGTAGTAAGTATTTGTCAATACAACCCATGCCAAGCTGAGGTGTATGCTGTATGCCACATATCTGGTTGGTGGTTTGGATCATTTTTTATTTTCCCATATATTGGGAATAATCATCCCAACTGACTTTCATATTTTTTAGAGGGGTTGAAACCACCGACCAGATATAAGTGGGTTCCAACATTGTTATTGAACTATTCCAACCATGTTTACAAACCGTCGGGACATTACATGTAGGAATCTTCCTCACTCATTGAGATTTCATGGGAAATTCACACACGTGAACCTTGGAGGAGTTGACGTCCCGCATCGTTGGCCCCGAATTTGAGACATGGGGATGTCACAGTGACCCCATCATGACGGCCCTGTAGGGATGATCTTTACCCAAAAACGACCTCAAAATTTGGAAGTTATTCTGTGTTGCCCAGGGTGGTTTTCAAGAACACTGGATGGGACATGTACCCATCCGACAGAGGAATACAACTTAACCGATTCTGGTGGTTTGAGGTCTCGATCTTCACTGGCGTTCAGCTTTGGGAACTCGTGCAATTTGTAGGTGGAATCGGTTGAATCCTCATGTTTCAGCCCTTGGTTCATCTTGGTTCACCCAGGAATCTGAAGGAGGAGCTGGCACCGGAAGGTGGGGAACCTGGGGATCAAAGCTTTTCTGGGCCATCAACAGTCCGACATCCTTTCTGGCACATGAAGGAACTTTCAAGGGTTGACTTTCACACTTACTATACTTACATATATTTGTACATAATTGGAATCCCGGTCAGTTGTGTGTTAATCCATATCTTTGGGTGGTTTCAATCCAAAATCAGTGTGATCTTTACACATATCATCATAAATCCTAGTTTTTTCGGTGGTTAAATCACAACCTTGTTCAATCCCAGTCAGTTTGATGCTAACAACCTCATCGGCGAATTCCACATGTTGGTCCGTGAATCCCCATGCTCAAATCCGACATTTCGCTGCTGAAGTCCCATTTTTTGCAGGTCAAATCCCAATTTTCTCCGATCAAATCACCATTTTGGTTGGTTAGATTACCCATAGGATCCATGTATGGGATATTTACCTACATTTGGGTGATTTGTAAGGCAAATGTTGGTAAATATTCCATACATGAATCCTATGGGTCATGTTTTCCCGCATCCACCCGTTCTTGTGGCCGCTGCCCAGGCTGGGCTATTTGGCCGGTGTGGTGCCCAAGGTTGATGAGGCCCGCTTCGCGCGCGCCCTCTGGCGCGCCGCGCGCGGCAACACCTTTGCGTGGCACGGTGGCACCGGTTGTGCCGTGGATGATGGGCCTTGGGATTTCTGGTGTTTCACATGGGGATTTTGCGATGCAAAATCCATGAAACTCCATCATCGGGTCTTATCTAATAGCTGCATCTATGATGTTCCAGCTAGCCCTTGACTACCAGAGGGGAATGGGGATCGAAAATCGGGAATTCACATGATTTAACCAATCAATCATGGACATGAACAAACATGGTGGCGGCCGGCGTAATACCAACCAAATATTGGGTTTAGGGTAAACCAACTGGTGATGGGCGCTTTAGTACCACCTAATCTTTTGCTGTACTAACAAGGGTATTCACTAACCAGCTATGTGTGTTTCCAGGATTATCTAAGATTGGTCATGTTTGGGAACTACTAGCAGGAGTAACTCCTGTGCAGTGGAAGATGTTTTTAAGGAGCTTTTAATTTTACTGGGATTTGAGATGATTTAAGGATGGTTTTGAGGACAAGTATGTTTTCTATTAGTGGGAAAACGATGGACCACTCGAGTTTTAATGAAGACAGTATTGAAAACCACCGGCTTCTCAGATTGTTGCCACAAAGATGGGGTTTCAGCCAACTAGACTATGATCCTAATCAACTAAGACAGGCTCCATGCTGAAACCAAGGCAATTCACGCCTATCAGCCAGACTGTGAAGGATCCAAAGACAGGCACAACTCAGTCTTGCCATAATTCTGGGTATATAGTTTCTGGTAGTTCTTCGTTTTTTTCCTCATTATGGAACATATGGAAGCCATAAAACTTGGAGTTCGGGAAGTTATATATCTATATATATATATATATGATTTTGAGATATTTTGAGAAGATTGCACGCAAACTGAGTGGCAGGCCGAGCTCCATGAACTAATGAGAATGAGCAAGGGGAAGTGCACTCAAATTGAGTTGCTGTATGTTGAGGCTTGCGAAGTGCTATCAGCTGCTATCACTTGTTTTGTTTGCGGGATACCACGCAAAATTCACGTCCAAATACTTCATAGAAGTGCACTCCCGGGTGTAGTGTACATTCAATCGTTATTGAATATCAGTTTGACCGCCAAGTCTTCACACTGATTCATCAAAATATATGATGAATTGTATGAATTGTCCATTTTCAGGTTGGGTACTTAGAGGCTGTTAATCCATAGTTTTGGCATTTTGACCCACGCAACTCAATGATTTGGGTCCTATCAGAACGTCGTGTCAACCTGGTTAGTCATAGGCTACTCCTAAATCCCAAGGTGAATCATCATAGATTCCCATCAATTCACCACAAGTTTCTGGGTCCACTTGCCGCAAGGTGCTGCCCCCTAAACGATAGCTCAGTTGTTTTTAATAACTCCAAGAACTATAGACTTTACAATGGATGTTTATGGCATTTATTTTTGATTGACAACTCCAATAACTATAGACTATACGTATATGTTTATGGATGTTTATGGTATTATAAATATCTCTATAATTACGCTCATAGGGCAACCATAAACCAACAAACATCACCCCAGTGCGCAACCGAAACCACCTCGTGGGGTTCCAACTTCGTCGTCGCAGGTGTCGAAGTTCAAAAGAGTGTCTTCGTGGTCTACTTCCAGGCGCGGCGTTTCAAGCGCCTCGTGGCTTGGGGGTTTCAGTGATGGGAATCGTCCCCTAGTATCCGTAGTATCATGAAACTATTCATATGATTGGGCGTTTTTTTGGTGACCTAGATTAGTGATATCATTACAGTAGATTAGTGATTGAGTTAGTGATTAGTGATTATTGAGCTCATAAATCAGTGATGGGAATCAGTGATTGGTTAGATGAATTAATTGAATTTAATTGATTTGTAAGTATCATTTAGATTCAGTCAAATAATCAATCAATGAATCTATAACTAGTCAATTAATCAATCGAATAATCAGTTAATTGGTGCTTAGCCAAAAAGTGTTTTTTTCCTCGGGGGTCACGCAGAGCTGGGGAAGCCAGGGCTCCACGAACCCAGCGGAACGAGTTTTTGGAAGTAACCCGGTGGTGGAAACGACGCGGATTTTAAAAGATGTGAATCTGCAGTCCATGCAATAATATATATCATATAATATTAATAATAATAATAATAATAATTATTATTATTATAGAATGTGTATATATATATATATATATTATGTGCAATCATAGTGTTGTGCCTCGTTGTGAAGTTTGGACATGACCACTACTTCTTGATGTTCTCAGTTTTTTCCAGTCTATCGATGAGGATTTCCAGAAGGAACTCATTTTGAATGGTCGTTCCCTGATTTCCTACAACGCTTCCTGTTTCTTTGGTTGTTGGTGAGTTTTAAGCCCAACACGGGTCCAACACAGAAACCCCAAACACTACCCTCCGGTAATCAAACATAGCAACGGAAAATCCCATGCTTAGATGATATGTTTGTCCTGATTAAACCTCCATTTATAGTGGATGTCCCGTGGCCGTGTCTAACTACCAGAGGGTCTTCGGGGTTTACCTTTCGATGAGCTTGGCTGTTAGTCAAATGCACCAAGCATTGGCACCAGGGCAGGTTGAATCCATCAGTGGCATGCTTCTTTGCGAAGTGGATGGCTGGCCCTTTGCGCACAGTTCGCCAACTGCTGGATATAGCTGGACCATTGGAAGATGGTCCATTTTTGAACAGTGATCTCTTGGCCATGTGTGTATGCACTTTTCGTGCAGCTACATGCACGATACACGTGCTGACCGTCTCTACGAGGTATGGTGGAAATCCGTGGCACCTCATTTTTCTGCAGCATGTTGGCTAAACCACCAGAAGCTAAAACATACTTCGATATACAATAATATATATATAATATTCTCAGATCATAAATTGCTATATATACTATACAGCATACAATAATATACAACAATGCCCTGTTCTTCTTCGATCGTCAAATTTCCGTCCCGCTAAGGCCACTAATTTGTACTTAACGACTATGAACTGATCAGGGGTTGAGAATCCCCATGGCCACTGGTGAGCACTTTGCGTCAGGGAGCAGGAGGCCCTATGCAGCAAAAGGTGATGAAGGTTTGTCAAGCCTTCGGTTCCTTGGTGGCGACGGCGGCTACCCGGAGTTGACGCACAAAGAACTTAGTGAACTATGGTTGGTTACAGTTATGGCCCTTTACCAGCTATAACTACTTCTAGGCCCATTTATAGAATGTAGAATCCCATTTATAACCAGTTACAACTAATAAACTGTATTGATGGATATTCATGGGGTGAAACTACAGCAAAAAACATAGTTTTGTGTTTGAAAGTTTTCTGCTGTCATCGGAGAGGTTTTATGTACTTTTTCACCGGCAAGTTTTGTAGTGTATTTGTAGGGTATCTGATTGGCCATGTTGAAATTCTATATGTGTTGTTCCTCCTTTTTTGTTACACGGATTAAGATGATCGATGGAATCGATGTAGGTTTTATTGGGCCAACGCTAGTGCCATTTTTTTGTCAGGGCTACGACACTGTTGGTGGAGCCCGCAGAATCGCCAAGGGAACAGCCAATGGTACAGGACTGGCACCCAAGGCCTTGTCCTTGTAGAATAAACAATATGTCAACATGTCAACGATGTGAGTTCATATTCATTGGTCTATGTTAATGTGTCCTCTTTTGTACTGGTCATATCCTTATTTGTCCTGGTTTTATCTATATTTTTGTTGGTAAAGCTGACTGTTTTTGCTGATCCAAGTGTCCAACTAATTGGAGTTCCCTTTTTTATTCCCCACAACTTTGTGTGGGGTTCTTGTTTTTGATTCTGTATCCCGGGCTCCTTCTCCTTCTCCTCCTCCCGCCGCCTCCCTTTCACACTGTCACATACCATAAATTTAACACACACAACTTTGTCACATACCATCTCTCACATACAATGACTTCACACACACAAACTTAACATACAATAATTTCACACACACTCACATACACACAACTGCGTCACATACCATCTCTCACATACAATGACTTCACACACACACACAAACTTAACATACAATAATTTCACATACAATACTTTCACACACACACAAATTAACATACAATAACTTCACACACACTCACACACACACACAACTGCGTGGCACTTGGTGACATCCACCGTCATTTCTCGTGGCAGGCGTGGCACAAATTCACATCCACGGTCGTTTTGCGTGGCAGGCGTGGCACAATCTGACATCCACGGTCGTTTTGCGTGGCAGGCGTGGCACTCATGGTACTGGGTGGCGCGCTTGGTCCGGATTTGTCGCCTGTGACGCCGCGGCACTTTGCGTGGCAGGCGTGGCATTTGGTGACATCCACGTTCATTTCACGTGGCAGGCGTGGCACAAACTCACATCTACCATCGTTTTGCGTGGCAGGCGTGGCACTCATGGTACTGCCTGGCGCGCTTGGTCCGGATTTGTCGCCTGTGACGCCGCGGCACTTTGCGTGGCAGGCACGGCATTTGGTGACATCCACGTTCATTTCACGTGGCAGGTGTGGCACAAACTCACATCTACCATCGTTTTGCGTGGCAGGCGTGGCACTTATGGCATTGGGTGGCGCGCTTGGTCCGGATTTGTCGCCTGTGACGCCGCGGCCCTTTGCGTGGCAGGCGTGGCATTTGGTGACATCCACGTTCATTTCACGTGGCAGGCGTGGCACAAACTCACATCCACCTGCGTTTTGGGTGGCAGGCGTGGCACTTATGGCATTGGGTGGCGCGCTTGGTCCGGATTTGTCGCCCGTGACGCCGCGGTTTGCGGGGCAGGCGTGGTACTTGGTGACATCCACCTTCATTTCACGTGGCAGGCGTGGCACATGTCGCCCGTGACGCCGCGGCTGTTTGCGTGGCAGGCGTGGCGCTGTGCTAGGGATGATTACCAGCCACAGGGCATGCAGAAAGAGTTTGCAAAATTTGCGGTTGCGCTCGAAAGAGTGCAGAACATTACGTTGGTCAGCGGAGGTATGGTGAACACGATCGCTTTGATAGCATGTCGAGACAAGGCCATCAGAGCCTGGTGGAACTCGAAGAAAGCGGAGCAACTTACTCACACACGAACCTGCTCACAAATAGCTTACCCCACATACATACATGCATGCATACATACATACATACATACAGACAGACAGACAGACACACAGACATACAGACATACATACATACATACATGCACATATCACTTCGTCACACACAACTGTTTCACCACGTCCTTTGTCTTTCCTTCTTCCCCGTCCCCGCTGCAACCTTTGGTGCTCATTATTGGAAGAAGTTGATTTGTGGGGTTATCCGGTCCTTTAATTCGTCTACTGCATTAACCGACATCCATCACCTACTAAATGGAATGAATTGGAACATGCATGTTCCTTCGCAATTTGTGGGTAAATAGACGGTAATAGCTGGGTAATTTATTTGCTGAGAACTCCGATATGTTGTTGGCTGTTGGTTTATTTATGTTTTATTTCCCGTCTTTATCTGGAGGTGATGATCCCCAGTGACATTTTGAGGTGATGAATCCGATTATTTGATATTCATATGCGCCTTATTGTCTCAATATCCATAGGAATGTGACGTAGCTATCCGTGGTCAAAGGACCTAGCCATAAACATTGGCAATATTGGGACAACCATGGACAAACCCTCAACTGTGGCCTACATCGGTAAATCAGCTTTGGTTTTTGCAGTTTATCCAGGTGCCATGCCTCAATTGCGGATCAACTCAGATAGGAACTACCCTCTGGTAAACTAACATAGCTATGGAAAATCACCATCTTTGATAGGTAAATCAGCTATAAATGAGCCATACGTTAAATTAGCAGACGGCAGGGAGTAGGAATTATTCGATTTGCTCAGGTTTTTGTTGCACTATGTCACTATGTTGCACATATATTGCACATGAATCCAATTCAAAAATTGTGGGATCTACACAATCTACAGCCTCCCGGCTTCATTTTTGGCCGGACCTCCCGGCCTCCGGTGCCAGTGATCCCCGGCCGAGGCGTCAACATGTACAACTGGCCCGTCAGCGCGGACCAAGCGGGCGTGAAGCTGGTGCAGCTGCAAAAGGTCGTAGGGGCTCCCAGTGGGCGCTTCACTAGGCACCTAAAGGTGGAATTGGCAAAAGTTCGAGGTTTCAATAGGAACATCATCCAGAAATAGGATTAATAAGGATATGTTATGGTAATTTATGGTATATGTAAGTGGGATATAAGTGGCCAAGTTGATGTGGTTACCCTCTGGTGATTGAAGGGCTTGCGAGCTGGGAAATTACCATTTTAAACAGGTAAATCGTCATTTTGATTAATTATCAATCAATGGATACAAATGGGTCATTTTTCTATAGCTATGTCATGTCAAACAATTTGAGGGTAAACAAGAGAAATGCGGATTATGTGTGGGGACAAGCGTGGTAGATAAATTCAGAAAATATGTGAAATTCATTAAATAAGTGTCATCGCATTGCTATTTTGAATGAGTTGGCGCTTTATTTGTTTGGGGTTTTAAACTTCATGGACCAAAGTTTCAGTCAAGTGATTGCTCGAACTGAGATCAGCGATCAACTTGGTAATTTCAACTTGGTTGGCAAACCTTCACTTGAAAGTATTGCTGTTGCATATTTGTACATCCTCGGGAAATCGGCAATTTGTACGCCTTGTGGTGTCACATACAGGCGCGCAAGTTGATGCAATCTGGAGGATTTGGTGTTCAGATGGTTCAATTGTTGAGGACATTGAAGCTTGGAATTACAGCTGATCTTGTCGATTTTGCAACCTCCGACAAGCCTGCTCCTTCATCAAGCATGATAAAAAGCTTCGCTTGGCGATGATTTGTTTGGAACAGGACGGTTTCACACATTCAATCGCTTTCAAGAGGCTTTTCGATATGCAGTGGGTATTCACGGATTCAAACTGAAAGACGACAAAGTTTCCCTCCAAAGTGACGGACATTTTGACTATTTTGCGGTTCAAGGTCGTGAATGGACGACCTTGTCTCGACGAAATGAAGTTGTTGGCTAGTATGCTAATTCCTGAACTTTACAGTACTAGCATGTACTAGCCATACCTGGAACCAACTTCAGGCAGCTCGAGCTTGTGGCCTCTCATTTGTGAACTGTCCTGTGCGGATTGACTCGCACTTTCACACGCACGTTTTCTTCAGACCTGTTTTTTTCTTATAATTTATTTTCCATTGTCCACAGCTACCCGTTTCGCTCTGGCCAAGGGGTCACGAGCCGTGTTTTCCAGCATCACCTTTCAATTCTAGGTGTTGCGAGTGAGAGATGGATGTCTCTAAGTGTACTTGATAATTAAATATAATTAATAAGTATATTAAAGTGAGATACTGGCCACTTCTTATTGTGATTCCATGTGTTTCCAGTGCCATCCCACCTGGGCTGCGCCCCCGGGATGCCGGCGAGGTCGTGGAGAAGGACGCTGCCCTGAAAGGTTTCTCTGACTTCATGCGCTCCGAGGTGGGGGCGGAAGATACAGTGGGGATGAAGTGGCAACGCGGAGCGGAGTTTTCCAGGAGAATGGCCCATAGAAATAGATGTTTTACCTATTAATAGCATGGTGATTTTCCATGGCAAACTGTTGGTCATAACCAGATGGTAATACTAAACATAGACTACCCTCTGGTAATGACTAACAGTTTGCTATTGAAAATGGACCATTTATAGTGGATTTACCTATCAAAGATGGTGATTTTCCATAGATATGTTAGTTTACCAGAGGGTACCCCGATTTTTTCGATTCCAGGAACATCCATGGGATTTGGATGACCTATTGACAGACCAGCCTCCACTGTCATCTTGCTGGACAAACCACCATGTAGTTTGATGATTTTCCCAGCCAGAAGCATCCATTTATACGGGATGGTCGGATAGTCCCATATTTTTTTCCCGATGGTTTCCGATATTTAGCAATATTGTCTCACAATTCCCCCCTCCCACACACTTATACGCCGGTTTATAAACCCATGAATACTACAGTTGTATTCCCCAACTCTTCACCAAGGTTATGTGCGCCAACTTATCGTAAACAGGGGCCCCACTCTGCATGTTTTCCCATCGTTTTCCCATTAGAATTTCGGATTTTCCAGCAAGCCATGTAGCTGATGATACGGGACCTTACTAACTTCCAGCATCATCCCATTCGCCCACTTTGAGGCGCAAGATCTCTTGACTCCTCCAAGCAACTCCGCTGGAAAGACTTTTGGAAAGGATGATGGGCCATGGAATCTGGGATAATCCTCTCTCCCTATTGCTAACCCCCCCCCGCCAAATGGTAAACACAGTGATCTATTAGAGTGCCCCTAGTATTCCAATGAAAAACCTTAGAAATAAAAGTAAAATGCTCGATTTCAAATTTGATTAAATCTCTTATTAAAATCTATATATAACATATTGCCAAAAACTGGATTTCGAAGCTTTCCCCTAATATTCCAATGAAAGCCTTAATAACAGAAATAAAAAATATTCTGAGATGGGACCCTAATAAAAAGCCTCCAGGTGGCAATTTATTTTTATTAATAGGGGGTTGAGCCCATTGTTTCATCATCCTGTTCTCCTATTGATTCTCAATTACCACAGTTAAGAATCCAATTGTGCCCAACCCAAAAAAACCTGAAGTGCCACACCAATCCTATTTTTTATTTGGGGGAGTTTTAGTATTAGGAAGAAGGGATTTTATATAACCAACGAAAATCAAGGAATATGGTGATGTCAATTGATTTCATGTGATTTCAACCAAAATATGGAGATTTCTACACTTTATGATAGTTGCATGTGCAGTTTGGCGTTCTTAGTGGATACAGCCTGATAAAGCCACTTATGGGGTACTGCCCCCTATAACTAGATTGGTTATGTACAACCATGCGAATTAAGTACTGCACCTCCATGTGCCCTCTGGGAATCATATTTGGATGGTTCGAACAAATCATTTTGGGTTCGATCAAGGATATCAAGGCATTTGGCATGTGGGTCATGTTTGCTTGTGCAGGAAAAAACATGTTTGATCGCGCCACAGCATGAAACGGAACAGGCGGGCATGTTACACGGGCATGTTTGTTTTAATATATACATAGACCATGCGGCAACCATCACGTGACATGTCCTGAACTTGCGGTTTTCCTAAGGTTTCCTAGCTCTAGCCGTTGCCAGATGCTCCATGTAAAATCGCTCAGTTTTGTCGCTAATACACCAGGTGAGCATATATGGGCATCAGTAATTCTTTGAGTGAGGTGATTTGATACTGTCAACCCTGGATTGAAAAACCCAAAGGCTGTTTAATTGGGGGGGGGTACCATTCAAGTATCAGATGATCAATATTTGGTGACCACCCTCATATTAGTACACCATGGGTTATCCGGGGTTGACATGAATCCAACGTGGGGAAAAAAGAACCTTACAGCTACAAGCTATGGTCCTCTTGGTAAAAAAAGACAATAGTACACCATTACTTCTGTAATTGGTGCTTGTCTTTTGGGAGCAACGGGGGGTGTTGTTTGCAGCAACAGGCTGGCCAACGCTTGCATCACTTTCTGTGAAAATCGGGGATTCTCACGGGTTGCAAGTTTGGTAAGTTTGGTATGTTGACATGGACGCAGAAACCGGCGCGTTCGGAGAAAAACGTGCGAAGAACAAGATCAAGGAACACATCATGACCGCTGACGGGGGCGATTACGCCGGGGAGCGCCTCACAGATTCACAATCTGTGGCAGTCATCACGGTGCTCAAAGAGATCAAGGCCGCGCAGCCTGGACAGGATTTGTCCATAGCTGTAAAAGCGCGCCTTGCAGGCACGATTTTACAAAACCTAGGCGAAGTTCTTCAAGGAGCTGACCAGCTCACATTTAGCTAAAGACAGGATTTGGCTAGGTGGTGCAACAGAATGCTGGTTCAGGTGACGCCTGTGTGTTTGCCAGACAATGTGTTGGAACCATTCACCTGTCGTGAGCTTTTTTTGAATAGCCAAAACTAATTTGGTAGGCTGTGGTTTTTGAAGAGCACAAACCTCGCTGTGCAAGAGGTTATGTCGCAATTGGATTTCAAATTTGTAAAGACCGAAACAAAATATAAAAGAACCTTAACCCATTTATAGATGATTTATTTTGATTTACGTATTATACAACAAATGATTTGTCCATAGCCATGTTAACGAGAGGGTAACCACATCAGCTTTGGCCAGTTATATCAAGCTATATCAAGCTATATCAAGCTATATCCCATGAACTATACAGTACCTATTCATGAATGAGTTTCCTATTGAAACCTCTGAGTTGCCATGGTTGACATTCAATGCTGAGGTCACAACCCACAGGGCAATTCCAAGATGGAAGAGTGGCGTCTCTTTTGCATCAAGGCTGTAGTGGTGCCGCAAGGGTTGGGGGACACGGTGTTTGCCGCAGCAGTTGAGCTTGTTCATGGGTATAACATCGTAAAACCAGGGTACTGTTTCCATAAGTTGGGATTTATAGCCCCTATAACTATGGAGATGTTGTTTTTTCCATGATAGTTGGGATTTATCCCCTAAAAAAGCTATGGCAATATCATGTTAATTTTATGCTACCCTGGTGTTCTACAACTTGGGATTTAACCCCTTTAATTACTGGTTGTTAATATAAACGTATGTGTATATATATATTATCTGGTTGGTGGTTTGGAACATGTTTCCATATATTGGGAATAATATTCCCAGCTTACTAATATTTTCAGAGGGGTTGAAACCACCAATCAGATGTATACATACTCTCATGTATCCAATGATAAGTGGAACTGAACCCCCAAGTGGGGACCAAGGAATACGGGATAGGGCTGGCAGTTCCAGATTATTTCTAATTCGGAGTAAGGAAATAGATTAGGACTGATTAGATGTGATGTTTGGAGTGATTCCCCCCCCTTTTCAGCAATTTTCGCAAGTCTTGGGGGATGATGCCGGTCCAAGGTTGGGACAGGCTCCCTTTTACCACTGCCACCCCCCAGTTATTTGTAGCTCCGAGAAACTCTGAGTAAGATATCGGTGTGTCTGAAAATTCAGTACCGAAAAATTATCATTGTTGACTGACCATTATACCTGTATTGTTTAAATGTTTGCGGGGCACACGGTAGCCCGTTCTTAGACACACCCAAACCTCAAAATGACTCTACAAGTCGCTGCTTGAAAGGCAACTGAAACAGACAGTAACAGCAGGTTATAGCCGCGCTGACCGCCGGCCCTCCCCATCCGCAAGTATGTCAAGCTGGGGGCAAGACGGCTATAGGATGCCGTAGGAGTTTTCCAAGGAGTTTATTGGAACGAAATCGAGCCAAGGTTATTGTTTGTTTAACATCTGGTTATTTAAAGGAGTTATGGCAGCTATGGAAAATCACAATTGTTAATACGCCTAACGACAACAACAAAAACAACAAGAACAAGAACAATAGCAACAACAACAACAACAACAACAACGCCAGGATGGGCCCGCATCGATACCTGAGTAGCTTCTGCAATTTTCGCAGGAGAAGGCCATCTACAACATCTTGAACCTTTGCTCTGGAGAAATCGCCTTGCGGTTTCTGTGGCGGAAGATGGCAAAAACCAGTGGGCAGGAAGGGGAACATATGGAAAACATGAGAGAAACGCACTAGTTAAATGTTGATGTTTGTACTGAAGGTTGCTCGTGGGTGGTGTCAGATTTTAATGGACAAAGTGAGACTTGACCCTTTGTACTGGCAATTTGATTGAGTCCTAGTTGGTCATGGCCGGCCTCGAGTTACAGGTTTGGTACTCCTTTCCCAACTCTCAGTGCTGGTGGCTGGATTCTGATATGAGCCTGTTAGAGGTCTGATGCTGAATCTTTTTGGTTTGTTCTAGCACGGGGCCATGTTAAGTGTGAACATGCTGTTCAAAGACCTGAATGGTTCCTATTCCATCCTGTTTCCATCTATTTGGTGCTAGATATCCTTGATATCAGTGGATTTGTTAATTGCCATTTCATGATTCTAAATTGGAGGACCTACCATATATAAAAACTCTGTAAGGGATATGTAAGGGAATATCCCCACATAATTTTGGCCTAATGAGGTACAGTACCTCCATGTTAGGATAATGAAAATCCTATTGAGATTTGTTTGGACTTATTTTGGATTCTTGCGGTCAAACTTGCACTTAAAACTGTTTAAATTAAAAACTACAACTTTCGTGTGGCGCGCCCCTAGAAGTGCAAACAACGAGTTCAGGAAAGTCAGAATGCAAAGCTCCGGGAAGTGAGGTGCAAAACAACGGTTCGGAAAAGAACGGAAGTGTCTCCAGCCTTTTCACTCTGACTCCAAGGTGTTCACCGTGCCCAATGGCTAAATTATAAGCAAAATAATTGTGTCCAGTTCTATTGACTCACCAGAAATCCAACTTAAATCGCCATAGAATCATAGATTATCATAGATAAATATAAATAAATTACATTAACTTACCATAAACAACCACCGTGTTTTCGTCGCTCTTGATTCCCTTTTTTATGCTCATCCCCCCGTATTCCCAGGGTGAATGTGTGGTACCCCGCATCTGAAGAGTCCAAGATCATCGCGTTGCTGCAGAAACTGAACGTGGCTTGGTCCAACTCAACATCCCTTTATTTTGCCAATAGCAAGGTGGAAAACAACCATTCTTAATAGGTAAATCATCATGGTGAGATGTACAGTAATGGGATACCTATGGATTCTACATGGGAAGGGATTGAGTGGAATGTTGTTTTTTGGGATTTTGGTTGAATAAAACCCCAATCATGAGGAATATGACGGATTAAATGCAGGTTTCAATAGGACAACCATCCCTTTTTTAATCACATAGAACCCCGAGGTAGAAAACCCATTCCATTTCCCTAAATCTGTAGATGCTATCCATCCATTTATGCTTTGAGACTTTCATAGTCTCGTGATGCAGCAGCTCCAAGCACCTGCTTTGACCGGTGTTGCGGATGGTGACTTGGGGTCCAAAGACCTGAGGCATTTGGAACACTAAGGAGAGATATATTTCCCAGTCAACAAGCATATGAATATGGAAGTTTCCTAAGCCATGGGGGTACCCCCAAATCATCCAGTCGTCATGGATGACTGGATGACCATTTGAGTATGAAAACCCGTGGTGACTTGGGGATCCCCCAGCGCTTAAGAAACCACCATAGATATGGAGAATGCACCTTGTAGATCATGTCCGGCCGGGCAAACCAACTACATGTCCATAAGTGAGTCAGTTTGCTGGTGGTAGCTTATCTCACTGCATTGGTTGAAAGGAAAATCTACAGGAAATGATTATAGTTTTCTCTCCAAATATAGTTTCCGGGTCCAATTTTTCCTTCAACAAGTCCAATGATTATGAAACCAGCTCATTGGCTCCCCAGCTCATTGGTCAGGGAAAAAAAGGATAGCTATAGCTCCAAAGAGTTCCCTCCATTCACCACCAGATCTCAAAAAAGTGACAGATTTGGGGTCCCAATGCTCATTAGTCACTATTGATCATCATTAATCATGAGTTTAACCCGTGATTAGCACATGAAACCACACTTAAATCCAATCAGCCACAATGCAATCACCATGAAATCACTACCAAATCCATCAAAACTCCGTAAAATCACCATAAAATCGCCGAGGAGGGCTCACAGCAGGGTGCCTTTCTGACCAACGAGAAGCAGGTGAAGTCGCTGGCGCCGCCACTCGGAACGGACGGTCCGAACGGACAACGACAATTCGGAAATCTCTGGGGAAACTCATGGGAAAATCCGGTGGAAACTCCATAGAATATCCATAGAAAATCGATGGTACACTGGTGGTTTGGAACATGGCTGGATTATGACTTTCCAGAAACAGTTGGGAATGGAATGGAATGTCATGATCCCAATTGACGAACTCCATGATTTTTTCGGAGGGGTAGGTAAACCACCAACCAGGTACAGATAGATATAGAGAGGTATAGATCGATAGTATATGATATTATATGATATTATCATGTGCTAGAACCAGTTGATCGATGGTAAACATCCCATGACCAGGGTTTCAACATGTTTCAGCCATCAAGGGAAATCATAGAGTTATGGCCATGGCTGTTATAATTGGTTATGACTGGTGATTTCTATGGGAAGAAATACATTCCTTTGAATGGCACAATGGGGTTTTGTTAGTTGACCTCTCTTTCCATAGGATCACCTGGGAGTAGCAGGAAAAATCCTTCAATTTCTGTACTGCAGTTCTGAACGTTAGTGTGAGATGTCCAGTTTTTCCTGAGCATTCCTGCAGAGACCCAGGAAATCACAATATGGAATGTCAACCTTTTTTTGTTGACCTCAACCTCTTTCGCTTCTTTGACGCCCCGAAGAATAATGCTTGCAAATTTGCGCAATCAATATGTTAACATTAGTGCCAACATTCACTTTATATATATATACATATATTCTGTCATGTTTAATTTAGCTAGAGTAACCGAGCCATCGCATTCGGCATTGACCAGCTATTAAGTATCTATTTCTATAAGCCTATATAGGTATTGATGAACTACGGAAACTCCATAAAAGTGGTTGACTTTTCACCGAACTGGGTTGCTTCTGAGGACTTACATTCGTGTTAACGACTTCACCGAGGCCGGTGGTCTTTCCGAAAGTGGTACGTGCCCCCCAATTTTTTGGTGAATGGTAGGACTACCTGGTATGCCACCATCATAAATCTCCATTGAGCATGATATAATATAATCATGATATACTGCTAGAATATATATATATATAATATATATAGTTACTGTAATTACATATGCTTACCACCCATTCTAATAGAATTCGGAAGGGTTCATTGGCTTTACCATTATACCTTAGTTTTTTTCGGTGTCCCCAAAACATGCCTCTGGGATGTTTGAATGTTGCTGTAATGGGTTTTGATTTTCATTGGTTGTTGTGTTTGTCAGATCAATGTTTATGTGTTTTTTCTTTTATTAACTCTGCATTTGGTTTTATCATGGGTTCCATTATTTTGGTGGTGAGAGCTTGCTGTCAGGCTTTGAGAAGGTTGCTGGCTTCATTAAATGAGTTTGCGTGAACATGGGATACACACAATTCTTTTGATGAATCATCTTGTTCACCATTGAAGCAGCCATTCGTCATCCATTATTCTTTTTAAAGAAGCTGCTATGAGTCGTCCATTGGTGCATTCCAGCAACATATTCTAACTGTACCCCTCCGGAAAGCAACTACATGGCTTGCTGGACAATCTACCATGTGTATAGATGGTTTTCCCAGCTATAACGCTCCATTTAGTTCGGGGATTTCCCGACTAGCCACGTTTGACGACACCAGAGGCTAACTCCATTAATCACCATCATTAATCACCATCATTAACCACTATTAGTCACTATTAATCCTTAGCAACAAATACCATTGAATCATTGAATCTCCATTTTTTCCACCTCATGGTTCTTCCCCATCAGCCTCCCGCCTCAATTCATTGACTTCATCATCACTGACGAGACCCCGCCGGGAGACCCAGACATTGCCAGAAGTGGTTGAGGGGAAGTTTACATGGCTGGGAAATCCCGTAGAAATGGAGGTTTGAATTGGAAAATCATCTAGAAATGGTGGATGTTCATATTTTCCATTGCAATGCTTGATTGCCGGAGGGTAAAGGAAAGCTCCATTTTTCAACGGCCAAAGCCATGGTTTCTGTCATTTTTCTCATACACCAATGAATGCATTGAATGTTTGCGTGAACCTTTATGCAACATCAGTTTGAAAGAGGGAGCTGTCACACAAAAAATCCATCTCCATCGTTAAAGAACTGCAGTGAGTCACAACGACCTCAATGTCAGTATTGGATAATATTAGTAGGGACAACCCTCCCAAATTACATTTATCACATAATTTGAGTTTGGTGTTTTTCTGCAGCCAGACAGATGACTAAAGGATGAGACTTACGAAGCACTTTCAGTCTCCAAGCCTCTCTGAATGTACAAAATCCGGGCATTCGTATTCGACTCGGCTCTTGTGACTGCCATGCTGACTGGCAAAGAGACCATCGTGTTCAATGAACAGGATGGAAACAAAAAAGAATTCAGCAGCCTGAGTTTGCTGAAGATTATGTTTATTTTCGCATTGATTGGTCCACCATTTGGTGTAATTACCTACTCGGAATATGTTTGTTTTATGTTGATGGCCCCCTCCGCACATCCAAGGCAAAGATGAATTCCGGTGTTTACGGAAAGAGCTGAAACGGGTGATGCAAAAGAAGGATCAGGAGAACAATGAAATTAACATGATGATGATGGAACTCTGCAAATGGAGTTTAGATCGGGGCACCGAGGAATTGGAAGAGTACAAGAAGAAGTACCGTCAAGAGAAAAGCAAGGCCGAAGAATACGAGAAGAATTACCTGGAAGAGAAAGGCAAGGCTGAGGAATACGAGAAGAAGTACCTTGAAGAGAAAGGCAAGGCCGAAGAGTACCACAAGATGTACCTTCAGCTGAAGGAAGAAATGGCACTGCGTGCAGAAAAAAGCCGCAGCGACAGCTCTGAAGAGGAGGAGAAACTCGATGACTGCAGCGGCTTCAGTCTATCAGACTGGTTTCTGCCTTAAGGACACTTGATCTGTTTTTGTATGCGCAAGGCTCCTTTGGCACCAAAATTGCATCAAATTTCCACGATGAGTATATAGTTTTACCATGTTTTACCACAGCGGTGTACAGGATTAGGGCTGGTAGAAACCTTCTCCAGCGGACACTTCGTGTCTTTTGATGGCAAAGGCAAGATTGGCCTCGTTTGCGTATGCAGCCAGTGCCCACGCATTGTGTGTCCTCGGCGTGCCGTGTCAAAGCAACAGGCAAAGCACGACAAAAAAAAACTGTGAGCCTTCTCGCTTTCGTTTGCAAGATGCCAATCCATTTCAAGCTGCTGACCGTTTGCTGTTGGGTGGACTAGTGCTCAAGATTCTTCAAGGGGTTCTTCAAGGTGAAAGATTGTTTGTTCCCCAAGTGCCTTTTCCCTGAGCGCAGTTGCTCCTTTACCATGCCGCATGCCGCTGCCCGCATTGAGGTTAGAAAGTCATGGTTGACAAGTTCTTTGTGAAGGGGTGGTTTAGAGAAATCCTTGGAACTAGGAGTAATAATAGTCTTCATATAGTCTTTAGAGCTTAACTTTTGGACAGATTTGTATCCTCCTCTGTCCTTTCTTATTTGAGTGATATGTGGTGATATGATATCATCCATATTTTTCCCTCAAATGGACGGACGACAACTACCAGCAGATTCAGCAGATTCAGTAATCCCCACCCCACTGCCACGTGAAAATGGGTACTGTAAGGAGTCAGTTGCAGGGAGCACAAGATAGACAGGCTCAACTAAGAGGTTTCAAACATGTTTGAAAATCAACCCCTTCCTCAAGCCTCATCCTTTTTAGCTCACATCATTGCACATTCAGATCTTTGGATTGGCAGGGTTGGCAAGAAGTCATCGACACCTATGGCATCCCCAAGTATCAGGTGCGCCGCGTCAGCGGATGTATCTCAACTATTGGGGTTTCCCAAGATCATTGGGGTTCCCCTAGATCATCGGCTTCCCAATTGAAAATGCATAGCTTGGGATGATTCTAAGGTCCCCCATTTTATGACACCCCCAATGTGTCAGGAAACTGAGGAAACTATCGCTTTCCCAAAATCTTTGCTCACAAGGACGACTGACTGTTACGCTCTCCAGACAGGTCGTCATCGAGAACTGATACAAAGAGCTAGATGGCGTGAGAACATTCATGACCACTTTGGGGTATTTCAAAATGATCAGAGTGGACCTGTTTTTCTGCAAGGCTGTTTGTTTTTTCCTCTCTCTCTTCTCTCTCTCTCTCTATATATATATAGTGATTATAATATATATATATATGTGTGTGTGTGTGTGTCACCTTGTGGCCTTAAAAAGTTATTTGACATGCCCGTGCAACTCCGCCCAGCAGGTGACGTTGACAGTACGTATGCTAAACTTAGCAGTTTAAGATATTGGCCTGTCTAAAAATGGTTATCCCCCAAAAATGATGGCTCATTGTTCCATGAAAATCGTTATTTTTTGGGCTATATAAATCTATATAACCCATAGGATCCTATGGTGCTGCTATATATGGTATAACATGGATCCCATCAATATACCCCCTTTATGTTAGCATATATACCAGCACCATGGACCCGTCATGGGTATATATGTCCCACTCAACCATTATAATCTATATAAATCTATATAATGTTATATCCTCTACTTTTGAAAAACACCATTTCGAATTGGTTTTACATCAATCCCACGAAACATCCTCGTTTTATATTTTTCGAGCAAATCCCCACGAATGGCTGCGCCTGGCGCTGGAAAAAAAAAAAACCAATGCTTACCCTCCGGCAATCAAAGATAGCAATGGGAAATCCGTATTTACCCTCTGGCAAACTAACATAACTATGGAAAATCACCATCTTTAATGGGAAAACTCACTATAAATGGGCCTTTTCAATACCATAGCTATGTTAGTTATTACCAGAGGGTTATGATTTTCCCACTACATAGCATCTCCATTGAGTTCGGATGGTTTCCAGCTAGCCATACGTAGATTTTTGGCCAATTTCTTAGGCCTAAATTTCAGGGAATATATTTCCACAGAATAGCTGAACAATGGGACGTTTACGTACCTCCATGACTTAGGATCCTGAAGATCTCCCATTGATCAATGGATATCCTTTGAACAGGAGGCAAACCCTGCGTTGCTATCTGTGGTGACCTTCCCATTCATCTTCGGCATGATGTATGGCGACGTCCCTTGGCACTGAAATTTAACCACGGAGCTAGTGGATCCGGGATGAAGCTGGGATGATGTTCCAATGTTCCAATAGTTAATGATGTTGGTTAATGGTGATTAATGTCTGGTTGATGGTTTGGAACATGGCTGGATTATGACTTTCCCATCATCTTGGGAATGGAATCTCATCATCCCAACTGACGAACTCATTTTTAAGATGGGTTGAAACCACCAACCAGTGACTATTTGTTGGGTTGAAACCATTCATTTTATCACTTGAAGCTATAAAGGAGACTTACACAAAATGACCTGCATATACCTGCATTAGGATTATAGATGATATACAATGTTCCCATAGTGCTATGAAATCTGATGAGTGGCTTCATGTTTGTCAATCATAGTTTTGGGTGATTGAGAACGACGTCAACACAACATATGCAAAGACAATCAAAGACAATCGTGTGTAATTATAGGGGAAAACCAGCCCGAAATCTCTGTATTTCAAGTTACTGTAATAACCCATTTGCAGTGAGAATCTGAAAATAGTACAGTAGCTGGTTGGTGGTTTCAAACATGTTTTTTTTCCATAATATATGGGATGTCATCCTTGCCATTGACTTTCGTATTTCTCAAGATGGTTAAAACCACCAACCGGTGATCTATATCCTCTAAATCACCTTTTTTAGTGGGAAACCTCATTCTAAATTGCAATTTTCAATAGCTATGTTAATATTTTCAGTAGCTATAATATCGTTGGAATATTTTGAAACGGCACCAAAACCAGCAGCCGTCACCACGGTCCCAATGATTCACCGAATGACGACGGCGGAGAGGGCGGAGAGGGCTCAGTTAATGAGACATAATAACATAAGGCATATGCTCCATGTATACATTTACCATTGTTTACCTACAAAACTGGGTGTTTTTTAGGGCAAATGTTTTTCATGATAGCAACAATTTAGACAATCTTTACGCTTGGCATGATGATCATGATGCTGCTGATGATGATTCGAATTGATGGGGATTGCTGACTGGCGGTTGAGCCGGAGGTGTATTGGTGGCTTGGTTTGTGCCAAGATCCTGCCGAAATTGGGAAGCGATTCAGAGCGCTTTATAAGGCTGCCTCTATGTTCCATGCAATGGTCCATGCAAGCTGTTCCCTCTTGGAATAACCCGCTCAGCTGAAGCGTGGCCTTCAGATTCTGGGATGATGATCTCGAATTAGGATGGACTATTCAGTTTGGATAGATTGGGACCCCCAACCAGCCAAGATAGCCAAGGCATTTGACAAACAAATGAATTCAATTCTGAATGACTCAAGGGTCACTGCTGAAATGGAAGATCGGGAACTTAAGTCTTCACTCATCGCGCACAAGACGTTCAGCCACAGAGCTATGTTTTCAAAACATGTTGTTTTTGTTGATGTTTTTTGATTAATACTATTTGGGAATTATATGATTTTAGATCTTGCTTTTTGTAAATATGATATCAATATTCGACTAAGAATCTGTTCTTCTTTCGAAAATCGTATGTTGAATAATAGTTTACGAATATTGTACCTATCACATATGTGATATTTTGGATTTGACACAGTATCACTTTATACCATCTGGTAAACTGACATAGCTATTAAAGATGGCCATAGAAATAGTTGATTTACCATGATTTACCCATAAACAAATGGTGGTGTTCCATAGTTTGTTGATGCTTTTTGTATGTTTACCAGAGGGTAAGTGGTAATATATGTGGGCCCCTGCTATGTCCGCGGGCTTCAGGTGGGCCACGGCACGCTGCTCTTCTTGGCGGGTCTTTGGCTGTGCAAAAACGCTGAGTCCTTGCGCTTCAGTCGCCCGGCGGAACAGCGATCACTGGTCTAATAGGTGTTTTGTTGTGGGATTCGAATCCAACGAAGTAACGCAGACATGATATTTATGCACTGTTTTATTTATAATTCATACGATTTAATAAGCATTATTTCACACACACAATCGCACACACACACACATATGTGTATATATATATATTTTTTTTTTGGAGAGGCACATGCAATTGTAAACAAAATCTCAATTTTCTGGTCCAGTGGTCAGCTTGGGGCTAGGGACCCCAAAGATCGGAAAGGATACGGCTGTTATATGTCAGCGTGTTCTGAAAAAACGGGTATCTTCCCCCGAACAAAAAGACCTTATATTTCATAATATCCTCGTGTTTTCCACTTTAAGACTCATAAAGTGTTATTGTGGGGGCCTCCCATTGTCAGTCAAATCCATAGAAGGCTCGTATATAAACGTTATCAACCCTATCACATGGTGCCTGTCAGCGATCTTTGTTGGTTTATAGTCATAGTCCCCATCAATAGCTTCGATATTTATCATTTACCCAGCAATGACATGTTGGTGATTTGCGTCAATTTTGCCAACATAAATCAAGCATCAATCACCCTGTGTGTTAGTTAAATCATGTTAAATCGCTCTTTTTCCCTCATTTTTGTTGATGCTTTTTACCTCATCAAAGCACCATCAAATTGCTGGTGAAACTCTCATGAAACGGTGGTGAATTCCCCACGGTCACCCCACGGATCTCGGGTCGAACCTCGGGACGCCAAGCTCAACCGACCCTCTTCATGGTGCGCTACATGGTGGTGAGCCTTGGTGCCGCGGCGGAGCAGGGACACGGCTCAGGAATCGGCTCGTTGTTGTGACGAGTTTTATTAACATTTTGCTAGGGAAAATAACCCATTTATAGATTTATAGATGCTGATAAACATGATTATTTAAATATATCAAACAAAAACCAGAGGTTATTTGGCGATGTTACTTAAGAAAGTAACTACCCTCTCCTCAGATGGTAACCCGCGGCTGGGTTCCCAAAGTCCTTGGCAAAAAGATGCCTGTCATTGGGGATCACCCTCCAATGTCTACAGTCGAGAAAATGTCGAACATATATCATAATTAAGACTTGAAAACACCACCCCAATTATATCATATTATATTATAGATTATTAAGACTTTCCATTTTTATCTTGCCAGATATATTAAACAATAAGATGTTCATTATATTATAATATTATATATATAATATAAATATATATATATATATCCCCGGACCAGATCTGTTTCAAGAGCGGGGTTCCCAGGGTTCCCATGTTTTTCAGTTTTTTTTTCCACTGGTGACTCTAGTATGCATGTGAGTGTTGCTCCTTATAACCGGACTTGTGATGCCACATCACATGTTTTTCGGTGGGTCTTCCATTCATGAAGGCTGTTAACTAACCTCATTTCAAAAGATGAAATTGAGACTGGCTGATTGATAAGCCTCCGCTTTACTTATGTGGGGATCCCTAAAATAGTGAACATGAACCAATACTTGTAAGTGCCACCCCTTAATTGCTGTATATGTTGATCAACCCCGGCTTTTGGTTCATCTTGGAGTGACACTAAAATAAACTACGTTAACTTCTCCATGCCCACATGTTTGGTTCATGTTCATTTATTTGGGATGGATAAATTGATTGTTTAGAGCCATACATTTGCTGTAATGCTGAGATCATTTGAAATCCACATTTTCGGATTGTTAAATCACTTTTGCTCAAGGTTTGAAATTAAATGCTTATGTTTGGTGGTTAAACTGTTGCCTAATTGGATGCTTGAAGTTAATATTTTTGATGGTTGAACAACCGCCAAGTAAGATGCCGAGGTTTCTTTGCCATCTATGCGGGGTTCATGTACAATGACTTCTTCTCCGTTGGTCTTCAGCTCTTCGATAGCCGATGGAAGGCGCGATGTTTTTCCGAGAAGGGAATGGGAGAATCAGGGCACCAAAGTCCGGCCTGAAATGTTGCACATGTTTGATCATGTTTGTTTTGTTTCAAGGCTAGATAGCTGAAAAAAGACAGACATCTCATCCCAAGAAAATGCCGCGGAGAACACATAGAGCAACCCAGAAGATTGCTACAAGGTGGTGCCCCCCAGTTAGAAGTTAATTTATAATCCCAGTAACTAATAGATATATCTACCATAAGTCCTAGTTATTAGAGATATAAACCAACTTAGCTATCGACTGGGGGTTACCACCTTGTAGGATTGTAACCAGTGTGATTTGACCAGCTCGTATTGCTCGTGTTCGGGCAGGAAGTGGGCGGAGGAAACTACGAACCAGATTATGATGCCACTTGGCACAACACTGAGGCCATGAAACTGGGGAAGAAGAACTATTTTTAGTGACAGCTGACAAACACTATAAGACTTGAAGATGAATAATAAGAAACAAAAGGTTTTTGTCCGCCAGTTAAAGCACCACACCTTCCTGCAGTTTTTTCAAATGGTCCCTTAACCTCCCCGAAAAGGTGATATGTCAAGTGCAAAGATCATGTCAAGAACCCTGAAGAAACATATTGGGTTCCGCAATTTCTTAGATTTGGGGATGGGTCAAAACCATTCAAAACCTATTATTACCATATTTGGAGGAAGAAACATCCATTAATCAGCGATTTAGGATACCGTTTGGGTACCGGACCAGGGTTTTGACCCCATAACCATATCTTTACTTGAAGGATTTTGGGGATATCCTGCCCGAAGGATACCCCTAATCACTTGGATCTGATATGGATAATTAGTAAAGATCTCACTTGGGATCCTAATTTAGGATTGGGGGGTTAAAACCTAAAGAACGCACAATAATACATATATATATATATATGGTCGTCAACCACATACACTCATATATATATATATATATATCTATCTATCTGACCCATGTGATTGGTCACCCCCTGGCTTTGGCTTGTTTCAATCTGCGGGCCCCATAGGCCTTAAATTTGACCCACCCAAAAGTGAACGATGGCGATGGAGAGAGAGATATGCCAAGGAACTATTGAGTGGGATCATCCTATACAATCTGGGGGTTTCCTTAAATGGGGGGTACCCCAAAATGGATAGTTTATAAGGGAAAATCTTACTAAAATTGATTTGGGGGTACCCTTCTTTTAGGAAACATAGAATATTAAGTATGTTAATGAAAAGTCGGCCTCTTGTTCTTCCAGTTGTTTTGCATTGTTTTGTTCTTCTTTGGATTGTGATGGTGATTTGGGTGTTGCCGCTAGGGTGGTATTTGTGTTACTGAAGGGGAGTTAGTCGCACGTCATTGAATTAATCCTTCAGGTCATTCATATAGTTCAAGCCTCCTAACATTGGTTGAAAGTGAATCTACAGGAAATGTCCTTCTCATGCGGTGAAACCAAAATAAACCAGTCAACCCATGTTGATCGCTTCATTCTTATGTCCCCCTTTATTTGGAACGATAATTCAGTGACCAATATTTGCCTGGTTTGATGACACCAACCAGCCATCGAAAATCATGTTTTGCTGCTTATAATATATCTTACTGTAATATCATGTCAAGCAATAGGCAAAGGACATTTCCTGAGCTAGTTATTCAAGATGCTCCCAGAATTTCCGTGCATCTCAGTTGATCTTCCTTCAGCTGAGGTGAAGAATTCTGGTGGTCGTGGTCCATACCCCTTCGGTCTCGACTGGGCGTGGCATGGTCTCTTGACATAAGGTGATGTTTTAACTTCCATGATTGAGGAAAGCTTGGGTACCATACAATGTAATCTGGTGGGTAGTTTCAAACATGCTTTATCTTCCATGATAATTCTATGGGATAATCCTTCCCATTGACTAATATTTTTCAAGATGGTTAAAACCACCAACAAGTAATTTAAAGAATTGAGTATCAAAATATGTTAGATAATCTCATCGCCCTAAAGTATTCTATGACAAATCCACAAGGAACCAAAAGGGTACAACAAGTAGGTACTAAACCAAGGGTTCTTGGGAGTTTTCTTAGGTGGGAAAAAAGGCAATCCACATGTAAATAGAGAATAGGGTAAGGCATGCCATCAAATGCCCACATGTGTATCCATCTATTGATTTATCCTTTGATCTACCACTTGTTTGATTCATGATCTTTACATGTAGTTATATATATATATATACATACACATATGTGTAAAAACAAATTTGCATATGTACATTTGTTTGGTTATGATAGCATACAAATTTATTTCAGCTGGCCTCTCTGCACAAATATGTGTTCATTATAGATATGATCTACCCCTACATGCCAGACACAAATGGTTCTGCCAGACATAAAATGCCAAAAAAAAAGTAATTGCTTTGATCCACCACATATCAATTACAGATCAGTTGCCCGTCCAAGCACCCAAAAAGGAAGTAATATATAGTATAGGCGTATAGTATAGCATGTTGCAGAAAATAGTGGGGTGGGTATTCCCTGAAATTTAGGCCGAGACCTTACACTACACATGTAAGTAAGTTAGAAAGGCACCCCCTTTAGAAAGTCGTATTGTAAGTAAGTCAATAATAAACCACCCATATTTTCATGGTTGCAACCCAATGATGTATAAAAACACATGGTAAACAATTGGCTTTGGCGGATCCTACTAGTAACAGCTACTAACATGTTTCACCCGTTTTTGTTTTCCTCATGTCCCATCGGGCCCATCGATCGGGACATCAGAGTCCTCATTCGAGGCTCCAACAACGAGTTGCTGTATGTGAACTCGCTGAAGATGAAGCTCTCCGTCCTCTTTGGAGTGCTGCAGATGACCGTGGGCGTTTTTTTGAGGCTTGACAAATCTTGGGAGGATAGGAGAGGATAGGATACGACTCCTATTTTTGTGCTATGAAAAGGGGTATGTGTGTTGTACATTGTATATACAGTGTAATATATATATATACACTATGCCGTTCCTATGCGAACTAGAAAATACATCAATTTTGCGTCAGGGTATCCAAAATTTGCCATGAATGGACCGTTTAGTGAGGACCGAAAAGGCAGCAGTTGCCAGGGCAAGGGGCGGCTTAGGCTTGGTCCATGTTGTCGATGTTGATCCCCAAAAATTGGAGTTTTTTTGATGGGAAATGATTTGGGAAAATCCTATAGAATTTGGAGGTTTTTTTTAATGGGAACATCGTGTATCAATGGTGGGATTTTCCCAGCCATGTTTGATTGCCAGAGGGTAACTCCTCTATTTCTTGGGAGAAATGTTAGTGACTTCACGGCTCACCAGACCACCATCAGGAAAACAACCCTTTAAGTTCCTTTAAGATCTTAATGTGTTTCTGTTGAAAAGTTGCTGCTTCAGTAAGTTAGAGGAAAACTGGACTTTTCGCTACACCATCGCCTCCGTAGCGTTGCCGGCCACCAGTGGTGGCCTAGAGGCCTAGAGTTTCGCTACACCAGTCACCACCCCGGATGGCAGGTGGGGCAATGCATTCTACGAGAAGAACATGACGGACTTCTTTTGTGAGTGTGTTCCCATGATGATTTTCATGCTCCTCAGACCAAATGAAATGTGCTGCTAAACCCAATGCCATAAACCTACAATTTGGGGATGGTCTATGCCACCCTAAATTATGGTAGTATTGAGGATTGTTTATTATTGGGTTTACTACATTGGTGTCAACTGCGGCTCAGTAAGCCTGGCCATTACCATTCAGTACAAGTTTTTTTTTGGGACCAAACTTCTTCCAATCATTCAATCATGATTCATCTGATTCATCCGTGCTGAGATTGGCACATAAGCTGTTGCCTCAGTGAAAAAAAAACGTGGGTTTATTGAGGCTTTGCTTCTTTGGATGGATGGATGTGATGATCCTCTACAAGTTGGGTGCCCAGGAAAGGGATCGAAAGGGATCATGATGCTGAGCTATGGAAGGATGACTGCCGAGTCGCTCCGAGTGGGGCTAAGACACATCTTGACCTTCCTGTATTTTGCGGGTTCCTTAGCCGACTTCCGAAGCATATATGTATATATATATGTATTGTCGATCATATTGTTTATATCTATGTTTTAACATCGTCTATATACATATATATATATATATTTATATTTATACACACCATTTAATTCAGTGACCATCATTCCCTTCACGTCACCGCCGCATCATGGCCCATCATGGCCCCTGGGAGCTGGGGTGATCGGCTGAAGAAATTATTGAAAATGGCCAAGTATGAAATAGATAATTTAGGTCATAAGTTAGGAAATGATCTTCATTAGAAATTGTTTAAATTGAAATTTGGACGTAGTCTAGCCATAGGCTTTGGAATGACGTTGTATTATAGCTATAGTTGTTTTTGGATCAGATGGGTTTACCCCATGTATGACTTCGTTTGGATGCCTGGATTGCAGCTGTAGCCTGACAAAAACACGGGCTTTTTTGTGACGCATAAACAAGAGGTGAAATGCCCAAGTTTCAGAATTATATTCGGCCAAATTATATTCTGGTTGGTGGTTTGGAACATTTGTTATTTTACCATATATTGAGAATGTCATCATCCCAACTGACGAACTCATATTTTTCAGAGGGTAGGTCAACCACCAACCAGTAAATGATGTATGGTATTTTTGTGTTTCCCACATTGCGATGGATGCAGGTAGGCCATTTGTCAGGCGGAAGCGACCACATGTCCAGATCCCGAGCCGAATGTGATGTAAGATGAATGGTACAATGTGCACCCAAGACAGCTAGGTTGCTTCATATATATTTTAGCATACATAACTACAATAAGTCTTGGATTTACAGCAGATATATCCACAATTGAACTGCTTTATACACATTTATAGGCCAACATCTACAACTGCTTGGCACCACTTTGGTTCGGTTCATGGCATAAATTTGGGGCCAACAGCTTAGAAATGCCAACAGCGATGCGTAGCGTTTAACTGGGCCACCCTGTGTTGATGTGTAGTGTTTTCCATTTTGGTAGTAAAACTGACCACTGTTGTGTGTCGTGGAGCAGCACTTAGAATATGATTTGATTCTAATACCTGTGTAAGATGTATTTACAATCTCAAGACGAGCCGTAGAATCCGCTCTGTGAAATCCTGCCCCCAGCTTGGGGTCGCATTGCAGCAATGCCAAAAGAGCTCTGTTCAGCCTTTGAGATTGGTGGAACGTCCCTCTTAGAAGGAAACCTCTTTTTTTTCGCTGCGTGCTTCGATGTTCCAATCAAGGTGCTCTAATGTTTCAAGACGATCAGTGATAATCAGTACATTTCTCTTGAAACGTTGCAGCAAAATGCAGAAATCACCTGTGATCTTCACATGTACCACTTCCGCAAGATGCGACTTTTGCTTCACATAATTCGCAGACATGCTGCATCATGCTGCATCCTCCACTGCCACTCCAGGTGGGTGCATCCGATTGACAATCCTCCCAGCATCATCAACTCCTTGATTTGCAGCTTTGGCCGAGTCGGTGGAGATGTTCCTCATGGTGTCGTATGGGATTGTGTATGCATGCCAATTTCTTCCTCAGATTACTTATTTGAAGTTGAACAAGAGTTGAGCCCAAATGTTGCATAGGGATTGGGATTAGGTGAAAAGTTAAAAATAAATTCTACTGATTCCTGCCGGCCCCTCAAGCCGTCCACTGCGACTTCAAGCCTTTGTCGAATGTCAGAAAAGCATTTGTGAATACATCAAAGGCATAAATAATTATCTCATATTACTTATTACTATTTGAATTGAATCCGATCGGTTTGGGATTGAACATGGGCCCAGCAAGTATGTAGTTTGTAGTTTTTTGCCTGTCGACTTGATTTCCCCTACTATCTATACCAATACCTTTGTTCACTTACTGTATGAAACCAAAGATGACAATCCTTCCTGGGCTGTTCACCTGGCATGGGAAAACCCTTCCTGTGCAATACCTGATGATTTTGCTTTGCCATATTCATAGAGCATTAATCATTGTGTATCTCCATTTGCGCGGCTGGGGGACATTATTTATCAGCGATTGCCAATTGCCCAATCCGCAAATATGTCGCGCTGTTTTCTCCGTTTTGTCCTATCCGGGTTTCCAGTTGCTGTGTTCTCATGTGAGCAGTCTGAAAAAATGGTGATGGCTGATGATTTTTCTAAACATATAGCACCCTTTCTGCTCTTGTCACCGGACAGGGCTCTTTTCTAGATCTCGCACCAAAAATGCCTTCAGATGTGGCATGAATGTTCTATGTCCACAGACTCCCCCTTCACCGCACAGGTGAACTTCAGGAAGACAAATAAATTCCTATAGGCTGACGGCATCTAATGCGCTTTCGACCTCTGCTTTTTGTACAGTTTGGACAGAGCGGTCGAGTTGAGCCCTTGCTGCCGATTGGCATGTTGAAAAGCATTCCATGGGTTTGTGATGTTAGACCCTGGGATCACTACCTACGCTAACGCTATGGAGAGTCCCATTACTCTCATCGCCAGCCGCGGAACTTGCAAGGTCAGCAGGATTTCCCGCTGCAGGCGCGACGCTAAGGCCCGACCGTGCCCTCAAACCCGATGATGTAGTGCTGTCACCAGCCACAGAAAAAGAGGGTGTCAAAATATTCATTCATGGATGAAGAGCTCTTGCCACCACTGCGTGACATGTCTTGTCATTCCTTTGGATGAAGAACCCACGCCACTGCTCGAAAGGCCTGCTGTGCCCGAACGTAAAGATGATCTTTGACTCATAGATGCTCCAGAGCCCGATGGTGGCCTGCTCCCCGATGAAGGAGCTCCCATATAGGCCCACTTCCAGAGACATCGCAGCCCGACCTTTCCCTCGTCGGCAATGATGTAGATCTATGTGAACTTGCTTCGAAGCCCGATCGTGTCTCTCTCGACTGTGATATCGTTTCACCTTCAGACGCCGAAATCTCATCTTTCAAACACCACAACGATGTCTTGGTCTCGACGACCCCGACTTTGAAGCCCTTGCAGATCTCGCAAAACATCAACCTCCAGTGCACATCTCATCCGTCTCAAACAGCATCTTGAAGATTCAACCACAAGCTGTCCAGCGTAGACGGCGCCAAGAGTCATGAGGATGGCCCCTGCTGTGAAGACCCAATCCATCCCCTCATTTTCAGATTCTTCCAACACCGATCCACTGGCTTGAGACATCAAAAGACTTCCAGCGACCAAAGCTCTAATCGCCGCTTGACCTTGTCCACCTCCATTCGCTTGCGTCTCTGCATTTGCTTCTCTTTGTTCTTCTCTATTCATTCCCATGTCTGGAACGAACCTGGCAAACGATTGCTGTCATAGGTGTCAAAAGTGTCGTTGGTTTACATCTCTCATGCCCCATCCTCCCATGATCGAAGTCAACCTGGTGGAACTCGAACATGTCCTGAAACCTTTGCCACTCCTGTGTTCGAAACATCGACATGTATTGGCGGTGATCACTGTCCGACCTTTTTTTCGCCGGGATCACGTGGTTGCTCCAAGATGAACTCCGTCATTGGATCTTCAGGTGATCCCACTTCCTCAGCCACAACGTACACTGACAGGTAGCGGAAGAAGAGGATGCTGTCATTGTGGACCTTCTCCGCGTCTGCAATGGACAAAGTTGGAAGTCCATACGGCCAAGCTTCACTTCGGAGTACACCTGGTCCTCCATCATTTTGACTTCGTAGTGCCGAAACTGTTCGACACGGTGGCCCTCCAAGAAGCACTCTCAAACGACCTGAAGCAGCGTCAGGAGGTATCCATAGGCATGCATGTCCAACAGATTTGCTTTGCATCCATCTTGAAGATCCACGCGCAAAACTTCAGTGATTGGGGTGCTCAGTTGACGTTCCCAAAGCTGAGGATCTTTTCCAGAGAACACATGCAGCACCACATTCTTTGCCCGGCTCAACCGCCGTCTTTTCCTTCGATTTCACAGCAGTATGCTTCCAAAGTTCTGCATTTTCACTGCCTCCAGCCTTGGGACCAACTTCATCATGATGTCCTCCAGAAGATTGGGAAAAAGTTGTTGCAGTTTCACGGTCAAAGCCAGCTCCAGGTCTAACTTCGAAGGATCCATCCACCCCCTCAGGTTTCTTGAGAAAGGTTCGCACCATTGCCCATTTTTCGAAGCTGATGGACTTGATTTCCTTCGAGCCACTGCAAGATCTATCCATCAGAGACACCATAGGACATTCATGTTGAACTTGTACTTCCACTTGACGACCTTCATCATCTCGAATGGAAGATTGGTTTCCAGTCCATTGCATTGTAAAATTGGTTTCCAGTCCACTCCGTTGTAAAGTCCAACTCCGTCAATCCACCCATCGGCACAATCCATGCCTCAGGTTGCCCAGGCTCTGACAAGAGAATTTTGGTGCCGTGCTTCAGACTAAACCTTGACGTAGATCCCTCCGCCAGCATCACCACCGTCGGCTCAGCTTTCAGCCATTCATCCATGTCTCTTGCAGACCTCAAGGCATGAGTAGCTCCGGAGTCGACCAACACCAAATCAGGTTGACCACGCTCCAAATCTCCAATCCTCGTGACGTTGATCTTGGACTGGGCTCTGAGCGACTTCAAAAGTTGTGCCGCCCCGTGCGGAAGCCTTACATCTTGCTGAGGTGTATCCATTGGTTGAGCCTAGACTTGGGTTAATTAGTGAATCTCCCTTATCTATCAAAACGGGCTTGTTTATCTACTAAAATCTGTTTTGGACCCTTTTGGATTCTGGAACTATTTGTAATAGGCCGGAACTATTGTAGCGTATTCTTGGAAATTATTGAAAGGTCCATGGGGCGCAGTCCCAGTTGCACACGTGAAGACCAAACAGCACACTAGTAGAGCCCCACCAGACACCCACCAGCGCAATGTTGTCAGCCCATAGGCCCTTAAATCCATAGACGCAACAATTTAACGCATTCGTACATCCAATCTGAATGACCCAATGAAATATTGAATTAATCGTATTTCCCCTGTCCATCAGAAATTGGAATTATCCTTGGCTGGTATTCTGTCCCATGATCCATCCTTCTGTTTTTTTATTACTGCATCTTACCTCCCAGAGGTGTAGCCACTGGTCACCCATCATTTTCCCAATGAAAGTTCGATCAAAATGCCATACACATCATTTTCCTTCATATTCCATCATAAACTGGGGCTTAAATCTATACGTCACCTTATGGTAGGTATATCTATAGTTACTGTGATTATAAATCAGCTTCTAACTGGGGGGCACCACCTTGTATAAATGGACAGTACCAACGGAATTTACCATCATATGTTTTCTTCTATCCAGCTGGGATGACCCAGATACTATATGTATGTAAGATTCACCAACATTTGCCCATTCAAAATCACCAGTTTGGTAAGTAAATATCCCAGCACATGGGTTTGTTTCAACACAGGGTATCCCTGAATCCACAGGTTAGTCAGGATTTTCCTTCTTGCAATGCTATTTTTTTGGTGGGTTAACCTGGCACACAGAGCCATATCAGCCATATCCATTTGAGGGTAAAATCAATTTACATCCAAGCCATAAAATGGGTAAATTCCTCATGTATGGAAACCTCCATTTATGGGACCATAGTGCCATTGGGGGGAAAAAATGAAAAAACATTACATCCCATATCCGGTGGTAAAATGGTTTGTTTCATCACTGGTCTCCGAGGTATGGCCATGGGTCAGAAGGACTTGTTTCCCCTCTGGGACGGCTCGGTGGAGCTGGCGCAGACTCTGATGATGCCGCCTGGCCGATGTCTTGGGAGTTAACCAAAAGCCAGAAATACATGGGTGGAAGCGACGAAAGTATAGATTTAGCCAATACCAATCAAACACTATATGCAAGATGGTGCCCCGCAGTTAGAAATTATATCTACCATAAGTCCTAGTTATTAGTAATTAGTGTTTTAAACCAACTTAGCTATCTTGGGGGTACCACCTTGTAGCAAATATAATATAACTATTGGTTTTTGCCAATGACCTTGGTGAACATGAAAGGCCGTTGACACATTGGGATCCAAGCAGCCATGGGGCATTGAAGCGACAACTGTGACTTCGCCAGCCAAAAATCCGATTAGCACGATGAAGATGGGTGTCAGTTTTAAGCAATGAAAAACAGGGTTTAGACTCTGTAGACATGTTGGTTTGCGCGGTTTGCATGTTGTTTCCCATTTTTGACGGATTGCACATCATTTGGTAAACTCTGGCAGCCAAAGCAAAAGTCAAGATTTGTAGGTCAGTAAAAATTCGACATCTAGTTGAAACAAAGACAAATGGCATCAAACCAAAAACATATAGTGATAATGGGGTGTAAATTTGGTCCGGTAACCTTCCTTTTTGTACAATGCAATCGCATCACTGCGTGGTCCGGTTTTACGACCACATGGCGGGCCAAGAAAGTCGAATCACTCCACCCATCGGCCGGAAGTTGTCACTGGGATCTGAGACCATCTTCCGGGAATCATGTTGAGATGCCTTTTTCTTGGCATATGATCATATATGATCATATATATGGGTATGGGTCAACATCAATTACCCGAACAGTTGGATGATTGATACTAAAAATAGACTAAAATCTGTGGTCCCCACCCCAAGTCTTTGATTTTGACCCATAACCATATAATAGCAAATACATCTTGAAGTTGATAGAAGATGGGCATTACACCCATTGTGGATCAAAACTCCGTCCATTTCTTTTCCCTGTTAGTTTGCTTGTTTGAAATCCCAGTGCTCACAAAAAGGTTTCGGGTTATTTGGATATTGTTACTGAAACAAACGTGCTGAGCGTTACTTCTAGCGCGCGCTTTGTGTCATGAAACTATTGTTTTACGTGTTTTTGCATCTTGAACCGCCATTGCCATGCAACGTTTTTCCTATCAGACAGTTTCACCTGATTTTGGAAGATGATGCCTGCAAGCCACCAACAACTCAGCACTACCAGTGATGATGCGACTATTGTTTGCTACCTGCAAAAGTAAAATCCATTGGTGTGTGAAGCTGATTTGATGTCTTGTTCCTTTGGGGCCGGATTGGGGTGGAAAGCAAATTGTATCCAGGTCTTCTTTCCAAGTTGCTGGAAACAATTAGATAGGGATATCATATTTGGCTATACTTGCGCGACACCACAAATGATGGTGTGCGCAACCCATCCAAACTTGGCCCACGATGGTTTATGACATTTTATGGCTGATTATAAAAGTCCGGTATTGCTGTAGGTTGGTTCTAGATTTTAGTCCGTTAACATGTTCACATGTTCAGCTCGGGCTCCCGCCGGCTGTCATTGACCACCATCAACCGCACAAACGTGTTGGTTAAACCAGCATGGCCAGCCTCAAGCATCTTCATGCCTTGGAGATAAGAACATGATCTAGTGGGGAATGCTCCTTTGCCAGGTGATGGTTAGACAATTGCAGCAATTGCAGGTCAAGAGTATCAAAGCCCCGAAATATAGAGCAAAAAAAACATCAGCTTTGCGTGTCCGATGCTGCTTGACTTCACCACGAGATGGTGTATCGATCGTCTTGTTGGGTGGGTCCCCTTGAGAACAACATGTCCAATCTAATCCTAACCTCAATCGATATTCTAGCCATCCACTTAGATTGTTGATGATGGGCCCTATCGTTTTGCCACATATCCAGAAGTTCACCAACAAACGACCAAGAAATCGAAAGGCTTCTCCCGTACACAGGGTTTGGAACATGCTGATGTCAGAGCACCAATGCCAAAGCACAAGTCTGAAGGGCTCAAGGCCCACCGACGTGGATGTACATCAGGCAACCCTGAGGCAGTGAAATGATCGCTCCATTCTGAGGATCTTCCCATACTACCCGACAAAAGTACATGGATGTAAATGGATAAATATGCGGAAACATGACTGGGAAAAAACCTGAGAACGCTGTGCACAAGTCAAGTACCATGATTCTCCTGTGATCGGGTTTGAAATCAACCTCTTAGAGATGCGGAAAGCGAAGGTTCTCCTACTCTTTGGATGCTTTAAAAGTGGTATCGCCTGAAATTCAGGATCAAACTGGGAAGATGTAATAATGTGCAGAATGGTTTAAGGAACACACCGATTTCCCAGGGCGGAGGTGTCAATCGGTCCTCTGGACAGCGATTTCCTGAGATCAAGGAGCTTACCAAGCGCATTTGATGTATCAAGCTTTTGCGGGCGACACTGAACACACACATTTGCTCAGGTTGCCAGCACATTGAATTCGCTGAATAGATATGACTTGTAGGCTCCTAAGTAGGACCATGCTCGGGGACCTGAGTTTGCGATGTTAGCAATAGCTCAATAGCAATATATTAGTGGATATCTTACCAAAGTTAAAACTTGCATAAGCTGTTCAACGTATTCATGCTCATGTGATTTTCTTTGGGTTACACTCATTTATGTTCACCTACCTTTTATTGCGCAGATGCATATAATTGCGAAGTTTTTTTTTCATCTGACAGCATAGCATACTTTCGCTCTGTTTTTGCTATCTTCGACCATTCTTTTCTTGAGACTTGTAGTTGCTTCTCCTTTATTACATTCCATAAAACGTTTGCTTTTTTTGTTTTTTTGATTTATTTGGCGGTCCTTCGCGTTCACTTGGAACTTGTTTGCAAAAAAGGTGTGTGAAATTGTTGTTTGCTTTGAATTGCGAACTCGGCTGTGTTGAGATTTAGTTGCTTGACTATTTTTACCTGGGCGCGTCTTATTTCAGGCTGTTTCTTCGGCATACCGTGCTTGAAGTGCTTGAGGTCAGCATACATAGTTTTTTCCTTTTCAAAGGACGTGCGCAGGTCTAGCACAGTCTTCATCATACCGGCTCATTACTTGTTTCTTGTGGTAGTTCATGTGTATGAACTTTTCGTAGGTTGCGGAAATGTAACCATTTTTTCGGCTGACCGCCATTCTCTTGGATTTGTTTATTGGAAATGGGGATGCCGGGGTCGCCCGAAAACCGGATGGATTATAATATCGTCCCACCAGCGAATTAATAATTAACAACTCATCCAACCTACCACATTTGGAGTTGAAAAAACACCTTCATGAAAGAACTAGTTATTTTCACTGTCTATGGTGCTTAGGAGATGGCATCAAAATTGTTATTTGGCAGCCCCATTTCTAGGGAACCTTCCCGGCAGCTGGAACCAGGTACACGGTGTGCGCTGCGCCGAGCCCAGAATTAGATCAAAACGGACTGGAACCATATGGAGCCATGGAACTGGAATTAAACAAAAAAAACTGGGAGTACCATCCTGTAATTTGATAAGTCTCCACAATATTTCTCGGATTTTTCCAGTGTTCGAAGTTGATATCAAATGGCAAGTTGATATGCCCAAAAATTACCATCAATTATATATCTAGAAAGTGTCATCGAACATGGCCGGAAATCCCAACCGTTTATGGGATACCCCACCTAAAGGATGTTACAGCAATGTTCCTCAAAAGGTACATCTACAGGATGTTTTAGCAGTGTTCTTTTTGAGGTCCGGGACCTCAAACGGTATATGATTTGTATCATACATGGACGCACTTTTTTGATCCACTTTCTACGGGTTTTCATGAGGACGTGCTTTTTGAGCCCCTGGATTTCCAGAGTATATTGAATGTGTTTTAAAAATACACACACGCTGTACATACATACATACATACATACATACATACATACAGACAGACAGACAGACAGACAGACATACACACATACATACATACATACATACACACATACACACACACACACATACATACATACATACATACATACATACATACATACATACATACATGCACTACATACACTACATACACTACATACACTTCATACATACATACATACATACATACATACATACATACATACATACATACATACATACATACATACATACATACATACATACATATTTACATACATACATACATGCACTACATACACTACATACACTACATACACTACATACACTACATACACTTCATACATACATACATACATACATACATACATACATACATACATACATACATACATACATACATACATACATACATACATACATACATACATACATACACACACTACATACACTACATACACTACATACACTACATACACTACATACACTACATACACTACATACACTACATACACTACATACACTACATACACTACATACACTGCATACACTGCATACACTACATACACTACATACACTACATACACTACATACACTGCATACACTGCATACACTACATACACTACATACACTGCATACACTGCATACACTACATACACTACATACACTACATACACTGCATACACTGCATACACTGCATACACTGCATACACTGCATACACTGCATACACTGCATACATGGCATACATGCATACATGCATACATACATACATACATACATACATACATGTATATATATATAAATTACAGGAGTTAAATGTGGATCACTCCCTTTTGGGCACCTAATGTCCTCCAGTTTTTGTAGGTAAATTTGTTTTTTTTATGGGCGGTTTAGATCCAATGAATGACATGTGTTTGATATTTGTTGGTTTATCCGCGGTTCCCATCATGGCGAATGCCTTTCAGGTGCCCATCATGCTCCTGCCCAAGCCATTGATCCTGCTGTACCAGCACAATCAGTCCAAGAAGGCGCCCCCGGCTTCATCACGATTCGCAACCTCGGGTTAGTTACCGCAGATTACCTGAGTTTGGAGGGGCAATGATGACTGATAGTGGGGAAATATGGGTGGTTAAATATTGTTAAATATTCAATAAGACACGTTAAGAGTGGTTTATCATGGCTAACAATGCTTTCCCCTGTTCATATTTGCACTCCCTTAGAAATGATGGTTTAGTAGAGGATTGCATGTTTTGGAAAATTTAGAATGTGCATCTGGTGGTTGGGACCGCTTTGGAGCTGTGGGCATCCATGAGTTTCCCCGAGCACATTGATAGATTACCCTCCGGGAATCTAAATATTTTTGGCTGCAAAATCATCATTTAGTTCGATGATTTTTTCAGGTATAGAATTCTTTATAGCTCAGGGATTTCCATGTTTGCCACGTGATGCCACGTGTGAGGACACCGGAGGGTATTGTTTGTTGACCCTTCCCCGTTGACTTCGATCCATGATTTCTTGCTGCTTCCTTCAACTTGGACGATTCACCTTGTAGCAAGGTGCCCCCAAACGCTATCATGGACCATCTGTTTGGATATACCCTGGGGTAAACCTAACGTAGATGCAGAAAACCTGTGGGTTTCCTGACAAAATGATCTACAAATGGTGGGTTCTCCACATCTACGGAATGTTTAGGGGAGGGTATCCGCAGTTAGATGGGTTGGTAGAAACTCATGACCGTTGGAACCGCTTTATCAACATGGAGACATATTAGAGTATAACGGAGAAAGGGGGCTTACCAAGGAAACCAATGGAAAACGATAATGTTTTTGTTCCACGAAATTGATTTTAATTCCAAAATATAGCACTATTCTAGAAGGAAAACAGCACAATTGGTACCAGCAAAATCTTAAAATCTTTGGTGGTGCAGAACTGAACGAGATAGAAACTCCAGATTGAAATCCAAGTTCTTTTGGTTTTGCTTCAGCGCGACCATGTGTAAGCGGCGTTCTTTGACTTCCCCCCCGAAGGAACGAAGGGATAGAGTTCATCGGTTGGTCACTTGTAGTTTAGTACAATTTGATACTGTTGTATTGTACATAACACTTTTTGTGGTGAGTTGTATTAAAATATTCCCAAACAGGGAATGATAGGGATGGAGAACAGAGCAAGAACCCATTTCTGAAGGGTGGTGAAAAAACCGGCAACTGCATATGATTTCAACCATGGCGAATTGCAAAGATCGCGCTTGGGCCAGAAAATATATACAGTAATTTTCCGGTAGTTTCCAACCGGGAAAAAAATCATGGATTTCCACGTCTCCGTCAATTCACCCGGAAGGCAGCCTGGATTTGCAGCTGTGTTCTGTTCCCATTGTTTAATCTACCAATTCAGGGCGCTACTGAGAAGTTGTTTTCTTCTTGGGATGCCACCCAGATCGCAAATCCGAGGTGGACTCCATCTTCAATTTGAGGGCGTGCTGGGTTCAGTCCAAATTAGATAAACAACATAGTGGCTATAGGGGCCTGAATCCCGACTTATGGGCCGGGAGGTTATCAGTATGGCTGCGCCCATAAACCCCCAAGTACCTGCTTTGCGCTGCGCTGGCAGGCTGGTGAAGGTGCTTTTGTGGCTATTGAGGAACACGCCTCCAACAACCACGGGCACCTTGTCCCTTTTTATTGGTCAGCGGATGAGCCTCCAGACGTGCGGAGTTGATCAGAAAGCTGTTTGTTGGCATCGAAACCACTTCCCAGATGGATATGACCTACAGTTACTAAGCCCTGAATGTTTTGGATCGTCGAAGTGGGTTATCCATGGTTATCCCAGTTGTGTCCCTGCCCTGGATTTTGGACAAACTTCAGGATGGGAAGCGCAGATGGGTTGGACCCATCAGGAAGTTCATGCATTTTGGCATTTGAAAATATGCCCAGTGGGGCCAATTTCTCGGAAATTTTCGGAGATTGAGGTCAGCAGGTTTTTTCTCAACCAAGGGTCAAAACCCATCTCTCTACATGGAAGAATTCAGGACCTTAACACTGCCATAACTGGATCATAGCTTAAAGGATCACACTAAAGTTTGGGCAAGCGCCTTGTCCGCAGCGTCTGGGGTGCCAAGTGCCGCGGCGGCCGCGTTTTTTTGCCGCGTGGGAAGCGTAGCGGGAAGCGTGCCACGTGGCTTCCACGATGACCCTCTCGGAGCAAAGCATGTGGCTTGGCTTCGGGCGGGGTACGCTATGGGTGACACAAGCCATGGGATGTGCCCTGGAAATAGTAGGAAATAGGTTAGTGATGGGTTTCGCCACTAACTGGGATATAACAAGCTGCAACCTGATAACACCTGATTAAAACTAGACGTCTACTGTGATAAACAGGAACGACAACCAAGAGCATTCCGCAAATGGGGCATGCAACCACCATTGTACAAACTTCGGACTGCAGCGATGCTAGATAATCTAGATTCGGTTTAACATGTTGTTTCTATCCCATCCTTCCTGGATTTTTTTTTGGGATTGGTGGTGCAAAAGTCAACAAAAGGAGATAATTACTAGACAAGCTGGGGAGATACATATCAAGCAATAGTACGATTTTGCAAGCAAAACTGGATGCGTTGTGTGACATACAAAGAAGAACTTTGCATCCCGACCTGAAAATGATGGGGATTCGTTTGAAGGCCTAAACCCTAAGCCATGGATGGAGAGATGTGACAACCAGAATTGGTAGTCGAACGGAGCACATTGGGTTTCGAAAACCAACCAAAACAAGTCATTATGTCATCATCTCTGATTGGTGGTTTGAAACATGGCTTTTATTTTTCCATATATTGGATCTTTTCATCATCCCAACTGACTAATATTTTTCAGAGGGGTTAAAACCACCAACCAGATCTAGAGATTTTACATCATCAGAGACACATAGATTTCAATCATCCAATCACGAACTCAAAGCACCATGCAAGGCACCAAATATCCATGACTTCTGCATCCATGAGTGCTTGATGTTGTTCAGTCAGTTAGTTCTTGGGGTATGTATTTAACATAGCCATGGAAAATCACCATTTTTGATAGGTGAACCATCTATTTCTATGGGCCATCTATACCATGGCTATGTTAAATAACCAGAGGGTATATCAAATGCCAAGTCCACTTGCCAGCAGTGCGTCCCTTGAGGTCATCGAAATTTCTTCAAAAAACAACGCTGTACCAAGTACTGTATCAGCATCTATGATTCATACATGGGCTACAAAGAACCATGTCATGATGATTAAGATCCTTTTGTTTTTTGGGTAAAATCACTTACCACTGTATCATTATATATATATATTCCATCATTATAGTATTGTTGTTGATTCAATTGACCACCATTCTTGTTGGTTCATTGATTCCTCCATGTGTGTTGGTTCATATACTTATATGGTTATAAGTTATAGTATATGTATACATATATAATGTTTGCACCCGATTAGTGTCCTGGTACCCTATTGTGAGAAATTTCTTGCTCCTAATTCAGTCACATGCAAATTGTTGGGGGGAAACTCTATTGTGAGATTTTTTTCCAGATGAGATTTTTTTCCAGATTTTTTTTCATTTTCTTTTTCCAAATGCTTTAACTTTTAAAAAAAAAATATTTTTTCTAATTATTTATGTTTATTAGATTTTGAATTTTATAATTAGATGCCTTATTAAACCCTTATTAAAAAAACAGCATTCAGACAATTTTTCAAAGGGGTACCTCATGAGTGGCTCAGTTACTGAATAATATAATTGTTTGGATGGTACTCTATTGTGAGCACCAACTTTTTGGAGTGAAAAAAAAACGAAACCCTTTCTCCACCTTTCTTTGGGTAAAGCTGGTCCTTTCACTTTAGAAAGCCATAGTTGTGTTAAAACTTTAAAATGCAAGGTTTCCCAAATAATTCGATGCCTTATGAAACCCTTATTAAAAAACAGCATCCAGACAATTTTTCAAGGGGGTACCTCATGAGTGGCTCAGTTACTCAATAATATAATTGTTTGGATGGTACTCTATTGTGAGCACCAACTTTTGGGAGTGAAAAAAAAAGCAAAACCCTCCCTTTCTCCACCTTTCTTTGGGTAAAGCTGGTCCCTTTACTTTAGAAAGCCATATTCGTGTTAAAACTTTAAAATGCAAGGCTTTCCAAATAATTAGATGCCTTATTAAACCCTTATTAAAAAACAGCATGCAGACAATTTTTCAAAGGGGTACCTCATGAGTGGCTCAGTTACTGAATAATATAATTGTTTGGATGGTACTCTATTGTGAGCACCAACTTTTTGGAGTGAAAAAAAAAAACGAAACCCTTTCTCCACCTTTCTTTGGGTAAAGCTGGTCCTTTCACTTTAGAAAGCCATATTTGTGTTAAAACTTTAAAATGCAAGGTTTCCCAAATAATTCGATGCCTTATTAAACCCTTATTAAAAAACAGCATCCAGACAATTTTTCAAGGGGGTACCTCATGAGTGGCTCAGTTACTCAATAATATAATTGTTTGGATGGTACTCTATTGTGAGCACCAACTTTTGGGAGTGAAAAAAAAAGCAAAACCCTTTCTCCACCTTTCTTTGGGTAAAGCTGGTCCCTTTACTTTAGAAAGCCATATTTGTGGTAAAACTTTAAAATGCAAGGCTTTCCAAATAATTAGATGCCTTATTAAACCCTTATTAAAAAACAGCATCCAGACAATTTTTCAAAGGGGTACCTCATGAGTGGCTCAGTTACTCAATAATATAATTGTTTGGATGGTACTCTATTGTGAGCACCAACTTTTGGGAGTGAAAAAAAAACAAAACCCTTTCTCCACCTTTCTTTGGGTAAAGCTGGTCCTTTCACTTTAGAAAGCCATAGTTGTGTTAAAACTTTAAAATGCAAGGTTTCCCAAATAATTAGATGCCTTATTAAACCCTTATTAAAAAACAGCATCCAGACAATTTTTCAAGGGTGTACCTCATGAGTGGCTCAGTTACTCAATAATATAATTGTTTGGATGGTACTCTATTGTGAGCCCCAACTTTTGGGAGTGAAAAAAAAAGCAAAACCCTTTCTCCACCTTTCTTTGGGTAAAGCTGGCCCCTTTACTGTAGAAAGCCATATTTGTGTTAAAACTTTAAAATGCAAGGCTTTCCAAATAATTAGATGCCTTATTAAACCCTTATTAAAAAACAGCATCCAGACAATTTTTCAAAGGGGTACCTCATGAGTGGCTCAGTTACTGAATAATATAATTGTTTGGATGGTACTCTATTGTGAGCACCAACTTTTGGAGTGAAAAAAAAAAGCGAAAACCCTTTCTCCACCTTTCTTTGGGTAAAGCTGGTCCTTTCACTTTAGAAAGCCATATTTGTGTTAAAACTTTAAAATGCAAGGTTTCCCAAATAATTAGATGCCTTATTAAACCCTTATTAAAAAACAGCATCCAGACAATTTTTCAAGGGGATACCTCATGAGTGGCTCAGTTACTCAATAATATAATTGTTTGGATGGTACTCTATTGTGAGCACCAACTTTTGGGAGTGAAAAAAAAAACAAAACCCTTTCTCCACCTTTCTTTGGGTAAAGCTGGTCCCTTTACTTTAGAAAGCCATATTTGTGTTAAAACTTTAAAATGCAAGGCTTTCCAAATAATTAGATGCCTTATTAAACCCTTGTTAGAAAACAGCATCCAGACAATTTTTCAAAGGGGTACCTCATGAGTGGCTCAGTTACTGAATAATATAATTGTTTGGATGGTACTCTATTGTGAGCACCAACTTTTTGGAGTGAAAAAAAAAAAACGAAACCCTTTCTCCACCTTTCTTTGGGTAAAGCTGGTCCTTTCACTTTAGAAAGCCATAGTTGTGATAAAACTTTAAAATGCAAGGTTTCCCAAATAATTAGATGCCTTATTAAACCCTTATTAAAAAACAGCATCCAGACAATTTTTCAAGGGGTACCTCATGAGTGGCTCAGTTACTGAATAATATAATTGTTTGGATGGTACTCTATTGTGAGCACCAACTTTTTGGAGTGAAAAAAAAATGAAAGTAAATTAAAAGTAAATTGAAATCAATTGAAAGTAAATTGAAATCAATTGAAAGTAAATTGAAAGTAAATTAAAAGTAAATTGAAATCAATTGAAAGTAAATTGAACGTAAATTAAAAGTAAATTGAAATCAATTGAAAGTAAATTGAAAGTAAATTAAAAGTAAATTGAAATCAATTGAAATCAATTGAAAGTAAATTAAAAGTAAACTGAAAGTAAATTGAAAGCAAATTAAAAGTAAATTGAAATCAATTGAAAGTAAATTGAAATCAATTGAAAGTAAATTAAAAGTAAATTGAAATCAACAATTGAAGGTAAATTGAAAGTAAATTGAAATCAATTAAAAGTAAATTGAAATCAATTGAAAGTAAATTGAAATCAATTGAAAGTAAATTGAAATCCTTTCTTAAGTTGATTGGCCAAAAAAATGTTGAGGGGGGGCAAAAAAAAGTGCGAGTTATAGAGTATCCTCAAATTGTTTAGGGGGGGCCCTCACACTAATCAGATGCAAACATTATATATATATATGTGTGAGCGAATATGTCCAGAAAATTGATCAGTTAAGATATTAGGGGATATATATATATAGCCAACCGTATGACATGAGTTTGTAGCCTGCAAAAAAAAAACAGTCTTCTCGGCCCTGATCTTCAGGAATTCCTCCAAGCTGAGTTCCAAAGCATCCTCCAGGACTTTCGCAAACGCTGCGTTTTTTTGCCTCTGGTAACCTGACGTAGGCATGGAAAATGCCATGGAAAATACGACAATTTAGGTCCATGAATTACCTATCAAAATTGTGATTGTTCCATAGCAAACTGTACCAATTGCCAGAAGGGACCTGTTTTGTCGAACCCAAAAAGGGTGATATTGACACGGATTTACCTTCTGGTATATCCCAAACATACCAGCCAGTTCAGCAAGTTCCGATGGAGTCACAATCCATTTGCTAAGTATATGAATCGTCACTTCAACTGGATCATCCTCGTTTTCTTTTTTTGGCTGGTGAAATGATCAGCCAACGGAAATGGGATTAATCTTCTATGACATCCAATGACTATTTCTAGTGACTATTCACAAGTTCCAAGCACCAGAATTTGTGTTGGCCCTACTGCGCCGTGTTGCGTCTCTATGTTGCTTGGTTACCCGGTTACGCCTGGTTTCACAACGTGGCACCCCAAAGATATAGGTTTCGTTGGTTCAAAACTATATATATATATATATGTACAAATATTATACATATTATATATATTTATATATCAAATAATAAGTGTTGAATTATGTTGTATAATTCATGTATTTCCACAGTGACATGGGTCCATAAACTGGCCCATACTGAGCAGGGATCTCTGAAAGGTCCGCATCCACCGCGTGAGGATCTTGGGAAAGGTCCTGGCTGAGCTGAATGCCAACCAGGCCCATCCCAGTCGCGACTGGAAGAACGACCGGAACGACCGCGAGACCTTTCCGGAGCGAGGGATCGGATGGATCGGAGGGATCGGCTGGACCGGATGACAACGGAGCCGTTCGTGGTGTCTGAAGATGTGGGAGATTCCCACTGTTTTTTCCCCACCTGCCAGGTGAGGGTTGTTAGATTTTATCAGAGTTGTTCTTCTCTTTCTCCCTTCTTCTCCTCCGCCTCCTTCCCCTCCTCCTCCTCCTCCCTCTCCTCCAGCTTCTCCTCCACCACCTTTGCATCCACTCCCATGTTCACTTCCGCCTTGCCAACTCTTCGCCAAGCTCTTCGCCAACTTCCGCACGCAGTGGGCACTGCTGGACCTCAACTGCAAGGGTCTGAGCGCGGGCACCGCTGGACCTCAACCTGGGACCTCCCGAGCTCAGTGAGCACCGCTGGACCTCAACCTGGGACCCTCCAAGCTCAGTGAGCATCGCTGGACCTCAACGGCCAGATCGAATGCCAGAAGATATGCCAGATAGAACGCCAGATAGAATGTCAGAAAGAATGCCAGAAGATATGCCAGATAAAGTGCCAGAACGTTTGCTAGATAGAATGCCAGAAGATATGCCAGATAGAATGCCAGAAGGTATGCCAGATAGAATGTCAGACAGACTGCCAGAAGGTATGCCAGATAAAGTGCCACAATGTTTGCCAGAACATATGCCAGAAGATTTGCCAGATAGAATGCCAGATAGAAGGCCAGAAGATATGCCCGAAGATATGCCAGATAGAGTGCCAGAAGATATGCCAGAACATATTGCAGAAGATATGCCAGATAGAATGTCAGAAGATATGCCAGATAAAATGCCAGAAGATATGCCAGAAAAAATGCCAGAAGATATGCCAGATAGAATGCCAGAAGATTTGCCAGTAACAAAACGTATAGATGTCATGGTGGGGATAACTCGAAGTAAAGATTTTTTTTTAAATGGGAAGATGATGGGAAGCGATGAGAAGTGAGAACATGTGAGAACTAGCCAGTGGATGCATGATTTTGGTGCACCCCATTTTGGGTAAGAGTCATGATACTCTGTTTGGTGGTTTCAAACATTTTTTCACATAGTATATGGGATAATCCTTCCCATCGACTATTTTTCAAAAATGGTTAAAACCACCAACCAGTACTATATGAGTCATGATATTCGGTGATCTTTCTCGTCATTGGTATCGGTGTGCGTGATGGTGCTCGACAGTGGATGATCCTGGCTGAGACAAAGAGTTGCCCTGTAGGTAGCTCAGTTGGTTTACAAGTCGGTCACACTGTTGGATGTTTGGAGTGTATATACAAATAAGTAAGTATATATATAATTACGTATGTATGTGTACTATATATATATGTGTATATATATATCTATACATGCGTGTGTGTGTGTGTGTGTGGTGTGTATATACATGTGTGTGTTTGGTGTATATACATGTGTGTGGTGCATATATATTTATATATTATTTAGTAATATCATATTTTTTCTTGCTGGCATGTGTGGGTGGAGCAACTTACAACTTGGGGGCACCACTTTGCAGTTTGATGTTTCACGGAATATTTTGCCAAAAAATCGGGGGTGTTTGATGGCGAGAAACTAAAGAGTTGATCCTTTTGAGATTGAGCATTGGCCCAAGCCAAAGAGAGTTGGGGTCTTAGTCATGGAATGTTTTTTGTTGGTTGAGCCAGCATCCAGGGGCATCGCCCCCCAACAAAAAAGGGATTTATGCATAAAAAACATCCTCATACTAAACAGCCCGGAAACAACCATAAACCATGGCTTAGTAGGGGATGAAATCACATATTTGAGAAAATTTGGAACAATTTATCAAAATAGGGGATAGGGGGTTGTTAATATTGTTTCATAAACGAGGGATGGGATTAATATAGACACATATAGACCACACATCAGTTTTACACACTGTAACCAAATGCATTCAAAATCCCTGTAGTTGCTTGTAATGTGGAAAACCCAAATTCGCAAACCATCCCCAATCATACCAGAAATGGATGGTGAATAGCTACCGTTTGATTTGATTACAGTTTTTCATGGAAATTCTTCATTTTTGATATATAATGATGTATATTATATTCATTTAATTATACATATATAGGTATATGAATAGTCATTAATCTAACTAAATGGGTTTCCATATAGCAAACTGTTAAATTATCGAAAAATATTAGTTTTTCACTGGTTTAAACTCAATTTTTGATGGTAAAACCGTAAAACCGTAAAACCTTCATTTATCCACAAAAGCATAGCCAGCAGCAACACTGCAGCATCTGGATGAATTCGAATGCCTTCAGACGTCACTGGATTGGTGGTGAATCTAAAGGGAATCATCCGTGGATTCTTGGCCGAGACTGTAGCTCTCTGCGAGAGGACGTGCCGGTACAGGAAAAACTGAGGATCTGCCATACTACGGTTGCGGCCTACACTGGCTCACCTGTGCCTGCAGCGGACTTGATCTCCAATGGCCAGGCTGACATTGCGGAGAGCACGTCCAACGGGCCTTGAATGCAGAGTGTTTCCCGCTGGAGAGAAGTTAAGGTATTTGCTTGCATACGCAGCTCGCATGCTGATCACCTTTGCCTCGATCGAAACCAGGATCTTGGCGACGTTGTCATCGAAGCCAGGACTGTGACCTTCTCGAAGACTAAGGGCGATGACAACGTCCTGAACAAGGCTCAGAAGATGCCCGCATCTCGGAACCATAAGAATCCACAAAACAACATATCCCATGATATGCCCACTAAATCCTCCCCAAATAATTTCGATATGTTCGAGCAAGGATATTTATAATAATGAATAAATAAGGTAGTGTTTTTTTTCTCCTGTGTGGAGGACAGTAAGAATCCCCTATAATCCACCAACGCGGTGCACCCAGTGGCATATGTTTGTCAACCCCAAGTTGAATACCTATACCTACCATAAATCCAACAGCTAGTGGAGTTATTAGTTATGCCACCTTAGCTAACTATGCTAACTATGGGCACCAATATCTACAAGGTGGTACCCCCAAGATAACTAAGTTGGTTTACAATTCTGATAACTAGGACTTATGGTAGATATATCATGATATATCATGATATATCTATAGTCAATGGGATTATAAATCAACTAACATCACTGGACAAGGGCACCACCTTGTCCAAATCCCCACGATTTCCTCGACCTCCGCAGGATTTCAGCGATTGCGTCGAGCCCGTGGATGAAGAGCTGCCAGATGCTGGGCGAAGTCAACCGAACGTGGTAATTTACGGTCACCCCGAACCAGGTTGATCATTAGAAATAGCCTCCAGTAATCAAACATGGCACCTGGGAATCCACTATAAATGGAGTTTCTAATTTGAAAATCAACTATAAATTGGTGATTTTCCATTGCCACGTTTGAATACCGGAGAGTATATCATTCTTGGGTGCTATACACACTTTAGAAATCGATAGAAAAGTCATTGTTATGTTATATAATGGTTTTATGCTGTGTTTTGATGCTGATATGTTTATAAATATGCGTTTAAACTTTGTGCACGTATCCATCCAACCAAATGAACCGTCTTCAAAACCTACTGCCGTTCCTTTTTTCAATCAATGAAAATGCCCTATACATAGAGGGCATAGTATAATCCACGGACGATTCATCAACCAACAGGGGTGTTGAAAAAAAAGGCATTCATTTTTGAACCTTAATCGCGTTTTTTGATATTGGAGATATGGATGGATTTGGTTATGTACCATAGTAAACCATAGTAGATTGGAAATTACTATGGAATTATCATCCTGGATTTCAATATAGCCAGGTATTCATACTATAGCATACAGTACCGCACCGTACCATACCACCTATCCTGTTAAAACCATAAGCAATGAGATGCAAGCAGATCAAACCTACAACTACGTGATGTCGTCTTCTGGGAATGAGTTGACCAACCATCAATGCGGAATTAACTGCAAATTTGACCCATATGCTCCATGCATGATATATGACATGATATTCAGAGATATTAAGCAGCATAAGGTCAAATCTAAGCCACCAGCCTGTTTGATTACCAGATAGTAAATCTACCAGCCCTTAACCATAAAGCACAATGAGTATCCCATAAGTCTCTCATGGTGTCACCTTTGCTGGTTGAATCCCTAAGGGATCCCCATAGGGAAATGATGATGATCTTATTTGAAGTTGTTGGACGATGATTTTCAGGATCAACAACTCTTGCTGATAGTTATAAAATGTTATAAATCATCTAGTGATATATAGTGTTATAATGTGTTATATGCCTAGTTGAATCCCAAAAAATGACACGACGAGGAATTCACCATACACTGTTGAAAACTTCCCAGCGAACTAAACCTACATTTACAGGGAAACTTCAATGGGCAACCGGAGTCTCGCTCAGGAATGGGCAACCGCTGTGGTGGATCGGTCTTCTGAGGGTTTCTTCAAGGATTCTCCCCCGCAGAATGCGGGGTGGTGGATGGCTGTGGGAAATCCATATGATTTCCCTAGGAAAATGATCTAGAAAAAGTGCGTTTTTTTCCACAAAAAAAATGTTCGTAAAAACCCTAGGGCCCTAGACATTCGACAAGGCTTTGCCCATCGAAATCATCGTTGTGTTGTTACCCAGTAAATGAGATCAAATGGAGCCAGAACCAGTGAGAAAAGAAAAGACAGGAACTGGCTTTCACCAACAGAAATGGGAAAAATGATGTGATTTCTGATAGGTAACTTGGGTTAGAACAGCAGTAACTCAGTAACGTGGATTTATCGCAGATTCACCTACCTTGAAAGGGTGAAAGTCGAGCAACTTCGATCTGGGAACACTTTGTATGTGGCAAATTCCTGCAAATTCATTGAGTGGTAATTATTTACCCTTTATTTAAATAAGTAATTATGTATATATTATATATACTGTATATAAATGGATGAATCCATAGTTTTCTGTTGAAAATACATGTTTTCCGTTTGGTGATGTATGGTACCAACAACTCGATATCACATCGTCCTGTGCTGTGGCTGTAGCTGTGTACATGATCCCCAAAGAAAGGGGAGGTTTATTCAGGAATTTCAGGATCCTATGGACGTATTGTCGATGGGAATTTCAGGATCCTAAATTGGAGGTACCTACCATGTATAAGGCCTATTTCTGACCAAAATTTCAGGGAATATCCCAACAAAATATGATCAATTCCCATTGATATTGTAGCATTTTTCAGGCCATATTTTGTACCTCCAATCAATGGCTTCCCGAAATGGCCATTGATTTATTGCACCACTTCCAAGTGACAGAAAGACGTAGGTGATACCATCCCCCTGACAGCTCGACCCTCCTAGGAGATGACTAAAAATGGCTGATGGCTGGGTCGAAGCGTTCGATGCCATACCCATGTGCATCCACTTATATAGTCATGAAAAATCCTTAGATCTTATTTGTAGATGATGTTCCTGCTAATATTTACAGATGATGTTCCTTATACTCAGCAACATTAATACTCATGTTTTTGCAATCCGTTTATAGATGATGTACCTGCTCATATCCTTAGGATGCGTTTCTTGATGTTTCTTGTGTGCCCACTGTTCAGTTTTGATCATCTTCTGCATGCTGTGCATTTCCAGCTGTAAGGCCAACCGTTGGAAGCCCCGGCAAATATTAGCACATTAGATACATATATGTGTATCTCATATATATATATACATACATAAAAATATAATATTTGACTGCATATGTATATTTATATATGGGCAAATTTAACTTCACGGAGAATATATATATATACTTAGACATGGGTATTTATTTCAATGTCATGGGGCAGATGGATGATTCTGCGAGTGTCCAGGATGGCATGTGGCAAAGCGCAGATGGTAAGGACGAGCACAGCCGAGGTCAAGGGCCATGGTGGATCTCCCAGGGCTTGATGGTTGAAACGTGGTTCAAACCTTTAAACCACAAGATTTATGGGGATAACAAATGAATTTATATGGTTTAATGATGTTTAATGGTTATGACACATAGAATTTATATGAATTTATGCGATATCGTTTGTAGTACTGTATGCTGGTTGTTGGTTTCGGTTTTTTGTTTAAACAATATGTGAAACACAACATATTTGGAATGATGATTTGCGAACATATATTTGTCAATGGGGTTTTGCTGATATTTTACACAAGGTTGTACCTTATAATTAATGGCGCTTCAATTCTGTAAAAAGTGCTGTTCTCAGAGGACATCGGAGCATATAGGAGCGTTGTCTCCAAAACTTAGAAGCTCAAAATCCCGTATTGCACTTCAACATCATGAAATCTTCCCATGCAAGTTGAACCGTTTAACGTGTACCCCCTTTAAATGGCCGACAGCCTTTTCCACCCAAAAAAACAAAACCGCACTGGTCGAGGCAAGGTGACGTGGAAGAAGAACCACGAGAGGCGGGGCCACCATGCGCGCTACCAGAAGCGTCGCCAGGAGAGAGAGAACGAAGCGCCGCTCGGCGCTCGGTGCGGCATGGTGTCATCATGACGCAATGTCGAGGGTCAAATCTGACATGTTTTTTTTACCATGAAACATCATGACACATCATGACACATCATGAAACATCATGACACATCAACATGTAGGATTTTTTAACTATGACATTTTTATCAACATATAGGGGATGGTTACGGTTAGGGAATGTTAGGGATTTTTCATGTGATACATCAAACATGGCTGGGAAAGCGAGAAGTTATTGGCTGGGGACGAGGGGAAGATGTCTGGTTGTATTGAGATGTATTAAGCCCCCCCAAAAATGCTGGAACATGTTAATTTACTTCTAGGACTTAAGACAATGTCTATCTTTTTGGGGTTGGTGATACCTTGCAGTGTCATGAGATACATAGTTGGCTGGAATTCCCGAACTAAATGGGCATCTACATATGGTTCTTCCGGAAGAACCATGAAACTAAATATGTAGGCAAACAATGTGTTATTACCGTAAGGTAGCTTGGCCAAGGGAACCAAATGGTTACTTAGGGCCGGATCCCAGTTTCAAATGTTATATAGGTTAGTATAAGTTTGTTTAAACTCCACTAGTATATGTATATATATATATAACATATATTTTGATATATCTGCCGAAAACCAACTCAACATCCCGATCAACTTAGCAAACTAAACTTGGCACCAGCATGTAGTAATAAACCTCCTTTTCCTCAGGTATATCATATGTTTCCGTTCAGTTTTATGTGAAATATCCCCAGTTAGATTAATGGATCAGAAAAACAAATTGACACTTCCTGTCACGCACCCCTCAAGGAATGACAGGGATGCTGCTTGAGGGCTGGATGCTCACTCCATTTGAAGATCATAATCATTCAACTGGGGAACACTTCGGGCAACACTTCGGGTACCTAAACTGGAGGAACTCAACTTATGTTAGGTGTGTATAGGCCTGAAGGGATATGTGCCTAGGACATGGTCTGAACAATATGAATTCTAGTGTGTCCTCACGTCGTGACATCACTGGGATGATGGTTGGTAAGAGGAACCATCCCAGATATGATCTTATTTCATCTATGTTCAGCCCAGTGAATTATACTAAGTCATAAATTTTAACACACTTTACCCATTTCAACTTGCGACATAGAATGTAGGGCCCCAGTTGATACGGTTTCTGATGGTACGACAAGACCTGTTGGCTTTGATGGAGAATCATCCAAGAAGTGGCTGGGCATTGCTGGTGATTGACCGGGTGTTTTTTTTTACAGACCTACCAGACCGGGCTATGATGTATTCTGGTCCACTTGGACTCTTCGAATACTGTAATCTTCTTTGATTCCAGAACGAGCAGAAGTCATATATTTAGACCATGGATTTGCACTTGAACATGGAGAGAGATGCGCAAACCTTGCTTCATTGGTTTATCAGGGGAGATGAGATGCCTTCAAGAAGAGTGGCAGCAAAACCCTTGCTGATTGAATGATTGGTCTCTGTGGAACCCCCAATAGAGGGTGGCAACTGGCATTGCAAGAATCATCCCAAGTGCAGTTTTTTTTGCTGTATCCCCTCCAGTAATCAAACATGACTGACTAGAAAGCCACCATTCCTGATGGAAACAAACCTGATTTAATGGAGCATAACCTGAAACTGATAGGTTTGATATGTATGATAATATGATCATATATGTGTGCATTCTCCTTTTGTTGATCAATGATTTCCCCATATTTCTTCAAATTCTTCCCTGTTGCGCAGCTCCCAGGAAGGCCTGTGGCCAGGGAAAGCCCAACGCCCCCGTGGCTGCCGGCATGGTGAAGGGTCCTCCCTTGAGCCCCACCAGCACCGTCAACACGATGGCGTTGCCGCACCAGTGAGTGGCGACCATGGCCCTTGAGGCCAAGGGGCCAAGTCCAGGAGCAGGGTCGATTCAATTTGCTAAGGACAGCAATAGGACTTTTGGACGGAAAATAAATTTGCACATAGATTGATAGATTGACAGACAGGTAGATAGACAGACCGACAGATACTGGTTGGTGGTTTCAAACATGTTGTGTTTGTCCAGATGTTGGGAAGAATAATCCCAACTGACTTTCATATTTTTCAGAGGGGTAGGTATACCACCAACCAGGATAGATAGACAGACATATAGATAGATAGATTGATAGAGTTGCTTTTCTCTTACAATGTGAGGCCCCCAAGATTGCTAAGTTGGTGCAAATAACTCCAATAACTATGGGTTTTTGGTACTTATAACTATAGTAACTATAGTTACTGGGGCTTTTGTTAACCAACAAACATAACTGGGGGGCCTCACATTGTAGCTGGATAGATTCAGATTGAAGACCTGTGCTCCTTCACCTGCGTGCTTCGAATTTCTCAGCCGGACAGTGCGGACGCGGTCTCGGGGTGTGGCTCGGCTCTGCTTGGTGCCAGGTGTGAGGCAGTCATGCCCATTGAAAAGGGAACACTTAAGGATCATCCCCTACCCTGCATAGGTAGAAACTAGAAACTAATCCTTTAGCTTTTTGCTAATGGAAAATCACCACAACCAGCAACAAAAAGAATGGTGGACTACAAAAGATTGATCATGAGATGATTGGGTTTTGGATAAGAGATGTACAATAATAGTAATTATATAATGCTGGTAAAGCAATAGGACCCACCATCGCCAATTTTACAATTTTTATGGGTGGGATTCCAGCCATCAATTTCTATGGGTGGTTTACTATTGCCTTACTCATGTTAGTAAATATGTGTAAGTATAACTTAAGCTTCATGGTTCTAAAACTCTCATTGGATTGTGGCCACAGATTCAGAGAAGCCAACAAGAATTGAACTTGTAGTCCCTTAGGTTAGTTTCCACTGTCCCTATTTGTTCAGTATTTTTCGGACAAATATGGGTTATATACATACATGCGTCGAACCCTTGAGGATTTTACTTAAAAAAATGAAATCAGGATTTTGTGATCTAAGCCAGATCAGATTGCATGTGCTTATTTTATTTTATTGTATGGTCTGTGTTTGAAAGTGCTTGGGGATTCCCTAATCATACAGCAACAAACACGAAGGCATCACAGATAAAGGTGTGTTTGCGTCGAAGAATCACTGGTGGGAGCATTGAACACACGGGAAAGGGACTAAATTATATATAGTAACTTAGTATATTATATAATATTTATATATACATACTGGTACATTGAGTTTATATATACATGGGTATATATAATGTATATATGTGAAAATGATTTTATATGTAACATATTTTATGCAGTATATAAACTGGATTAAACTGGTATTGTTTTATTCGAACATGTGTGCATATTTGAATTTCAATTTATACACATATATTTGATTATATTTGTATAAGTACACATGTATACATATATATATATATATACGTTTTTACATGTGCATAAATCATTCAATGACAGTCATTTCTTCGGACCCTTTTGTGTGTATCGCATCACCACACCAAACCGGCACCTCAAAAAACAGATCCAGCCAATCCAGCCCTCCCGAACCGACAGCATGGGACCTTGCTGGGAACCGTGGCTGGAAGTTAGAGGAGCGCCAAGAATCGTGGATTTTGTGGTTGATTTCAACGGCAAAATAACGATAACAAGGGGATTTAACCATCAATATCAGTAAATGTATGGGGACTGGTTGGTGGTTTGGAACATTATATATTTTTCCATATATTGGGAATAATCATCCCAACTGACTTTCATATTTTTCAGAGGGGTAGGTATACCACCAACCAGGGGATATTGATCATCACCATTCAAAATGTGGATTTAACATGATTTAACCATGAAATTACTGGTTTAACCATGGTTTTGTGGTGATTTCATGGGGATATACCAACTGTTTCAGATTTTTTGTTGGTTCATCGAGTTCAGAAAGGTCAGAATCAGGAACCGAACATCTGCAGGATTTCGCGTTTTTTTCACGGATGTTTCATGGTGTGGTGATTTCATGGTGGTTAATGGTTAATGATGGTTAATGATGGTTAATGATGGTTAATGATGGTTAATGATGGTTAATGATGGTTAATGATGGTTAATGATTAATTATGGTTATATAATGATTGTTGATGATTTAATGATGATGATTAACGATGATTGATGACTGTACCCTCTGGTAAACTAACAGTTTGCGAACTTGAAAATGCCCATTGAAATAGTTGATTTACCCATCCAAAATAGTGATTTTCCATAGTTATGTGACTGTTGACCAGGCCGGGCAATAAATGACGGCCAGTTACGCGATGCATTTGTCAATTGTTTATTCTACTACTCCTGTAAGCGTTTGATCGAAGCATGGCAAGCTGGGAAATCCACTGTAATGGAGGTTTACAATGTTTATACCCTCTGGTAAACATAGAAAAAACTATTGAAAATGGCCATAGAAATAGTGGATTTTCCCATTAAAAATTGTGATTTTCTATAGTTATGTTAAATTACCAGAGGGTAGCTGGGAAAATTCAGTACAGATGGGCGATTTACGATTGCCACGTTTGATTGCTGGAGGCTCCGTTGAGATTTTCAGACGAGACCTTGTTGGCGGTATTTTGTTGTGATTTTCCCAGGGGTACACTCTGGTAAACTAACATAGCTATTGAAAATGGCCATTTAGAGTTTTCCCATTAAAAATGCTGCATGTTTACCAGAGGTAACTGTCCAGATCACCAAGCTACAATAAGATTTAATGGATCCTGACGGTGGATCAAGCGACTGCCATGGTGATTGCGTAGCTGCCATGCTTCTAACATAGTTTTTTTGTACGCTGCGTCGTGCAGTTTGTTTGTTTTTTACCACGGTTATCACACCATAATTTCTCTTAATATGGGATATATATATATGTATGTATATGTATGTATATGTATGTATATGTAATATGTATGTATGTATAACCCCTTTGGGATTACAGGAGCTATTATGACCTGCACGTCCAGGTGGTGTTCCATGCCCTTTTTTTTGGCAAGTGGAGCTCCGTTACTAGAGCCGCCAAAGGTAGCACTCTGAACAGGGGTCATTCTCCAGTAAATCCACATAGCTATAGAAAATGGATGAACATGGCCCTTTTATAGCGAATTTACCTATCAAAGATGGTGATTTTCCATGATTTTCCATTGTTGTGTTAGTTTACTGGAGGGTAATGCTGCAGATCATTTCCGATCAACACCCACACATAAATCCCAAAAACACTAGCTGTCTCAACCTCTTCAGTGGTGAAGATAGAATGGGTTTGTGTTTCTCTTCTGTTTCCAAAGATTTAGACTTTATATTTATATTGTCTCAATGGAACATCCAACCTTGACCAACATTTACCCAATGAAAGCACTGGGAATATCCACCATTTAGATCCATTTCACTAGAATCTTCTAGGGAACTTGTCTCTTTCCGGGGGGGCACCCTTAAGAGTATCCAAATTGATTGGGGACTTATATATTATTTGACAACCATGTTTTTTTTTCACCAGCAAAAAGAGTCAGCTTTTTGCACGCTCCAAAATCACACTTCAAGTCGCAAGTTCCCTTTTTTGCTGCCTTTTGAGTGCACCAAAATCACGGTGTCTCCATTCGGGGCATCAGCTGCTGGTTTTTGGACCAATAAGCTGGTGATGGCAAGGCAATCATAGCGACGCAATTCGAGGGTATTTCATGGTTTTTCTACAAGATTAGGAGGTTCTAAAGATGCAGCATCCTTGAAGCTGGTGATGAGCTTTGTCTCAAAATGGAGGATTTAGATATGCAAATCTTGAAAGGGATGATGACCCATTTTCTTTTAAATGATTTCATGTCCCCTTCTATCAAACTCCAGAAACCCGTGTTGACCCTTGGCTCTTGTCATTTTCGGAGTCCATACTGGCAAAAATCATATTGGAGCAGGGGTTAGAAACATACCCACATCATGACCTAGTTGCTGAGCCATAGCACCAATATCACGGAAAACATGGCGTCTTTTGATATTATGCTAAGACCACCACTTCGGGTAAACCGGTGCCAGGACTGGACATTTAAGTCACGTGTTAGTTGAAGCCACGCTGTATAGCTGCAATGCTTTGCAACATAGGTAGCTATGGAAAGATCCACAATTTTCAATGGATAAATCCACTATTTCTATGGCCATTTTCACTAGCTATTTACTGGTTGGTGGTTTAGAACATGGCTTTTATGACTTTCCATATATTGGGAAAAATCATCATCCCAACTGACGAACTCATATTTTTCAGAGGGGTAGGTATACCACCTACCAGACAATCCTTTGGATTCTTAATCTTGGTGGTCGAAAATTCTTGAGGTTTCCCATAAGATGATGGATTACCATTTTACACCCCTTTCCTGGGCCCCGAAATCCTGCATTTGAAATCCCGTCGCCACCAGAAGTTCAGATGGTTGCCCTGGTTGCCCCCTTCGCCTCGTAGCGGCGCGCGCTGAAATCGCCGATGAATCGCGCATCCCAATAGATCGATATGTACCATTCAGCTATGCAATCAGAGATCCAGGCCGCTCAAAGCACAGCTCAGCCGTTTGTATTTTAGGTATTGTGGTAGGCCCAATAAAGTATATCATACATCACTCATATGGCACATATGGCCATGGGTGGAAATAGAATCATCCCTAGATGGTCGGTAAACATTCTTGGGTGTACCCCAGCGAACTGAAGAACATGCCGGACCTCGACCGCCAGGTCGGATATCGGATACTCTCACATGTCAAGCTGAAAAATTGACCAAGGATGATCATAAAGCTCAATTAGTAGGTTCTGCATCCAGGCTCTGAGTAGATCTGATATGATGAAGGTCACCCTGCGGTCCTGCAGTGACACCAGTGTCCAAGAGTTGGAGGATCATGCCACGGACAGCAAATGGTTTTAGACATGATGATAAATGATGATTTAATGTGATATTAAACATATTTATGGTTAATGATTATGATTAACTGGCTAATATGGCTTAACGGGACTTAATATATCTATAATTATACTGGTTGGTGGTTTGGAACATGGCTGGATTATGACTTTCCATTCAGTTGGGAATGTCATCATCCCAACTGACTAACTCATATTTTTCAGAGGGGTAGGTATACCACCAACCAGCAAAAGCAAGGTTCAACTCAACCCTGTTTTGTTCCCAACTGACTAATGTTTTTCAAGATGGTTGAAACCACCAACCGGGATAGGTACAATAAGTTATAATCCATTTTTACCCTCTGGTAAACTAACATAGCCATGGATTATGGCACATAGAAATAGATGGTTTACCTATTAACAACGGTGATTTTCTCTGATTTCCTATAGTTATGTGGCCAATTGCCAGCGGGTAAGTGAATTCATCATTAATCACCATGAATCACCGTTATTAACCATCATTAACCATCATTAATCACCATTAACCACCATTAACCATAGGTGAGTACATCGGGGACGGGAACCCAACCGAAAAAGGGACATCCGACGGGACGGTGGGATGATCCTCCCAGGGAAACCATTGAGGGTACCTGAATTATCCTGGATTCCTGGATGTGAATGTTGAGGCTACCTGGATGTCTATCCAATTCTATCCAATTCTATCCATCTGAAATAAATGTTGAGGGTCTTAGGGTCTTTGGCAAAAAACGAATGGAGAGAGGTGACCGAGAGAGGTGTGTTGATATACAAGTATCGTCAAGTATCTACTTGTGATTTCCTGCTGTTCGAGCCATGTTTTACTTTTCTATGCTTTTTTGATTTGTCATGATAATCGACTCTGTCAGTCCCCAACCGGCACAGCCACCCTCTGGAGCCTTCTTGGGTCTCTGCGCATTGGTGCATCATATTTAACATACCTGTGGTGAGCCACGCTCACAGGACCCCAATGACGACGCTTTTCAGAGTAGAGATGTCAAATTTCCCACCCCCTGGAGTACTTAATGTCGTCGTCATCATCATCATCTTCTTCATCATCATCATCATCATCATCATTTTCTTCATCATCTTCTTCATCATCATCATCATCAGCAGCAGCAGCATGATCATCAAAGCCATTTCCAGTTCCGGGCAAAGCATAGGGTTCGTGCCGTATTGTTAGTAAAACAATGGATACAATAGTGAACCATCCCCAATATCACCATAAATGGGTTGTGTAAACCATCAAAATCTGGGTGGTTTAGTATTGCATTACTAACATTTATATAGCTAGTAGGGTTTCTGGTAAGCATAAGTGTAGTTGGGTAAGCTTACTTACAAACCAGCCTACAACTGGGGGGCACCACCTTTTGGAATTTTGACACCAGGACGTTGGATGTATCATATATCTATTTATTTATTTTCATATATAGACTGTAACATCTCATCTGGTTGGTGGTTTGGAGCATTTTTTATTTTTCCATATATATATATGGGATAATCCTTCCCCTTGACTGATATTTGTCAAGATGGTTCAAACCACCAACCAGTCATTGTCACCAGTAGCTTCACCGAAATCTTCGCATTTCGCCTTTCGCATGTCGCGTCTTTGGGGGCCCAGCGCTCGCCACAGCTCGCCATTTTCCGTCGAGACGCAGTCCAGCGTGGGAGGACGCAGAAAACAGGGGGTGAATCCCTGGTTCCAGTTGGCTTGGGAAGCCAGGTGCCATGATTATCAACATTTATTATGAACATTTATAACCAACAACCATAGGGATTTGGATGGATTTGGTGTTCAGGATATCATGAGGATGTGCTTTGGGATATCTATGTTATTTGGACTTATTGTAATATGGCTATTGGTTGTTATGGTTGTTGGAGTTACCAGTCAATAGGATTGCTCCAAAAATAGGCTTAGTTGTTACAATGTGAGGCCCCCAAGATAGCTAAGTTGGTGCAAATAACTCCAATAACTATGGTTTATGGTACTTATAACTATAGTTACTGGGGCTTTTGTTAACCAACAAACATAACCGGGGGGCCTCACATTGTATGATAGCTCCGGTTCGTTGATCATGACCTCACCTTGTGTCATCACGATGGAATGATGGGAATTGATTCTGCCAGATGTTTCAGGTGATGTTTGAGTTCCCAATGGAGAATCCACCATTTGAGGATTTTGTTTGCTTTCTGTTGGTAAGGGGGCCCCTTGAAAAAAATCCAAGATGACAGGTTCATGACCTCCAAAATGTGCTGTGTTCTGCAAAAGGCGAACGTTGTGAACTGGACAACCAAATGTTGGTTTCATTTACTAAATATTGTGGGCGGACATAGATTGATGAATTGTGCAGTGTCAGATGGCCAGACGCTGCTAGAGGGTACGGTTATCCGAACAAATAGCTCTGACTTTTGACTCCAAGTTGGCAACTTCGCCCAGCTACATTTGTTCACAATGACAGTCAGCCCCTTCCTAGCAACATATTGGCCAACATGCAACAGGGTTCAGGTCGATTTTTCGGGGCCATTTTTATATCCAATTGCCAGATGTAACGACACCAACATTTTGAACTAAGATCGGGTGCCCCTAAATCCATTGGTTGATGTATGTTGATGTTCATCTAGTAATCCCTATATGTGATCTTTATGGCCAGGGAATACAACATTAGCAGACACCAAATTTAGTCATATTGCCGGTGATATGTACCATTATATCCGATCAATCGATCATATCTCATTCAACTCGATTCACTCATATGGTAAATCTAATTTTCAGACGCACTCATATACAATATCAAATTGCTTAGCTTTAGTAGATATTTCAAAATACTGTATTAAACTCATTGGTTTCCCCATGTCACCATTGAACTCCCATTGGGCCCCCTTCTTTTGATTTCTTTTGTGTGGTACGTATTTGAACGTTGAGATCTCTGCCCGGTTCCGAGACACCGGGGAGACACCGGGGACATTGGATCCGAGCAGCTGGTAGCCAGTCACCCTGCGCGCCGTTCCCATGTGTACACTCCAAAAGGCCAAACGTCCAACACGTCAGGTCGAGCAGTGTGAGAAAATGATGAAAATGTGAGAAAAGTCTAGCAGATTTGGAGAATGATTGGGAATATGAAATCTATATACAATGTGGGGCCCCCCAGTTATGTTTGTTGGTTAACAAAAGCCCCAGTAACTATAGTTATAAGTACCATAAACCATAGCTATTGGAGTTATTAACCAACTTAGCTATCTAGGGGGCCCCACTTTGTAAGAATTATAAGAACATCTGGTGCTTAGGAGGGAGCGATTAGGAGCTATGGGTATCCATTCTCCCTATTCAAGGGGAGCGATTAGGAGCTACCAAGAGTTTTCCAACCACATGATATATATATATATACATGAATAAATAAATAAATGGTTGGGATACTGTATTTTAATGGAATATAGTTAATGGGATATTCCTAGATTACTGCAATTGGGATATTGGAATTTAATAAGCTATTAATCGGATATTCCTATATTACTGTAATGGGATAATAGAATACAGTAGCACTCTATGAATAAATATAACTGTAATTGGATATCATTATCAGTGGGTTCTGGATCCTTCGGGTAATTTGGCAGTTTGCTATGGAACATCACGTGTGTTACTAAGCAAATCCTCGAGCTTTGAGTGTGTTTTTTCTCATGGCACACTCTTACATTATCAGACGGTGAGTCAACGGGAATTTCAGGATCCTAAAATGGAGGTACTGTACCATATAAGGCCATATTTTCTGGGGATATCCCCTTACATAGGCCTAAGAAATAGGCCTTATATATGGTAGGTACCTCCAATTTAGGATCCTGGAATGGCCATTGAATGGATTCCAGCATCTCAGGATGTGTTCTGCACGAATCCATGTTCTTCTCTTGGGTAGAATCTCAAAAAACTGGCCCTGCGAAAGTCTTGAACCTTGGATGATCGACACGATTAAGCTGTGCCTAAGGTTATGAATATAATATATATATATAGAATATATCTATATATATTTTTGCTACAATTCTCAGCTGTTCGGCTGTATGGACTTGGGACAGGGGCTGAAATTGCAACTGAGACCTTCCTTCCCTCAGTGTCAAGGACGCGGGGCTGGTGATGCTGGTGAAAACGCGCGGCCCCGGAAGTTGTTCATATTATATATATATATACCGGATTAATCAAAACCCAGTACAGTGTATGAACATGAAACATCCAGCTTACTGACTGAAACCCAGGACTAGGAAACATATGAGGTGGCTTTGGATTTGCAATTGGAATTATGATTGAATTATCACTTTTTGGGGACCCTGCCCCCCTATTTCATTTTGATATTTGGGCAAGCTGGGTAGACCCTGGATATTTTAGTACTTCAATCTTTTACAATGAATGCGATGTACACATAGGAACCAGTGAGAAAACATTTGTTTGCAGGTTATCTCAGATCGGCCGCGGAAGCCCAAGTTTTTTTTTTCCGGCATGGTAGTCAACACACTAATTAATTAACTACACATTTGGAGACCTTGTAAAGCATCTCAAAAATAGGTACTGTTTCTGACTGGGTTACCCACGAATATATAGCCAGATTAGCACAGATTATATAGCCAGATTAGTAGGTTGAGACTTGGCGCAACATGTTCACCCATTCGTTTTGTTGCAGCTTTGGGGCCGGACACTGGGGGACATCATTGGTTGCGCCGCTTTTCCGCTGGACCATTGCTGATGTGTCGAGTACAGGAGTCAGTGAGCTGCAGAAGTCAAGTTTGCTGATCAACAGACGTCGATTTGCAATCCGAAAGCTGAAAAGAGAGCCGTGAGCCGCCAGATTTTTGTGGGGTCTTAGTCATCCCTTTGATACAAAAAAAAAGGCCTTGCATGGCACCCCAAAGGACCCCTTAATTGCTGATGGACATGGTTAGGGTCAGGTTCCATACATGTCTACATTTAGAAATTATGTGTGTCAAATTTCTGGAGCTTAGATGAACTAACACATCTCTTGGACAAAAACATAATCTGAGTCTCTGAGTGCATGAGGTTCATGAGTTGGATTATTCTTGTTAAGTTCTGCCACTGTTGGCGTAAGATCTTGGAATGTCTTACAGACATGCAGAGTGCTAACATCACGGAACCATGCGGCGTTTGATGGGGATCCAGCCTCACCCATTTGCAAGCTCTTCCTTCAATAGTTCGATTGGGTCAAAGATCGCCACAGATATCCAAGAAAAGCAACCATACCATAGATGAGGCGATGGGGAGAGAGAGAGAGATAGAGAGAAAGAGAGAGAGATAGAGATAGATTCGATAGATGAGTTAGATTAGATAGATTTGATAGATGGGATCGATTAGATAGATTAGATAGATTACATAGATTAGATATGATAAGATTAGATTAGATTAGATAGATTAGATTGATAGATAGGCAGATAGATAGATAGATTGATAAGAAAGAAAGAAAACAATAAAGAAAATAAAGAAAGAAATACAGAAATAAAGAAAGAAATAAAGAAGGGAAGGAAGGAAGGAGATAAAGAAAGAAAGAATAAAGAAAGAAAGAAAAAAAGGAAGAAAGAAAAAAAGAAAAAAACACACACACATATATATATAGATAAATAAATAGATAGATAGATAGATAGATAGATAGATTATATTTACACATGATGTCCAGGTAGGGAAACTATAATTTGCCCAGCAGATTCTGAATGATTTTCCAGGAGGCGTCAGGTCTTTGGAGAGGGCGCCCATTTTTTTTTCCCGTCCAAGGCATGGCGAGGAATTTGAGTTCGGCCGCTGGGATTTACAATTTCATTTCCCATAGGATCCATGGTGCTGGGATATATGCTAACATTTGGGGTATATTGATGGGATCCATGTTACCATATATGGCAGCACCATGGATCCTATGGGTTTGGCTGATTTTGGATGTTTGTGCTGAAATAAACGATACCATTCTCCCAGCAACCTCAGCTACCTTAGACCTTTTTGAACTTAGGGAGTTGGAAGACTACTTTCCACTCAGAATCGATTAGCGGTTTGCAATTCCCGGGGTCTATGTTGGTTTGGAATTGGCACCTGGCAAATCCACACAGTTTTGTGCTGCTGACCGATTGCTAGGATGCGTTAAGTCTTCCATAAACATGACTAAACACTATTATATTACTGCGACAGGTGCCTTATGAATACATTGCTTCTATGAAATTATTGGTCTATTGGGACATCTTGTGACCAATTCGATTTTTTATAATAATTCAAGTAATCATCCGGAATCCAACATGATCCAACATGCAGAAAAACCAGAATTCAGCCTCTTTTTCTTCACAAAAAGATCCATTGAAAACAGAGAGGTCTTTCCTCTGATTTCTCACCGCTTCTCGCTGCATCTCGCTGCTGTCAGGTGAGGTCTTTATTCATCAGGTCATTGAGACGATTGAGTTTGTGTGCCGTGGATCTGGATGGATCTGGGATCTGGGTGGAGGAATATCCATCATTTATAGGTTGATTATGGTTGATGTTTCCATTAAACCTCTATTTACTTGTGGAGCATCATTTATAGGTTGATGTTTCCATTAAACCTCTATTTACTTGTGGAGCATCATTTATAGGTTGATGTTTCCATTAAACCTCTATTTACTTCAGGGATTTATGGATTTCTAGTGCCATTCTTGATATTCTTGCGAATTTGGATTTGAGCTGCATAGAATGTGCGCTTTTCGAAGCGAAATTGAGATGGCCACCCCCATGCCCTCAATGCCAGTGGATGGTAAAACGATCTGCAACGTATTGGGAGCCAGCGCGGTGTTGGCGCCAATGTGGCGCCAGGGAAACCCAAGGAATGATCCATTGCGGAAGCAGGTTGAAGCTGCAACAAGTTGGATTTTTTCAGCAGTGACAAGTGGGAAATGGGAACTTAACCATCACTGGTTGGTGGTCTGGAACATGTTTTATAATTTTCCATATATATATATATATGATATGGGAATAATCATCCCAACTGACGAACTCAAGTTTTTCAGAGGGGTAGGTCAACCACCAGTGGTGGGTGACAGCAACTGATAGCCCACGGATCCAATCATGGGACAGAGCGGAGACACCAGCACTTCGGGGCTTCCTTGCCTCTCAGTTACCTTTCATCAACCATGGCTAGATGGGAAGTCCCGGAACGAAATAGTACATGGGGACATCGAATCATATGTAGATGTCGTAAATGTGTAATATTCCATTGGCAGGTTTGATTACTGGAGGGTACTGTGGCGAACCTCATGGTCCATCCAAGCCTGGTCTGAAGATCGGCTTTCCCATGTTTTTCTTTGCAAAAAAAGTGCCGCACTGAGGCTGGGAACCGTGTCCCATACCGCATCTTACTTGCGCAGCTCGGCTAGCGGCTAGCGAAGCCCCGAAGCGTGTCGCCATCTCTACTGGGGTTCCCGCAAGAATCCACGGGGAGCAATCAGCCTTCCTTGTGGGGTTCAACCAAGAACTAGCATTCCGGGGATGATAGAACAGCAATCGCATTCTCATGGTGATCCACTTTTTTTGGAAGGGGCCCTCAAAGAATTAGCTGATTAGCTACTCGCCAGTTATCCATTATCCTAATTCCAAAAGTATCCAAAACTCATTTTTGGCTAATTTGGACTACTGTATTTGTCCTAACAAGATCTAACAAGCGCTATTTTTCATATTTACAAACTACCAGCTAAGAATTAGCCTTCAAAGTGCAGTTTATCCATTGGAACATATTTAGCTGGTAGTTTATCCAAATAAGGCATCTCTGGTATTTAAACCAGCTAATTTATCACACCAGATATCAAAAATTTTCCATTGGACACCGCGGAAAACCGTGAGGTATTTGGGCATTGTCTTTGGCCCATCAGCAGCTGTCCTTGGTGTTCTTCCAGAAGACCATCACCATGGGTGCCGAGAAATGCCTGGGTAACGTTGATGGTTCTTTATAGCTAACATGATGCCCCAGTTGAATATCCATTGGAAATATATATATATATAGGACTATATCTCATCATATCTCGCCAGTTGTTGGTTTTCATGGTATTTTTTGAACGGTATCTAGCTGGAGTTTCCAAAAAGCAACGGGGAACTTATTTGGAGATCAGGATGTGTTTCCCAGTATCTACTGTTGGCCATGTTGATGCGCTGCCGCATCCAAGAAAGCTTTGACTGGAGATGGTTTCTCCAGCTTTTCTTGATGAAGAACCCTTTGAGCCTTTGAGTAAGCCCCCACTGTGGCATTTTTTTTTCAACCACCGAATTTCAGTTCGATGGGATTTGTTCCTGATAGCTCTCCACGGTTCTTCCTTGGTGAAATCCACATTTCCATGTCCCCTTTGACTCCCTGACTTGTTGCGAGGCTTGGAGATGTCGTTTCCGCTGAACGGCACGCCGCGTTTGCTGTTGCTGTTGGGGTGTCGTCGGTGTTGTCGCAGTTGCGATTCGTGGGATGATCCACATAGTAGGTACCCTGTGGTAATTCACCATAGCTATGTAGAATGGATCAACATGACCCATTGGGTGTTCGATGATCTACCCGTTTGAAAAAAACAAGTGATGTTGAACGGCCCCATGTTGAATTACCAGAGTGCAAACCGGTCATGGCCTACAGGCCATGACCGGTGTTGGCTATGAACATGTTCATAATCAAGGGGGTTATTTATCCAATAATGACCCAGAAAGTGAGGATTATGATTGAATCATCCCACATCGCCAGCTACAAATGAACGGTGAATTCTTTGGATTTGAAGATTCGATCGGGCCATGTTTCAGCGGATTTTCCATGATTTTCTCACTCATGAGGACCTGAACAGCCATGCAACCACGTGGCCACAAGAAAAACTTCACTGCCTGCAGAGCCCCAGATATACCTAGATGTTCAGCAATGTGGCCCAATGTTTTTAGCCCAAGTTCACCCGAGATTTTGGTAACCATCAGCTATTATCTGGTTGGTGGTTTGGAATCTTTTTCTTTTTTTCCATATATTGGGAATAATCATCCCAATTGACGAACTCATATTTTTCAGAGGGGTAGGTATACCACCAACCAGGGGATACTGATCATCCAGCATCTTGATTTCACCATTCAAAATGGGGATTTAACCATGATTTAACATGATTTAACCATGAAAAATGATAAACCACCCCCATATTTTCAATGGAAGCTGCTGACTGGCTGCCGTGGTCAGGTATCGTGATCTACCTGATGTTTGGTGCTTGGTTTGGCATCACCCTAGCTGTCTTGTTGGGTATGGACGTCCTAGAGCGCCTTGGCTGAATGTGATGAGGTAAATTTCCTGGGGAAATTTGAACATCGGAAAGGAAAGAATTTGGTTTTGCATTTCAAATGCCCCTTAAAATTCAACCAATCTATAGAGATGTATAATAAAGATATGATGATGATCATCAGGAAATGAGCAGAATAGGGGTGGAGAAATGCATCACGTGGCCAAGAGTCAGGCTTCTGGAATTCATAACCTGGAAGATAGCCAAGCCTATCGAATTTGTTTCTACAACTGGTGGGCTCAAATCAGAATTCCAAGAAACTTTGGTTTTATAAAACCAAGCATTTTCGGGAGATGTTCAGGGATTTTTTATGGGGTAACCCCCTCCAATGAGACGCCGAAACCAAGTTAGGCCAAGGATTGGGTAGGAGACCCAGAGTTTCCTAGCCATATGATTGGCAAGTCCAAAAAACGTATAAAAACGTGACGTGCTGGCTTCGTTCTTCCAGGTGTTTCTTGCACACCTTGCGCTTGCACTGGGTGGAGTTCCAGAGCAAGTTCTACAAGGTGCGCAGAAAACATGGCGACCGTTGGTTGGTGGCAGGATCCCAAAAGGTCCAAGAGAAACCTGACAGCTTACAAGAATACGTTCAGAAAGTTCGTGTTCCAAGATTCTGGGCATGAACCACATGGGTCTGTGTGTGTTTGTGTCTGTCTAGTGTAGTATGATGTAGTATGTAGTTGTTGTGTATTTGTGGGCCATTCTTCCAAGCAACTTGTTTTTTTCTTGCAAGAGCTTGGACCCTTGCCCAACGAAAAATGATAAAAGGTATACATATGTATACATACAACAGCAACGATTCTAACAGAAACACTTATCCTCTTGCAGGTAGCATCTATAGGTACCTCTACCCACCACGCACATCGCACATTTGTCGGCTTTTTCAGGCGGAAGGCTTGAAGTTTGCGCCCTTCTCTGTCAAGAAGCTCCTCACACCCCAAGACGAGTGAGTGGCTGGACTGCCTTCAGATTCATCTATTGATTTGGGAGAGGAAAACAGGTGCCACAGAGTTAGCTATATTTAGCTATGTAGGTTTTTTCAGGCTGTTTCTGGATTTTATGATAGGTCTATTAAAAATATATATATATAGTTACATTTTGTTTTATGAAAATTATAAACCAAGAAACGTCACAAAAATGGGGCCACGTCGGATGGTTGAACTCACCCCCTTTTTGACTTTGATTCAGGGCCCAGTTAAACGATGTAAACTTGGAAGAGCCACTGGCAACGAAACCTGGACATGGCAATTAAGATCAATTAAGTGTGCTAAAACAAGTGTTTGTTTTGTAAAGGTTACTTGTATAGCCATTCATTGAAGAGAGGCTTCATACCAGAGCGAAGCCCTGCTCTATCTATGATGTTGAAGATGATGACCCCTGTTAGGCTCTCAAAATATCTCAATATCCCCTATGCCGTAGACCATTACAATTTGACCTTCTTATGTGTTGCGAAGTTACAAATCTCTGCGGCTAATTTGCGGCAAAAACAGCAAGATCCCGAACACCCTGGTGTTTCAAGACATGTTTCCCAGTATTCAGAGTTCCCTGTGCTGTGCCCCTGAGGTCTCCTAGCGCTGCCAGACGGTTGAGGCAGCTCGTTTCGCCGCTAGTGGCGATGCGTCGACGTCGAGTTGATCGCGTCGTCGCGATGTTTTGAGATGGGCACGAAGCTATTTGGTGCAGACGCCGCTTCGGGGATTTGCAGCATGCTTCAGGGTTTTACTGAGCCAAAACATCCCCAACCTTTGGATAGGTCGTTTCCCAGCCAACCAGCCAACCAGCAAAAGATGACAAATTTCTTGTGGACTACCAAAGATTGACCATGCAAAAACATAAAAATAACATAGACATCTGGCCCTTCGGCGTTACACCAAACCATCGTGCTGAAAAAACCGGAGTCCTGCGCTGGGGTTGGCAGCAACTGAAACTGACAAGATGTTTCACTATGAGGTTTGATTCCAATATCATGGCTACATATGGCTACTCCAGGAATGACATAACCAACTTTATGAACTGAACTATGAATGAATCTAGTTCATACCCAGTTGTATTTTTTTGTGAAATTATAGAAAGTCATCAAAACTCAAAAACCATAATCACCAGTTTTGATGGAACGGTCCATGTTAGTCAAGCATTTGCTGTCGCAGCGCTTCCCCTCGAGATGCCAACATTGGTGGAACCGGGGGTTCTAACCGCCCCCTGCTGTTCCAAAATGCGGCGCTGCAAGAGGGGAGGGGGAAGGAAGGGGATGGTTGAGCAGTGGCTGTGACCGACCACTTTTGGCTGATGATTAGTTCAGGGGTTACACTATGCAGTATTATATTGATGTATATTGGGGATTATCAGATTATCACAATCCATGATGGTAAATCCTGTGTAAAGGGCCGACAGTGGGTTTTCAACACTGCTCAGGCGAGTCTTGTTGAGTTAGCCTGTGTGGGGTTCTTGGACGTTCTTAGATGCCTTCAAGGTGGTAACCTGTCTGCCAAAATGATGGGAATCCAATCTTTAAAAGAAGAAAAACCAGCACACATCGGCAATCGTAGTGCAAGGGCAGATGTAAGATGTCAGCTATAGTTGGGCCTCGAAGTTTCGGGCCGGGGTTTGATACGTCATTTTTTTGTGCCACAGAGAGGGTATCCAATCTCAGCCATGTACCAGATACATGGGCATTTGACCGCGGCAGATGAAGATTTTGGCATCATGTTCAGATCAAAAAAGCGACCCCCAAATAGATAGAACAGTTGAACACCTGGAAATATGTGGCAAATATATGCAAATCTAATATGATATATGATACAGTATAATATGATTAATTTTATATATATATATTTACATATTATATACATATATATATATATGCCCAAGGGTCCCCACTTGACAGGTGGGGTGGGGTGTGGGGTGGGGCAATAACGTGTAAGTACACTTATGCACAGACGTTATGCTACGCTACTGGACGTTATGCTATGCTACTTGCGCAGAGAGTTGCGCAGCAAAGCTGTCAGTCAGGTAAGTTTTCAAGCGAACCGTGGGAAAGTTTAAAACGAAGCCACACACGGTTCTATCTTGTTGGTTAAGTTAATTATGGAATTATATGGAATTATTTTAGACATAATCTTTTCAAAATGGGTTTGTCTTCAGATAGGCTCCCCTAAATTATAATCTTGCTGGTGCGTTTTACGTAGGGTTGCTGGATGGGTTGCTGGGGGTTGCTGGGATGATCTGCTTGATAGTTAGCCAGTGGATCTTTCCCGAAAATTCCCTGCGTTTAGCACCAGTAAGTAATTGGTTGATGAGTTGGTTGATCATCAATCTGCCTATGAAACAAGCTGTTTTTCGGTGCATAGACCATCCCGTGACGTCCCTAAGATTTTCCACCTTTCCATCGACAAAGACGGAACCGAGACATTCCACCCACCAACTGATCACTTCCAGAAAAGCAGAGGCTACCCACACTGATGCGTGAAGTGATTCAAGATGTCATCACTGTTCACCATCTTGGCTCCAAAAAACAAAAAACAAAAAGAGCCCAAACACGTTGCCAGAATCAGCTTTGGGAGGCTGAACTGGAGCCTTGAGGAGTGGCCAAGGTTGGCGCGATGTGAAAGTTCGGGGTGCCAGATACTCATCATCTTCGGTACTAAACCCTCCAATTACCTGGGTAGTTTGCAATGACTCAAGAAGCACTCATGTGGCAAAACATGTGACTTGTCGAAATGGTCTGTGCTGTTTTCTAAGACTCAGTAGATCTCAGTAGGCTTAGCAAACAACCTTGTGGAACATACCCATTTTAGATCATTTTAGCCGAGCACAATGGCACAATGTTCAGAGTTTGTGTCAATAACTCCACCTGAAATCACCTGAATGTTGGCAAAAGGTGTAAATTCACACCCTGCGCCAAGGTGAATCTAAGGATCATCCCCTGAGATGGCCAAATCTTTCAGCTATTTTCGGGTTGAATGATGCAGCCGGATCAGATATACCATATATAATATATATATATACACATTATTTTTATAATATGTTATATTCCATATGCTCCATGGTGCTGGAATATTTATACCAACATTTGCCTTAAAAATCACCCAGTTTTGTAGGTAAATATACCATACATGGAGCATATGGGTATCCATTTAATGGTTCTAGTACTTTTGCCCATGCTTTCTTTTGCGAGGATGCGAGGATCAAGGTAGATCCTCATTCGTTGACCATCTATTGATGAGGAAACATTGGACCGGCATCACGGCTGACTAGATTCCTCGTCCTGCTGGTTTCAAACTTCTTCAAGCGTAAATGATGAAAGCTCTACAAACATGGTCTTAGACATCTTCAAACCACATGTTTCTTCCATGTACGTTCCCCAACTGTCAGTTGCTTTACCTAACATTGTAATCTCAACAGGTCGCCATCATGGTGACGAGTCTCTGTTGCAGCCATGAAGTGCGTTTGGCTGTTAGCCTTGGTGGCCTGCCGTGTCGCGGTGGCTGTGGCGAGCATCACTGGCTGCTGGGATGGCGGAGGGGTGGTCGGGTGGTCGGGGCAGGGGTGCTGCAAAGCCACGGATGTAATGCTGGCACACGTGACACGTGTATACAAATAAAATCAAATAAATATACATTATACATTCCATTACTGTACATTACCAATAATAGAGAGAGAGAGAGCAACCACGAAGAAACTAGAACAGTAGATCAACACTGTTTTCGTAGGATTTTACATAGTTTGCCATACATGTGGGGGGATGAACATCCATTTGCCAGCTGTTCGCCAGGGTACCAGGGTTTGATCCAGGGCCGCCATGTTGAGGGAACTCTTAACATCTCTTAACTGTTAAGACTGTTAAGAGGATACCAGGCTTAAGAGGAGCCTCTCAAGCCATCAAGTATTGATGATTGATATGATTGGCTGTCCAATGAATTTTTGAAGTTATTCCTCCCATCATGGAATCCATTGGAATTTACAGGGACACCAGGGACACCAGGGACACCTTGGCTGATGTGACCGCCATTCCCATTTCACTGGGGATCCTTGCGGGTTTTGTTGGACAACTGGCAGGTAATTGTGACCGAGATTTGTCCGCCTATGGAACCAGCACGAGGCGCGTTTTGACAATGGATTTTTTTACCCACGTAAGTATCTGAAAATGTGATATTCCCAATCCCATAGGATCCATGTATGGTATATATGCTAACATTTGGGGTATATTGATGGTAAATGTTACCATATATACTATACATGGATCCTATGGGAATGGTGATGTTTAAAAGTTGGAACTGATGATGTTTGCGAATTCATATTTTCTTCTTGCGGAGAGAACGGGTACAGGGGAGATATAGTCAAGAAAACGATACGATGAATACATCTGAAAATGATTAAATATGCAGTATGCAATTCCAATTGCCAATGGTATAGGAAAGAATGATAAACCAGTGGAATTTGGGTAATGTGGGTAAAGCAATGCCATAAACCATCCCCCAAAACCATCATTCTTGTAGGTGGTATAAACATGTATAAACCATTCCGAGTCATGGGTGGTAAAGATGACATTGTTTACCCGCATTAAACCATCTCAATCATCAACCATGACTATCATGACTGGGGGGTTTTAATCAACAATCATAAACATCATCCCAGTCATAAGGGTTTCCCCTTCGGACAAACTCTACCTGCCACACCTGGGTTCTAATATTTTCCACGCCCTTGTTGTGGATGGTCCTGATGTGGATGAATCATGGGTGAGAAGTATCCAAGTCATTGGACGGCTAGTGTCATCCTTTAGTTCTTTGCTAACTATGCGCATAAATGGAAAATAACCATAACCGGAAAACTATGTTTTTGTTTTTTTTGTGAACTATCAAAGATTCACCATGCTTATAACTGTGATAACTGATAATGGTGTTATATTCTGGATATGATCACAAATTACCCTCTGCTTACTCAACTATGGAAAATCACCTTGTTTAAGTTCAGTAGATCATCGTAAATCATCTATTTAATCAGAAGGCAACAAACCCCATGGCCCATCTAAGTGGGCATCTTTGGTCGTCAGTTTTGCGGGGACTTCCCAGAGTTGATACGATACATTGGCCACGGGCTCCCAAGCGGGTCCAGCTATATTCCATTTCGGAAGAACCACAGAAACAGAGCCTTGATTTTCCAATGTTACAAATTCATACAAATTCCATAAGTTTGTTTTTTACACCCAGCTACAACCATCTTTAATTTTTGTGTTGAACTGGTGTTCCCACTTCATGTTTGCTCCTCGAACTCTGGACCTTGCATGGAGATAAATCGCCGTCCGCGGCAGCCACATCCACGGACGGGGATCTCTTAACTCCAGCAGGTTCAGCCGTGGAAACTGCCAAGCATCGCTGCAGCGGGCGGACGTGGAAGTGCAGTTGCAGGGCTTGGTGGCGAAGATTTCGGTTCCTTGGGAAAACTCGCGAAGATTTCGGTGGGCTGAGTTCATCACCCTTGTTGGTTGATTATTAAAAAAAAGGGGGAAGCTATATCCGATATGTATTGATTATATGATAAATTATATAATTACATTTGTAGTAGTAATAAACAATCAGAAATCATATGAAATCAATTGAAATCATATAATATATATATACATACATGTGTGTAGATATAACATAGATACATACACCTATGCGGTTTTATTTACATACATATACTGGGGATTCTCGTGTTCTCATGTTCGATTATGGGAAGCCGCAGTGACCAACCAGAAGATGGCTCAGTCAAGTTGCGGATTCGAGCAACCCCTTCGTACAAGGTGGTGCCCCCAAACGATAGCCAATAGCTAAGTTGGTGCAAATAACCAGCATAGCTAATTTTGACCCCCAAATCAACGGGGACGCCTTCTAAAGTGAAGGTAGCGCCGGAAAAGGTGGGATTTCTTTGTTCGGAATATTCCTTGACCCTTTGGCTTCCCATGGGCCCTACATATTTTGCGTATGTTTAGCACATGTATCTCCAATTCAGCTACCTTGCGAGTCTTTCCATTGGTGCTTGGGAGAGGATTTGATGAATATGATTTCCTGAAGCGTGAGAGAAATCACTTATCCACGAATTGGATGGATCATTTGATTATAGCAAGACTCCGCAGCTGCCTTTTTTTTCAGGCAAATCTCACCTACAAGAACGAGAAGCACTCCGGTTGCATGCTTTCCTGGGTGTTGTTTTTTTGTCCCCATGTTTGTTTCTTTTTGTTTTTGTGACCGTGCTAGTAGTCAAATGGATTAGTCTATAGTTCATTCTCCCGAAAATGTTTGTGGGCCAAATGTAAATAACATGAGGGCCTCCATTACTTCACAATTGTGGACGGTATCAACTCTAGGGCAAAGTCATTTCATTTATATATATATGAACAATAGGTGGAACACTGTGACGTGGCAGAAGTTAGGAACTTTGTGGACGGCGGCATTTTGGCGATTTTAGGAGCAGTTGAAGGCTGGGTGGTATCCCCAATTTATAGCTTAGTATCATGGTTTTGGCTCAGAGAGTTCTTCGAAGATCTGTAGTTTGGGTCAACCAACTGGATGAAATGGCCATCATTTGTAGGTAGAACTACATCATTTTCCAACACACCCACATATCATATCAAGTTGGTTATTTCTTCTAACCCATGATATTCCATAGAATGCTTGGTTTCCTTATGAAACCACCACACACTAACTTTAAATCCCTTTTTTGCACAGCCCCCTAACAGATAGAAACATGTTTCCAAGATGTTCGTTCGATGATATTTACTGGTTGGTGGTTTGGAACATGTTTTATTTTTCCATAATATTCAATGGATAATCCTTTCCCGAGAACTGCGACCCAGGACGGCCATTGACTCCCCCGTGCTGGTGCTACCCTTGCCTGGGGACGCCGTGTTGCAGGGATATGAGGTGCAGGACCGGCTACGTAGATGCATAGTTGTTTTATGTAGCAAGCCCCTAAAGGAAAAAAACACATCCTACTGAAATACTGGTAAATGTTTCGTTTGGTGATTGATTAAGGGCTTATTCTAGCAGCACCCACAGCTACAGGATTTATAAGTGGGTATAAGGGAAAATCTCAATCATAGATATTTTTATTGGGGGCTTGTTACATTTTGGTGGTCAAATCTCAATGATTGCTATTTGATCCATGTTGATCCAGATTTGGGCCTTAAAGTCCAACCACCATACCTTCTGTTAAACTAACATAACTATGGAAAATCACAATTTTTAATGGGTAAAACCACTATAACTGGCCATTTTCAATAGCTATGTTAAATTACCAGAGGGTAGCGGATATGATGGTGATATCCAGCCTGCATCGCCACAGGACCTGAAAGGTGTCATTGGTCGCGGTGATCCGGGAGCGGCCGGTCAGCCCTGCCCCCATGACATGCTAAGCTTCTACGAGTCTCTTGGCACGACGTGGCATTTTTGGTACCCCATACAATCCTATGTGTCTCTTTTTCCGTATGTATCCATTATATCATATCTGGTTGGTGGTTTAAGGAACATTTTTATTTTTCCATATATTGGGACTGTCATCATCCCAACTGACTAGTATTTGACAGAGGGGTAGGTCAACCACCAACTAGAAATTGTATCTAGGTGTTGGCTTTCAAGCCCCTGCTGGTTTCAACGGAAATATCGTAAACCGTAAATCCTATTAGAATTGGAACAAGATAAAACGAACATGTTCCCCGTGAACAGATGAGCCATTCAAAATGCCCTGGTTAATTGATTGCTATAGGGGATTATACTACCTGGTTTTTCCTGGGATTATGTTGCCACCCAAAGTAGGGAAACCTATCAACCAACTAGTAACTGACTAGTATAGTGAGATGGGATAGGGGTATTTTTAATGGCTCATATGGCAGTGTGTCAAAACCTTGTACCCCTGGTGAACATCAAAATAGCTGGTAAATGGATGTTCATCCCACTAAAAATTGTATTAATAGTAATAGGTATTGATCCATACCCATATGTCAATTAAAGGGCATATCCTGTTTTCATAAGGACAACGCACCAGTCATGGTACCCAGGATGTCGGGTGGTGACCGCGGGAAGCAGCGCGTGCAGCTGAAACATCTGGCGCCGGAGGAAGAGGTATGGCTGCGATTGGAGTGCCTCGAAATGGAGCCACATTAAGCAGGGGTTGGTAACTGTCCCATTTTGGGTATATTGGACATCACCTTATAGTAGCCATTATAGACCATATACCTAATGGTTGGGTGATGTTCAATGGGGACATTTAATGTCCCATGTTAAGTATAATATTGATGGTGATTAGTGGTGATTAATGGTGGTTAATGATGGTTAATAACGGTGATTAATGGTGATTAATGATGATTTCACTTACCCTTTGGTAAACTAACATAACTATGCAAATTCACCATTGTTTATAGGTAAACCAACTATAAATGGGCCATTTTCAATAGCTATGTCAAATTACCAGAGGGTAAGTGGGGATACTGGATGCCATTATCTCCTTTTTCTGGGATATGGTTGGAATATGAGTAGTGGAAAGTCATTACCAATATGACATGTTGAGAAAAAACAAATGCCTTGGAACTGATGATATGGTGAATTTCCTCAACAAAAAATGGGGGGTAGATGGGGTTAGTAAGCATCCATCCAACATCTCTATTCTATTAACCATGTATATAGTTATTAACTAACGTGGGTGGGGATATCCCTCCGTCCTAGAACGTGACAGTTCGGGTGTTCATTGGTATGAATAGGTAATGCCACCTGTTCAATTCGCAAATCATGTTTTGGGGCCAGTGGACCCGGAGAGGGGCAGTTTTTTGCATGTTTTTCCCACATCGAATCATTGATCTCCTTGCGTTTTTTGGCTTCGAGAGGTGAAATTTGACCCGTTTCCCCGAGGTACTTGTTGCTCCTGCAGGCAGGTTGGGGATGCTTTTGGGGAGGATCCAAAAAGTTCAAAAAGTCAGGGGCTTTGCATGTCTAATGAGAAGGGCTCTTGGAGAACGGTTACAGATGATGATGTTTTAGACCTTAAGATGACATGAATTGTTTTCATCAAGCCGCCACCGTGCTGATGAATACCACCATATCCGCCCCCCAGAGTATTCATGACTAGTTTCCACATGTGCCCCAGGATGTATAGAGCTGAAAAACATTGTTGGTGGTTCAGCCATCACCCTAGGCTGGGGCCAATGTACCCATCACAAGCAGTGCCATTCGTGATTGTGGGATGACCTTGCCCATATTAGTCACAAAGCAGTTACACATATGTAAATAAATAAATAAATAAATTATATAATTAATTAAATAAATAAATAAATGAATAAATAAATAAATAAATATACATATAATATATATATATATAATATTTACTTACATGCCACTTCATTGTTTCCTGTGGGGTCATTTGTGAGAGTGGTGTGGCTGCAGCTGAAACTGTATATATTATATATATATATGCAACACACACACATATTATAATATATATATATAATTCGTAAGGTTAAATCTCCCATTACCATCCTGTTTTCACTTGACCCTGGCACATTTGAAGCCAATGCCGCCTTGTGAGAAGGCCAAGCAAAAGGCCGAAGGGAAGCATGTACTGGACTTGCCCATCAGTTTTCCAGCTCTCAAGAGGACGCCGGTCAGTGGGACCATACCAGGGTACCATGGCTGTGTTATGGGGAATTCCGAAAAAAGGTATCGTTTGAATGGGAAAAAACATTGATAAATTGGTTTACATTGGTGAATTTCTGGCAAGCCATGTTTGATTGCACGAAGATAATAGTTGCTTTGCATTTTTGGTGTAACAAAAAATAGTTTTGCAACCTGATTCGCCGATTAATGTGAAAGAATGAGGTGGGAACCCCCCTGTTTCAATGTAAAAATCATCTGCAGGGGATTGCAACCCTGTTCCTGAGGCGCAACCGTTTGATTTTTTTGAGTGTTGCATTTACAACCTGATCACTTATGTTGTTTTTACAATGTTACACCGAACAAAAACGGGGACCCCCACTTTGGCAGCAAAAATTGTTCCTCAACCCCAAACCTTTTCAGTGACATCCAGATTCTTAATAGTTGGATAGTTGGATCGCGCCTTCTTTTTGGTGACTACGGGATGTGCAAAACCCTTATTAAACACCATGGTTCCGCTCAAAATCAAAGGGAAGGGATTACATCCATCAGCACTTTCTAGTCCTTAAATCCACACCAGGAAAGCCATCCCGGTTCATGTCTCCTTGGCGTCAGGAAGCCTAGCCCCAGCGATGCTGTGGTGCTGAAGATCTTTGGTGACTCGGGACTGGCAGATGGCCTGAGAATGGGAAGAGGATAACCCTTGGTGACCGGTAGGCTACTTTGATTTTGTTTTTGAATGCATACTCAGATGATGGAGAAAAGGTCAATAATAGGTGCCAATATTGCTTGATGGTTGGTTTGCTAGCTCATTTGTTGCCTCTCGTATTTGCACCAATGCCTCTATGTGATACATTTGTCATGTCCTTCTGATGTTTGTTTTCTTACGTGTGTGTGTGGGTGAGCGTGTGAGGGGCATCGACGGTTTGCACTGTGAGCGTCAAGCATCCAATTCAAAGTAATCGGGATCCAAGAAGCGTGTGATGATATCAATGGCATTGGGTTGGAAAATCTGCAGAAAAAATGTGGTGTGTACTATCAATACTATCAAATATCAAGGTTTTTGCGGACTTTCCCTCACAGAAAAATTCACTGATAGGAAGGCTACAAAGAAAGACGTCCATCCGAAGCGAAGGATGAAGGCAATTACATAACCCCTTCGGCTAAGTCCCAAACCTTGGGCGGAAACACCCAAGATTGCCATTGTAAAAGTGGAACGTGATGAAACACCGTTGGAAGCTCATAGGTTTTCCCAATTTTTGTAGGGGATGAACAGATGAATTTCCACCCCGTTGAGGTCTGGCCGGGATCGAAGGTGGCATTCAGACCAGTGCACCAGGCGGAATCCCGAACTCCTTGGGTCCCTGGTTGAAGTGTGTTTTTTTGGGTCCTGGTTGCACCGAACATAAACCTTCAGTGAACACCAGGAATGTATAGAAACTAATGACTAAAGATTTTCATGTGATCAAGCTTGGATATGTCAAGATTGTCAAGGGAAACATGTCAATAAGCTACGCGTTTTATCATCGAACGCTGGGCCATTCCTGCACATTTGCCCTCAAATAATGTCATTGAAATTCGATGGCTCAAAGCCTGCTATGTCCTATGATACCATATTTGGTTGGTGGTTTCAAACATTTTTTATTTGTCCAGATGTTGGGAAGAATACTCCCAACTGACTTTCATATGTTTTAGAGGGGTAGGCTCAACCACCAACCAGCCATATTATTTCGGGGATGAGCATCCAAAAATCATTGTTATTTGGGTGTGACAGCGGGGTTCATTCGTCTTTAACACACAGCCAAATATTGACCCAGCTTTAGCAGAGCACCTACAGTTTGATCAGCAAACATGTTTGCCGGAAAATTCTACATTTATTTCAATGATTGTCCCATGAAATATTCCATGTGTATTCCATTTCTTTGATGGTTTTTCCATTTTTGTTTCCTATGAAAACCTTGTTTTTGAAAAGGAATTTGAAAGGGAATTCCCATTTTTCCCATATTCTTCCCATGAAAACCTTCGTTTGCAAAGGACTTCCCATGAAAAAATGGTAAAACAGGGATGCTAGGACAAGACAGGTTGGAGGTCAGGTGGGAGGCTGTTATGTTTCTGTTCAATGTTGTAAATCTAAATGTTTGACTGTTTCTTTTTGATTATCTTGCTAAATGTGTTGTTGAGGTTGTTGTGATAATGTTTGGATTGAATGAAGGGGATAATTGTTGAGGTGGTCAGAGTTTCTATGTGTAGGTTCAGGTTCAAATTCTACCAAACTGTTGTTCAAAGATGTCGAATTATTTGCTTCAAATTCATTGGTCATGTATTGGTTGAGGTTAGGCGCTGTGGTTCCTCTTTGGTTTTGCATATCAAGCATCCTTCAATACCAAAGCCAGTTTGGCACAAATTGACTGAACCGATGTATTGTCCCTTTTCTTCGACATTCCGCAGATGCATCTTTGTGAGGCAGGTTGAGCTTGCGCCGGGCCGGTTCGTCCTTCCAAGCGGTCATGCACGAACACCGCCCGCAAGGGCTTTTCCGGCGCAGACCGTTAAAACTGGTTGGACGTTGTTGAGCACAGGGAGCGTCGTAGTGCTGGTTCTCCAAGCTCTCATTCGAAGGTTCCTTCCTGGCTTCTTCATGAACAGGGCAGTGAGGAAGGCTGGGCAAAGGCTGAAAAGGAAAGAGCCCGCCCCTGCACGGCCTCTCGAAGAGGAATACATCAAGGACTTCATCAATTCACCTCAAGGTGAAGCTTTGAGCACCCGTTCCTTCTTGGTGGTCAGTGGTTCCCAAGGCATTGGGAAATCAACCATGCTGAACAATCTCATGTGTGAGCATGTGAAGAATGGCAAAAGGGTGCTCCCTCTTGATATTTCTGTTCGTCCTGGTGAGGACTTGAAGCTGAACGAGGCGCTACCCCCAGCGTTACAAGCCGTAGATTTGCACCGATACTACCCGTCAAATGTCAATTTTTTGCTGGAACGGGTGAATGAGACGTCCAAGCACCGAACAGGCAGTGCCGTCCTGGTATACCTGCAACTCACAACCAAAAGCCGCGGAGACAAATTTAGTAGGGATGCCTGTGATGACATTGCTTCCACCTTCGGTGCCTTCGCTCGCAACATCACCTACGACAATGCCGCGTGCAAGTTCATTTTGGAGGTTAGCGTGTCTGCGTGGCCGACATCATCACCGAAAGGTTTGACATGTCAGATTTGGTTGTGGTGCGACCGCTGCCTTTCGAAGACTTCACATCTGTGGTCAAGGAGGTGGCAAAGAAGGGAAACGACTTCCGGACGCTGAACAAGGTTCTTGCCGAAGATGACATGGAGCAGGTGTTGAAGCACTACTACATCCGCGTGGGGGGCAACTTGCGCGCCTTGGACTTGATACTGCGAAACGTCTCCAGAGAAGGTCAGAAAGGTGCGGATGCGGTCATCAAGCGGGTTGAGCAGTGGTACAAGGAGAGGGTGGAACCAATTGAAAGGAAATTGGATGACCAGGAAGTGAAGGACTATCTCCTCCAGGTGGCAGGGGCAGGACCCATGGGGTATTTCCCAGAGAGCGACGAAGACACCAAAATGAAGTTGAAGCTTCTTCGTGAGGAACCAGCAGACTGCGTCCTGAGGAGAACAACCAGTGAAACTGTGGCTTTGAAGCATTGGCATTTCGTCGCCAAGCTCTTTCAAGAGGATGAGCAGAAGTTGAGGGATGCAGGATACATGTGAGCTTCGCCGGTGAAAAAAACTGTGACGCTTGAGATGTTTTGTGGGTGAGTCATCCAAGAGTAATTTTCACATATTGCGTGCATAACCGCAGATACCCAACCCTAGTATCAATGGTACCCAGATACCAGTATCCAAGTATTAACGATACCCCAAACCGAGTATCAATGATACCCAGATACCAATATCCAAGTATCAACGATACCCAGAACCAAGTATCAATGATACCCTGATACCAGTATCCAAGTATCAACGATACCCAGAACCGAGTATCAATGATACCGTGATACCAGTATCCAAGTATCAACGATGACGATACCCAGAACCGAGTATCAATCATTCACCGAACAAGCAACAACAGACAAATCGTTTCACCCTGAACTTTTTTAGCCAAACCATCAAACACGGACAAATCGTTTCACCCTCAACTTTTGACAAAAGCATGAAACACGGACAAATCGTTTCACCCTCAACTTTTATAGCCAAACCATCAAACACGGACAAATCGTTTCACCCTGAACTTTTGAAGACAAAAAATCCTTACTTCAACAAGTGTCCTAAAACCATCGTTTTAGCGTTCAAAAAACATCAGTTTAGGACACTTGTTAAAAACACAATTTTTAGAGCAACAGACCCAAAAACACTTAAAGAAATGACGCCTTATAGAATCAAGAATTGAATATGCCCTGCTATATGTATCTTAACGATATGAAGCAAGAAATGGACGAAGACCTTTTTGACCAAATGGCGGAAGCACTACACCAATCCAGCAACCCTCAAAATCCACCAGCCACAACATCCACAAGATGGAAACCCGACGGAACTTACGACAAGAAACCATTAGACACCAATTATTTTTCAACGTATTATCACAAGAAATTATCAACCCCTTTCACCTGTCCAGACTGCGGACGAACCATCACAAGCAAATCCAATCTATCAAAACACCGTCAAACCAACAGATGTATGAACAACAGACGACACTAAAAATAAAACCTTCTCATTAACAACGCTTTGTTAATCACAATGTTTTATCTATTCATTGTCCAATTCCGTTTGTTTGACACAGTTGTTCTTTTGATGCCATAGAGCATAGTATTGAAAAAATCAACGCTTACAAAACGGACCTTCAAAAGGCGTTGTTCTATTATTTTTTCTTCATTCAAACAGCGTTTTTCTATTATTTCCTCTTTATGTTTGTGATAGTATGCTCTGGCACGTGCCTTGCCTCTTTCATAGTATTCTCTCGCTTGCCCTGGATTGTCCAGTTTCCACTCCTGTTGCGTCCTACCTGCAATCTGTCTATTGACACATTATGTTTCTTTGATATGTCCCCCTTCTCTTTTGAACAATTTTTCCTTATTTTGTTTTGAAGATAAAGAAATCAAATCAGTAGCAGAAAAACAAATATATGTCTTTAAAACAAGGATGGAAGCATCGCCAATAGATTTGTCTGATAATGTGAATGACCGACAAATGAGAAGAGAAATAGACATATTGATGAAAAGTCCTACAGTGAAGAAAGGCATATTTTTTCAAGCGACTAAATCTTATGTAAAGAAAAACTTGGGACATACATATCAAATGCTTGAAGACCTTCACAATATAAAAACAATAAAGAATTTTTGGATGTTTCCTAGCTTAAACCGTTATTATGAATTTAGAAATATAGATTTCAGATTAAAAGACCTATTCAAGCTTTTCTTGCGTGAATATACTAAAGAATTATTCAAACACTATGAGCATTACATTAATCAAGATGTAGTAAAAGAACACCTACAAAAAGTGATAGATACTTAAAGAAAAAATACCTATATATAGTAAGTGAAAAATGCCAATGATTGGAGTTAGTGAAGAGGAACTAAAAAGAGATAGAGAAAGATTAATGAATTTTATAAAAGAAAATCCTTATCCTGATTATAACTTTATAGAATATGACCTACTACTTAAGCAAAAACAATCTTTAGAGCAATACGCAGAGTATGGAGAGATAAACCACGACCTTATGAAAGAAATTTATGAAAACATATTTGATAAAGATTTAATCAAAAAACACGGTGAGAGGATACACCATAGAGGAGGAATGACAGCATTACAACAAAACTATTATACACTATTGTCAGTGTTGGGATACTTGATTGACCAACGAGGACTTGATAGAGACACAATCATTTTGGTGTTCTACAACATCAAAACGATTGTTTCTCAATGTTGGGATGGAATAGGTAGTGGTGATGAAAAGTGGAGACACTAAACCTAACGATTAGTTCATAATATCTTAATAAAATATATTATGATGTAATCCACCCTAAAAACCCCTTAAAGACATAACCCCTTAAAATTGTAGAGGTATAATGACTGACAAAAAGCAGTGTTCTAAATGTAAAGTCTTTCAACCGTTAGACTACTACAAAAATGAATGTAAGCAGTGTAATAAATGTTTAGAAAACAAACGCAGATACAGGGAACAGCACAAAGAAACTTTAAAACAATATGCTCAACAATACTACGAAAGGAAAAAGGAAGAATTAAGTGATAAAAAGAAAGAAACGTTGGAATGTCCAATTTGTAAATGTGAAGTAAGAAAATATACAATGAAACGACACGAAGAAAGCATCAAGCATCAAATGAACATTAATGGACACTATCTCATACAGTAAAACCACAACAACCTCAACATACCCTACCCTCATCCAAACCAAACATTAATCAAACAACTCCGACGAAACATTTAGCAAGATTAACAGAAAGAAACAGTCAAACATTTAGATTTACAACATTGAACAAAAACATAACAGCCTCCCACCTGACCTCCAACCTGTCTTGTCCCAGTTCCCCTGTTTTACCATTTTTTTTTTCCCATCTTTTTCCCATCTTCCGTATTTTTCCCATGAACAGGTTGGGACTTTCTAGCCATAGCTGGTGCCACACCCGTTGCCGCTGCGCCGGCGCCCACCAGGTGCCGTGCTCCAACCGTCGGCGCTGGAGACGCAGCGGCTGATGACGCACGTCCTGCTGCGATCGACGCTGCAGGATCTGCCCTTGGAGGTGACCGTGGCCGCCGTGGCCACTGGGACCTGCCGGACCTGGAAAGCCATAGGAAAATGGTGATTGATTGGGGAATTGACTGGGGAATTGACCATAGGGTTTGGGGATATCAATAATATAGTTTTTTGATAGTTCATGGTGAACATATTTCTGGGGCGATCTTGGTTAGATACTTTAATACTTTAATCAGTGGATCAGGCAGCGTGCAACAATTGAGCTCCAGCCGAATTGGAGGTGGTGCTGGTAAGTGATATATATATATATACATATACAATGTGAGGCCCCCCAGTTATGTTTGTTGGTTTGTAATCCCCAGTAACTAGTTTGTTATTTGCCTACCATAAACCATAGTGATGCCATAGTGACATTTGAGTTATGTGAACCCCAACTGAACGCTATTTCGTGGCCGGGGGCCCCACTTTGTATATGGTTTGGAGGCCCCCCCCCCGACTCGACTACAGTCATCATGTGAAACGCCTTTTTTCGCCATGGGGCAGCACCCTGCTGGATCGGACCTCTTCCATTGTGGATTTCCAACAAGGGTTACCAGCACCAATGAGATACCTTGATTTCATCCATGAATGTGAGAATAGCTCATGCCCAGACAAATTTAAATCAACTTGTTTAGGTGGATATTGTGTATAATTGCCTTAGGTTTCAACATCATTCTCTTACATGAGTATCTACGACATTCTAAGACTCTAATATATCAATTCCATGGTTTTACGAAAAAAAACTGATGAAAACTGCACCCTTCCAAGCCATCCCGCCATCCCGCCATCCCGCCATCCCGCCATCCACGGCTGAGGCGGATCCTTCTAGCGTCTTCCACCTGGACCTCCAACGGGACCCGCAGACCCGGCGCCTCGCGGCTGCGCTGTGGATGCCTCCGAGCATCCGAAGCATCGCTCACGGTGGGATGATGGACCTGGTGGCGGCTTGGACATGTGGCTTAAGTGAGTAGTAAGACATAGTAAGACTAGATCATTCCCAAGTAAGTTCATGATGGTTAATGATGGTTAATGATGGTTAATGATGGTTAATGATGAATGATGGTTATATAATGATGGTTAATGATGGTTAATGATGATGATTAATGATGATTGGTGACTGTACCCTCTGGTAGTGACTAACAGTTTGCTATTGAAAATTGCATATTTAGTTTGTTGATTTAGGAACTTAAAGATGGTGATGTTCCATAACTATGTTAGTTTACCAGAGGGTAGGTTACCAGGTTTCATATCGTTTTTCTATGAGTCAAATAATAGGCATAATATTTAGGACTAGTTTATGAGTCGACTATTCTTGTCTGGCTATAGTTTGATGTGTGTATCTCAATCACATCAACTTAAGTGAACCACCGGGTTTCGCATCAGACGCCGTGTTGTTTGTTTGCAAACCTGGTGAGTTGTAGAAACAGCAGTGAATCATTATGAAACCTTGGTGAATGCTGCTTCAGCCGTCCTTTTTCTAATTAAGATTCAAAAGTGTATCATATTTGATTTTGTTGGCGGTGTGTTTACTTGAAATACTCAGTAAAACATAGAACAATATCAAGCATCAAATCATATGGAAAATTCATTGAAATTTAGCCCATGACTTCCCTTTCCGCCCTTTGCTTTGCCGCCTCAGGTTCTGCTGGATTCGTCCGCAACGATGCACGGTGCGCGGCTGCGGCGGGCGAAGCAAGGCCTGCAGGCACTGCTGCGCAGCGTGCCAAGCCAGGTGCGCTTCAACCTGGCAGGTGCTGATGGCCGTTGGGGAGAAAACATGCTGGAGGTTTGATCTGGGATGTGGATAGAACACGGATGGATAGGAACTAAACACACTAAACTAAACTTAGTAAAACAATTTGTTGATTGCAAAGCATCTTCACAAAAACGCGATTTGCCATTTACGTCGAGTTTTTTGAACTTGCGCAAATGGGGCGGATGCCCGCATGGGGATGCAATCATGATGCAACGCACAATGAACTTTACTGCGATATGTGAGTAGTAAGCACATGTAGGTACAGAATGGTACAGAGATATAAATCCCTGAGGATCCATGCCGTTATATACACCAGCAAATAGACCCAACATTGGATCCACAGGGAATAATATTTGAAATTTAACAATGATATAAGCGCTATGCAAGTGGATGAAGCCACTTCTCTAGATTGGCCATGATTTGGGGGGGTATGCGGATAGATATGTACATTCGGCTATTTTTTCGGCTAGTGCATGCTAGTGTGAACATGGAAGCATAATATGGTACAATAGCTAAGTTGGTTTATAACTCCAATAACTATGGTTTATGGTACTTATAACTATAGTTACTGGGGCTTATAAACCAACTTATAACTGGGGGGCCTCACATTGTAGACAAGATCATGGACCATACCTTTTGTTGATCGTTTTCCACTAAAGGTCATGAAAGGCACATAATTCTGACCTTAAACAACTGCGGGTATGTTTGGTTCATCACCCATAGGCATATCACCTGGCTTGCTTCATGATTTTCAGGGTGGCAAGGAGGATTATAAAGAACATGGAAAATCGTCCACAGTGCTTGATGTTATTCTATACACTTATCATGTTTTTCTTGGAACTCCTGTTGACCCCTTAAGGGGCGTAAAAAGGGGGCGGGCCATGGCTCGGGAACGTCCGCTTTCGGGTGGCTTTGGAAAATCTCAAAGATATTGAGGATGTCAACTTGCTGCAAAATCATGTTCCAGACGTGAGGTAGAAAGCGAATCCCGATAATTGACTATTGTATACTGACCCACATGGAACGTGAAGTTCCAAGTTTTTTTTGCAGAGAGGGAGGCCCTTGATGAATACAGTCCTGCAACGATGGTGCCTCCTGATATTTTGATCATCGCAGGTTTTATTGGTTCCCTATCTGGTCCTATCCCGGTGTTGAGATAGCATTATCCCCACAAGGTGGTCCGCCAGTTATAACTGGGTTATAATCCCATGAAAACTAGTTCGATATATCACCTATAAATAGTGAAATTGGACCAACATTTATCACTATTTATAGGTGATGGATAATTCCGGTGTGTTGGATAATCACCTATAAATAGTGAATATAGTGAAATTGGAATAGTGAAATTGGACCAACATTTCAACCAACCGCGAGTTTGCTCACTGGAAAACCACCCTTGGATCTTCCTGGTGGCCCAGGGTTCGGCGTGGCCCAGGGAGCTCTGCTATGGTCCAAGAGCCGTGCGCTGGAGCAACAGACCTTCGAAGCTCGGCTGCATCGTGACAGCCTGAGACCTCGGCTAGTGCAAAAAATATGCTGCGGACCCCGGGTTTTTTCCTTCATTTTTTAAGGTCACTTGGGTCATCTTTTAGTGATTTCCTGGCATCTTGTTGAGTTTTGTGAGTTCCTGGCATATTGTCATTTGCCTTTTTCATGTTTGTTTTCTTGGTCATTGTTTATGTTGCTGCTATTTTGTCATGTGTATAGTGTATGCAGTGCTTTCAATGCAGGGTTGCATCATTAGATATTGTTTAGTGGTCGTGTTTGGTGGTTTTCTCTCTTGCTCCTTGTACTGTTCTCGTCCTTGTGGTCGTTTGTTTTGGGTGTTTGAAAGTTGTTAGCCGCTCATTTGCCCCTATTCGGTTTGCATGTTCCTTCCGGTGCTTGTCAAAATAAAACCAACTATAGACTATACTATAGACTATAACTTCTATAACTATATAATAAATATATATATATACAGTTACCGTATATACAATATATAACTATAATATATATATATAATATATATGTATTATATATTTTATAGCTGTGTCAAAGAATAGCTGTGCCCAGTGCCAAGTGAAAGAAATAATGATATCAGGCACCCAGATTGGCATTCCGTTTGTCATATGTGTTTGAAATTGCGAACGCATCAGGTGTGAAAGCAGTTTGCTCAAGTTTCTAAGCTCATAATGCATGGATCGTTTGGGCCTATAGTACCATAGGGAGTATGTGAAGGAAGGTATGTCAGGCAATGTCAACTCTGTAAGATTTTTTGACACTGGGTGAGAAAGTGGTTCATGGGGATCCAATGAACGATAGTGACTTGGTTTTCCAGTGCCCACGGCAAATCAGATGCAGCCGGCATTGATATCCGTGGCAGTTGGAAAACCTTGTGGTTGGAAGTGCGTTTTTTGTTGATGCTTCCGGCTGGGATCCTTCAACATCGAAAATGAGAGCGATCAATGACAGTCGAAGGTGGCTTGTACGGAGTGAGATTGAACAGGGCCATGACACAGCGCGAATCAAAATAAAGTATTTCTTGAATAGGTTGATTGTGAGACATAGGTGAATTTAAATCATCTGTTTGGCAGACATCCAAGGGCACCCTGTGGGAAAGCTACCTCAGATGATTGTGGGTTGGTGGGAGAGGGAATCTACTGTTTCAACAGGAGCTTCAACTTCATGCAAAATGTTCGTCGAATTAGCACCAGCGATGTCCCAAATTCCCACAGGCTGATGAGTATAATATGGGGCCACCTCTTTTTGCGATAGGTACATGATGATGATTGGCATGCCAGGCCCAAATCTGTTTTCCCATTGACATCGTTTTTCCCAACAGCTTTCAGCTTCACAGCTCCTCTGGCAATTTAGGAGGAACTAGATCAGCATCTGAAGAAGGAGGCCTGTGGCAGAGGTTTAGTGCAGCCGACGGAACATGCTCACGATGTGAGGATTCACGAAGTATTTCTTTGGGGCTCTCAAGGAACATGGAAGGATAGTTAAGTGAAGTGTTGCCATCCCTTCTTTGCAAGACCCCACATGATACAACTTATGACAATTTGATGGCCTCAAGACCACTGAAACAGTTGGGTCACTTGAAAGTGATCATCAATGTCACTCCAGTCTTTGCCTGGCATGATCCCGTTGTATGGTGTTACTTGTGCTCGAGCGTAATCCATGAGGCGGCAAGACATTTGCTAAAGTGGGCTTATCCGGCCATTGTGTAGACTCCAAAATGTCCCCTGCAGTTTGGAAAATGATGATCAGCCATCAGATGTTGCTCTACTTTGTTTAATCCAAATAGTGACATCACATGATGGGTAGGTTAAGCTCACCCACCACCGCAGAAATTTACCAGGCCATCGAAAAATGGGCTTTGGTGATGTGATGATTTAGATATATTTAGATGCTGGAACCTAGACATTCGCCCATCCTTCAGTGGGGAAACCATTCTGGTTGTAGGTCATTGCCGCCATTGCCGTCATGCATCACCCCGGGTCGCAGGCAGAATCCGCTGGAGATCCCCTCCTTGGGATCGAACCAGTGCTGTCTGCCGTCTTCGCAAGCGCCTTGGTGATGACGTGGCCATGTCACCAGCTGCCTTAAGGCGGCTAGGACGGCTAGGACGGCTAGGAATCTATTGCGTTTGCATTCCGAATCTTTCATGGGTAACATGGTTTAAGGATGTTTAAGGCGAATTGGGGTTCGAGGCCAGCACATGAAATCATGTCATATAATGTGTATATATATAACATGATATATTGTAATATGATATGGGGACCCGCTTCGGCGTTTTAGTGGTTGTGTATGTGGTTCCTTGTGGATGGGGTGATTGGTTGATGGCATTCAGAGCTCAGGCGAGAAAGGTGTGATGGTGATGTCGGACCCTTTTTTTTTGGGAGAAATGTTATGCACACTGCTTATATGTGGGTAAAGAGTATTGGTTAAGCGATGCTCAGCCCTGAAAGCTCCCAGAGAGTAAGGATGATGACGATCATCGTCAAACTTTGGGATCCAAAATTCCAGTGTATCTCGAACATTCTCGAACTATCAAGCACTTACAGGATTTTTAAGGGATTTTAGCTCCATTCATGGCAAAGCATTTTTTTCTACCCATCTTTTGGTTTCAATCAACTTCCGCATGCTGCACATGTCTAGCTGCTGTCTAGCTGTAGGGCAAACCAATGAAAGCCCTGGCGAAACAATGCCTGGTAGTATGGTACAATCCCCCACTAGCCAATCAACTCTTAGGCGGACCCTAATTTTGGTTGCTCAGATTGCTTTACTCTCCCATTTCTTGATGGTTTGTATCAAACCCCATCTCTCTTCATCGACAATCTTAATCTTAAAGCTCCATGTTTGCTGCATATTATACAGTATAATTCCTACCAGGCCCTATCAACATGTTTGAGGTAGTATAGTATGCTGCATTTCTGACTCAGGATTGGCCGACGCGCAAGAACTTCGAATAATGGTGCTGACAGATCGCTATCCACCCGATCAGACACCAACCAGATTTGCTTCGCTGTGTGTGTTTCTTTTTTGGGGTTGGGGGATCCACACACCCTTCAAACGATATACCATCTGGTAATTTAACATAGCTATTGAAAATGACCATTTATAGGGGATTTTCCCATTGAAAATGGTGATTTTCCATAGTTATGTTAGTTTACCAGAGGGTACGTTGCATCTCCAAGGACAGAAAAGGGATGAACTGGGAATCTCATTGAAATATGACCTAACTAGTCTGGACCTCTTTGATCTTTGTTAGATGCGCATGTAGTATCCACCTTGTGTGTCTACAGACACATCAACGCTATGCATCAGACGACATGTTGTTGTACAGTGATGCATAAAAAATCATGCATTGTATACCAGTAGTACCGCACAAGGCGGTGGCAAAAGTTTCAAAAATAGGAAACCTATAGGAGAGCTTGGTTGTTGTGAATCCGGGATGGCAGAGCGAATCCACTGACGGATCGAAAGGTGCTTGAGGTCTCCTCTCTTTCTCTCTCTTTTTCTGACTATCTATATATCTATCTATCTATCTATCTATCTATCCATCCATCCATCTATCTATCTATCCATCCATCTATCTATCTATCTATCCATCCATCTATCTATCTATCTATCTGTCTATCTATCTATCTATCTATCTCTCTCTCTCTCTCTTTCATCTGTCTATCTGTCTAACTGTCTACCTGTCTATCTGTCTATCTGTCTTTCTATCTACCTATCTATCTATCTATCAATCTATCTAGCCATCTATCTAACTATCTATCTATCCATCTATCTATCTATCTATCTAAGTATCTATCTATCCATCGATCTATGTATCTATCTATCTACCTATCTATCGATCTATCTATCTATCTATCTGTCTGTCTATCTGTGGTGCAGTGTCATTCAGTGTAATGTAGTGTAATGTAGTGTAATGTAATGTAGTGTGGTGTAGTGGAGTGTGGCGGAATGTAGTGTAGTGTAGTGTAATGTAGTGTAGTGTAATGTAGTGTAGTGGAGTGTGGCGGAATGTAGTGTAGTGTAATGTAGTGTAGTGTAGTGCAATTTAGTGTAGTGGAGTGTAGTGGACTCTAGTTGTGTAGTTGTAGTTGTAGTTGTAGTGTAATGTAGCGTAGTGTAGTGTAAGGTAGTGAAGTGTAGTGGAAGATAGTGTAGTATACTGTAATGTAGTGTAGTGGAGTGTAGTGTAGTGCAATGTGATGTAGTGTAGTGTAGTGTAGTGTAGTCGAGCGTAGTGTAGTGTAATGTAGTGTGGTGTAGTGTAATTTAGTGTAGTGGAGTGTACTGGAGTGTAGTCTAGTGTAATGTAATGTACTGGAGTGTAGTGTAGTGTAATGTCCTGTAGCGTAGTGTAGTGGAGCGTACTGTAGTGTAATGTAGTGTAGTGAAGCGAAGCGACATCTGAACCTCCAAAAGTGGTCCGAACCCCTAGTGCTTTGAACATTTTCACTTTGAAATGTGCTTCGCGCCACAAGGGCGTCCACTTTTTCGACATCTCAACCTCCAAAAGTGGTCCGAACCCCTAGTGTTTTGAACATTTTCACTTCGAAATGTGCTTCGCGCCACAACGGCGTGCACTTTTTCGACATCTCAAATCCCAAAAGTGGTCCGAACCCCTAGTGTTTTCTACATTTTGACTTCCAAATGTGCTTCGCGCCACAACGGCGTGCACTTTTTCGACATCTCAAATCCCAAAAGTGGTCCGAACCCCTAGTGTTTTCTACATGTTGGCTTCCAAATGTGCTTCGCGCCACAACGGCGTGCACTTTTTCGACCTCTCAACTTCCAAAAGTCGTCCGACACTTAGGTGCTTTGTACATTTTGACATGGAAATGTGCTTCGCGCCACAACGGCGTGCACTTTTTCGACATCTCAACTTCCAAAAGTGGTCCGAGAAATTGGTGTGTTTTGTACATTTTGACTTGGAAATGTGCTTCGCGCCACAACGGCGTGCACTTTTTCGACATCTCAACTTCCAGAAGTGGTCCGAGAAATTGGTGTGTTTTGTACATTTTGACTTGGAAATGTGCTTCGCGCCACAACGGCGTGCACTTTTTCGACATCTCAACTAGTAAAAGTGGTCCGAAGCTGTTGTGTTTTGCACATTTTGACTTGGAAATGTGCTTCGCGCCACAATGGCGTGCAATTTTTCATCTCTCATCTGGCCAGCTGGCTCCGCACCCGCCGCTTTAGCGAGCCTACTTTTCGACCCTCCGGAACGACAAACCATTGGAAAAACACAATGTTTCGTGACTTTCATACCTTTTCGCGCATCTGCATCTTCTTTCTTCTGACTCTTTCTCTTCTACTCTTCTCTCTTCTAATCTTTCTCTTCTCTCTGACCCTTTCCATCTCTGCTTTTTCATCTGTCCATATTGTCGAAAGTTTGACTTCTAAACTTCCTTCGATTATATAGTATAGATTCAAGAATGTATTGGACATGAATGCATCCATCTAAACTCAGACATACAGCCATGTTTATTTGAATTTGCATATTTTGACAGGCAGATTCACAGAACTTGCAGATGCTCTCAGGAGAGCGGCCATCGACCTCATCGAGGACCAATGCGATGTGGCTGGGCACAGAGTGTGAAGTGACCATCGACCTTTTTTTGGTGGTTATTAACCGTTATTAACCACCAAGACATGGGTAATAAAGATGACATAACTGATCTTAAGTGTGAAGAATCGGGGGTCCTCATTGGGATTTTTGGGTGGTGCTACATCCTACCTTTCACGGCTTGGGTACCGATTCCTTTGGGGAGACCCAAGGGATCAACAAACCAACAGGAGTGTGGTCGCACAGAAACCTTTTTGGGGGCTTTGATCTCAAGAAATCCCCTTTGAAGCCCTTGGGAAGTGCTCCCACTACTAGTAGATATAGTAATAGCAATGATAACAAGATATATATATATATAATGTGATAGTTATCATTGCTATTACTATGTTGTTTGAGCCATAGATGTCATATTTACATGCCAAATTGCATCCCAAGCTTCTCCACACACACACACATGTATATATATATATATATATATGTATATCATGTATAATTACATATGTGAGTATTTTGTATTATTATTGATAAACATGTTGATTATCATTATCATTATTTTTTTATTATGCAATGTACATGTATAGTCATTTCTAAAGTCAATTAAAACGATAATACGCTCTTCAAAAAGTGATGACTTGGAGCTATGTACCAAATATTGACCGTGGCCCATATAGATAGATATAGATAGATATAGATATATATATATACATATATATATATACATCATGTACATTCCAAGTTGCCGTTTCCAGGCCAACCGCTGCCGCCTCTTCGTGATTGGCCTCGGCTGGGGTGCTTCGCCGCTCTTCGTGGAGTCGGCCGCCGAGGCGGGCCACGGCGGCTTCGCCTATGTGGCCGAGCGTGGCGTGGCCGGAAGCCATGGAAACCCAAGGGCTTCCGCGGGAAAAAATCGACGTTTCCCCCCAAAAAAATGGAGATGATGTTAGAATTGATGTGGTTTCTCTGAAATCAGGGGTTTTAGGTGAAAGTTTTGATGTTTATAGTGATGCCCCTCAGTGATGGCATATTGATCGCCAGTATTTAGATTATTAGACCAGAAAAAATGGGATTTGCTTAGAGGACTATGCCTCTTAGTCAGTGGTAAAGTCGAACCCTCGTTAGAAAGTCCTTTACTTGGGTTATCCCATTCATACATGAATTCAGTGGCCATTTCAGGAACCTAAATTGGAGGTACCTACCATATATAAGGCCTATGTAAGGCCTATGTAAGGGAATATCCCCTCAAAATATAGTCTTATATGGTACAGTACCTCCATTTTAGGATCCTGAAATTCCAATTGATGAATTCATAGATGGGTTAAAAACCATAGTTCCTAACAAGTTACGAAACTCGGGTACAATGGAACACATTCATGGAGCACTTATTGATTGGTTAACTGGTCGGTATGATAACCCCAAGTCATCAATATAATTAGGGGGATAAACTAGCGGTCTATAGCAGTTATTGGGGTTTATGATTATAGTGCCCAGAATACCTGCAGAATACGGAAACCCCATTATTTTCCAAGAAAAAAATGCATTTTTACGACATGATTTAACCATTGGCTAACATTAAAATTTGAAATTCACTTGAAACATGTGGGATTGAAGTTGAAGTATCAAAAGCGGGGATGATGTCAGTTGTTTCTCTCATACGCTGATGAGGTAGATGTGTGGAAAGTGAATGAAGGCTGAATGGCGGGTGAATGGTTGGATGCAGGGTAGATTGCTATCTAAGAGGTGGATGTGCGCCCAGGTGATTTGACTTTTGGATTGGAGAAGAACTTGATTTCACACATGATGCTTGGCTCAATTCGGACATGACAGTTTTGAATCTGTGCAACGCAACAGGCCTCACCAATTATATAATCAAACAAATGCAATGCCTTCATTTTTCGGACTGCTGCAAATGCACGGCTGATTCTGTGATTGTTTAAAGTTGCGGAGAACCAAGAGTTTCAGCCCAAGGCCAATTTTTTGATGGATGAGCTCTTGAAAAACATGTTGATTATCAACTTTGCAACGGCAAGACATCATGGCTACTAGCTGGGTGGCTTAACCCGGGAAGCTGAGGATGGATGCGTGTGTCCCATCCATTCATGATGTGCATGTGCAATGGAAGGTTCCGATCAACTCAGCTGCGTTTTTATTGTTTTAGAGATGGGTTGGGTGATCTGGGAGTGGTTTCCCGGTGGCATATTTATCATGTCCTTGGGGCTTGTTTGCCGGAGGTTCCCTTGATGTGGGCAAGGTTCCACTGGCGCAGCTTGCACCAGTTTTGTTAATGCCTGCAACTGCCATGAAAACTGTAGGTTACAAACCAATTTGAGTAACCTATCGATGAACAAAGATATAGCCACTTGTTGAAGCCAGACTTTCAGTATCAATCGACCAATTCACTTACTCATGAGTCAGCACTTTGTCAAATTTGTGGATGGTTTGACCAATTACATCGGCTTTGTTCCAAATTTTATGGTGGTAAACTTGCATGTCGGTTAACAAAAAATGGGACTACAGACAAATATCACACAAACCGGATGTGGCCCCCATATCTGTCGGTAAACATCGTGCTTTTTAATACCGGCTTCCCGGTACCATGTTTCTGTTGGTCAAGTCCCACTGGTATGGGCGCCCAAGGTGACCCAGCCATAGCCAGCCACTATTATAATAGGCGGTTGTCAGCACAAATTAAAGTTCTTGTTGGTGGTTCGTAACCCCCCAAGAAATCGTTATTATTGGCGGGTTCACCTTTGGGGTTGGTGAAATCCCAACATGTAGTTTTTCCCAACAAAAACACATCTTCTGTGATATACACGCTCCCAGGAATGTCCGGCAAACTGGCACCTTTTTGTTGGCTGGTTTTGGAAAGGCAACTGTATAAATATATATATATATATTTGCCATCAATGCAACTCTTGTTGCTATTGGAAACCAGCAGAAACTTATATATCAAAAACAATCTGCAAATCCTCATGTTGGGTAAATCATCGTTTATGCTGGTTGAACACATTTTGTCTGGTGGTTATCTAAATATTATACCCATCTCATCCGATGTTTGGTGGGTACACAACCCAATTTCAATGGGTTAAACTGTTCAACCCTCTTCCAACTGGAGGCTCCAGAGCATCTCTGACTCTGCGCAGGCCTTTGGTGATGGCAACCTTTCCACCACCGAGCCGTTGGAAGTTCAGATCGACCAAGAAACGCGGGGCCACCGTGGCCGCATGGTGGCCATGGCACTGCTCGGCGAAGTCACTGGTGGCTCGCCTATACTGTCGGAGAGGCACCACATTGCCGCTTCAAAATCGTATTTCTCGTGAAAAACGAACGGTGTTGAAATTTTGTTGCTGGTTTCCGGAGGGTTTTCTTAGTGAGTACTGAGTATACTAGTATTATACTATAGTATATGATGTACTGTAGTTTTTTTTGGAACCATACCTGGGCGTCTAAGATTACCCGCAAGTTGGGCACTTTCGTACGTTGAAAGTGGGTCGATTGACAAGTTATATCATGTCATCCACTGAACTGAACTCTAGTGAAAACTGTGTCTATCCGTTTTTGTCTGCATCATGTTTCGGTTGTCTCAATACTTACTGGTGCTAAACGTAGGAAACGTAGGGAATGGATGGGTTGCTGGGGGTTGCTGGGATGATTATTACTAGTGATGAAATGGATCATTCCCGAAAATTCCCTACGTTTAGCGCCAGTAAGATATGTTTCAATCAATTGTTTGGTGGGAAAATCTAGTCGGACACCTCTTGACAAAAAGACAAAAATGGTGTTAACAGCTGCATGGTTTCCTGTAGAGTTTCCCTTCAAGCCATTTATTCAGCCGGTCGTTTCATGGCCCGTTTGACAGGTAGCTAAAAGGAACAAGAAATGGTTGAGACATGGTAGGATTAGGTGGCTCCAGATCATATTTGGGTTGATTACACCCTTTGACTATTTTTGACTCACTTCAGCATCATTCCATAAACGCTGTTCCAAACCGTTGGGATTGACAGTGGATCATTCTAAACGGGATATACCGCTCTTAGCACCTATTTCTGGCTCAATCTTGAATTGGTAGACCAGCCTTGGTAGACCAGCCAGCCAAGAATTCACCGTTATTTTCTCCTTTTTCTTTGGAAGTGAAAACATTGTTTCCTGTTATGAAATATAATTAGTCATTCTGTATTTGATGGTTATTATATACTCCCTGAAGTATCCCAATTTATGACAGTTACAATAAATTTCATCCCATTCCACCCAAAAAAATGTCAAATGTTTCTCTTAGAATCCTTGTGTAACATTGAATCATGAGTCGGCCACCCTAGCTTCGCAAGACCAACCGGGTTTAGCTTCCCGAGGCACCATCACCTCGACCCTTCACGTGGACGCCGTGGTGGGCGGCGTGGCCGGCCGTTTCCAGGTGCCGATCCAGGCCCTATCGGAGGGAACGGCGCTGCATGCCATGGCACCTGGGCTGTCTGGGCTGGGCGGCTTGGAAGGTTCGTTTAGCCATTTGTAAATGGGACAATGATACATGTTTGTAAATGTGGAATGACTGGGAATGATTCATGTTGGTTAATGTTGGTTAGTAGTGGTTCATATTGGTGGATAGATAATAATAATAATAATATGTTTAATAGTGATTAATAGATGTTCATAGTGGTGAATGTGGTTAAAACAATGACATCAACCACCCATGACTGGGAATGGTTATGGTTATAATTACCAACAATGTGATTAAAACATATTAAAACAATGACATATGACATAAACCACCCATGACTGGGAATGGATTTATACCACATTATACCACCTATTTATGGTAAATTTGAGGATGGTTACCCTCTGGTAAAGATACATAACTATGGAAAATCACATGTTTTAATGGGTAAGTCAACTATAAATGGCCATGTTCAATAGCTATTTTGACATAACCAGAGGGTAATCATGGGTAATCCGTGAAATGGGGACTTACTAACCAGGCTTAGAAAGACCACTTTCTACGTGGGATGATCCATGGATGATCTAAGTAGGACGCGGTGATTTTGCATTGATTAAAGTGGACAATAAACCCTGGAAAGTATAGAAATGGCCACCGTAAACCCTAAAGTTAGGATGAGTTGTAGGCCAACTCTAGCTCCGGGACATGTGTCTTGTGAGTAAACGGTTGGATTCACCCTTTACAATCGTTCCAATTCCAATGTTGTAAGCCCATATTTAACTCTAAAGTTACACACAAACACACACACACACGCACGCACACACGCACACACACGCACACACACGCACACACACGCACACACACGCACACACGCACACACACACACGCACACGCACACGCACACGCACACACACACACACTCTTTCCCATTCCAATAAACATGATATGGTCATGATCAATATTGTCAATATTGGATATATTAGCTTCTGACAGTTAAACATGGCTTGCTGCACTGTTAAATGCGAGCACCATACACTGGGGTTTTGCGGGTTGAATATAGCCACTGGCCGTGGATCCCTGAAGTGTCTTAGGCGTAGCATTTACTTCGCCCGAAATGTTGGAAAGTGTTGCCACAAACAGCCACCTTATGAACTGCCAGGTGCAGTGCAAACACCTTGAAAATGTATGAAAATGTTTCAACTGTCTCTTAAGTGACAGCTGAGTCAAACTTTAGGGCAGATCAATTGCACATGTACACGGACGCCTTGCCCTTGGGGCAATTTTATATTTTGTCTTGAGACGGGGGAGCGCAGAAAAGGAATTATCAAGTGGATATGTCATATGTATAATATATATATATATACATATCCAATGCACTCCCACTTCGTATAAGTTTTTTTTTAATTAGCCAAGAAAATCACGGGGTTGTTCCCTGGTTGTTGACCGCATAGGCCAACTGGGATGCGAACAGTTTCCTTCTGTCCCAAGGCCTTGTACCACATGATCCAAGATGAAGAGAAAGGTGCGACTGGCGGATTCTTCCACTTGTTTCGGGGTAGGCACAGTCGCTGGGCTCACTTCCGGGTTCCTCCAAGTGACAAAAAATCGCACCAAAAAAACCATGCCGACGCTAGTTTCGAATGCATTCTCACAAGTCCGGTTGGCTCAGAGTTCTCCAAATCCATATCACCAAATCCTTTCGGCAGTTTGTTTCACCAAGGCGCCCATGCTTTCCAGATCTTTCCAGTTCGATCAGCACCATGTCCAAGCCACATCCCCATTCCCCATCCCTCCCGCCAGGTGTCACGGAAGCGCTGGCAGTTGCCCACCACCTTCCCCTGGGCGCTTCGCAGTGGCTCAGCGCCTCGACGTCCAAGTCGACGCCTTTGCGCTGCGCGCAGGGCGCGGAGAGTGGCGTCACGGCCAAGCTAACAGAGGCCCCTTCGGGGGCTGAGAGAAACACCAGTTGATTTTTTGGTGACTGGGGGGATAGGATGCAGGATGATATTGATTGATTGATTGATCATGGATTATTGGAGTAAGTTCTTGAATCTCTTGATTTCTTGTTTTTTCCTCATTGAACTGATGTGATTTCATTCGAATCATGGATTACCTGTTAGTCCTTTTCTGTGATAGATTCTATAGATTTGTCTGGGAATTCCTGAAATCTTTTCGAGCCCAACCCCACCGGCGCACATCTTGTCGTTCCTCTTGAAGCTAGTCAAGTCAGCAGAGATGGATTCTATATGCGTTACCTTCTGCTATGTATCTTTATAGCATCTGGTTGGTGGTTTGGAACATTTTTTTATTTTCCATAATATATATATATAGGATAATCCTTCCCATTGACTAATATTTTTCAGAGGGGTTGAAGCCACCAACCAGGCATGTTCTTTTTTCATGAGTGCCATCTCCCCAACTAAATGATCTCCGAAGATCCATTGGATTCCCCAACTAAATGGACAGCAGTTTCTCGGGTCCGATGGCAGGCTGCCCAACTCTCCACTCGAGAGAAGATCGTTCAGACGAAGCGACTAGCCTCCACCCCAAAGATGACCCAACATGTGACCTTTCAGTAGTCAAAGAATGGCAAGAATGGCAAGAATGGCAAATCCCTCATGATACATGGAGGTTTTCATAGGAAAACAGGGAAACATAGATCATATGTGGGACGTTTTCTGCCAGCTTTAATCACCAGAGGGTAGCCTCCGTTTCAACTTTCAACCCACAAGTAAGACGGCTTGCATTGTACCAGCTGCGTTGTGACACGGAAAATGATATGAACATCACCTGTCATAGCCCCTTTTGGTGGCTTTCATGCTGGCTTTCAGAGGTCGGGTTCTTCATTTTTTTCCGGTCCAACTGCACCACCTTCAAGCCAACCTGGACCAAACCTTCCAGTTTTGGCCAGGTCCGCCTCCAGGTCACTATCCTGCCCCGGGCATTCTTGAGACCAAAAGGTTGGTGGAACCAGAAAAGAATCACCAGCAAGGCACATCGTCTTTCTGAAATCTTGGACGATCCCCGTGAATCCCAAGTGACGTTCATGGCCAGGGGATGTTGGGATGTACCACCAAAAATCTACGACGTAAATGCCCGTAAAACATCCGAGGGACCATCTAGAGCCAACATGTTTCACCTCTTTGCTTGGCATATCTTGGCATCAATGAAATTGGTTCATCCTCTGAGGAAAGATCCTGACAGACCTTTATCGTCGCCTATGAAATTGCAGCAGATCTCTGGAAAGTGACTGGGTTGCGCAAGCTGGGAAAACGATTCAGGGTCCACGGAACCCTCAAGATTGATGATTGTAGTCTATCATGGTCTATCATATTCTGTAATTAATATCTAACACCCCGAAAAGATAAAATATGTGTTGCCGCTATATCCACTGTTATAATATACATATATATATATACGTATAGAATAGGATGTTACTGTTCTATTTTTTTGCGGCGGGGCTATAGCTTATAATGATCGCACTGGCGACTATGAATGGTTTATATCAGGGAATCATCCCAAAAAGTGTTTCCGACTTGGGCCAAGATGGTGAAAATGATAGGGGTCATGTATTATGAGTAGATTGTACACATGGATCTTAAAAACATGATTCATGGAATATATCTATAGAGTTACCGTAGCTGCCAAAAAAGATAGAAAAGCAAAGTTCGACTCAAAATATTGATGTATATTTTCCTATTATTTTCTTTCCCTATACTTCTATTTATTTATTAGTTCATTTTCTCCATTCAAAATGTTTATTTTTGATGTTTGCCATAGTCAATGTACGGCCTCTGTAAGGGAATGTCCCCACAAAATATGGCCTTAATATGGTACAGTACCTCCATTTTAGGATCCTGAAATTCCCATTGATGAATTCATAGATGGGTTAAAAACCATAGCTACTAACAAGTTACGAAGCTCGGGTGGTCTTCCAAGGATGGACAACCCTTCTGGTTGAAATGAGTTTCCTGCCACATTCCTTCGAGGCTTTCCACCCTGAGCTTCACCACCCTGGGCCGCAGCGTCTCGCTCGCGCACGCCGATCGCGCCGCGCGTCGCCCGCGCGAGCCGCGGGAGCCGCGCGAGCTGCGCAGCTGGGAGCGTGGCGAGGAGATCAGCAGGCGTCGATTTCAGGGTGATTTTACTGGATGATATGGTATATATATATATATATATGTATGTGTATATATATATATATATGTATATACTAATGGGATAACTAACTGGGATAGTAATGATATGGTACTGGTTGGTGGTTTGGAACATGTTTTATTTTCCATAATATATGGGATAATCCGTCCCATTGACTAATATTTTTCAAGAGTTTTAAAGCCACCAACCAGGGTACGTTAATGGGATAATTAACTGGGATAGTAATGACATTGATAAGGTCAAGAGACAGCATGGCTATATACTTCACCACGGTTTGATGGTGCCGGGTGAGGGTAGCAATGTTTTTGGACAATCTGAGGACAAGTATTTGTGGGAGAAGAGGTGTTTGCAAGGCTGCTTCCATGGCCAACAACTGTTTCTCTGCGCGTTGACCCCGGCAGAAGTTGTCATTCTTGAGCTTGATCGGACTGAGGGCTGGCGACACTGCAGTGTGTCTCTCTCAACCTGTGACGTGCACGGCATTCTGACTGAGCTCGAACATACACAGTGGATCGCGCCTTCTACTTTTCACATCCGGCTGCTCCTATTTGACATATCCAATGAGGCTCTTTGTGCGGGATGAAGTGCTACGAACCATTCCCTTGCCCTATGCACCGTTTCATCCCCTTTCAATAGTAGTAGAAATATCCCGTCTCCCAGCAAAGTGGATGAGGGAAATGAAGCAACTTGTGCACCAGCTTGGTTGCTGACACTCCTTTTCCACTTAGCGGAGTTGTATCTTACTCACCTTTAGCTCTGCTGAACTCCTTGAGAAGGCGATGGAGAGAGAGAGAGAGAGAGAGAGAGAAAGAGAGAGAGAGAGAGTAATGATAAGGTGATTTCATGGGGTGCCAATATGTGCCAATGGTGATTTTATGAGATAATTGTATTATATATATATATTTATATACGGGATGATTAGTAATGATAAGTAATGGTATATCCTGGTTATACCCTGATTTCATGAAATCTTGATGAGACAATGAAATGGGATAGTAATGATATAACCTCCAGCAACCAAACATGGCTGGAACACCCGCCATTGAGTTCGATTATTTTCTTCTCATCCAGTTAAAATCTTAAAAGCTTCATTTAGTTGGTGGATGTTCAGCCACTTTTGATTACTGTAGGGTAATACTGCCAAAATCATGGATTCAACTGAATTAGGCGTAAAAAAACGCGATTTCTCAGCCTAGGCTTTGTGGTGATCTCCTTTTCCCTGCCTGGCTCGTTCTCCGAAACCTACCAATCGGTAGATGATAGTAAAAAATCAGGTCCTAGCCTTGGATAACCTTGGTCGGATCATGGTCGGATGGTCGGACTTTACCCCTACTCACCCCTGTTTGCATCCATTAAGTGTTGATTTCACACCAACAATGGGTTGATTGAAACCCAGCATTTTTTAATCGCACCAGATTTCCTACATTGTGATCGCAGCGTGGGTTAAGCATTGGCTCACAATTATATGATATTACAGAACATGGAGATAGTTTGTGGGATATTTATACATATAGAAATATATATGTATACAACCGGCAATGTTTTTTTGGGATATGTTGGATCCAACAAATGGGGAATATACCATGTCCCAAAAATGTGCTTGATTACGGTATCGGGTTGATATTTTCGCATTGTTGGAAGGATCAAGGTGACACATCATTCTTGGACTACTGAAGATGGTGAACGTCCCAATAGTTTTTTGGAGAATGTTGGTTGGATCTAGTTTGTGTATTATGTATTTGATGAATCGCCATCGGGACTGATGTCCTTCCAACATCTTCCAACCTATATTTGCCGAGGAAACCAATGATTTTCCCGCATGTTTTTGTGTTTTTCCCCAGGCACCCTGTAGTCGTGGTAAATGTGCGTACCAAGAAAATTGTTGGCCAACACCTCAGCATGACTCAACATCACTACAACGATGGGTGACCCGGGTGGGGTTTGTTTTGTATCTCAGATGAGGGCTGGGATCCTCTCCTTTGCTGACTGCTTCCTACTGTAGGCCACGGAGTCCTTCGTCAGAGCCAACACTGCCCCTGCGTGGTGGGCTGGCTGGTGATTTGTTTCTTGGATGTATAGGTGGCCGGTAGATCTTCGGAGGGTGTGATGAATTGGAGTAGCTGGAATCATCCCAGTAGCGGCTAGTGGGGTCCCGACCACAGATCTCCATCTAAAATCCCTGGTATGTCACACTGGTTTTCTGGGGTGATTCCCTACAAGCTTTCAATGCAAAACGTGTGTTTCGAACTTCCAGCATGTGGTTCCTTTTGAAGTGAGTGGCACGTAATTATTCTCTTACGATCTGCCAAGTTTCCGAATTTCAGGGTTCAGATTGGTGAGTAAACTAATGGCAAATTCAAGGTTCCAAGGATTCCAAGTTCCGAAAAAAAAAATCGCATAATGAATTCTTATGACTTGCCAAGTGTTTCTTATAATCCCTTCCCCCTAATATAAAACACCTCCTTAAGTTCCCCATGGTTTAGTAATATTTAGTAATTATTGGGTTTCCACATTCCATTGGGACCATTTATGGGGTGCTTAATTTTCAGGGTGATTGGATTATATCCGATATAAATCATCCCTATTCATTATTTTTACATGGTCAATCCATTTCAATCCTATAGTCTCATGAAATCCCACCAGTAGTCTCCATCAAACCCCAATGTATCACCATTCAATCACAATTAATCACCATTAATCATCATTAATCACCATTAAATCACCATAAATCACCATTAAATCACCACTAATCACCATTAAATCACCATTAATCACCATTAAACCACCATTAATCACCATTAAACCACCATTAATCACCATTAAATCACCATTAATCACCATTAAACCACCATTAATCACCATTAAACCACCATTAATCACCATTAAACCACCATTCAATCTCCATGAAATATCCCATGATTGCTTGAGGCACCTGGGTGCCATCTGTTCCCAGGTTCCGACCATCCGAGGACTCGGCTAGAGATGCCAGGCCTGCCAGGCCGCCCTTCGGGGGGTTGGCGTTGTTTGACCCTCTGGTAATGATTAACATAGATATCATTGATATCATCCATGGATGATAATTAGATAACTCAAATTATATATAAGGATATTGGTACAAATTCAACCAATATATATATATATACACATTATATTTACACATATCTAATTGCCCATGCTTAATAACGGACCATCCATGGATCATCCCACTTAGAAAGTTGTTTTTCAATCCCTGGTTAGTCAGTCCCCATGTCATGAATTACCTATGATAAATGTTGGTAAAACAATGTCATAAACCATCCCCCAGTCATCACCATTTTTATAGGTGGTATAAACCATTCACCATAATAGGTGTTTTTTTGGCTTAGCTAACATAGCTATTGACAATGGCCATAGAAATAGTTGATTTACCCAACTATATAATTATGATTTTCCATATTTTTTGTATGTTTACCAGAGGGTAAATAGGATCAGTTATGGATCATTGATGTTGCAAGAGTATGCAAAAGTGAGGATTTGGACGATGTTCATACTGATAAGTTTGATAACTTTCCCCGGGAAAACATGGAAAGTCTATAGATGGGTTGCTGGTTGGCAGCTTTGTGGAGGGAAAACACATCCTTGGAGTGTCACATTTGTTTTTTTGGTCACTTTCTAGAGACATCTTGAACCATCACTGGCTTAGACTGTTTCACATGGGGCCACAATTTAATTTATTCACAAATTTATATTTGAATCCATTCAGTTTCATGGGTGCAGTCCAGCTGCGTTTCTTACCATATTTTAGGCTGATTCAACTGACCCCGCTGTCAACAGCAAACTGCAGGTTTGGGCTATAGGACAACCTATCAACCTCTTGTGATAGTTGCCCTCATTGGGGGTTTGCTAAAATCCCAATACACGGACCCACATGGCTTGTGACCTTCCTTTGGATCGCTTGTGACCAACAATCCTTGGATTGGCTGCTAAAATTCCATATGCCTAAACCATCCTAAACCCTAGCTTTTTCCCATTAAAACATGGGTAAAGCATGGTAAAGCATTCAAACTATGGGCTAAGATGGCCAACTTTTATGGCTTTCCTTTCCTGGGTCTAGGTAGGTGCAACAAAATGCTGGTGACCCACCAGCCCCTGAGTCTTAGGTTGGGCTTTTTGGATGACCTGTTTGGTCGCTGGGAGTCCGGGCCATCACGGAGTGGACTGAGTGGACGGAGTTTCGGGGACGCTTGGAGGTGGCCATAGGTGGAGAGGGCTCGCCATATCTACTGATGAATTCTGATCTGCTTGGTGGTTTGGAACATGGCTGGATTATGACTTTCCCATCATATTGGAACATGAATTTTATGATTTTCCCTATATATTGGGAATAATCATCATCCCAACTGACGAACTCATATTTTTCAGATGGGTAGGTATACCATCAACCAGTGATCAATGATCGCCTTTGGGGTGTCTAAGTTAGCTAAATTCTAGCTCTGTATATTTAGCCGATTTACATCCTATCTGGGCTCTTTGGAGCAAGCCTGGTGGACCATGGTGGGTAAACAGCTGACATATTTAAGATAACTTCAAGAGGAATCAAAGGAACTATGGTAATTATGTTGTTATTATTATTATTAATTACATTTTTTTTTAAAAAAAATATTATAGTAATTATTATGAATTATGAACATATATGTGCAATATATATAATATAATATAATATAATATATATTTATTTATTTGTTGTTTTCTAACAAACATTATTCCCACATTTGCCGGTCCACATGGACTTGGATTTTTGGTACATTGGCCAGTTTCAGTGGATTTTTTTTCTTGCCATTGTGGTGATATTTCATCAACAAAAGAGCATGTTCCTGTTCAAAGAGATGCGGATCTAGCAAACGAGAAGTGGATTTAGCAAACGTCAACAATTGGATTTAGCAAAACCAGGATACCCAAGTGAGACCCATATTCATGGGTAAATCCACTATTTCTATGGCCATTTTCAAGTTCGCAAACGGTTAGTTTTCCAGAGCCACCAGCCATTTCCACCAGATTTCCCGGGTCATCCCATGTCACTGGGCCGAGGACCCCTCTCCACCTTCCATTTCGGCCCTGTCCACGCGGCAACGACCTGGAGGTGCTGATGCCGAAGCGTACCACGTGGGCAAAGCGCCATTTGTGCCACCGCGGCTGGCGCTGTTGGAGACGGTGGCCTGGTGGTACACGTAGCCAAAGCCCTAAGGAAAGGTCACCCCAGGGGTTAGCCGCTGGGAATTGAAGAACATAGCCATGGAACATGATCCAGCACAGTACAGTAGATTAATTATAGTTATATACCTTTTTCCTTCCATAGTGATGTTCAATTACGAGTGGTTATGATTATGGACTTATTGACGTGGTCCAGGCTGGGCGTACAACTATGACTGGTATGATGTTTAGCATGTCCCCCCAGTCATGGTTGGGTAATGGGATGGTTTATTGTTATTGGGTTTATCACATTATTGTATTAAGGAAGAGGGTTCACTTGGTAATGTAGGTGGTTGATTATAGCAGTCCACAAAATTTGGATGTTATCCATGATTGTGTGTATACTGAACACCCCCAAAAAACTCTGGTGGATGTACGGAATGGAACCACAGAGTTGGGAACGTAGAATGGGGGTGATAAGGAAATGGATGGTGGATGGGAGCAATCAGGTTTTGTTAAGGGCTTACCAAGAAATACTGTAATAAGGGCATATCCATCTATCAATAGAGGGGTCGACTTTTGGTAGTGGTTAAATCATGTTATATAAATCAGGTTAGATCCCCATGAAACATTGGATATAAAGTCTGGCTGATTAGAACGTTGCCACCACAGCGTCACCAAAAACTATGGTTTGGTTTGGGGGAATCACCCCAAATTACGTTATCTCTGTCAGGTTATTATAACTTAGCCAGAAATTTCTTATAACCACCAGAAAATCAGGCAAATTGGGAAACATAGCGCACTTAACTTAACCTTTGGATTTTTGGAGAATATATTTGCAGTGGGATCGGAGTGCATAATGAGCTATACTTTGATATATGTTTATGAAGATCTAAAGGGTCACCAGCAATGGGAATGTGCCTGCCAGAGTTGGCATGTCTTCAACCAGCTGTTTATGTGCGGTGTTAGCTCTACCACATTAAAAAAAAATCATTGTTCATCCCAGTTTGCATTCAGAGAGTCGTTTCGAAGAGGACTTCAAAAGGTAGCTGAAATTTCCAAGAAAGGTAAGGATTCAAATTTTCATGGCTTTGACGGAATTTTTAGCTACCCCCAAAACCTAGTGACCTAGTGGTTAACCAAATAGAACTGTTGATGGCTTCCGATCTTTCTTATTTTCATCCTGTTTGAGATAGGATGGGGGCCTCAATGGCCTCATTCACAAAGGGCTGCCATCAGTTCAAGACGTCTTGAAAGCGCAGAAACGTCAGCTATGGAAAGTACATGACAAAGACCCAAACTGTGTTCGCCCACACCTGGAAAACACCATGGTGTATGTAAACGCGACTAATTATCAAACTACCAACCTTATACCTTCACCTCAACTGCCTCAAGTGCAATGTATTTCACCAACCAGTTGTTAATGAATGAAGTTAGCTTTGCAAAGCTGATTCCGAATTCGATACAAACTTCGGACTTCGGATTCGGATGGACAATGGCTTCGGCGAGATTCTCATACTGTAGTGACTGTAGTGAGTACGGTCCAGTCTATTGCCTGGCCGGACCTTCTGACCTTCACACCAATCTTGGTGCTTTAAGCTATTAAAATCTAGGTCAATCTTACATGGATACTGTAATTCTTTTAGTTTTTTGGTATTTTTTGCTATTAATGGTAATATCTACTAACCAGCAAAGATTTTTTTTTGCAGGGTATCTAAGCAATGAAATCTTGAAACGAGCAACCGGCCATCGCGATTTCTGTGCTGCATGGCTGCATGGGAGAGGCCCTGGTGGCCATCAGATCACCCACCAGTTGTAGTGATAATCCGGTTGGTGGCTTGGAACATATATTATTGATGGGATATAATGGGATATCATGGTGTTTTTAATGGGACATATCTTAATGGGACTTAGTAGATCTAGTAGATCTATATACTGATTGGTGGCTTGGAACATGGCTTTTATTTTTCCCATCATATTGGGAATGTCATCATCCCAACTGGCTTTCAGATTTTTCAGAGGGATTGAAACCACCAACCAGTAATCCATTTGTGAATCCAAGGGCAATCCAGGAGTCAAACTGGGATCAACCACAAGTTGGTGCCCCTCTAGCGATGTCTGTTGCTGGTACCCGCAATCACTAGATAACTAGATAACAATATATATCTACCATAAACCCAGCAGTGGAGTTACAAACGAGCTTAGGCAAGATAAATCACACATGAATCTTCAATGTTCCAGGTTTTGCAGGTGAAATCACCATATTTCCCCCATTTTTGGATGGTTAAATCTCCATTTTCCAACCTAAAACACTACCTTGGAGCAGGCCTCCTTGGCGGCTCCTCTTAGCTTCGTTTCCGAGGCGAAGCTAGGGCAGCGCCTGTCCCTGGGCGGAAAGGCAGAGCGTCAGGGCGATGGACTGCGGAGTGGCGGAGCTGCAGATGGTGGGAACATGTGGGAACCGTGGTGGATTTTCTGGTTCCATGGTGATTTCATGGGATTTCATAGTGAGCCCTCTTGATTTCAACATATTTCAAACGCCCTCCTCGGAGAAAACGAGACCGGGGGAGATGGTGGATTTGAATGGTGACACATGGTGTTTTTGTGTTGATTTTATGGTGATTTCATGGGATATTTCATGGTGATTGAACGGTGATTTATTGGGGTTTGATGGAGACTAATTACTGGTGGTTTTCGTGAGACTATAGGATTGAAGGTGTAAAGATTATGAATAGGGATGATTTATATCCGATATAATCCCATCACCCTAATGTTAAAAACCCAGAAATGGTCCCAATTATATGGAAATTCCCTACTAAACCATGGTTTCTAAGGGGATGTTTAATATTAGGGAGAAGGGATTATAGTGGAAACAAGAGGGATTTAATGGAGATCAGAACGGATTTGATCTCATTTTTTTAGAGACCTTAAACAGGAGAAATCATAAAAGTGTGGATCACGGCGTTGGTGAAGGGTTCAACTGACAGGGATATGATCTGTACTCGGATGGGAGGTCTAACCAGGTCTAACCAACCAATGGGGATCGATGGTTTTCGGATTGGCTGGTGACTATCCAAAAAAATGACTTAGACTTAAGTTTGTTTGGCTCTTTTCAGGCTGGTGAATTATACATAATATATACATATATATATTACATATGTATGTATGCGCACTATATTATTTATCTTATTAGATTCTTGGTCGGCCTGGATGGATACGTTCGTAATTATTTTCAGTACCTCATTTATTTGCCATGAATCGGGGGCGTGATATACAAACAGGCCAAAGAAATCATGTTTTGCAGGGTATCTATGATTGGCCATATAGGTTCCCTACCAAAAGAGATGAAAAGAGATAATTAAGGGCCCTTCTGCCATTGATTTTGCACCGTAGAAAACTCAGATGCTGCGCCGTGGCGCAGCTTCCAAAGACTGGGCTCTCGCTGCACCAGTGGTCAGGGCAAGGAGGTTGACACACCCGCAGAAAAGATGCGCATTTCCAAGGAAGCGATTGATGCGTCAATGTGGAGAATATCGGAGAATATTCACGCCAAACATCCTGGGCCGATTTAAGGTCTCGAAAGAAATCGTTAACCTGTGGTGTCTAACAGGGCGAGAAACGCTTGAACAAAGCGTTCAAAGCCTGTAGATGGTCTTTAACTTGAGGTTGTGAAATGGCCTTTAACGAACTGAATCTTTCCTTACAGGAGAAACTAAAGTTGACCCTCTAAAGACTCATATCGACATTGAAAAGAGCAACAGATTATACTAAAGTGAATAGGATTTGGGGTGCTGAGCATCGACATCCTTTTCAACCATAAAGTGGGGGAATTCAATGCCCAGCTATTGTTTCTTTGATAAAGGTCGCCCAAGATCAGCCACGACTTTTATACTATGACCCTAGGATCCCTTGAAGTTCATAAAACTCCGGAGGCTACCAGCCCTGGACATCTTGTATTAACGTGGTAAACCCAACAGTAAATTCCCTTTTTAGAGGACCTATACCACCCATTTCTGACAAAATGGGGATGTTTATGATTGGGTTTACCACATTAACAGTCCCGGCAAGTTCTTACATTCGTTAAGAAAAAGGGCAACAGGTATGTACTCTTTGCCCGGTTGGTTGCATAAGCGCTTCTCGTCTTACTTGTTGAAGTCAAAACCCCATGCTTTTCTGAAGTCATGCATGATATCATATCATTTCATTCATATCTCTATTTGAGTGGTCAAATTTTCAAGTGGGATAGATAGAGACCATCGAAGCTGGGTGAACCTTGGTCGTTGGCTTAATTACTTTTTTGGGACCAACGACAAATCAACAAACTAGCTGAAAAAAATCTAAAAAATCCAGTCCCCCTCATTGCAAAATATGGCCTCACCAACCCCTGGTTTAGTGCCAGCCCTGTTCACTTTGTGGGCCCCCAAATTGGATCAAATTGGGGGAGTCTAATAGTTTGGAACATTATTATATATTCATACGCTTTCAGAGTATGCAAGACTGGCCATGGAAGCACTCGACGAGGCCCCTTCTCTCGCTTGCCGTCCTTGTCGATCTATGACTCCATGCTGGGTTCGTCCATGAAATCGCGTAAGATGCCAACCACGCCCAGCCCCAAATCCACGCGCGAAGCTTGGGTGGAATGCTGTGAAGCTTAAGTGGCTAGCAGGAAATGAGAAGGGAAGTTACACATCAACTTACGGCACGTTTTTACAGTATGCCGAAACTCATGAGAAACCATAGGGTTTTGGTGTAACTAGATCTAACTCGCCTTTTTTTTCTGAAATTGCCACGAGAGTTTGGTCACTCTGGCAGAGAAGTAAATCCGTTGCTTTATGTCACTAACCTCAAATATACATATACTAATTATTAACATATAGGTTATATATAATTATATAAGTTGATTGGACTGAAATGGTGATTATATCAAATTATATCAGTCAAGGCATATCTATTTTTTCCTAGGTGAAGATCAAGCAATGTTCAACTGTCGGTCATCTCTTTTGCGGGATCGTGTCCAAGACTCGCATGTTTTGTTTAAGAAAGCCATTAAAACAAAGGCAGCCATATAGGTTTGTGGCTTTGGGAAATGAGACTGCCATTGTGCATGGCCATTTTAGTGGCTACATCTATTTTGGGGGAAACCTAGAGGCACCCAACAAGATCATCAGATGTGCGTTCCACACCCAACTCTCGTTACTTAGATTCGTCCTTTTTGAGAATAGTGTAACCCGTGTAGCACTTCTACCCATGGCTTTGGTTCCATCATTCTTTTTTCCAGGACACACCCGTTGCATCTGAGGAGAAGATTTCAACGGCGACTTCGCCTCACCGTTGGCTGGGTCAGCTGTCGGTGAAAGGCGTGGAGAGTTTAACTTCCAGGCGCTGGCGCTGCATTGTTGCCTCCGTAATGATCCAAATTGCCCTGTCAACTTCTCTGCGTAACATTAAATGTTTTTTGTGGAGATCATGTGCGTATGTGCCATGTCTTTTGCAGCCTAGGGATTTGAATAAGGTTGACACCGCTTCTCCATCTGGTGTTGGTTTTGATCAGCTTGATTCATCCCCTAAAAAACACTCAAAACTGCAGTGGCCCGTTGCAAGTTGGCCTTTTTTTGGTCCATTGCGTCCCAACTTGATCCCATGCATAGATTATAGCCGTACACTTGGATCTTGGTTGACATAATCCACTAAAAGGCATCTAAAACCAACTTAGCAGGGATTAACAGGGCCAACTGCTCCCCCTCAGCCTTAGCTGAACCTACGGGATGGCGATGGAGAGAGAGAGGGATATGAGAGGGATTAACAAACTACAACGCATTCTCTCCCATGATTTGTTCACTTTTTCAATACCTCCGGCTTTTCAAGGGTATCCCACATGTTCTCCCGATGTTTCCAGGCCCATCCCAATCCTAACGTTGGGAGGCTCTCCTTGCGTCCCAATGCTTTTCCCAAGCAGCTGGAGAAGCTCCCAGACCCGCGGCCGGGCACCGCGTCCGCCGCCACCGCGGCCCCGTCCGCGCCCTTGGCGGAGAGTGAGGCGGAGGCCGAATGGCTGGGCACCTGGGCTGTGAACAGCGCCTGTTGGCGCTTTGCCAAGACGACACGTGGATTTACCCAAGGAATAATGGTGGATCTAAGAATCTGAGCATAAGTGAGATTTTAAGGAGTTCAGGGCTATGAACCTCATGATTTTGTTGAGATCTATTGGGGGATGTGATGGAGGATTGGGATTTCCCCAGCCACATCATGGGGATTTAAGCAGGGTCTCAGCAGGATACTTGTATAGCGGGGTATAAAAATGCCATCATTTTATGTCAACACAATGGGAACATAATGGATATATTAGGATGTTTTTTTTTTGCAACAAAAGGGCATTTGTTCACCAACCACTTCTTGGGGATACATTAGTGGTTACTAGTATGTTACTAGTACGTATAATTTAATTACCCTCTGGTAAACTAACATATCGAAAATCACCATTTTCAATGGGTAAATCCATCATAAATGGTCATTTTCAATAGCTATGTTAGTTTACCAGTTTGTAATACAATGAATGGGATACAGCAACAAGATCCAACAAGACTATGGTATCATTTCGGCTTGTCCAAAACCAGGGTACACCCCAAAATGGCCAGCTTCGACAGAACCAAAAACGAAAGGAAGAACGAACCCAGTCATTGCGCGTGATTAATGGTGATTAATGGTGATTAATGGTGATTGATGGTGATTAATGGTGGTTAAAGATAGTTAATAACGGTTATTAATGGTGATTAATGATGATTTCACTTACCCTCTGGTAACCTAACAGCTATATGGAAAATCAGCATGATTACTGTAATAGCTAAATCAACTATAAGTGGACCATGTTCAGTCATTACCAGAGGGTTTACACCTTCACACGCCTTCACCACTGATTGTTTTGATCATTTGATGAAGACTATCACCATTAATCACCATTGATCACCATTGATCACCACTAATCACCATTGATCACCATTAATGTTTGATGGATCCGCCCTCTTTGCGACTGGACGGAACGGATGGAACCCAAAACGGCCAGTCCGGTCCGATCTTCGGACCTAGCTGGTTTGAGTAAGAAATCACATCCCCAGAATGTGAGGCCCCCGTTGGATAGCTAAGTTGGTGCACATAACTCCAATAACTATGGTTTATGGTACTTATAACGAACTAGTTACTGGGGCGAATCTAAACCAACTTACATAACTGGAAGTTTAGCAGCTTAGCAATCCCTTAAGAAGTCATTGGAAATTCCAATGAATTCCAACGTTGGATTCGTTTTTTGTTCACATTTGGAATGGGTTTTTTTAACATCCAGAAATTCTGGGATCATCATCTGGTGAGTGGCTGGGAAGTCCATGGGCGAAACATGCCAGGCATGTAGAAATATTACCCTCTGGTAAACAGTCACATAACTATGGAAAATCACTATGTTTAATCGGTAAATCCACTATAAATCCACTATAAATGGCGTTTTTCAATAGCTATTTTGACATAACCAGAGGGTATATATGGTCAAGTTGTGTTGAATACCAATGATAGCTCTCAGGCAATTGTTAGTTTTTCTAACACATCACCAAAAAGGAAAACAACGAGATAATCCCGTTGGCATGCAATCCCCATTTTTGATCATTTTTGTGTGACCTCACTATAAATGGTAAGGGGATGTAAGGGGAATCATCCCCAAATGGCCTAACAGTGGCCCGGGTTAGTGAAATACTTTCATCATTAACCACTATTAACCCAGATACATTGGTGGTTTCCTAAAATAGGGCTACCCCTAAATCATCCATTTTTAGTTCGGATTTTCCCTTATAAACCATCCATTGTTGGGTACCCCCATTTCAGGAAACCTTGCACCTTTCCGGGCAAGGTATTGAAGTGGCAGGTGACATCGTGGCGGCCGTGGTCAAGGCGCCGTTGGCAAGTAGGTAATAACCACATAACAGGTGTAGGATGGTGTAGGTGGCTAACCCAAACTAGATTCATATGATATATATATATATGATTATATATGTGTGTGAGTATATTTATTTCTTTGTATATTATGAACAGATATATAAATATATACACTACATATGTATATATATATAGTCATATGTCACACATTGTTTGATATGAAGAACGGCTCATAAACCACGCACATTCCCGAGATGCACATCCAAATAATAACATGGAATTGTTTACCTGGTTTCTCAAGTGGGCCAAACTTCAGAAACACTGCTGTTCTCATGTGGTTGCCACATGTTGCAACGCACTCATTTTTTTTTTGTGTTGTTGCTTTGTATTCAAATGGGTTATTGTGGGTTGGAATTCAAGAGCATTTAAGAGGGAGTGAGCCACATTTCCTTCACAACGCTATGCATATGCCTTTGCTGAACGTTTCACTTGGCCCCAGCATTTCGACATGTCCCGAATAACCGTTTCGATAAGCACCCACTGGGGCACCCTCTGCACAATGACCACCACGAATTGCGACATTTTATGAACAAAACTTAAATCTTTCAACATTGATATGGTTAGTATATTGCATTTCCATATGCATGTCACACATTTGAAGATGGAACGGTTTCTCCAAGATTGATACTGACAAATTGACATCCAAAAGGAGAACCGCAATCCACTGTAGCTTCAGAAAGTGCCCAGGTGAAGTACCACCAGGAGAAATGCATCAGTCTACTGGAGCCACTTGGCAGATGTTCGCGTCGCTAGGATGCGCGGCAAATATAGGTCGGTTGAAAATCCAAGTGCTTGAAGGTACAACAACATCAGCTATGGATCATACTTGAGGGTATAACCTCCCCGTTCATAGACACCTCCGAGGTATGGTCCTAACTAAAAAATTAACTTTGGTTTCTGGGGTCTCCTTAATTTTTTGGGTCCGACGCATATCCCTAATTTTCATAATCATGTGCAATCGCTGGAGGTTCCTTTCAGGAGTGGAGTTTGTACCTATGAAATTGGGGACGGTTTTCCTGCTATATGTTTCTTTAAAATTTTGGTGAAACATCTTAACAATTCTCAAGATGTTGATGGCACACCAAGCACAATGCTGCCACGTCTCTGGGGCTTATGTTGTGCTTGGTGGAACTCCATGGTATTTGTGAATCCCCCACTTTTGCATCGATTGCGAGTTTCCTCTAACATGAGAATGTGGGTTAGATGGTCAGCGGCTCATTTTTACCATGTTTTGACCAATAAACAAACTATCAAACGTACCATTCAACAAGTCTCATTTCAATCAGGGTACCAAAATATTCGAGTGGGGGATTCACTATCATTCCATATCATTCCCATCAATTTTATGAAATCACCAAAGTCCATGAAATCTCCAGCGCAGCATTTTTTCCGTTGCCTTCGCAGGACCATCCAACTCCGATGGGCCAACTACTCCACCGCCTCTGTGGCGACCTTGACGACGCTGACGGGACAGGTCTTGGGCGTTGTTTCGGCGCGGCGGATGCAGCGGATGCACGTGCAGGTGCGGTTCATGGGGCGGTTCATGGGGATCTTTGGGAAGATGAGCGCTGATATTATCCTCTGGTAATTTAATTAACATAACTATGGAAAATCACCATTTTTAATGGGAAAATCCACTATTTCTATGGCCATTTTCAATAGCTACCGTAAATTACCAGAGGATAGTTGATACAATGTGAGGCCCCAAACGTGATGTGAACGTTGGTTTAGATTCACCCCAGTAACTATAACCATAGTTATAAGTACCATAAACCATAGTTATTGGAGTTATTTGCACCAACTTAGCTATCCAACGGGGGCCTCACATTGTATGGTTGATATATGTTAATAGTTTGTAACTATCAGCAAACTATAAGATACAATAACATACAATAACGTTCTCATGTTTTTTTTTCAGGACTTACCCTCTGGCTATTTCACATAGCTGTGGAAGATGGTCCATTTGTCGATGGTAAACATGATTGATTTACCTACTTTCAAATGGTGTTTTTCCACAGCTACCATTAGCTACGTTAAGTAACCAGAGGGTAGTTGATTTGGGTTGGATGTGATGAATGGAAGATCATGTGCCTTAGTAGGGGTTAACGGATTTGCTGGCATTCCTGTGAATATATAGTTGGGAAATAGTTGGGTATACAATTAAAGTGTTTAGATATTATGAGAAACCAACAGCCACAGACTGAGGCCGATGCTGTATGTTTTTTTCCCATATTTATCGCAAAAAACTATCGTCATTTTTGGCCTCTGGCACGGTTATCCTTCAAAGCATCCACATTTTTACCCAGATTCTTCCCCAGATTTGTCCCAATTATTTCCAATGATTTTTTACCAAATTGTTCCCCATGTTTTCCCACTTTCTTTCATATTTTCCGGTTTCCTCAATTTGTTTCACTGATTTTTGCAACACCCAGCCAAAAAGAAATAGAATAGAGCTGAACCCCCAAAAAAGGGAAAAAACAAGCTCACTTGAGATTCAAACATGTAGAGTTAAACCATGTTAAACCACTTTGAACCACTGGAAATGTCACTTGGAAACAGCTGGAGGTCTCTGCCAGCTGCGACGTGACGCTCCGCGACGAGAGCCAAGAGCTTCTGCTGACGGCGTCCATTCCGCGGAAACTTGGGAGTGAATCTTTCCGGCTGGGCAACTGCTATGCATACGGGTTGTGACTTCAGAGGTGAGGCCCCCCAAAATAATATTTTGGTTCATAGATCCTATTAGTTATATATATATAGCTAATTAGATATATCTTAAGACTGTTATATTCCCCATAAACCATCGAATTCGAAAGAATTTGCCTAGGAAAATGTGCGTCAACTTAGCTATCGTAAACGGGGGCCTCACCTTTTATGGTGAAGATCAGGATTCAACTGCCCCAAAAGGTGGCCCATGACCTCCAGTTTACGTCAGATGGCGTGCCAATTTTGAACAGTGCTTTTTTTTCGAGCATGTTTACGGCGGATATAACTCAACTAAGTTCCCTGGTGTTTTTTATGGTGTAAATGGTATAAATGGATATAAATGGTGGGTGTTTTTTTTTAGTGGAATACATCCAAAAACATGGGGCCAGGATAATTTCGGAACCATGTTTTTGTTTTGGCAACCATGCAGCATCCACAAGTTGAGAGACTCTTGAAAAATCATTTGAAGCCAGCTATACGAGCAGAAACCATGGGGATATCATTAACATCAGAGCATAAATTTGCTGAACTTTTCGGTATGCTGGGACCGCCGATCAGCTCCAGTTGATATTAATATTATTAATATAATATATATAATTAATATACTGTAATTAAAATGTCATATATACTTAATATAATGACATATTATAATAATACAATTTAATTTAATATAATTTGATATTTGATATAAAATGATATAATACTATATTATTTTATTTGTATATACATATTATTATCGTTACAGAACAGTTTTCTTGGACAATCCTGTTTATCAACTGATTGTGGTCAGTTTCGCCAGATTTGGATGGTCCTTTTTGAAGGGCAATCTGTGGGCATTGGTTTGGTGAAGAAATCCATTCTTGGCCACAAGCGGTTGGGGAAAAAATACGAAGAAACACACATAGATTGATATAAAATTTGGGAATCTGACATCTTCATTCATTATCTGGTTGGTGGTTTGGAACATTCTTTTATTTTCCATAATATGTGATAATGCTTCCCATTGACTAATATTTTTCAGAGGGGTTGAAACCACCAACCAGTTATTTGTTTATCAGTTTATCATATTCACCCCAGGCAAACTGTGATTTCTTTCGTTTTTAGCTCTGCTGAACTCCTTGTGTCAAGGTGACGAAAAGATAGAAAAATCACAATGTCTTAAAGAGTTTTGTGATATTTCCAGGTGTTTCATAGTTTTCCAGGTCTTCACCATGTTTCATGGCCTTTGTTTTCCTCGTGTTTTTTCACGCTGCGCAACGAGGGCCTCCCATTGCGTCGCGGCGCTCGAGAGCGGGGCCACCGCGCCGTTCTCCGCGATGCAGCTGCGAAGGCTGCGAAGGCAGCAGGCGGGGCGACCCATGCTGGCGAGCAATGAGAAGCGCTTGGAACTGGATCGCCATGTGACTTGTGGAATTCATGGGGATACCCGGCCTGGTAAACATACAAAAAGCTATTGAAAATGGCCTTTTATAGTGAGTTTTCCCATAAACCAATGGTGATTTTCCATAGCTATGTTAAATTACCAGAGGGTATATTATGGGATAATCACACTCTGATGGCGATGGAGATAATCACACTCTTGTGAGAAAATTAGTGGGATGATGATGGGATATAACTTATGAAATGTAAATATTAGTTGGATGTTCGTGGAATAACTCATTGGGAGAATAATGATAATAATGATCAAATATGATAATGATAGTAATGATAAGATGATGATGGAATATAACTTATGGCTTATCTATCACATTCACATAGCTCTTAATGGGTAATGGGATAGTAGTGGATAGTATTAGTGGGATGATAATGGCATAATTCATTGGGACAATAATGTGTGATTGGAAAATTACCCTTGAATAATCTAACATGGGATGAGAAAGGGATGAGAATCATGCCACTGGGGTTGAAATTTAGCACATGTGAGAAACCCAATGCCATGGAACCTACCGTCGGGGATGATTCATTTACCACCCAATTTATGGCAAGATCGTTGATGATTGTTTGTTTTTCACCACTTTAGTCCTAAGCTTGGTCATTTGGTGCGATTTACCCGTTGGTAAACTAACATAACTATGGAAAATCACAATTTTAAATCGCAAATCAACTATAAATTGTCATGTTCAACAGCTATGTTAGTTTACCAGAGGGTAATAACATCAAGATACAGATTTTTTCACTTCGAAGTTTGGGGCATGGGATTGATGTCGTTGGCGAAGCGCTCGGTGGAGACGGTTTTCCTTTCCCCTCCTTTGGTGGATCCGGTCGTCTCCATGGGATAGGGATGCAGTAATGGTGCTAGAACCAGGATGGTGGATTTCCATGCCGGAGCTTAGAGCATTAGCTGTGGCCAGCATGTGGTTCTTGCACCGAACCACTGTGAGAAATCTTAGGTTGTGGTGGCAGCACAAACCTTCAGAGGCGGATCATCATTTGGGGATTATCGCTGAGGATTTTTAAGTTCTTTTCTTTTCACTAAAGGAAGTATAGTCTCTGGTAGCCCCTATTTATCAAAAAAAACTGGCCTAGCAGCCTGTTGAAGTATGATGCTTCCAATGTGATCAAGGGCACCCCTTGCATTCATCAGCCAGGGTTGATGGATGTGATGTTGGCGCGTTGGCATCACCAATTGTAGCCGGTCATTCAGAAACCAACAGCCCTTTCAACTCGTGCTAGGCGGATTGCCAAAACCACAGCCCTGTTTCGAGAATTGATCCCCCTTTTCCTGGAGACATCATGTCAGCAACACACCAAGCAGTTATTGAAGGAGAGTTGTTGTGTGTCCCAACCGAACCCTTCAACTGGTACGGCCAGGCTTTTTCATGTTTGATGAGAAGTCAGCGAAAGAAGCCAAACTCAGCTGGGAGAACTTAGAACTGCTCAGCAGGATACTCGGCGAACTTGGCGAAAAGTGGGGCTGGCCTTACTTTCCATCGGTGACGAGTTCTCGAAGGTAGAGCTCTGCCCGCATTCCCGAAGAGTCACCGTCCCCGTGGTCCCTTAGGTGGTGCGGATCAAAGGAAGTCGCACATACCTGTGACTTGGATCGAAGCATGTTGTTGGTTGCCCCGCGCCCCTCGAAAGACAACCTCGAGCTCGGTTTTAGTACAAGATGTGGTTGATTGTTGTTTCTTTGCACCTGGGAAACGCTTTATGATTCATGCACTCATCATTTATATATATATATATACCTTGTCATTAGTGCAGGTGTGATGATATTTTATCCAGGTACTGGCAACAAAAACCAAAGACAAGGAAGGAACCCAAAGGTGAACAAAAAATCAGCGAAATTGTATCATGCAAACTCCTGGTGTAAAAACCCTGGCTCATTGTGTAATGAGCAGAATTACCAACAGAAGGTGATCATTCATTTCAGCCAGATCCATAAGAATGACGCGCCCTTCAATTTGTTGGTTAAAGGCTTAACATCTTTAAACCTATGATCATACTCTACTTAAAACCCCTATTGTTTCGTAAATGGATCGCTGAAAGGTTAAAAAGTCAAAAGCCCGACAGTATTCAACAAAAAGCAATCCCTTTTCTATTAAACACCCCAGAAATAATGTTTGAGTAGTAGTCTCACAGATGTGGAACCATAAACTGGGTGTGTTTAATGTTAGGGGGATGGGATTAATTTCTGATTATGGTGGCCGATTGCTAATTCCAATGGTTTTAATTGGTATATGCTGCTATGGTATTCTGCTATAGTGGTAAAAACGGGTATATCAATGGCCATTTCAGGAACCTAAACTGGAGGTACCTACCATTTATAAGGCCTATGTAAGGGCCAAATTTCAGGGAATATCCCCACAACATATGGCCTGCAAAATGGTACTAACGTACCTCCATTTTAGGGTCCTGAAAATCCCACTGAGTATATATCAACCCTGACATGTTCAAATAACTGTCCTTGCCATCCATTGCTGGGTTTGCGCCAGGCGCGGCTTTGGCCGCCTTGGACAAAGACTCGCAACTGGGCTGTTTTTTGAAAAACGGGGTACCTGCGTTCCATGAATGGTGGTTATTAACGTATTTGTAGCGGCACCCCTTCCAACAAAACTACAAAACCTTGTTTACTTATAATTGACTTTGGGAATTTGTGGTATGAAATGAGGCAACACGTCTTAGCAATGTGATATTCAGTTTCATAAACCGCGATTGGATGTTGAAACGTATATTTATAGCTTATTTTCCCATTCCAAAAACCAAATGCAATATTCACCAGTGCCACAAACCATAGGGGGATGTCATTTACATCGCTTGGTGATTGACAGAAGCACTTGTATAGATTAATCCCGGAATTGGAATTGGAACAATTGATCAAACAACTTGCAGGCAAACCCTTGATTTGATGATTCAATCCTTTCTGTAAGTCGTTGTTTTTTCCCTTGAAAGCAATCCATTGAATAAAAAAAAGAACCACCGCCACTTACCCTCTGGTAATGACTAACGTAGCTATTGAACATGACCATTGAAATAGTGGATTTACCCAGCTATAAAATGGTGGATCTTTCCATAGTTATGGGACTGTTTACCAGGCCGGGTATATAGGCCAGGTAGAGTTATTATGTTCACCAACTGAACGCTATCGACTGGGGCTACCACCAGCAGTGGTGATTGATGACTGGTGATGACCATCCCGTAATGGTGACCATGGTGACCATGGCATGGAAATACCCGGCCTGGTAAACATAACTATGGAAAATCACCATTTTTAATGGGTAAATGAACTATAAATCACCATTTTCAATAGCTATTTTGACATAACCAGAGGGTAAGAGGTAAAGGCCTTTAACTGTGGACAATCCCGCAAGTTGCATCCACCTTGATCCACCTTGATCCACCGTCTGCCCGCGCAGCACCTGGTGGCCATTGACGCGCCGCGCCGAAGAACGTTGGCGCAGCGACGCACGAAGTACCTGCGGAACGCTGGCGGAGTGTGCCTTGACGGCCGAAGATCTGGTGAAAGGTTGGTTGGTTGTTTTTTCCCTATGGATCCAAGTACCTTCTTGGGAACTACTTGGTATTTAGGGGGTTAAGTACCTTCTCAGACAAGGTTTGGATCCATAGGGTTTTTAAAGCAGAACTGGGATTGGACCGGAAAAATATAAATAATCAGGCTGAAGGTTGAAGGAAAAAAATGGTTTGAGGCATGAATTAGCCAACTAATTAATGAAGTCTAGGATGGACATGACGGGAAACATGGCTTTTCTCGAGCCAAATTTCTAGATGTCAACAGAAATTCGGCACCGATCAGCTGATGGTTTCCGGGGCACAGGCAGACCTTACCCATGAAAGTCCACGATTTAAGGCCATCTATCTAAAATGCATGCCTCCTGAGGCTGCCTAAATATGCAATGTGGTGCCCCAAAGATATAGTCTGGTTTATAACCCCCATGAACTAGAGATGTGTATACAATAAAGGCAGCAGTTGTAGATTACCAACTGAACTACCGACCTGGCGCACAACCTTTTACCTGCATGCTAAGTAAGTATGAACGGGGTCTAAACCCAGAATATCACAGCAAAGTTCCAGGTCCCAGCGGTCCCAGCTTCTGGCAAGCTCCCAGACCTTCCCACATCCAAAAGTTGTCCAATTTCTTTGTATAGTCAGTGCATACCCGCTGGTACTCAAACACGGTTTGCTGAAATTATACATTTATTTAATTATACGTTCGATGATGTTCCCCTTCAAGACTTACTTTTTGATTGAAGGTTTCCCAGCTAGCCATGGTTGCTTACTGGGGGGCACAGGGCTGAGTTGGAAAGAAAAAAACAACAGATCATCTCGAATGAAAAGTTGATGATTAACCAATGATTTTCCGACACCTCCCAAGACTTACCACCATATATAGGGGGTTTCTTAACATGGGGGATCCTATACTAAGTCATGGTCATCCATATCTTGGGTTTGTTGGTACCCCCATGACTTAGGACACCTCCATTTCTCCCCCAAATCCTCGAACGTTCTGAGGCATGGAGCTCGGAACTCTCCTGGTCCTTCAGAGTTGGGCCCCCATCCCGCGGCCCCCATCGCACCTGCCTGGCGCCAAAAGATGTGTCGCATGGTCAGGATGGTGGATTCTGGATTCTGATGGATGCAGCTCAGGTCTGGTAGTGTAGTCAATGTGGAACTTCCTGAACTGTAAGTAAATAATGGTAAATGGCTTAGCATGGCTTAGTCATAAAATGTTATACATGAGAAGATGAAGTACCCAGTGAAACATTGACCTTCGTGCATGGTACAGGATCTCTAGGCTTTTGAGCCAGCCAAGGTTTTTGGCGCGACTTCTCCTCACCTCCCTTGGATAGCAATCCTATCCCCCTGATCAAATACTATTGGATTGATTATATTGATTGGCCCATATGGGGGCCACGGGATTAATTCGTCAAATCATGATATCAACATATGTCAATATCAGGATGTTATATATATATATATATTTATATCCATTTATATCCCATCCCCCTCGGATGTTATATCAAATCAATGGCCATGACTCAGGAACCGATTGATTGGAGGTACCTACCATATATTTTTGGCCTATTTCTTAGGCCTATGTAAGGGAATATCCCTAGAACATATGCCCTTATATGGTACAGTACCTGGTTACCTCCATTTTAGGATCCTGAAGATCTCCCATTGATTGGATGTTAAATCAAATCCCATGTTGTGAGGCAATAAAAATCCCCGGTAACCCATGGTAACCCTCTGCCGCCAGGCCCACTTTAGCGCTGGCGCAGAGGGAGGTCCAGGGTCTTGATCGCTGTTGGGATGGTTGGTTAGTGCCTGTTTCAGCCATGGACATTGGAGAAAAATTGGGCCAGATATGTGGGAACACACATGGATAAACAATATTTATATAGTTTATATGAGATTAGCCTCTGGTAATTTAACATAGCTATTGAAAATGGCGATTTATAGTTAATTTACCCATTAAAAATTGTGATTGTCCATAGTTATGTTAGTTTACCAGAGGGTAATGTCAAGGTAGGATTAATAAAACCACCGAATTAGCGAAGCCCGTTCCCCCTGACTGGACCCCCTGACTGGACCTTGTTGACCTAGTTGACCTATGGGGGGGTTATTCATCCGGGGTCAACATTATATGAGATAGACATTGGATAAACATTCGACAGAAATGGGATCATGTTGGATCAAACTGGGGTGAACATGGTGAACATATATGGATATATATATATATATATGGAACATGGGATAAACATAGGATAAGCTTGCGATAAACAGATCAACATGCAGTGTCAACCCAAATGACCAGCAATCTTGGATTATAGATTAGTTTTGACCACTGCATTTGATGCACTTGGAGGGACTGGGTGGTTTGGAACAGAAGCGATGGTTCAGCATCCACAAAATTGAAGTTGTTTTCTCCTGCGTGTGCGAATTCCCGCCGCAAGAACAAAGGCATGTTTTTGACGTGTACATATATAGCTGTACACTTGCATGTATAAAAATCGATATGTTGGCAGATACAGTTGTATGCGCGAAAATATGTATTGGAGAGATTGGGCACCACTTCACGTTTCTCATCAACACAGGAGCTCATCCACTTGTCCCGTGCGGTGTTTGCTACCTTTCTGACTCTTGTGCACGCACTCCAGATTCCAATGCTGCCGAATGGCTCTGTCAGTGTTAGTGTTATGTAGGGATGGGGCAAAGATGTGAAGGAAACAACTCGGAGGACCAGCCACGGCCTTGGACAACTGGGTACCAATGGTACTGAAGCCCATTTCCAAGGCCTTGGAGATTTGTGAATCCCAGCCCATTAATGAACTCCTGCTTGTTTAGGCACTTGCAACATGTGATCAGGGTACAGGTTGTCCTAATGTAACAGAGACGCCCAGCCGCCCAACAGAAACCTCGGATGGCGACCCATATCTGTTCAACCAGACTACTTGGAAGTGCAGTTCTAGTTATAAGATGTTATAAGTGGATATATACATATATATATATTTATACATACGCAGTATCCATGGTTATCGAGGTTCTTGGAGGTTTATAAGCATGATTATATCGAGTTTTATCCATAAAAGTAACCTCAACTGTACCCCCCAGGCCCCTTGGGGCCTCGACCTGCCATGGCCGCCCTTCCTGCCTTTGCCGCTGCTGTGGCGCCTGTGGCGTCTTCCGTGCCTGCGGGCGCCAGACCAACAAGCGCGGCAGGGCGTGGAAGATGGCGTGGGTGGCTGGGCTTAAGCGATGGATTTTCAAGTGGTGACTTGGGGGGGTTGGCAAGGGCCAAGCCCTTGAGCTTGTGACCAGGAGCAAACAGTACAGTTTTATACAGTTTTGACTTCTCAAAGAAATCTATCAGCAAGTGAAAAATGATCCCAACCATAGCTACCCAATGATTCCAGTTTCCCATTTCACGATGGTTGCGGGATCAAATACGCCCACTCCATGGCCCATCGAGGACAAGCGCCAGCACCGCTGCCTTGCTTTGCGCCGCACAGGGTGTCCGAAGCCGAGCACGCCCAACGCGACGTATGGTCGTGCGGGCGGCGCAAGCGACTTGTGACTTGGAAGCTTGACATGGGTTGCCAAGGGATGAAGCAATTCCGCTTGCTGGTTTCAAATATGTTTTATGTTCAACCCTATTTGGAGATATGAACTGACCACTTTGTTGTTCGGGGTGTCTGAAACACCAGCTACTGTATGTAATTCAAAGACATGGCAGCCTTTGAACGCTTTGAACGATGATAGGTATAAAGAAGTTCCACGCGCACAGGTTTGAATGGCTTTCAGATAGCCTGCATGAGCATTACATAGGATTGTATATAGAGATGACATCGGCCGGCCTAGTGTATGGGAATGCGGGTCCCATCAAGAAAATGAAAAAAAACAACATTTGGCCATAATCAACCCACTCCATACAGTAACCTCCAAAAAGGTAGTAAGTAATCGATCTCTTCTATTTTACTATATTTTATTATATGTTTTACTACGTTTTACTATATGCAGGATTTTACTTTTATGTCCCCCCGGCGGCCCCCACATGATGTTTTTTATGGCTCAGAATCAACCTCAGGCGAACAGTTACGCGAGGATCTAAGCGCCATGGTCCACGAAAGCTGGGTAGGGCTGCAGCCTTGCTGTGAGTTAAAGCCCTCAAATCATTATATTAAATTCGGTTAGCATTCCATAAATGGGCTTATAACTTATAACTATTTATAACTGGCTTTAGGGGCATAACCTTAGACTCTGGGTCAGTAAACCAGGTTATTTATGCGGAGTTTTCCAACGAACATGGGGGATTATTTACCATTGAACGGTGGAATAATTTTCTCCACTTTTGGTTGAGTTGCAAAGTGGAGGCTAGCTTGGTGGAGTCTGGTTTGGCCGTTTAGCAGTTTTGAAAGTGGGATTGGATATGTCACGCCCCAAGAAATAATTTTAAGGTATCGCGAATGATTCAAAGTAGTACCCCATAGTTGGCCAAGTTGCTCGAAAGTGGAGAGCACGACGTAGAAAAGCACACTGTGATCAATGTGCCAGCTGCACCGGGCTTGATTCAAGCCCGATGTTGCGGGTCACCGCGCGCTTGTCTTGTTTTCAGTGTGGGGTTCAGTGGAAGTCCAAGTTCTGGGTACCGAAAGTCAGTATGGTTTGATGGAAGAAAGCCACTGGGTATTGCCATGGCCAGTAAGGCCAAGATGTCTAAAAGCGGAAATCTTCGTTGGCCAATGATATTGCACCCTATGGTGGAATGGTACAGGAGCATCATGGGCCATCCAGTGGTGATTCAAGGCTCATTCAGTAGGAATCATTGATGTCAATCAGCCACTCAGTTTGTTATAGTTTCTTTGCTTCACGTGATTTGACTAAGTTTCCTTCTTCCCAAAAGCCAGGACAAAACAGTACTTCCACTTAAAACCCAGGGCTGGCAATAGATGGAAAGACATGGAAAATCAACTGTGAATCGGGGGCCATTGCCAGGTTAGCTGGGCAAAAGCCCATTAAAAAGGCGACCCAGACGTGCCAAGGTGCTGCTCTGGAAGATCCTCTTCAAGGCTCACGGCAAGTTCCCCGGCTTCTGCAGGAGCCACGAAAGCAAAAAGCGCGCTGTACATAGCGCCTTGGGGCTATGTCCCAAGCTGGTGAAACCATCAAAAAAAGGGATGTACATATGCAACTATGGGACTTAATATGGGACTTAATAGTGTCAAATTATATCAGTATCAGTATCAAAATATATGGGTAAACCTTGATGAGAGGCAGTTTAGTACTTCAATTTGTTGTTGCACATGGACCTGATTATTCATGATTGATTGTCAACGACCTAACCAACCCAAAAATCAAGTTGCTTGCAAGGTATCTGAGATGAGCCATGTAAACATGGGCACGAATGGGTCCAACATATTGATCCCGGAGAGTGTTTGCCCATGTATCAGCAGTACACGCATGAGTTTTTGGTGCTATACATGCTCAAGAGAGCCATTTCCAAATAAATTTGCATACTACAATGCGGATTCCAGAAATTTCTATAATTATCCATCATTGGCCTATATATATATGTGTGTGTGTGTAACCTTTAAACAAAACACCAATTCTATGAGACCATTCTCAATGTCTCCATGATGGAGTTTTTTTCCCAGCCAGGAGGCGATTGATCGCCTGCATGACGAGGGAGATGATGGCCGTAGCTCTGCATCAGATGATCTGCGGCAAATCTGGGCAATTTTGAGCGGAATTTCCCGGGAAAATATTCATTGATAGATACGTAGTTTTGATATGACACGGTTGCTTTCCATTGCTTTCCAGCTTTTGGGGTCAAGGAAGTTGAAACGAATTTAATGCTGGTGGATGGTTTGTTGCCCAGTATGATATTGGTTTAGAGTAATGTCAACTCCGATTAATAAACCATGGTTTATTAATTGTGGGGGTACCCTCCCAATTGTCACAATATGATACTTAAATGGTATCCCCCCAATTAAACAAGCTAGGGAGATATTAATACAGGGTTGACATTATAGTTTAACTACCTGAGCAAACTATCAGATGTTTGGGGTAGGTATGGTTCTATGGTTGAGTTAGATATCTGTTTGGTTGATATAGATGTATCTAGATGTAGCCATATATTTATTGGCTAGCTAGAATGCTAGAAAACTTTTGCAGTCAATTATGGGGCTTGGGATTTTGATTTGGGGACATCACTTTGGATCCTTTGAACCCCATATTATACCCATACGAATTTATAGCTGTGTAAATATATATATATAGGTACAAGCATATGATTATATAATTATATACATGTGTGTGCATTTGTATTTAGATCATGTGATATATAGATCATGTGATATAATATTAACATATACTTCCTTCATACTAAAAAAATGATTATATTTAAGAGAGAATAACACACCATTCCCATTTCGAAGGAAGTGGCAGGGTGATATTTCCCATACAAGATTTAATTCCCAAAAAACTTGAGAATATATGTTAGAGGACCTGGAGTCCATCAATTAAACGGGGCATACTTTGAATTCAGTGTCCTGAAATTCAGGCTCACCCCAATTCTTTTCCATTGCAGCTGGGTCAAAAGTAGCACAGCAACAAGCCAGGGAGAGAAAATGCTGCAGGGACGCTCTGTTACTAAACTTATGAACTTCCGCCGAAAATCCATACAAATCAGCAGAACTCAGGCGCACATGTTGTGATGTTGAGTTCCGCCGAAAAAAAAATCAGCAGAAATCCTAGGGAAAATCATTGAATCAGCAGAAGTCCACTACACATTTTGTGATGTTGAGTTGCGCCGAACCATAGGTCTGAATACTAAGTTCCGCTGAAGAAAAAAAAATCAGCAGAGGTCAGGTACATAATTTGTGTAGTGGAGTTGGGCCGAAAAACACAAAAACATAGTCCGTAAAAAAAAATGCAACCGATTAAGGCCCCCAAAAGTTCCGCCGATTTTTTTTTCAGCAGAAGTCAGGTACACAATTTGTGTAGTGGAGTTCCGCCGAAAAAACCAAAAAAACAAAGTCCGTAAAAAAAAACAAATGCAACCGATTCGGGGGAACAGGATCTCAAGAGTTCCGCCGAAAAAAAAACAGCAGATCTCAGGACGTCTCATGCCCCATAATCGGCCGCAACGGAAAAAAGGTCCACAAAGTCCGTAAAATAAGTTCCTGAAAAATTTAAGGCTTAGATCCCAACAAAATTGAACCTTTGACAGATTTGAGTTTTTTGGGGATTGTTGCTACTATCTTGATTTGTTGGCTCTCGAAATAACACACCATATATCAAAACCTTTCGAAGGAAGGGTTGATTCAGGTTGATTTATGTAAAGAAAAAGGTCCATGAAACCACATGCGGGAGACCCCATAATCCAGGTCCAGAGCCCCATAATCGATCGCAAAAGTTTTAGATGTGTTATATATATAGATACACATATATATATATGTATATTATAGATATGTCATGTCTAATAACTGTATATAACCATTTACAGATGTATAAATACTATTTGTTTAATGGTTAACCGTACTTCCACTTAAAACCCAGGGTTGGCAATAGATGGAAAGACATGGAAAATCAACTGTGAATCGGGGGCCATTGCCAGGTTAGCTTAGCAGAGGGTAATCCGAACTAACCCGATTTTCCATTGCTGCGTTTGTGACCGATTGACTGCATGGTGGCAACAACCAATGTAATTACAGCCAGTTAGTTTCGAAAGTCAAACGAGATGGATTCGATTATCATCCGAGACTCAGGTTCGGCAGAGGATTGGTATGGAGATTGGTATACCATTCTATGGTAAAAGTAAGCGAATGCGTCGAAATTGTTGATCCGCATGGTATATAGCAATTTCGATGGTGACTCTAATGACAACAACGGCAATAGAAATGACAACGATCAAGGTCAGCCTCACAAGGGTCAGGCTCCTCCGACGAGTGACATCCAATCATGTGCACCAAGCTGGCGAAGACGCAGTCGTTGGTGACACAGCTGCAGGGACTGCTAGTGCCGGCAGTGCCATCGACCAGCCTACTGCCAAGTTCTTGATCAGCTCTCGATGACGATGCATGTGCCGTGGGGTCAGCGGATGCAAGGGGAAGAGGATTCCCTCAATGGAGAGTGGGCATCTCCAGACAGAGCTGGTCCACAAACACCGGATCCTGGCCGCTCCAGCTCAAGCTCACCGGACTCGATTGGTCCTTGCAGCTCACAGTCACTACGGGCGTATATCGCCACATATTGAAGGCACCGCCTATTGATCAATTCCAAGACTTCAAGCCATATACTGGAAAATGATTTGGCCAAACAGATAGATTAGATAGATACATGAGATGAGATCAGAAAAGATGAGATGCGATTGGATTGGATTGGATTGGATTGGATTGGATTGCATAGATAGATAGACATAGATAATTAATGTACGATTAGACTTATACGTATACATGCCTGTAAATTTACACAAACACACACATATATATATAATATAATATGTGTAATTATATAATATGAATATATAAATATATAGCCCATGAAGCCCTCATTCCTACTGATTCTTGGCCTTGCACAGGGTACTCCCAACACCACTTGGCACTTACTTACTACTACCCATCCACCATGCTCTGACAGCAGCGGTCATGTTTTCACCGCAGGTGAAGCCGAAGATTGCGTCACATTGGCCTTGGAGATGCTGTTAGAGGTGAAAGCCTTTCAGGTGCGCTAGGGCGCTGTGGGCAGATGCCCCTAAAGATATGTTTGCTTGTTTGAAAGGAAATGATTTTGGAAATAGTCTTTTTTTTGCCATCAAGTAGTTAACTTCAACCACTGGGTGTTCACCCGCTCAACGATGGAGCTGGTTGTGTATCCCATGAAATTTCCACACCATTTTGATGAACTATTTGTCCTCCTTGCCTTTTGGTGATCAATGTTCATTTATACCCATAAAACATCACCATAAAAAAGCGTTACTTATTAATTCGACCCATATTTTTGATGTATCCTATTTTGGCTGGTGTTAAACCAGCGTTTCTGAGTTAAACCACCATTGTTCACAGTTGCAGCACATTTTTTCAAAGCTAAAGTTAAAACCACCACTTTTCATAGTTACACCATGTTAAACCACCACCCACCATTGTTCTTGATTAAGCCGCCGTTTTTCGTAGTTCAAACAACATGTTCCATGATGAAACTACGTAGTTTGCTCAGTTTCCCCGTGCAGGAGGCTGTGAAGCTCTATTTGGATTGGAATCGGGAAGTGGCCACCTCAACTGTTTTGGCGCTGAGTCGATGATTTTTGGCAATGGTCTTTTGAGTTCGATGAGTTGAACGATGATGTTCCTACAAAAAAAAACAGTTGATTTTCCATGGCAAAGTGTTGGTTTACTGGAATCCATTCCGCAAATTTGTGTGTGTGTGTTAATTATGGTCAATTTATGTCCAGTTGTTTGGAGCACATCTTTGACCAACCGCGTTTTAAACGCACGGTTCCGCTTGGTTCCACGGGCATCGTTTCGTGGGGATCCAATCTTCGACCATGTTTGTTTTGGCTTGCTGTAGGTTGATCATGTTATATGTTGGTGTATTGTATTGTTATAGTTTATCCAGACATATCATCATATATCTGGTTGGTGGTTTCAAACATGGCTTTTATTTTCCATATTTTTCCACAATGTATGGGATATATAATCCTTCCCATTGACGAAGTCATATTTTTCAAAATGGTTATTGCACCACCAACCAGTAATATGTGTTTGGCCATTTTCATGGGGATATATCGTTATTTTGTTTGGGTAGAGCATGTCCGAACGGGACACCATGGATTTTCATGGATTTTCCATTTCAACATGTTAGTTCAATGGTAATCAAAAAATCACATCCACAACATCCATTTTCTCGCTTGCACTTCACACAGTAGCCGGTGATTCCCCCTTAGGTGCAAATTCCCATCTCCTCGCGCGTGGAGATGTTGAAGATCTTGGGGACTTATGGCAACTTCCAACCGGCCGCGAATCATGTGCGAGAGCTCTTGGAAGCAGAGGCACTGCCGGCCTATCATCCCACTGGATATGCCTTGGTTATGGAGATGTTACTAGCATTTACAGTGGTTGTTAATGGTTTTAAGGTGATTTAACCAGCATTCATAGCGATTCATAGTGGTTTTAAGCTGTTTTAAAACATGTTTGACCATCAGAACTATGGGAAGATAACCAAACTGAGTATATGACGCCCACCTCACGCGGGCGTCACTGGAATGATGGGGAAGATTGAGAAAATCACCCCCATAAATGCCTTGATTTTTGGTTGGTGTATTGTATTGTTATAGTTTATCCAGATATATCATAATATACTTGGTTGTTGGTTTGGAACATCTTTTATTTTCCACAATAATATATGGGTTGTCATCCTTCCCATTGACGAAAGCATATTTTTCAAGATGGTTATTGCACCACCAACCAGATATCACAGATATCCATGTGGTAGAAAGTGGTTGACAACCCTGATGGACCCTGACTTCCTCAGTTCCTGGGGAAGACCCAGGGGATGAATGTCTCTTGGTTCGCTGTCGGCCCTTCGGCCCTGGCTCGATGTACTACGTAGTGGATGGCTGCCAAATCCTGCACCAAAAGGATGCTTGAAATCCGATACCCTTTGGTAAACATACAAAAAGCTATTGAAAATGGCCAGTTATAGTGAGTTTTCCCATTAAAAATGGTGCTTTTCCATAGCTATGTTAGTTTACCAGAGGGTAAATATCATTATAAATCATGTGATAAACCGATGTTTACCATCCATCAACTGGCGCTTCGGATTTCACAACCATCAACAGTATGTCATCATATTCCCCATTTTTTTGAAGATATTCCATGTTTTTTAGCATTTTTGTAGGATATTTACCCTCTGGCTATTTAACATAGCTATATGGAAAATGGTCCAGTTATAGAGGATAAACATGATGATTTACCTATCCAAAATACGGTGGTTTTCCAGTTCGCTACGTTAAATCGCCAAACGGTAATTCCAATTCAATCTTCAACCATAAACTGTCACATAACGAACTGGAAAGATCCACCATGCTATTAATGGGAAAATCCACCAGCATGTTGTTATGGAAAATCCAATCGGTATAGGATGGTTTATAACTCTAATAACCAGGACTTATGGTAGATATATCGAACTAGTATTCTATAGTTACTGGGATTATAAATCAACTTAGCTTTCCAATTGGGGGGCACCACCTTGTAGGATGTTGATCATTGGTTTCCCAGCAGCTTGTGGACCGTAGGATATCGACGCCACGGAGGCGGCCGAGCTGTTCGACGGGACTCTTGGGCGGTCCCAAGGGATAGTGAAACAGCTGACAAGCTATTGAAAATGGTGATTTATAATGCATTTTCCCATGAAAAATGGTGATTTTCCATAATTAGGTTAAATTACCAGAGGGTAGGAGGTTTATTTTTAGAACGTGAAATGAAGGAGCTAACCTTGAAACGCTTTCCATGAATTTAACCGGGTTTTTGCTGGAACATCAATTTATGGATAATTAGCCCATATTTTACCATTGAAAGTTGAGGGTTTTCGAGCCATGATTCACCAAATCAGGAGAGTAACTAGACATCTAGAAATTTTGAGGTGAACATCGAATTGGAATTAGAATTGGATGGGTTTTCCAGTGCCGACTGGGACACAGTGACTGTTTTTTTTTTTCGCAACCGCTGCATCGTTTTGGAGGGTGTTCCTTGTGAGATTTGTGATGGCAGGGCCCGAGGTTGCCGGAGTTTGCCCAGTTTTGCCCAGGATTCTCTTTGGCATCGTTCAAGCACATCATCCCCTTTCATCTTCCAGGGCGGATGTGCTGATTAAAGAAACTCCGTCTGCATTGCGCTAAAACAGGGTGGCAAATTGGAATGCTTAGCCCATGAATTACTTAGCTCTTTTCCAATGCTAGATGGCAGCTGCAAATCGCGATTTGGAATCAGGAAGGTTTTTGTTGGACCTCAATCCTGAGTATGTGTTAGATTTCTGGAGGGTGTTTTGTTTCCCATGAAGTCTTATTCAATATCCTGCGGCACGAGAAAATGGTGTTTGTTTGAAGGGGCCGTGCACAAAAGCAGTTCCATGTGTTCCTTGTCAGAATCAAATTCAGACACACATCTATGACTGCTAGTTACTGGTTGGTGGTTGGAACATGGCTTTTATTTTCCCATATATTGGGAATAATCATCCCAACTGACGAACTCATATTTTTCAGAGGGGTAGGTCTACCACCAGCCAGTCATGTTCGCTATGAAATGCCATGAAAGTGTGAAGACCTTGATGACCCTCTGAACCCGCTAACCTGACAGGTGGGCAAATGGTTGGAGGATGGCTGGGTGACTTTCTATAGCCATGTTGATGGAGGAAAACATCAAACCAGAGTGCGAAATAGCAGTTTGAAGGGGAGCATATATTTGGTTTTCAGAATGTATTCTTTCTGGTTAGTATCACCATTCTTGTTGGTGTTAGCACTATGATGACATGCGTTTTGTGGGTACGGAGCGGAGCACGCCACTTATAAGTTGTTTGGTTTTTCAATGTTTTTCACCAATCCCACTAGAACTACAGCTGTATCCAACACACAGTCATGACTAATAGTGTAGAAGAGTGTAGTTTAGCAATATCCAAGACAATAGTTCCTTTCGTATAACACGTTTCCCACTTCGAATCTTGTTTATCTTCACCAGCTGTGCCAAGATTCACCAGTTCGCATCGACGTTTTGCGCTTTCAGGAGATGTTGGACATTGGCCTTCAACCAACAGATGTCACTCGGCAGGTCGATTGAGGGATGATTTGGAAAGGGAACATCTATGGGAAACTCCAAAGTTTCCCAATGATTTACACATGATAAAGCACTTACAACTGATTTATTGCATCTTTTAAGGGATAATCGTTGGACAAACCATGTTCATCTTCATGTTAAGAAAATACAGGTTCATATGTCCAATCTTTTCCAATGTAATGATACGCGGTTTTAGGTGATTGGCTTCAAGCCCACTAGGCGAACTTTCTTGATGGAATCATCCCAGTATGGATCCATATGGTATGTTGTAGGCATCCAAGCTCATGACACATCGTTTGGGGTAGTCGGAAAACCATGATGTCCCGCACTTTTCCTTCTCATCCACGCAGTGTTGCTGCAAGAATTTGCCGGAAACTGGGTGGGTCCAAAGGGGGAAATCCAACTATGAATGATCTCATGAAACATGAGGATCATGTCAGCCATACGGGGATGTGTGATTAATTTTGTTTTGTGGATAGCTGAAGCGTTTGACTATTTGTTGATCACTGCTCTCTCTCTCTCTCTTTGTCTCTCTCTCTCTCTCTCTTTGTCTCTCTCTCTCAACTGAACCTTGAACATCCTTGAACATATGTCTCTGTTTCTTTTCATAAATATTTACATTCACATGCGCATCTATGCGTAAATATGTGCATATATGTGCACATATGCGCACACTAGATAGAAGCCTCGCAAAAGGAAATTAATGTTCACATCCATCTATACATCACTTTCCCATTCACATAGTGAAGATGCCCCATTGCTATGTTTGATGGGCTGAGGATGAACTGTTTGGTGTATCTCACTTGTTGATTTCAACCCATTTTTTGTATCTAAACAATTATTCACTATCTAAATGTGGCTCATCTAAATCACATTCAATCACAACGTTTTAGCAAGATGTTTGGAAAGAAAACAGTTGTGGACTGGTGAGTTTCAGTTTTTTTACCAAAAAAAACACGTATTATGATGGTTTATGTACATTTTTCTGAACTTCACTTATAAAAACATGTTTAAATGTCCATTTCAGCTGCTGAAATTCATGATTTTCCACCAGGTGGGGTGTGACTTGAGGAGACGATGCGGCTGATCGTCGAGGCGAAGACGCTCTTTGCAGCACCGGGCTTTCTGATTGACGCTGGGTCCAGGTCGGAGGTTTCCAGTAGAGCTACCGGGGTACCTCCAAATCATGGATATTTCATAGGATGTTCTTTTATAAACCATCCATTTGGGGTACCCCTGTTTTATATAACAATTAACATACATATATATATATATATATATATGGGGTAAATTATAACGACCTCACTGCGACCTCACTGGAATTATAGTTATATAATACGGGAAATCATCCCCAAATGGCCTTAATTCATTTTGGTGAAGTATTATAATTTACCCAGAAATGTTTGATGAGGCTACTGATGGCCCAATGGCCCAATGATTGATGGGATTTATGGACAGATATAAAATGATATAAACCGAATGTTGGGTTGTCAGTAGCTACATTCTAATTATTGGACGTGATATTCCCATGAATTGAATGAGCAGGCAGATTCGAAGTTTGTTTGGGTTTACCTGTGCATTCCGTGCAATCACCCGTCATATACATATTGGTGGTTAAACACACCCCTCTATTGACCAGGCATTGGTAAAAGTAACCAATGGCTCAGTCGGCGGGCGAAAAAAAAGGGGAAGCCGCTAAGGCTTCGCTCAAAGGTTTCAGGCTAAAAGATTGCACCTTTGCACCTCCACGTTTGGAGACATAGAATGGATATTTGTTACAGTCGATATAACTAAGATCATTTTGGCAGCGCATTCAAGTGCGGTCTAAACAAGCATCCAGTTGAATACTTCATCAGACGAAGCATTCCCTTGAAACCCTCGTTTGGATGTGGATCTATTCATTTTAGGGTCCCCTTTTGCAGACATTTGTTGAGAGGGAATGGGATTATACATATAGACAAGCCCCCGTTGAATCTGCAAATCCAAGCTATGTAAATCAGCATGTGCTATAAAAGCAACGTGGACCTCCCAAGATTGGTAAATTGGTGTTCAATTCCAAAAGCAACGTTTTTTTCGCGGATACATCTACAGTTAAATGGGTTTATACCCATCGGGCATTAACGTAGCTATGGAAAATGGCCCATTTGAGATGAATTACCTATGAAAAGTTAAAGTGGTGATTTCCATGGCAAAGTGTTAAATTACCAGAGGTGAGTCCTATTATCGATGGTGAAATCTCATTAATTGAATCCAATTATTATTCTATATCATATTCTACTCATATCTAATATCCCATATCCATCCATATCCCATTATGCCTCCCCCCATATCTCATTATTCCGATGAATATCCCATGAAAATCCTATTATAATCCCAATGAATTACCAGAGGTTAGTGAAATCTCATTAAATCCCATTATATCATGTTCAATATTCCGCTAATACCCCATGAATATCCCATGGTTCTCCCATTTTTCTTCCAATGAAAAAAGGGTTTATAAACCAACCAACGGTCTCCCGTTCCGCGTCTCTCTCAGGATCTGGGGCAAAGTGTTTTGGAGGTCATCCGACGCTGCGACACCGTCACCTGGAGAGATTTTGTGCCGCGGGACGTCGCAGTTTGTGGGACTCGATTCAATGGGGATCACCCTCTTGGAGTAATGGAAGATCCCCACTTCTAAAAGATTATTGATTGAGTATACAAGAATCATTATAATGGAAGAAATTACTGGCTCCCTCTTGGAGTATACTCAATCATTTTTCGAATCCCCTTTTAGAAATTCTTGGAGTATTCGAAAAATGCTTGAGTATATTTTGGCTATTTCGAGATAGTGCAACATTACCCTCTGGTAATGACAAAAAAAAGCGACATAGAAAATGGCACATAGAGCTCGTTGATCCGAACTTCAAGATGGTGATGTTCCATAGTTGTTTTGTATGTTTACCCCTCTGGTAAGGGGGAGTCATCCCGAAGAATTCAGATGGAGCTTTGGCACACATGCGGCACAGTTCTGAAGTTCTGCTCTCAAAGTGGGGGAATGGAAATGACACAAAGAATTGCATATATCAATGGTAATTCATGTAATTTCAGAATCCTAAAATGGAGGTACGTAAACGTACCATTTTTCAGGCCATATGAATTGTGGGGATATTCCCTGAAATTTAGCCCTTACATAGGCCTTTTTTCTATGGTAGGTGCCTCCAATCAATCGGTTCCTGAGTCATGACCATTGCATATTTGTCCATGGATTTCAGGCCTATGATTTATAGAGTTGAAGTGTTTATGGCTAGCCTTTGATTATAACATGGCTACCTGGGTACCCTCTCGTAAACATACAAAAAGCTATTGAAAATGGCCATTGATAGTGAGTTGTCCCATTAAAACATGTGATTTTCCATAGTTATGTTAGTTTACCAGAGGGTAAATTATACAGAAACGACCTCACTGCTTTTTATCACTGGAATGATGGTGAGGATTCGGGGAATGATCCCGAGATGGTCCCAAGTTTCAGGTAAGTGAATTGGTTCAATTTTGCCAGAGCTGTTGAACATCAATATCATCTATATAATGGATAAATCAGTGTTTTTGCCATCTAAAATTGGGAAACAATTTTCTACAACTGTATGTAAAATAAAGAATCAGAGGGTAACATGATCCGTAAGGGGTAATCATCCTTTTTTTCGAGAAATATATTTTAGGCCTATGGGCTTATAACATCTTATAACTGTTTTATATAGTCCCTAATTACACACGCCTTTAAAGCGGCGCTACACCGCTACACAGTTACGATTTTGTGATGCTTCCCAAGCCAACTCAAGATTTGTCCACTGCACACTTAGCAGTTGACATGGTTTGAAACCAACTGAGCAACCTGTTGAGCAAATTGGAGCACTATGTGACTTGGGCAAGAAGCTCAAGCCAATAATTTCCATGTCAAATGTGAGTGAGGTCATCTAGGTTGTCTTGGGGGCAAACCTAATCATTCATGACAAGTCAAGTGCCGAAGATGTCAAGGGTGTCAAGAACAGGGATCCAGGCTCATGGCACCTCGAGATGAATGTCTTTGGGCACCTCTTCCAACAGTCACAAAGGTTTCAGCCAAAACAACAGTGGCCCAGTCAGCCTGAACATGACATCGCCGGTGATCTCACTTCGCCCCAGAGATGAAACAATTTGTTCCAATTGGTGCCAGTGATGATTTTGATGTCAATGCTTTCCAGAACCTAATTTGGACGCGGAATGAAAACTATTGGAAACTGAGCAGCTTACCATCAATGCGGCTGAGCAGGCCTTAACGCATCCTACCTGCCCCCAAAAAGTCTGGTCCAGCTTTGTTGGGATTGATGGGCCACGTTTCTAGTTAATACTTTGTCATGTTCACCCTATCGAAAAGGCGGATGTCCCAGCGATTGAGGCATTTCAAGAACCCCATTTAAAGCAAATCTTGCTGATAAATAATCCCATGAATATTTACGAACCCCAAACATGAATAAAACAATGATAGATAAGAAACATCCCACTGAAATAGTCTACCAAATGACTTGTTTTCCTGGTTTGCTGGGGTTATGGCCCAATCAACCAGTGAAATCAGGGCCATGTCTACTCCCAAAATCACTACCGGGGATCATTTTTTTAGGATCATTCCAATTAGCAACTGCTTCGTACCCTCTGGTAATTTAAGATAGCTATGGGAAATCATCATGTTTGCTAGGTAAATCATCTATAAATGCATCTATAAATGCACCATGTTCCATAGCTATGCTATGTGTATCGGAGGGTAACTCCATAAACACCTTCACCACTTGCGGCCTCCAAGCCCTGGACTCCCGAGGTGCTGAAGAGTAGCAGCCTGCTAGCTATCAGCGGTGCTCACTTGCGCACCGGTGATCTTGATGCACCTGGGATGTAGCAGCTGTGAGTGGTGGGTGCTGTGAGTGCTGTGCCCAAGTGATGGTCTCAAACACATCAAACGTGGCAGTTGAAGATCCACCTTGACCTGGGGGGATTTTCCATTGCCATGTTTCATTATCTACCAGGAATCTACCATGGCCATAAACCCAGTTAGCCAATAAAGTTAAAGGACTCGGCTACTACTTACGGGGTGGAAACAATGATTCTTGAGGCTGGTTATTTGGGGTTGTCAACCATTAAAGTGAGCCGGCTGGTGAAGGTAAACCATAAAATAAGATTCGGCATTTTATGCATGATGAATTGGGAATATACATCTCATATAATCAAGGGTTTCTGGATGATGGTGATTGATGTTTACGTTTTTTATAGGATGGTCATGATGGTCAAGCCTTAAAGAGGCGTTTCAAGCCTTGAGTGAAGCAACGGTGAGGACACAAATGTGCCCAAACTCCAAGCAACATTTTAAGTGACGACTAGCGACTGGTGACTGGTGAACGGTTGGTGACTGGTTTGGAAAATTGAATAGCCATGCCTTTGGGTCGGGACACCGTTTAAAGATTTTTAAAGCTACAGTACATAATATATATATACAGTACATGGATGAACTATTTGTTTAAGGGGAATCACAAAATACAGGATATGAATTGTTGCTGAAGGGGAGCCGCAGAATCAAGTTGTTTGTTTTCCGATGATCCATTCATTTGTGATCACATGTGGCTACTTGCACGATTTTCCCAGCTAGAAACCTCCAAATTTCAGGGCCTGCCACCTTTGATGACAACAGAGTGTATCTTTCCTGGACACTGGCAGAGAAACCGAACTTGACGTAGGTGAACATTGCGTGTCCTCTGTTGGCAAGACATGATGAACATTTAATTGGCTTGCAGGAAAATCCACACTGTTTGGGTGAAGACAATGGTTTCCTATAGGTTTTTCCTGGAATCAATCTGTTGGATCTTTCACATCCCATTGTGTGCCATGATTTTTTGAGGCAGCGTATCGATGGTTCCTGGCCAGTCAGCTAATGACAGATCGACAGACGCTTGGCAGGGTCGGACACTGCATGATTGTGTTTGGAAACCTGCCTTATTTGGAGTCCAGTTATTACATGTTATTACATGTTATTACAGTCATAAACTTTAGATTTGTTATAATTGTTAGCCTTTGTGAGATTAGATGTACTCACCATTTATCCCATTGCTGTTAAGCTGTTGAAAGGGGAACAGCAAATCACCACATAATTGAGGGAATGGAAGGGGGGTTTTCCAATAAAATGGTGCATGCCACAAAATAACTTGTAAAACAATGGAAAATCGTCATACACCATTGGATCTTCTTGGATCTTACGGACGCTTTTGTTGTTTGCATTTTGAGACGTGGGGGTCTATTGACCTGTTTTTTGTGTGCCCGGTGAACGTAGTGGCCCATATTTAAGCTGAATCTCATTACCTGAAAAGAAAGACCACTATGGGCCACCTGGGTTCCTGCGGTGTGCTGGGATGTTCTGGAAGTGTGTGACGGATGTCGCGCTCGCGACCATTCGCGACCCATTTGAATCTTTCATCGCCGCACCGGAAGTGTGCCATTGCTCCAGGGTCAATGCTTTTGACTTAGCCGCATCAAGCCACAATTAGATCATCCCTAAAAACCTCCCGCCAGTCCCTCAGCAACATCTCACTGTTTTTTGGAATTTCTATGAATTTTCCACCCCTTGCTCTGATCAGGATAGATGATCCCTTGCAAATTTCTCATGAAAATCCCATCACCGGCCCACCGGCGACTGCACTCTGAGGACTTTGAATGATGGGCCCACCTTGGAATTGGTTTCCCAGTTGGCTCGTGCCTTGGTTCCTTGGCTCCAGATGGGATGAAAGTAGGGCTCCATGTCAAACAAAAGCTGGGAGGTCTGCTAATTCACTGCATATGTTGGATGTTTGCACATTTTTTCCGGTGGCCGATACGATGCAGTGATCTTCTAGAAGTTATTTCGGGGTTGATGCTTTGACTTATCTTCATTGGGAAGATCATGGGTTTGCATCAAACCTTATAAGTGTTCCTATCGGAATGGTTAACCCAGTCGCAATCTTAGCTTCACGATCTCTAAAATGGTGATTCATTCACCATTTCCAAGCAGATAAAGGATTTTTTAAAGGGTGTTCGGTGTTATAAGTGAAGTTGCTTAGCATTTTACAGTTTCACCCCATGACTTCTTCGATATGTCTACCACAAGTTTGCCCAAAATCCATGGGGCGCCACTGGTGAGGCCATAGGAGGCCGTGCCTGCCAACTGAAGCGGCTCTTGGAGCGGCTGAAGGAGGACCGTGGCACCGTTTTTTCGCCGTGGCCTTTGAACATGGCCTGGGATACCGGGATACCCAGGGTTGCTTTGGGGTGGAGTTGCTAGCTAACTAGTGATGTGCATCAAAGTGTCCTTTGCTATTCAAACATGGTTGACTATGGAAACTAAGTAAGCCTGAGTGAATGATGATTTCAGGGTTTAAAGTTCCGCAAAGCATCATCGAAACATAACATGTGTGTACATGTATTAAATAAGTTTAAAAAACACGGGAACAATATGGAACAAATATGTATATAATTGTATATAATGGTTTATAATATCACTAAAATCATTTAGCAAATATGTGTCAAGTCATTTTGTCAACCTTTGCATTTGTGCTTAATCGTGCAAAATATATAGATGTCCTTTGCCTACTAGTTGAATACTACAGACACATGGATGCAGATGAACTACCAGAACAATCCTTTCTTTTCCATGAGTTCTTCGTTGGCCTGAAACCCAAACAAACGCCTCCAGCCACCTTGGCCCCAACAGGACCAGGACACTGGAAATCACTGGAATTGAATCCAAGAACTACTGAAAAATCTGAAACTGATCAATTTGGAGGTCAACTTCAGGGAAGGAGCCGAAATCTTCAATTTTGATTCCAGCGGATCACATCAGCAGCTTTTGACCCCGTCTTTCTGAGAGTGGAAGGCCTGCTGTGGCAACTTGGGAGTACAGGCCATGGACCGGCACCAAATCCAATGTTCATAGGAAAATCCTCATGGTGAATGTGTGGTCAATGGTTAAATCATGTTAAACCCACGCTTATAAATTCACAAGATCCCTCCAAGTTCAAACATCTACTAGTAACGTTTATCCCTTCAAATAGGAATGTATAATTATATGATTATGTATAGATATGTATGTATATATGCAGCATATGCATATATTTAGTATTGGCCACGCCTTTCCAGGGATTCCCGATCCTTGAGCGCCAGGACGGTCGTTCCAAGCTTCCCTTGAATGCCGCTGCTGCAGCTGGGCGATGGAACTCACAGCTGGGGTCTGCAGCGTGCTGTGGGTTCTGAAAATGTGATGTACCCTTTGGTAAACAACAAGAAACTATGGAAAATCGCCATTCTAAATGGGTAAATCAAATAAATACGTGGCTATTTTCAATATCTTGAAAATGGCTGAGGAAATCAACACCAACCATCATTTTTTGGGGTTTTCCCATGTTTTTAACCAATGTAATGCACCTTAAAAAATTGATGTACCTTAAATATGTGATGCAGATTTATTTTCCTTTCGAAAAACACAAGTTAAGTATTTCCAGGATCTGGCCTTATGGCTCAGGAGGATTTTTACTAGGCTAGAGAAACCAACACCAACCATCAAATTGAGGGTTTCCCGAATGTTCACGGAAGACGTGGTGAAGGGTAGCTTGTTCTGTTTATCTTTTAGTTTTAACTTGTCATGTTGGTCAGAAATGAAGGAAGGCAAAACACTTTTTTTTGGCCCAGCTATTGTCGCTTATTTGTGGTGCTACCACTGGAGGTTCTATGTGTTATTCTTTACTTTATACGTGTGATGCGTCTTAGGAACAGCATGCCTAAACAAATCAATGTGTATGTATATATATATATGAAGGTTAAAACAACCCACAGAGTGCCACAGAGGTTTGTGACGGGGATGTTTGACTTACACGATTACCATTCAGAGCCTGTTCAGATTTATGACTGGAATCCTGCATGATTCAGTACCGCAGCCCCTCACCTCGAGCCATTTTTGATCCCTTCCAACAGCCAGCCATTGAAAGTAGAAAGATCCCTCTTGCCAACGGTCATTTTAAATAGGAAATAGTGGTTTATCTTGTACCTAGTTACATCTAGTTACTAGTTCATCGAAAACAGTTATGACGACCCCAAGTCAACATTGACGTGCTACTTGTTACCCAACCACTATGCTATAAAACAATGTTCAACCCATCTCCGAATTGGTTTAGCGGAAGATCTGCGGGAAACCTTACACAGGTCTTCAACGAACCGACAGAAACACTTGTTTGCAATATGTTACGGTCTCCCAAAAACGCAGGCACTCCCAGTTCATCATCCATTAAAACATAGGATTTTCCATGAAAACATAGGATTTTCCATGAAAAACATAGGATTTTCCATGAAAAACATAGGATTTTCCATGAACTAAACGATCCATCCATTTGGGGTACCCTTACCCCGACTTGGGTTTTTCACCCGAGGTCTCCCTTTCGGGCTACACCTGTGGCCGAAGCATGGCCACCTGTTGGCTGGAGCCAGCCGCCGAGGTGACCATGGGATTTACACATTTTTGGGCCTTGTTGGGGGGGTGTTTAAGATTAGGGGGCTGGGATCTTTTCTTGTTGAGACAACTGTTAAACTGTTAAACTCAGGTTTTATCAAACTCTCCGATCTCACAATATGGATTCAATATGGGACAAGCGTTTAGCAAGAAAGTAGAATTAACCAGCATAAATGGTGTATAACTGTACACCTACAACCTATAAGTAACCGCATTTAAGAGATAATGGGGTGCATAATGGGATATCATTTTGTATAATCATAAAAATCCAACACTATGATGTTGGTGTACGCCCGAAAAATGCACGTTTAATATGGGAAATGATTATAAACCATCAAATTTGGTGTCTTGGATTAAATTTTGAGACAAATCCATACTACGAGACAACTGCTTAGCAATAATTAATGGGTGATTATATCAATCATAGTACTTGCAAATCCTCAATGGATAATTTATCAATGGATTATAGTCGAAAATTGATTGCCGAATATTGTATAGAGCAATTTCCAGACAAAGTTGCAGCGATATGATGATTCGCATGTGACAAGTGATAATGAGTAGGTTGGATGTCTTTCGATTCGATAGATAAATTACAGTAGGTAGATTGGATAGAATAGATAGATAGAGTAGATGGTTTAGTTAGTAGATTCGATAGATTAGATGGATTCGATTCGATAGATTAGATGGATTCGATTGGATGGAGTAGATAGATTTCATAGATTAGACAGGACAGGACAGATAGACAGACAGACAGATAGACAGACAGAGAGATAGATAAGTATCGTAGAGAAAATCACTAGCCGATGTCACCATCGATCAAGCAACAGCTGTTATGCGTTAACTTAAGCTGCATGTAACTATGGCTGTTCATCGTGACCTGGGACATCCGTTTGCTGTAATGATAGGCTGGCATCATGTTTCATTAAAACTGGCATTCTTACTCAGCAATTAGCATCAATTAAAAATTGAATTTAAACACCTGTTCCTAGTAAAACCATGATCAAACCTCGATTTTTCATAGTAAACCCATCATTTTTCATTGGTTTCACAGTAAAACTGCCATTTTTCGTGGTAAAATCGCCATTTTTCGTGGTAAAATCGCCATTTTTCGTGGTAAAATCGCCATTTTTCGTGGTAAAACCCCTGATTTGTCATCTCCGACACCTGGCGCATCCTGGCGCATCCTGGCGCCAGGTGCTTCGTCGCCGCGGCCTTTGGTCCTCCAGCCCCGCGCAACGCCAAGGCGCCGGCGCCGCGCGGGTGACCTGCTCCGAGCAGTGGGACTGGCAGCAGCAGGAGACGTCGCGGCAGGAGATGTACCAATGGTGGCCTTGGCTGAGAAAATTATCACCGGTCGATCTTATATGCAAAATTATGCATATATATATACACATCTAACATATATGTAAGGTAATGTATTTTTCCTCATGGTTCCCAGTGGCTTCCGCCGCGACCACGCATTCAATTCGGTCATTTGCCAATGAAGGCACCACCTGCAAAGTCAGGGCCCATCTCCTCGCTATACACTTTACAGTCCATGGAGGAGCACCTTTCAACAAAATTGCAGGGGATCTGCACAGTTGCATCCACTGGAATGGAACTCAGTGTCTGCACAAAAGATGTGGCTAATGCGCCACATAACGCAGGGGGGTACTCCTTAAGCACAAATGTGCGAAACTTCCCATCAGTTCCCTGCCCGATGCTTGCACCTTTGGGCAAGTCATCAACAACGCGCCAAGATCGAATTTGATGTCCTAAGGTGGGCAAATTGAGGGACAGCAACATCGTTGGCTTGGCAGAAATCGCACCTAACAGGCCTTGTGCAAATTCCCACAAGCGGAAGCCAGGTAGCTGCAGCAACAAATTGATCAATGGCGTATTCCAGATCGACGCTGAGGTTTCTTTAGGAGGCCTGGCAGGATGCTCAACGGTACCGCACCCTCCTTGGATGTAAAGAACCGTCAGCATCGTGATACAGAATTGCATGAGCTGATTCCCCACCAACACCTGCCGAATCTCCTTCAGCGTCAGGCTGTCCAGACCCCATGGTTGTGCCGATGTGCGCACGACACGAGGTCCATCACGTCCTACTCCTTGGAGTTGATGTTCACGCGCCCTACTCCAAGTCTCGCATGGCGGTCCGCCAAGAAAGGCTATAATCCAGCGATTCATGGCCGCTGAAATCCAGAATTGTCTGACCTGTACATTGCTGATGTCTCCCCAACAGCTATCCAGAACTATGTCTACTGACAGCGTATGAAGAACAATGCCTGGATGGGCCTCAGCAATGTCATCTAGGAAAAACTGGAAGTCACCCTGCCTGCGACGTCCGGAGAATGCGTGTAAAATATACCGATGTACTCCGAACCCTTGAGGTCTGGGGCTGTCGGTGGTCTGTACCTCGGCTTGATCACATTGCCATTCCAGATCCGCACAGGAAGTCTCAGCATCTTCAGCTCTTGACTGCTTCAACCATGGCCATGTGTTCGCATCAAGCAAATTGTTGAGCAATATGTCCAAATCCTGTCGACTCATCTGAAAAGTGCCGAGATCTTCCGGCTGCACATGCTCGCGAAATTTGGCAAGCGTGTAACAGAATCTGGTCCACGAGAGAGTTCTCTTCCCTATTGCGGCACGCAAATCTGCTTGTTTACATTGGCAATCCTGGTCACTCATCAAAATTTCTGCACATTCACCAAAAAGATCAGTATCAAAATCTTGAACCTCCCTTTGCGGTGGAGTAGGTAGGCAGGGTCCTTGGCTAGCCAGTGGTGGCACCAAACCGTCATGCTGCTGCTCCAGAATGCGGTTGATAGTGGATCCATGGCCTTCACACGGTTGCAACAACTGTGATCGTCTCTGCAGGCTCGTGCGACAATGATGAGAGTGGCGCAGATGATTGTGCAACTTGCCCATGGTGTGGTATTCTTTCATGCATGCTTCACATCGAGTTTGGTCAAAAAGAAATCTGAGATTGGAGAGAATACCATGACGTCTGAACATGTGGGCCCCTTCCCCTCCTTTGGATTTGAAGGACATGCAACACACAAAACAACCATATACGGCGGGACCCTGGGGACTCTGCTCTGGGTGTCTGCTTGGCTCAGACGGCAGTTCCACATGTCCACGGTCATGTAACATGTCCAATACAAGTTGGTGTCCTTGTTTCACAACCCATTGATTGTGTCGCTGCAAAATTGCATGTTGTGTGGCCCGTTTGATCAAGCCTTTCCAATAACTCCTATGGTACTGCCAAAGATACTGCCATGCGGTAAGTCCTTGACTTGGTGCAGACAGTCCTGAGCTGTTCGACAGTTGCTGCCACATCCATGCTAAATCGTCCTGCACCAACGCACACCATTCGGAATCACGATTAAGCAGGTCCCAAGTCACTACATGCGCACAAGCGTGCAGGGTACCTAAATATCGCAAACGGACTTGGCGGAGGAGCTCTGTCGGCGATGGTGCATGCAACTTGACTAACACCTCTTCATCTGTGCTATGGTCATCATGCGGGCAGCACAGAAGGCGGCGATACAGCTTCATGATGGCAGCATGAAGGAATTCTTTGGAACGCATGTCTCTAAAGACCCACGAGTCACAGCCGTACTACATTTTACTGAGAATCAGGGTATTAAAGAGCTGCAGTCGTTTCTGCAATGCGATATCTTGGTTGTGGTAGAGGACTTTTCTGTGGGCATTGAACGCTGTGTGTGCCAATGCAACTCTTCTTTTCATTTCGACCCTATGATCCCCTTTGTGATGCAGGATTCCTCCTAAATGCTGGTATTGCCCGACAACAGCTATATGGCACACTTCTTGTTCACAAACAATGGCCATGGTGCCAGGTGCTGCCGGACCAAATACCTGTTTCTGGCACCTGCGCACTCCTTGACCTCTGAGGGAAAGAAGGAGCTCAGTCTTGCCTTTCTTAAGGTTCGGCGTGAGGCCATATCCTTTCATGGTGTCCAGAAGCAGCGAAGTGGCAGCACCAGCACGTCGGAGGAGTCCATCTGGCGTGGGAGCATGAAGGCAAATGCATACGTCGTCCATCCAGATGGGCCCTAGATAGGGAATCTGGGCATCTGGACAGGTATGCGTGCCAAATGGATCAAATTGCTGGGCTGCGGCGACACATTGTTGGAGGCCTGCATCTGCCAGCTTTTGTTGGTAGCTCTTGATGACTCTGGAAAAAAGATAACTAAACACAACATCTGCAAAACAATCCCCTGGCCGGGATCCAACAGAGGTGTGACAGCAATCCTCTTGTCCATGTATTTGGAAAAACGTGTCTGTGTGTAATGCTTGCAACACTTGACGGAGGTGCTTTGGGAGATTGGCTTGGTCCACAGCACTGGGTTGGCTCAGATGCTCGTGCAATTCATGCAAGGTATCTGGTGTCATACCAAGTTTTTGAACAATTCGAGCGATTTGAGCATCTGAATAATGGCCGCCCACCGCCAGTGGTCTGAGGACCCGATAGAATGCTTCTGTTAAATCTACCATGAGAAGTCCAACTGAATATCCCATCTGCTGGCTTGTGCGCAAAAAAGCGCGGGCTTCGTGGAGACCCAGCGTGACTGGAACCTTTTTTCTACCTCCCAGCTGCTGAGCACACAGATACTGTTCATACATCGATGACTGATGTTGTCGAATTGTACGATGGAGCACTTTGCCCATGTGTGAACTAATCAACAACGATCGGTAGGAGGTTGGGTCTGTCGTGGAGCCTTTCCCTTTACAGGCGGGCACCAATGTGCCGCCTTTATGGTGCAGGGACTCTTGGCCATGTATCAGCATTTTCATCAAGGCACTGAAATATTGCTTTGCCAGAAGTGCCGGACAGGCCTTGCATAGCTCTGGTGGAACTCCATCTGGTCCTAGAGCTTTCCCTTTTTTGACACGACGGAAAGAAATCTCAAGGTCAGTTAAGCATGGCACATCCTCAGGTCCCAGGCTGATTTCATGTTGCCGAAAAGCTTCCAATGAACCCTGCCATCTGACAACCAGTTCGTCCCATGACATGCGGACTCCTCCTTCCATTTGGCCAAAGAATTCAATCCAGGTGTCTCGCAATTGTTCTGGGTCTGTGCAAACGGTGCCAGTTGTCGTGTGCAGCATTGGAAGAGTCTGTTTTTTGAGGCATTTCAAGTTCGTCGGCCCCACATGGGCCTTCACAGTCCTCAGGATGTCATTGGCAGCTGCATCCTGTGGCAGGGCTGTGATGTCTGCATGAATGGCTCGTTGTCTGGCATTCTTTAGAGCCTTCTTTGATTGGACTGCAAGCACATGTAGGTGGACCCCTTGATGAAGCTTCCAGCATGATAACGCAGCTACATACGGATGGTAAACCTGCCCATAAAGCTCAAGATCTGAGGAGGATGTGGCAGACTGCGTTCTCCATCCAATCCAGGCAGCTCTCAACAATTCCTGACGGAATCTCTGATCAATGCTTTTAACGATCTTGCGACACTGTATTTTCCTGTCTCTCAGATTCCATATGTCTGCAGTGATGAAGCTCTTTTTGGCTTGGGTGACTTGTTTGTGGCAGTGCTGAGTCAGACCATTCATCACATGTTGATTGTGGCACTCAATATGTGTATGGATGTCTCGATCCCAGGCTGGCACAACAAAGTTCACGAGCTTCTCTTGGATGCTATTATCTATGGAATCACGCTGAACAGGGGCTATGGCGCGACGTGAGCATGGAATTTGCACCAACTGGTGCCATGAGAGTTCTGCTGCCGTAGCTTGGTGATCAAGGTGACCATTGCCTAAATCCAATTCTTCTACGACTCTTGAAAATTGGCAATCTCCACATCTGGCAATTGGCACGCAGACATGGTCAATACAATGTTGTGTGTGACCATCTGGAGCGGTCCATGTTTCTTGGGGTCCCAAATGACAGGAGAAAGTGGCGGGCAAGGCCAGCTGCCAAGTTTCAAGAAATTCACGTAAGAACTTCGTGGATTTGGAAGCCTTGGTTGGCTTGGGTCCAACATGCAGGCCATCTGTATGTCCCGGTTCTGCATTAGCATCAATGAGAACATAAATTTCTTCCTGTTGTACCAGCGTGGTGAGCTGTGTATGGAAAGACTTCCACCATGTCTCGCGCTGATCTTCCGATATGCCGCTCTGCGGGGCATGCGCAACTACGATCCAGGCTTGCCACATCGGGTGTGCAATCTTGGCAATAAGCACTCTGGGATCTTTATACGACACCACCACATGCTGCTTCTTCAGGAAATGGGCTGTCTTACCTGTGTATGCAAAAGGCTGCGCAATATTGATCCAGAGTTCCACACCATGGTGGCCTTTGGCCGCACCACTCCCTAGCCTCAGGACTTCGTCTGACTGCGAGCAGACTTCTCCAGTGCGAGATTCCTGAATGCCAAGAAACAACAAGTGCAATGCTTTCATCTGATCTCTGATGTATTGGAGTTTGCCCCTATGGCCATCCGGTCCAACATGTAGGGAGTTGACATTTGCTGTCGCCAGGCTGATACAAAATTGCACCTGTTTGGAATGATATCGAATTGAGGCAGGTGTGGGTGCAGTCTGCGGGACTTCAGGTGGTCTAATGTCAAAGGCTGTTCCTTGGAACGTTGGCAGACCTGCATTGGTTGCAAACTGTGTCCAGACATGTCTAAGCGATTGACGCCACTGTCTCATGTCCAGTGTTTGCCGTGGATGATAAAAACTTTTGAGCCGCTCTTGCTTAGCCAGGATGTCTACTAGGTCGTTCCATGGATCTTGGCTATGTCCTCTGACATGCGTGACCGCCAAACCTTGTTGTAGACCTCCTTCCAGGCATTGATATATGGCTCGAAGGTTGAAGAAGGATTCATCGGCAACATTAGAACTATCCAGGCCACTTGCTTGACGACCAGCTGTACGTGAGTCAGTACAAAATTGGGTCGGCACGTTACAATTTTGTGCTAGGCGCCAAGCTCCGCACCAAAACATGGCTTCCCTTTCTGCAGTTTCGGAGCCAACTGTTTGAGAGCCAATGTGGTGTGCTGCCTCAGGGTTATACAGAACAGGTTGCGCTGTCCAGCCAATGAGATTGATTTTGGATGTTTTGTCATCCATATATTGTTCTCCCAGCACTACAAAAGCCCATGTGTCACCATGTCCTTCCTCTTCAACTCTGGCCGGGGGTCTGCGTCGGTGTTCCGGTTGTGAACTTCCATCAGAATAGATAACAAGTCGATCCAGACGCTCTAAAGGTTCACATTGCTGCAAGGCCTCTTGCACATGTTGAGGCAAGTCGAGGCCATCGAACTTCCTGGACAACACCTGGACTGCGGATCCAAAAAACTGTTCAATCTGACTTTGATCAATACCAATGGACCAGGTACAGTCTGATGATCCATCCTGTCTAGACCTTGGCACGTAGAGAGGTTCATTTGTAAGAGGTTTCTGCAATCTGGAGGGCCAAGGTGTGGCAACTCGTGTCGGTGTCTGACGATGGACAGGCTGCTGATCCTTGAAAGTGACAATTTGAATACCTTGTTGTCCAATCTGACTCGTCCGCAGAATCACCGCACGTGAGTGCCCTTGTACGTACAACCATCGCATATGTTGCACAGCCGTCTTGGGTTCTGTGGTCACATCATGATAGGTGAAGTGAAAAGGCATATCATCTGCATCCAAATATATTTGATGAAAATCGCCCCACCAGAAATCCAACAACAGCATTGTGTCAATTTCAACTAGCCATTGCCAGTTGGGCAGTTGCTCCAAATCACACCACAATGCTAACTCCCTACGGATATCTCCTTCTCCTGCTGTCAGATCCACTTCTATGTACTGCGGCGCATATACTTGCGGTGAGACAATGAGTCGGACAGCTTTCTTGTTCTTTGACAAGCAGGGTTGGTGTGGCAGTGGGTCTACACACGAAACTTGCATGGATTGACACTCTGGTCTCTGACCTGCCTGTGCTAGCAAATCAAGAAAACTTGCGGGTTCAGGTGGCCAAATCAGCTGTTGAAGGTTCAAGGCAAGTCTGCTGTTATCACCAGGCTCCTTGCGGACCACTGATGTCTGCAGGAGGCCTATCTGATCATCACCCTCTCTCATGACTGGTAACTGCATCACCTGACGATGAATACGTAGCGTGATTTCATGGCCGGATCTACCAGGCCATCTGTGACCTGCTGGGAGGGGATGGCCATCAATCCATCCTTGACACGGAACATTGGGGTCAATCTGCCCTGCAATCAGCCTGTAACCGCTTTGTTGGGCAATCTGCTCCAAACTGACATGTTCATGAGTCGTGACCGCTAGTCGCATCATGTGATTTTCTCTAGCACTGATGAAACTGTCAAATACCGTCACTAGACTGGTGACCCACTCCTCTCTTGGCTCTTGGATCAGTATAATGTGTCCACCCACGCCAGCCTCCAACTGCGGGGGTTGTGGCACAACAACATGTCTTTCTTGTCGGAGATTTGGATCCAGGACATCTCTCCACGCCTCTTGGATGGTGCGTTCCCAATTTGTGAAGTCAGAAGTCAGCATCACTGTACGCCCCAATAGGCATCTAGGCAGTTCGTACCTGTGATCAACAAACCACGTGATAAACCAAGCATTTTCCAGTTCTGTGTCCCATGCAAATGCCACTCTAATCCACTGATCATGAAGATCCTGTATGAACTCAGGTGCGTCAGCTGGCAAACCCAAACCTGGCTGGAAGGGTGGTGCCTGGGGATTGAATTGAAATGGAGCACCTTCAGGGAGTCGGCGTGGCAGGTCAACAGCATGATCATTGGTGTGCTCACTTGGTCCTTCCTCAGCGACATCTTCAGCATAGATCTTCACATGCACGCTTAAGCCAGACCATGTACTAAACGGCTGTGCAGAACTGCTCAATGTCGGGTGACTCCAGACCATGCGATTGTGAACAAATGATTGTAACAGCGGCACAATGTGAACAAGATCCCCTGAGGTGCTTGTTTTCAGTGCCACGACTGCTGTTCTCACCATCACGCTCGGCTCAGTCTCATCTACAAATTCCATCGACACCAGTATTGAGGACTGGTCAGTTTGTCTTTGTGTGAGTATGATGTGCGCCAAATGATCTTCAATGTGGGCTCTTCTGGTGGAAGGCTGAACCAAATCAAGAAACACATGCTCCTGAGGATCTATTCTGTGCTGCCATGGCTGTGTAAGATCCTCTCTCCATTCTGCGATGTCTCTCCCTAAGAAAACTATCTTGGGATCCCTACAGATGGTGTGTTTCTGATGGTCCAAGAACCATGTGTACACTGAGAAAATGAATTCGGCTTGTTCCTCATAATCGCAGCTATCTACATGGCTTTGCACAACTCGTTGCAAATCAATTATCCAATCCTGTGGTATCGATTCATTTCCAGAACTGTTGGAATTGATTTCTTGGATAGACTGAAATGGTGCCATCGGTCTCTGCATCAAGACAAGATCATCAAAATATCCGGGTGCACTGGGCGGAATTGGCATCTGTCCAGACGGTGGGTCCACATGCAAACGGATGCTAAAACCTGAATTGACTTCAGTGGCCGGCACAATATGGATAGGTTCACGGAAGTGAAAAGCTCTGCAGCGTCTGCCTTCACAAACATGCGAAATTTCCATCAAGTCAATAAGGTCCTGTTGGGTCAGGAACCTGGGCGTTGCATATGCATGTTGCATGATGGCATCAATGGCATCATTTGGAAAACCTGCAAAGAGTGCTGTGAGGATCCCTGCAGCTCCTCCTCTAGGCCTATTTTGTTCCAAAAGAACATGACATGCATAACCCATGTGGCGGAATTGCGGAGGCTTGGGTTTAATGACATAGATGGAAAAGAATGTGCTGCGATCAAGCATGTCTCGCCATTCATGGCGAAAATCATCAATCCAGACTACGGCCTGTGGTTCAAGTCGCATGGGTCTGGGTCTACGGCAAATGCGATGTCGATCATGATCAATGTACCAGGTTTGTACATAAAGATACGCGTCTCCATCAATGGTTTCTGCCTCTGCTTGCTCAGAAAAAATTTGACCTAGATCGAGCAACCATGTTTCAGTGCCATCATGTGCTGGACGAGGCCTTCTGACTCTCACGTGCGGAGGCAGCATCATGGGAATGTCGATTTCATGGTCAAGGTCAATCCCTTTACAAGTCAGATGAGGCAACTGTGAGGACGTACCTGAATCAGGTGGCGGCCAAGACTGTCCTTCATTGGGGACACGTTCCGCAATTCTACTGGCGTCTGCAGGATCAAAAAGCTCGTATGCTTCATGAAAAACACGGAGTGCATGGCTGATTTCCCACGTCACTGACAGAGGGGGTGGCAGGACTACTCTGAAGTACATGCCATGTGCAATTCTGCGAGGGCCTAAATCATGCAAATGCCAAAGAATTCTGTTACAGAAAACTAAACATTCATGTGGGTGCCAATCGCAGTATGCCACAGTCCTGGTAATATGAAGCAAATGCCTGCGTACCATAGTGGGCACTACTCTATGTACCTGGCGTGACACAACAGGGGCTCTGGGTGCAGCTTCGCTGTGTTGCCTTGTGTGCATTTCAATGTCCACTAATACAAGCTTTTCTGTTGACCCAGGTGGGATGTCATTGACGTGTTGCACAATGATCGAATCTTCATGCGGCGCAACATCATCAGGGGCCACTTGAAGGTGATGACAATGCATGAGATGATCAAAGGGTTCACCCACCAAAATGGCAATGTCATACAAGACATGATCAACCGTGTCCCATCTTGGTCTGCCAAATATCTGGGTGTGGCCAAGTCTATGAATATGAACACCTTGGCGAGCATGCAACGTGCTAGCTACGCTGGGAGACGGTACAGGTGACCCATCCCCTGGTTGTTCTTCATCTAATTCCTCGTTACCATCTTGCGGAGGGATATCTTCTGGGTCTTGGTCCTCTTCTGGTGCATGGTCAGAGGTATACATGTCCTGAGAGGCATTGGTCATACTGACATTGGCGTCTGGGACCCTTGTGTTCACTGCCACTGCGAAGGAGTCGCCATCTTGCATGTCATGTACAGGAGCCATGGTATACGGCAATCTGACATTGCCATGTCTGATGATGCACTGGTGGACATTGCATTCATGCGTGGATTCGGCGCTCTGAACGATCTGATAGCCGCTTACAGTTTCTGGCAAGGAAACGGCCACCGCATGGTGTGCTCTTTGAGCAATGTCATCACGCTGCAGAATGGTAACCAGGCCACCTCTTCGAGGGGCTGCCAAGCCTTGTGTAAGGATGATGTCAAACAGGAAACCTTGTGGAGGCACGGCCGTTCTCGGTGGGTTAGGATGGACAATATCAAAAATGACCTGCTCATCAGGTAAAATTCGATCCCTCCATGCACTAACAATATCATTGAACCAATGCCTCCAATGGCCGTTGATCTCAATCACTCTATACTGGAAACATTGCGGAGCATGGAAGTGGTGCACATACCATGAGCGCAGGAAGACACTCTCATGGATCCTGGGACCTTCCACCACACCTTCTGTCAGCATTGCGTCAAATAGATACTGAACAGACTCAGGAGCTTCATGTAGGAAGTGATTTGCATCCTCAACGTCTTCCACGTCTCTTTCACCAGTATTGGTGTTATGAGTGACCCATCTGGATGGAACATTATAGAATTCATCTGTGGTGCGGAATTGGGATGTTGGCACAATGGAATGGGTGTCCCTACATGCTTTTCTGGACCATGGTTTTCCTCTCCATGTGGAGAGCGTTTCATGCTGCATCGTGGTACAACCCATAACAATTTCATCCTCCAAACCAATGTGAATTGATACTTGGTCCAGGAATTGTACACGTTTTTGATAGCTGACAGGACGATCAGTGTTGCAGATGCAGCTGATCAAATCGTGACGGCTTTCATGATCTCTTTCCGTGAACAACAAACCTGGAGTGAAATTGGGTGCCAGCGACCTATGGAGCATCTCCGGGAAAACCTGGGTTGCTACAACATCTGATCTATGGCCTAGGTTGGGAATCTTTCGGCTTTGGAAGAGGGCACAATCTGGAAAACCCATATCAGAATGGGGACCCTCACCTTCTGCATGACAGATGTCTGTGAGACATCCGAATTGCTCATGGAAATTTTCACACAAAACATTCCAGCGCAGCCCCCACGCAGATCGAATTGCAGTGAAAACGTGGCAATCTGAGGGGATGTCATTGAGATACTGATACCAACTTGGATTGAAATCATAGAGAAACTGTTTTGGCTCCCATGGGCATGCTGCACATGTGCTTGGTGTACACACGTAGGCATCAGCCCCTAGGACACCCATTTGGGCGTCATGCAAGCTATTGCAATGAACTAGCAGTGCACCGCCTTCATTCATGATTGTGGTCCATCTCCCCCAGGCGCAGGCAAGGAAGGACCACCTCCTGCAAATGGCTCCATGGATCTGGCGCGTTTTTGACGCGCTTGATCCTTCACTGCATTCTCTTCTATCTCTTCGGATGCCATTTGAGAAGCTGTTGGCATATTCAGATCCACCCCCAAAGATGCTGCGCAGCTTCTGAGAGTACTCTGCAATAATTGCTGAGCAGATTCCTCTTCGACGTCTGCGTCGCCAGTCAGATCTTCCGTCTCTGCTGTGATGGCTGTGATCGGCGGCATTGCGGCCAGAGTGGCCGGTGTGGCTTTTGCAGAAAGAGATTGGATCGCACTGCGGGCACTCTCGATATCTGCTCTCGCTTTTGTTGCCACTTCTTGGAGAGAGGACTGCTGCTGTCTGTATTCGTGCAGTTGTCCTTCCCAAGCTTTGGCCGCTTCGGCCACATGTTTCGTCCATCTGGCTCTGTGCACTCGTTTGGCTTCCAGCGTTTCGGTAAGCGTTTTCTGTGCTTTGCCTAGCGCTTTGGTGGCCGAGTGCAGGTTCTTGGTTGTAGCCTTGGTGAACTCCTTCTCCAAGCGTTCGATTTCCGCCTCCAGCTTGGTGATGAGCTCTTTGGTGTCGGATGGGATCAATGATTGGTCTGTGTAGGCCGCCCGGAGGGCACCTAGCACCTCTCGTTTCTGTGCAATGGTCTCTGTCACCTGTGCCGCAGAAATAGGGGCTACACTTGGCATTGGGGCATTGGTGCTGCTCTCCAATGGTGGCCAAGGTGGCATCTCTGGGGCCAGTGCAGTGAAAGGCGAGGGGCTCAAGTTGGAGCCAGACACATCTTTGCCTGTCCCTTTTCCTTGTTTTCCCTTCCCCTTCCCTTTGTTCCTGGATTTTCGGCCCTTGGCCTGATGTGGTTCTGATCTGTTGCTCCTGGTGCTTGCCTGTGAATGCGATCTCATCTGCGATCTGTCTCTCGTCCACTGCCAAGCTTCTTGAGGATCTCCCCAATTGTCGTCCCAATCCTGGGACCATTCTTCCCAATCTTGCCAGCGTGCAGCATCTCGTTGAGAATTCACTGACTGCTTCGGTTGGGTGCTGTGACGAGAGCCGCTCGTCCAATGTGCATTGCAGATTGCACATTTCATAGCCGTCTTTTTGTTGATCCTTTGACAACGACCACATCGCCACGGCCAAATCTCTTGTTGCTCGATTTGCTGATCCATTTTTTTGATGAAATGTCGATCCTTCGAATGATGGGCTGATAAAATTCTCTTCAATCTGATGAGGGCTTGCGCGGACAAGGTCTGTACTCCTTTGCGGTGTAAGAACCAAGATCTGCGAGCGCCCTGTCTCAGTCGCCGAGCGCGACGCCTCTGCGTTCCAGTGAGGAGTGGAATCGCGAAGGAAATCAAATCCCACGATCAAGATCAGGAATAAGAGCAAAAATGAGCACATATATTGTGATATGATCCAATACTCAAACAGTACCAGGGCACCGCCAGTTCAGCACTGTAGTAGTAGAGGAAAATTGTCGCAAAGAAATATTGCAATGTGTCAGGGCTGTTCCAGTTCAACACAAAGCAAATGAAATGTCAACGCAAATTGTATACCCAAATTGTAAATCCAAAATGCACAAGAATATTGCACAATGTGTCAGGGCGATACCAGTTCAACACACTGTAGGAATTATTCAGATGTAAATTTAAAATCAAATCTCCACACCCGGTAGTCGGCCACCGCAGAGCCAGAAGAAATGTAAAAAGGAATGCTGTTGCGTTTGAAGGCCAGAAATTACCACACCACAAAGGAAATTCAACTCTGTCAGTGGAAAACCAGTCGCCCTTCCAGACGCGAACAAGGTCTCAAATAGACCCGCGGGCTGCCCAGCCCGCTTAGGCAATGGCTCCAGAAGACCCCAGGGATGCAACGGCGTGGGGAGTTTTGGGCCAGAACCTTAAGGTAATGTATATGTATATATGTAAATGTAAATGTAATTGTAAATTAATGTAATATAATGTAATGTAACGCAATGTAAATGTAAATGTAAATGTAAATGTAATAATGCGAGGACAACATCACCCCGATGTTGACTTTTTTCTGAGGAGAATGTAATGTAATGTAATCCAATGTAATGTAATGTAATCCAACCCAATCTAATCTAATGTAATGTAATGTAATGTATGTATGTATCTATATATGCATGTGTGCCACGTATAGGATAGGTAATCATACATAAGGTCTAGAGATATCAGTCAGTACTACTAGGACAATGATAATGATGTGGGTGATCTGAATTATCAGGATGATCATTGGGTGATGGGTGAGGCTGTAAAATTGGGGCTGAGTGAAGCTGGATGGGTTCGCTCTTATTGCGACTATGATGCCACATCTCCTTGATTTGTGTACCGCAGTAATGGGACTATACCATTATATATTTAAGTATATCATACTTATAGTCGTTGTGATTATCTGGTTGATGAATATAGGTGATGGGTGATCCATGAACAGATGTTTTGATACAGTAGTTGTACTGAAATTCTTTGCACAGATACAACCTGAAGTGGGGATATTTACCTATCAAACACAGGTGGCTGGGCAGTTCACAGAGAGGTGAAGTTGGCTGAAGTGGTGGGTTGGAAGCCATATGAATGTACTCTAATTGTTTGACAATGGTTGATGCATGATTTAAAAAAAACATTTATGTACATGATGGATTATTGATGGATCTTGAAGTGATTAAAGTGCTTTGAACACGAATTGGATGATTTTAAAGGTGTTGGGCACTGTTGAGGTGGTATTGGTCTGATCTTGGAGAATTATGAAAAGTTCCATGGGTAGGATTGTTTCTGGCAAAAGATATTATTGGGTCATTCAAGATAAATTTTGATGTGCTGACAACTGAATCGGTTTATTTTTAGCCACAAATTCCATGTGCTCTGTCGTTTGTTTATCTACGGCTGATGTTTGGGACGCATGATTCTTGATAAATATTGTCGTATCCATGATATATGGGGATGATCATGATCAATGGCCATTTCAGGCACCTAAATTGGAGGTACCTGCCATATTTTTAAGGCCTAAATTTCAGGGAATTTCCCCTCAGTACCTCCATTTTAGGATCCTGAAATTCCGACATGAAGCCAATGATTTCGAAGCATTTCTGGCAGTTTCCACTCAAGTCCTCAAGCCGCGCTGAGCCGCCCAGGTATCCCTACATGTCACCCGAGACCAAGCCGGAGCGAGCATGGATGACACCCCTGAGAACCTGGGGAAAAAAGTGGAAATGATGACGCGGTGACGTTTTTTTTTTAATGGAAGGTACCCTCTGGTAAACAAACAGTTTGCTATTGAAAATGGCCATTTATAGTGGATGTTCCCATCAAAAAAGGTGATTTTCCATAGTTATCTTAGTTTCCCAGAGGGTAATGAATCCCAGTATTTTGACTGGTTAATAAGTCCCCTAAGGGTATCCCATGTAATTTTTGGCTTGTCAACTCACCATTATGGCTGGTTATATAAACATGTTTTTTGGCACCTCAAAGGCAATTTTCGTGGTACCGACAAAGGAGCATCCTGACCGCATCACCAGATCCACCGAGGATCAATAGATCGGGGTGCCCTGGGTCTCGCGGGCCAGTGGGCGGGCCAAACACCTGCAGAAGCCTCCGCACGCGAGAGGCGGAAAGATGAGGGAAGGACTTGGAGAGGGTTCCCCAATTTGAGGTGCCAAACCATGCCAAATCATTCTTCATGCATGTTGGTAAAGCAATAGTTAAGCCATCCCTAAGTTTACCATAAATGTGTGTTATACGCGCCAGTTAAGAGGAAGTTATTAGTGGACTGAAATTGCCAAAAACAATTCAGTCATGGAGCATCGAGTAGCTCAGAAGTTGCCAGCAATTAGCTGATGTATCATGGAATTAGGAGAAATTGTTCATTTGTTCCAGGATTGATATTACCACCAATTTACTCATAGGGGGGCAATGATGACCTGAGGATACCTGTTGCATCCTGTTGCTTAATTTTGTTGCTTAAATCCATTGTTCTAAATAGATCTTCGGGCACAACACATGTGTTCTTGATAAACCCAACCAAAAGAAAACTCTTATCAAATGCATGAAGATCAACAACACCTTTTTTTTTAGGTGGTCTGGTAAACCTTAAAAAGACAACAAAACACCGTTTTGCTCATGGTAAACCAGGCCAATCTTTGGTAAATCCATCCCGCCCCGAAAAATGGTGGTAAATCCTCAGGTTGCAGGAGTCCACTGGAAGCCAAGCCTTCGACCTTGAAGCTGCGTTGTCCTTGGCGCCTTCGCTGAATTTTTGGTGACCATTTCGTTTCAAAAATGCTTGGTGAACTATCAAAAGTGACTGGTTTAACCAACCGAAATGGTGGTTTAAGCAACAAAATTGGGATTTACCACAACTTCCCCTTGGATGGACAAGTTGGTTTATAGTAGCTATGCTAACGACGGTTTCGTGTTGGTTGTTCCTTTGAAGCGCATGCTCAGAGAGGGTGGAGTGGTTACTGTGTTGCAAAGTGGCGCGTCCAAGTTATACCTTGGTTATCCTTGGTTTATATGATCCACCCAACGGCAAAGATAGAACCACCTTTTCAAGCCAATACTTCACCCACATAGCTATGTAGGGCGCCACGTTGCCCGTATGTTTCAAGTACAGCCTGTTTCAACATTATTTGGCACTTGCATATCCGTTGTTGGTTCATTGAATCCCCACTGGGCCGAGTATGTTCCAATAGTTTGGCACTTGGATTACTTGGATCTCAAGTTTTGAGGTTGAATAGCCATAAATAGCCATGCCCGGCATGCCCTGAATATGAACGTAATGAAGACCAAAACCCAGACCCAAATCTTCCGCCAAATGTTTCACTATCAGATGCGATAGAGTCCACATTTGGTGACCGGCAACGGATCGAAATTAGACATGGTTTTACAATGTGAGGCCCCCAAACGTGATGTTTGTTGGTTAACAAAAGCCCCAACTACCAGTAACTAGTTCGTTATAAGTACCATAAACCAAAGTGACATTGGAGTTATGTTCACCAACTTAGCTATCGAACGGGAGCCTCACATTGTAGAATTATGTAGAATTTAATGATGATTTTAAGATCATTTATTGTAAGAGTTACTTCATGTTACTTCCAGGAGTGATTTCTTTTTCTGCTGAAGGGGTGTCCCCTAAATATATGTGTTTCAGAGCCACATTTTGCTTCTGGCTTCCGTGAGTCCCAGCAATGGAAGTTGTGCAATGGGGATATCGCGTGATGAACATCAATAAGCTGATAGCTACTGTGACTTATATAAATATTATATATAAATAAATAATGCACATCATGATAATTGATATTATCACTGTTTGGTAGTTTGGAACATTTTTTATTTCTCCATATATTGGGAATAATGCTCCCAACTGACTTTCATATTTTTCAGAGGGGTAGGTATACCACCAACCAGATCAAATAAGCCAGAAAGTGAAGCAAAATCTTTCACTATTGGAACCAATGGGATACCCATTTTTTCTGCCTGAAAATGGAGGCCGGGAAAAAATCGCGCGGTTGATCATCCGTTTGTCCCATTCAAACCATCAACGCTTTGGAATTACAAGCTGCTTCCCCAATGAACATTTCTACTAGAAATAATTCCATATGAATCCTTTATAATCACCATAACATCTCATATAATCCTATCATAATCCTCATGTTTCATGGTTACCTGCAGTAAGCACACCGCTATATGCCTATATGCCCATGATCAGGGCGTAGGCTCGGTAGAGCTCCGTGTACATCTCTCGTGACCATGGTGGTTGGTCCGATGTGGCAGCCCGTTCCTGCTTATGCAGGGTCGACGTGTACCATCTGGTTATGACTAACATAGCCATGGTATAGATGGCCCATAGAAATAGATGATTTTCCCAGCTAGAAAGCTTCATTTTTTTAGGGATTTTCCATGGCTATATTAAATAACCAGATGGTAAATGCGATTTTTACTGAGTCTGGTTTGGGACCTTGAATGCGCATCTCCATGCAGCGATATGACTCGCGCACGATGGATTTTTGGTGTCGGTCACATATCTCACCAGCCTGAGGAGCAGGCAGCAGCCGTGGGCATCGCTTCGATAAGCACAGCTGTCGGCTGCCCCGTGAAAAGATCTGCCCCATGGTTACCCTCTGGTAATTTAACATAATTATGGAAAATCACCATTTTTAATGGGAAAATCCACTATTTCTCCATTTTCAATAGCAAACTGTTAGTTCACCAGAGGGTACCCCATGGCATCCACGACCCTAGGAGCCTCCCCGCCGCGCGAGTCGCGGCAAAGTTCTTGGGAGCCCTGTGGTGCTGCGGCCGGAGCCAAAGACCTGGCGGATGTACCACGCAGATGCTGTGTGACGTGGCGTAAACGGGGCTGGAGGCCTGGGGTTCCCAACAAAAGGATGGAGGTACAATGTGAGGCCCCCCAGTTATAAGTTGGTTTGTAAGCCCCAGTAACTATAGTTATTTATAAGTACCATAAACCATAGTTATTGGAGTTAGAAACCAACTTAGCTATCTTGGGGGCCTCACATTGTATGATAGGGTCCTTATAGATCCTTATTCTTATAGTGTAAACGGGCATGATACTGATAACGGTTGCAATAAAATTATGGAGGTTCCATCAATACCTCCAACCTAGGTTGAGAATCATATGGAAAACTCATATACAAGCACGCAGTTACTAAAGCTTATAGTATGAATGATGGCTTGTCTATATATTATCGTTGAAGCCGAAGCACATTTATTTGGATGAACCGCAATGACCGCACAACCAGTGACGTCACTGGAATGATGGTTACGATATGTTTTTTGATCGGGGGAATCATCCCCAAATGGCCGTATGATAGCAGCTATTTTCAGGTTAGTGAATTCTTGCACTTCGGCCAGATTATTGGGGGGTAGAACGGGATTGAACGTGGGAATAATGCTACAAAGCATGAAGTATACAGTGTATCACCATGGAGAAGGATAATAATGAAGTTACAATTGGAACCAAAGTCAACAAAATGGGATCGTATACCATCATAATCAATAGCACTAATTAATAAACTGATGTTGTTTTTCCATGGGAATACAAATGGATACCAATGAAAGGTTGGGTCCCTTAGAAATCCTCTAATCGAACATGGCATGCTGGAAGAAAAAACAATCATTTAGTGCGATGCTATTCCCACTCACATTTCCATTTCTAGAGGATCTCCCATTGCCACGTTTGATTACCGGATGGATAATGTGGTTTATAATGTATATTACGTTTGGTTAAGTAGGTTTTAATGTTTTTTTCTCCTGCATGAGGTGCACAAACTTGTTACGGAGGTCCACCTGGTGATAGGGAATAGGGATCCACTTGGAAAATGAATTGGATACCCTCCAGTAGACAGTGCATTGAAAAAGATTGAAATCCACCATTCATAGATTATTTTCCCATTGTCCCCTCCATAGGGGATTTCCCATTGCTACGTTGAATGCCCGGAGAGGGGGCAATCCACCATGGCCCTTGGAGATGTTTCAGTGGCCATGCGTAACCCCTAGTTTCAGTTCCAAAATGATATGAAGTTGGTTGTTTCCTAGTTGTACCCCATATTTATCCACAGTATATATATATATATACCTGTAAATTACCCTGATCTACCTGGGTAAAGCAGCACAAAGCAGTCGAGGAAGAGGGCTTACCCCACGGCCCTGCGCACATCCGTGGGCAGCCCAGAGGAACTGAGAGAATTGCTGCTGGCGGAGAAGAGACTTGGTTTTATTGAACGACGTGGGTTAGTGAACTATTCGTGGATTATATAATAAATATTAATGGATATTAAATGATATTAATTAATGGATTATACTTTATGGTATACTATGGCAATGGAATGTTCATATATCATGAACGGTAAAATTAATGGATGTTTTAATCAATGCAAAGGTACTATATATATAATGTGTATACGAAGGGTGAATGGAAGATTGATGGAATATTCGTAGAAGAGGATTGATTGGTGAATATACTATTAAAGAAGATTGATGAAATATACTATTAATATCATCTTTCATATATCTTGAATATCATCATGTGATTGAATATCATTCCAGGAGCTTCGTAAGTGGTGAGTGTTTCCGGTGACGATTTTTTTTGATCACCAGATCCTCCAAGTATCAACAGATCAGGGTGGGTTTAACCTTGGATTTAGCATGGATGAACACCAGGGAGTTGCCGAATCTACCATAGTTTTTAAATAGGCTGCTAATGGAATTCAGAACTCAAACAGAGAAGATAAAATTTCGGTAAAAACTTGAGATTTCAAAACTACACCTCTTGTTGTGAAAGAACAGCATGGTCTGCTCTGTGCCACATAGTGGTAGAGGGATGGGATCTCTGATGCCAGCAAGAGGGAGCGTGGACCCGCGAGGGTCGCAAGGTTGTTGAGTGAGAGTTACCCTCTGGTAAACGTTTACATAACTATGGAAAATCACCATTTTCAATGGGTAAATCCACTATTTCTATGGTCATTTTCAATAGCTTTTTGTATGTTTACCAGAGGGTACAATGTGGCAGACCCATTGGCGCCTTGACCTCGACCTGGAACTCCTTTGGAACCAACTTTCGACAGCAGCTTTCAGTTTAGTCGTCAGCTTGCCTGTTTTTGAAGTTTTGATTGGTGGACTACCATTGGCCTCAAAAACATGAACTTCATAATGTTCTTCAGTTTCCAATGTTTTCATGTCTTTGCCCGGAAAATTGTTTCCGATATTCTTTCTATGGCAACTTTTTGGATTCGGTTGGGGAATAGTGCAGGATGGAATAGTGCAGGATGGGTGAAACTTTCGGATGTGGATAGGGTCTAAAAGTTATAGCTCACCTACTAACATGGCGTTGCTTGCCTTTGCTGGTAGCTTCGCAGGTTTGTTTCGGAATGATGATCATCTCTGTGATGCTACCCTGCCAATATGTGTGACAACTTTTGGCCATGATACACCTGATTGTAAACATTGTGAATGTTTAATCATTCATGTTTTATTTTTGCAGATGCATTGATTGATTTTTGGTTTTTCCCTGCCTAGTATTTCGACTGGCAGTTCACCCTATCAAAAATAAATGTTACCCTCCCAAATAATCATTTCTGATTCAAAAATTCTGAGGAGATCTCCACCCGACCCTGCCGGACAATTCCCGAGGAAGACTCGCGAGATGTTTGGAGCGAAGCCGGTTGCACATCCGATTCCCCACAGCACTATTGAGGTGGGGGGTGGGTGGTTGAAATTAGTAGTAATTAGTCATCTTAGTGTCTTAGTGAAGGTAAGTTGTATGGAAATGGGTTAAAAAAAGGTCTTCAAACCTATATATCCTTTGGTCAACTAGCAGTTTGCTACGGAAAATCACCAGTTTTCAGAGGTGAATCATCTATAGGGCCATTCGTCCATAGCTATGTTAGTTTGCTCGAGGGTAACCCAGTATTTTGAGGATCCCCTTGGCAATCAAACAATATCAACTGGTTGGTGGTTTGGAACATTTTTTATTTTTCCATATATTGGGAATAATCATCCCAACTGACTTTCATATTTTTCAGAGGGGTAGGTCTACCACCAACCAGTCAGGCATGGCAACGGACAATCCCTCATTTCTAGATGATTTTCTCAGCTATCAGCTGGAAACCTTTTTTTTTTTCCATTTGTGGATTTCCAGTTGCGATGTTTGATGACACCGGAGGGTATATCCTATTGATATCCTATTCACCCTCCATTTAGCCCATTTATCAACGGCCATTTCAGGAACCTAACTAAATTGGAGGTACCTACCATATATAAGGGAGATGTAAGGCCTATGTAAGGGGATATACCCCCAGAATATGGCCTTATATTATATGGTACGGTACCTCCATTTTAGGATCCTGGAATGACCATTGAATTTATCCCATTAGCCCTCCACTTATCCCATTAATATCCCATTAAGCCTCCCATTAAGCCTCCAATTACCCCATGAATATTCCATGACTAGCCCAAAATGAACCTGAAATTATCCGATTCAGATCCCATCAATATCCCATTCACCATCCATTAACCATCCAGTGATATCCCATGAAATCACGGATATCCTCCTCGCCAGGCCTGGGTTGACGAGGCGGACGAGGCCACCCGGGCGAAGCTGCGGAAGACCAAGGCGCTGGAACCAAGAAATGGCGGTCCCGGGGGTCCCGGGGGTCCCGGGGGTCCTAAGTCATGGGGGTACCCCCGAATCATCCAGTCGTCATGGATGACCATGACTCAGTACATGTATAGGTTAATCCATGATGACTAATGATGACTTACCATTTTAGTATTGAAATCCATGGTGACGTGGGGATCCCCCAGTTTAAGAATTCCCATTTTAAGAAACCCCCAAATGGTTTGAATGGTTGGTTTTTGAATGAAAAATAGGGATTTCACTAGGTCACTCAGTTTAAGACACACTTGATGCAATTGGGACAGAAAGCGGGGATGCATACTTGGAAAAGAAACAAAACAATGAGACTTCAACAGCCAAAACAGGGATTTTAACCATCAAAAGGAATGTTATAACCAATTAATATTTGGATGTAACATCAACCATTTTTATGGGTATTTAGCTGGGATAGAGCCAGCCAAAGCAGCGGTTAAGATTGCGTGCAAATGTACGTCAATATGGGGTTGGTTCCAGTTTGGTAATGTAACAAGGGAAAATGACCAAATGACAATTCATATCCATTAACCCAGGCGTTCGGTAGATGATTCTCTCCCGTAGCAGCCGTAGCACAAATAGGTGTTGAATGTGCACAAACATATAGGGTAATATGAACCGAAAAAGATACCCCATTAGCGAGGGAGAATTGGGGTTATGATTCCTAATTGATTCCTATAGCATGATGAACTGGTTTCTTTGGGGGTTTGCTCCCCAATAACCTCGAGGCCGTTTAGCAAATGATCGGAAGCTCCGCAATTTATAAAGCAACGACCTGACCATGGGATACCATGGGATACCATGGGATGCGGGGAGGATATCGAGAAGATGACCAAAGAGCAACTGATTGACAATATAGCGGCAATCTCTGGCATGAGCTCCTGGGATATGTAGAGGTCGGGGTTGAAGATGGTTGAAGTTCTCAGATGTTGACACTAAAGATTGGTACAAGATGAGGCCCAGTGCTGTTTGTTGCGTTATCACCCATTATTTGTGGTTTTATTACCATAAACCATACCCTAGCAATCCTGAATACATTCTGAGGATGGATCTGGATTGAAAACCCATCATGGGGACGGATCGGCCCCAAGTCCATTCTGAGAATGGTCTTTCGTTTGGTGGTATTTTTGGGCTACCCCTGGGAACCAGCTTACCCCAAATTCAGCACCCACTTTTACCCTGATGGTCTCGATTTGAAGCCATCGGTGGCAGATTTCAGCCACATGCATATTGATGCAACCTCAGTTGTCAAGATAAATCATTAATCAATGGATGAAAGTGGGAGGAATGGTTGAAAAAAACAAACATAACTATGTGGACGTATTTCAGTGGCCACACCAAGGTTGAAAAAACAAAAACATATTCAAAGAAATGCAAGTAACCCCATGAAGAAGCGAGGAAGCACCATTTGCTCTAAGTAGTTCTTCGAACATGCCACTGCCAGATCAGATATGCGACCCACGAAGCCTTCACTCTTGAATCCATGGTACCAGTGGCTGTTTTCTCCTAGGCTTTGATCATTCAAAATTCAAAATCTTGATCAATCAACAGTGCCCAACAAATTTTATGGAAAGGAATAACTTTGCTGCGTTGAAAACCAAGCATCTTTCAACATCTTCATAGTGCAAGATCTCTTGCCATGCCTAGCTAGTGCTTGCAAACAATGGCGAGCAAATTTAATCGATCCATTCCTACCCAAGAACAAAATACTGGGATGTGGTTATGGCTCAAAATTTGGCTATCCACTCACCCACCACTAGTAGTCATATTTAGGAGGAAGGATAACCTCCAAAAAAGAAAAGTTGGTATAAATCCATTGCCTAGGTGCATGGAATTTGGGTTTGCCCGGCCATCGCAACTCACCCTCCTCCACAGCCAGCTGAGCTAGTTGACAATACGCTTGCATACATCGATTCTGAGCTTGGAGATGACCCCAATAGGCCTGGTTCATAATGCCCCCAGTACATTGCACACTACAGGGTATTCAAGAAAAGTAGCGGCCAAGATGGTATCCTTATTCAACCTATCAGCAATGATTGGTTGAATAAGAATCATGGGAACAAAGAAAAAATGCCAAGGGATTTGACTAGCATCGCAGTGAAGACGGAAAACTGTAACATCAGCATCTGTCAAGTAGTGACCCGTCTGTTCATGGGCATCAAACCACTGGGCCATATGAAACCTCATGTTTGGTGTCCCCTAGTATGAAAATCAATGGATGCATTATGAACTCACCAGGGTTTCTGGATCAAGACAAACCCACATAGAAAAAAACAACATAATCTATACCAGATCAAGAAGCACACAACGGGTTGTAAGGCACAACTTGTCATCCCCAGGAGTAGCCAGCTGAACCAACTCATCAGCCAACCAACCGCATACCACTCTGGCCTTGGACAATGCTGCGATCAGCGTTTAACATGTTTCCAAGTGAATCCAAAGAATAATTCATTGACCATTCAGCGACCTCAAGATGGAGCTGGCAGATTTATTGTATGACAGGCTGCCCTGCAGTTGATGGACGGCAACGGCAGATAGTCCTATTTGACAGTGCTCCCCAGCTACCCCTTGGACCCCCCCTGGACCCCCCCTGGAATGCCCCTGGACCCCCCCTGGTGAGTTTAACGGAGTTTAACGCAGTTTAACGCCGAAACCTTTCCCAGGATAGACTTTAACGCAATTTAACGGGATTTTAACGCCATTTTAACGCAGCCCCGGACCCGGCTGGCCTCCAAATCCACCTTTCAAACCCAAGTCTTCTGGCCAAGCGCACTTCCAAATTGGACCAAAATCCCGCAAATTCCAATGAAAATGAAGGGAAACCTGTGAAAAACCACGTGTTTTTCATGGTGTTTGATCAGAATCCTCAAAAAACACGTGCTTTCTTCACATTTTGATAGGAAATCAATCAGAGCTAATGAAAACATTCCAAAAACACGTGTTTTTTTTCGAATTCTATCATAGGGTACACCCCAAACCATGGAAAAACACGTGTTTTTGTAACTTCTATGAACTTGCATCATCAAATGTGCCTAAGACCATGGAAAAACACGTATTTTTGTTGCTTCTATGGAATGGCATCCGTCACATGTGCCTAAAACCATGGAAAAACACGTAATCTTGCAACTTCTATGAAAGGGTATCACCCAGATGTGGTTAAAACCATGGAAAAACATGTGTTTTTGGCTACTTTTATCAAAGGTACCATCCAGATGTGGTCAAATCCATAGAAAAACACGTATTTTTTGCTACATTTATCAAAGGGTATCACCCAAATGTGGTCAAATCCATAGAAAAACACGTATTTTTTGCTACATGTATCAAGGGTGTCACCCAAATGTGGTTAAAACCATAGAAAAAACACGTGTTTTTGGCTACGTTTATCAAGGGTGTCGCCCAAATGTGGTTAAACCCTACAAAAACGCGTGTTTTTTGATACTTTTATCAAAGGGTACCATCCAGATGTGGTCAAATCCATGGAAAAACACGTGTTTTTGCTACATTTATCAAAGGGTAACACCTAAATGTGGTCAAATCCATTGAAAAACACGTGTTTTTCTATCCTTTTATCAAAGGGTACCACCCAGATGTAATCCAAACCCCAACGACTTAAAAGTTCAACTTTTCTTACTGAATCTAATGGGATAGGCAATCCCCAAGAGGCCCCCCTGGCCCCAACATGGCCCAAAGACGGCGTGTTCATCTGAGCCCTGGCACTAGGGCTCCGATGAACACGCCGTTCTCGGCCCAACATAGGCTCAACATAGGCTCAAGATTGTTTTTCGAGAGCCCAACATGGTGCAACATGGGCACAAAAACACGTGTTTTTGGCTACTTTTATCAAAGGGTACCATCCAGATGTGGTCAAATCCATGGAAAAACACGTGTTTTTTCTACTTTAATCAAAGGGCCTTTGGTGGCAGCATTGCGCAATAGACCCATGGCACCACACCACAGGTTGGAAATCTAGATTGTTAATCAAAATGTCATGTTGATTGACTCTGATAGAGCTAAATCTTGTTTGATGGATGCCTGCAAGTAAGGCTGTGCACTCATGAAGGATAGTATTTGTCTCTGATCCTGTGTGGATTCATTATGGTGTTTCATTGGTATGGTGATGATTCCGATTAAGATCACTCAATTTCAATCACTATGCCATGTCATCATTCCCAAATCTCAATGGCTCTGAACCTAAACCTTCACCAGAACGGCCCCGGGGCCCGAGACCAAACATAGGATAGGATTGGGGGTAAGACCATCTTGAGAAGGCTATCCCCTGAAACCATCCTGAGGATAGACTTGGATGCCTAGGGATATAGCTAACCTAGTTATATGCGACAACTTTGCTATCGTTTGGCGGCCTCATCTAGAGTTGAACATGGGGTATACCGAAGAATGGCCACGTCGAAAGGGAAAATGAGGATCAACCATCAACATTCGGGGGTACTTTCAGACAAACCTGTATGAAACTCAACCTCGAGTGCGATTTTTTGTTCAAAAAATGGATCTTTACCAATACCCATAGGATCCATGTATGCTATATATGGATATATGGTAACATTTACCATCAATATATCCCCAATGTTAGCATCTATATATATATATATATACCATACATGGATCCTATGGGATATGAAATGTATGGCCAAAAATACGCAATGTCAACTCCGGATTAATAAACCATGGTTTATTAACTGTGGGGGTACCCTCCAAATAGTCACAATATGATACATAAATGGTCCCCCCAATTCAACAGCCTGGGGGGTTCTTAATCCAGGGTTGACATTAACAATGTACAAAGGCGTTCCGAAATCCCGAGTCGTTTGCTCAGAAGTATCCAGCGGAGAGTTCTTCCCCAAACCTGAGGTCCAGAAGATATCGAGGACTGCTTTGGGCTGCCAGCTTCAGGGCTCGCAAGGTGTATCAGCAACGATTTCCTCACCCAAATATTCCCGACTTAACCTGACCAAATCGGAAATTCGATATTCAATGAAGTGTTAACCTAAGAGGAATACCATGTACAGATGTGTATCCTGATTGTTTTTTTTTTCAGCTATAGCCAGTTTGATTGGCATTGAGTAACTGGACGTAAGCTGGTCAATCATAGTTGCAAAATGGTGACCCACAGTTTGCTTCATCCCCAAAACCCCAAGCACTTCACTGTTTGCTTCTACCAGTTTCAGCATCTCTTGCAGATGTTCCTACGTCACCGAGACAAACAAAGCCTGGGTCACCCATGGTGATGGTGGCACGCCGTGTGCCAGGAGAATCCAAAGCTGAACCTCAGCCGCTTGCGTCACATCCAGCAGACCGCTGTGGGCTTTGCGACTGGCAAGGCCTCCGTGCCGCTGACAGATGAGGAGCCTGGGGGGGATCACTGGAGAAACATCCCATGGGAAGAACGGTGGGCCACGGGCCGGGCCACATGGCTTGAGTTTTTTTACGCAACAAGACATGGGATAAACCCAGTTATAAAGGGGACTTATGATGGGGTTACTAACCACATTACTAGGAGTAGTAGTTCATAAATCATAAACTTAGTGATTATCGGTACCTCAAGTGGGGGTTGCCGTATTCTAACACAGGGGTATGAAGCACAGCTCTTCCATTGCTTGAGATTGATGGTTGTCGCTTGACAGCCTTAGTCATCTCTTCAATGAATATCTACCCTTCCCAAAGATCACATTTAATTCATCCTGATGACTTTCTAACATATTCCCACCATTTTCAAGAATTGTCTGGTTCGAATTCCCCTTAACGAAACTACTATTGGCTGTGCTGAAACAAAGGTTGCCAGAGTTGCTCAGGAATACACGGAGAAAATCCTGGCCATGACAGCAGCTTGACCGGAACGGCAGGTGGTTTCATCTCATCTTTGGGGGGTTAACCGGTCAACCCCAACAATTGGGTGGCTGAAACCATCAGAGTGGGCACAGAGCCTATATGCATACAAGTTTGAGAACATGATATTTTTGGAAGCGAAGCTGTTTGACTGGTCGATGTTGTGTCACACACGACATGGATTGATGGATGGTTCATCATGTTTGTCAATGTTCCTCATATCACTATATCTCTCCTCTAACTGCTGCTGCACTTGGCCCTCGCCAAGCGGATCCAACACCTTTCTAGGTACCTGGTCCCTGGTCAGGGTTTCTCTGAACATGGGATGCTGTGATGTCCCCCCCCCCCGGACTTTTCATATACTCCCTTCAAGGTGCTTTATGGTGTTTCAAACGTCAACCACCAGCTATTTCCCAGAATCCGTTCAAGGGAAAAAAACTACAGGTAGCCCCGGTGACCCGGATGTCAAAACGAATTTCATGTCTTGCTTTTGCACCTTAAATCAACCTACACTCCCGTAATCACAAACGTGGCAATTAATGGAACACCTTCCATTTATAGATGATGTTCCCTTTAACCTCCATTTCGGCGAGATTGGGCCCTGCCATATGGCCCCACCTGAGGATGATGAGTTGCAGGAGGCCTTCCTTAGCCTCAAGTCATCCATCAATGACAGCAGCTGGGACATTGATGGCCGATGTTTGAGGAAATCTATGCAGAGATGGGCTATGATCTGGATCGATGGGCGATGGGATCTAAACTTGGAGTTGGTGGATTTTGGGCCCTTCAGAAGACAATGTGACAAGTATGGGATGAAAAGAATGGTCATTGTAGCATTCAAATGTTGTTGAATGCTTTCGCACGGCTGCAAATAGCCAGTAACAATGGCAAACATGATATATTCCTATTTGAATGCACGTCATTGATTCCATGGTAAGAGATGTAAGAGCTTCATTGGGTGCGATTGTGGGTGAAGTCCAAATGGTTTGGGGCTCGGTAAGCCTTGGTTTGGTCAATGGGATTTGGTCCCATCAATGTGGAAATATTATAGCCATAGATATTGACCTCAACAGGACTGTCAGGATCCTTAAATAGAGGTACTGTACCATAGAAAGCCATATTGGGGATATTCCATTACATAGCCCTTATATAGGCCTTACGTATGGTACGTACCTCCAATTTAGGTACCTGAAATGGCCATTGATGACCTGAAATTGCAGGATATCTGAGACTAGCTGCGTAGAAACATGATGGATTGGAGAGTCTTTTTCTCCAAGTTCAACTGTTCTGTGTGCAGGCTGTCTATGGCTATCTGAGTATGAGCCATCAAGAACCACGAGCTAATCTTGAAAATAATCACAATAATTGTCTATAGTTATATAAGTTTGTTTCCACAAAATTGGGTAGATTTCACGTAGAAAATATCCAAAGGAACGCACACGAACCCAATCTCAAGATGAACTATATGACTTAGTGCAGACATATCAACATCAGGGTCTCCTTAAATATACCAATCTACAAATGGGGCTTTCCATAAATGGGGATATCCCCACCTAGCTGGATGGTTTATGATGGAAAATCCATTCTATAAATGGATGGTACATGGAGGTACCCCTATGACTTGTAGAAGTTACCCCCCTCCGAGGCATCATGGGTTCCGACTTGAGCCAACAAGTTGAAAGCAAGTTGATGCAGGAGCGTGACGCCGCTTGGATGTGCTGTGTTGGTGAATTTCTCCGGTTACCCTCCGGTTGGAAATTGCTATTTATAGGTGATTTACCTATTAAACATGGTGACTTTCTATATATTAGTGTACCGGAAAGTATATGAATGGGATATACGAACGGGAGAATAGGGGGAGATCAATGGAATGTTGATATAAATGACACATTTTAACGGGATAGGTGCTTAAGGTGACTGTTTGCTTCCTAAATGGGAAATCCACCAGAAATGCCGAATATGTATAGTGCTGTGACATACGTCGTATTTTTTGGGGGCGCCTTTGTCGAAAGCAACAGAGCTGGTGGCGTCTGGGTACAGCCATTGGCTGGTAATTTATTGTAGCCATTTTCGATGGCTCCGGTAGTTTACTGGAGGTTCCCAATTTAGTAGAGAAAAAGGCAGAAATCTAGTGACAATGAACTGATGGCATCCAAAAGAATTCGGCAAACCAACTTGGAAATGGTAGGTGATTTGTTGTTTCTTTGCTGCAAATTTGAAGATGGTGGCAAACCCATGGAAATGCAATTGCGATGGGTGAATGGTAGATGGGTTAGTCTTGTTTCTTTTGAATCATGAGAGTAACCAGCTCAAAAAGAATCACAAAACTCAGTAATACTGAGGTTTAGCTATGACTTGGGACATGTGTGTGTGTGGGTTCATGCATGAACTATCTGACTTGCATGTCATGCACCAGAGTTCGGAATAAACCCATGAAATGATGTGCAGTTTGCACATCAAACAGGAAAACATGACAGTGCAACACATTTTGTTGAACGTTTTTAGTGGGTGTTTGTCATGGAACTTCATTGAACTGTGCTCAACCACTGACCGGCTCGTGCTTTGGATTCTGGTGGTTTACAAGGACTCTCTTTTTTTAAGGCAACCCGTGGATCAACCCTGGGTAAGTTGGTGGGCTATTTCTTCACCAGTGGGAAAAACTTGTGATTCACCATCTAAATCCAATTTCGTCCCAGTTTTCCATAGCTGTCCCATTTAATTTGATTTGAACATGGTGGTTCTTTTCTTACCCCATAGGATCCATGTATGGTATATATGCTAACATTGGGGGTATATTGATGGGATCCATGTTACCATATATAGCATACATGGATCCTATGGGTACAGGTTCCCACATCCTTTCATTTGCCACCGGATTTCCCGGAACCGACCGAGACCACCGAGGAAGACGGCCGCTGGGATGGCAGTGCCGCGGATGAGCTTCGCTTGGCGCTGGACATTTGCGAGGCGCTGCAGGCGGACCATGGGGAAACCGAAAGGTGATGGGCTCCAGGAAACATCGAAAAAGCGATGGAAAATCCACCATGAACGTCGATCATTTCCTAAACCCACGGATTTACATGGGTATTTATCTAAGTTGAAGGGGGCAACCATTCTAAAGTGACATAACTATCATTTCGAACAAACCCAGATAAATGATTTATGCGACATTTATAGGGTATATCGATAGGGACAACTGATCCTACTTTGCCCTTTGGTTAACCGCTAAGACTTGTGGGTTGAATGAGCCACAGGAAATGATATCTTTGGCGATCCCCCCCGGCAATCCATCAGGGGTTGACTAATCCAAAGTCCTCAATTCTTCACTATCTGCCAGCCGGTTACCACCACTAAGTCACTATGTTTTTGTTTCACTGCCACCCAAACATGACTTAATTTGGAGATGTACCTTGTGATCAAATGTGATCAACACATGTTGGTCAAAAGTCCATTGTTTGTTACTGCCCTTGGAGATGGAGATGGAGAGAGCTATCCGATCTGTCCAACGGTTAGGAGGGAGCTGTTCGGAGCTATATAAGTATCAATATTCCGATTCCTATAGAGTGGGTTGCTATCAAAAATTACACATAAATCTCCATGTTTCTTGCTGAAATCACCATGTTCCCTCATGTTTGATGGTAAAATCCAATTTATTCCTTAGTTAAATCACCATTTTTCCCTCATTTTTGCTGGTGAGCCCCTAGTTTTTACGACCTGAAACCCCTTCCCGATGCAGGACATGGGCTTCACCCGCTCCACCGCGGATCAGCGTGCCTTGCTCAGCGCAGCCCATGCACTGGGCGATGCCGCGCTGGCTGCGGAGGTCCTGTCGATGCAGGCCGCAGGATCCTGCCGTGAGCCCCGCAATCAATACTGGTATAATAGTGGTATAATAGTGGTTAATATATAATGGGATAATCTATATTAATAGTGGTATAATAGTGGTTAATAATGGTTAATGAGATATTTGGTGGGTGGTTTGGAACATTCAAACCATCAACAATAGGGATTTAATATGGGTTAATGAGACTTAATATATCTTAATGGGACTTAATAGATCTATATACTGATTGGTGGTTTGGAACATGGCTGTTATGACTTTCCCATCATATTGGGAATGTCATCATCCGAACTGACGAACTCATATTTTTCAGAGGGGTAGGTATACCACCAACCAGTTATTTTTCTGGCTATTTTTATGGCTATATGATGTTATTTGGCTATATGGTTTGTGGATGGTTATTCCCCAAAATATGGTAGAAGGTTTTGACCCATATATGGTTATGTGCTTACTTTTACAGATTCTATGGCTATTTTTGTCAAAACCCTGGTGCCCTAGGGGTACCCAAACGGCACCTCCAAATGGCATCAAATGGCTGGTTAATCCAACATATGGTAACAATGGGGTTTTCACCCATCCCCTTATGGCCATTGGCTGTATGGTTATAGTAGATGTTAATAAACCTCCGTATATGGTTGGGGTTGTTTTACTCCATTTATAGGGTTTATTTAGGGGTCTTACAGCTATATTGCTATAAACCCCATAAAAATAGAGTACAAGCCCTATAGTCCTTAAAGCTGGGAAAATGGTGGGAAAATGGGTACATGATTGGGATACTATTTGATAATGTTGGGATATGGACAAAGATGACCAACTTAACTGTAATTTACCTGGATTGATGAATCTATTTGTTATTGCATTTTCCCAATGGGAACCCCACTGCTTGGGGCATTTTTTCCGGGAATAAGTGTTTCATGGTTGGGTAGGATTTTTCATGGTGGCGGTTGGTGGTTAGTAAGCCTTAGTTAAAACCTTTCTTATTGGATGGATATTGGTAATAATTATTAATACTGATAAATTACCAATTATGGCATTATTCTTATTGGGTGAGAATGATAAACGGATATAAAATAACAAGATGCTATAGTGGCACTATACTAGGGGCATACGTGGATACAATGGGAGATTAACAAGCAAAACAATGGGTAAATTGTGACCCCCTCAATAATATTGGTTTGTGACTTGTGAATGGCGTATCCACCACCAATAAGCACTGACAAGGGTTTGCTAACTTGTTAACGATTGATTGTTACAGTGGCCACGTTGGACAGTTGGTTTACAACTACAACAGCTATACACTATTTATGATGGATATAATCCCATCACCCGAATATTAAACACCCCATTCTATGGTAATTATGTGGAAATTCCCTACTAAACCATGGGTTCGTTTAGGGGGTGTTTAATATTAGGGGGAAGGGATATATCTATTGTTGAAGGTATTTATAAACCATCTCATAGCTGACCAGACATTGCAGCAAAGATCTCCAGAAATGGGTGGTAGAATCAAACCCCAAACTGACGGATCATTATTTGGTATATACTGGCCACATGACAAGTGTAAGGGGGATCGGACCATATCCGTTTGTTTTGGCATATAGTTTGACATTACACATTTTGATGCAATTTCCACATTTGGAATGACCTTTTCCTTGGCAAATCTTCCGGAGGAACTAGCATGAAGTGCTGTCGCTGCAAGTTTTTTTTACTCACCCATCCCAGCTAATCATGTCCACCAACTCGATCACAAACTCCTCATCAATCTTCATTTTTGATGGGTCAAAGAGTTTTTGGTAGGTCAATCATCATCACAACCATCATCAATCTTCATTTTTTAGGTGAAGATCCCACTTTTTAAGGCGAACTCCGCCAGGATCTCCCAGACGTGGCGGGACACGCTTCCGCTTCGTCTTCGCTGGGCCAAGCGCAAGAGTCGCTGCGGAGGGCCATGGTGCTGGGAGGTTGGGCAGCTGGGCACAAGGATTGAAGGGAGATTGGTAAATGCTGGTAATGTCAACCCTGGATTAATAAACCCCAAACGGCTGTTTAATTGGGAGGATACCATTTAAGTATCAAATGATGACTATTGGAGGAGTACCCCCCTTAATCAATAAACCATGGTTGACATTGACTATTCTATGAGGAGAAGAAACACCTAGGCATACCAACAGTTTCATACAATTTCTATTGGAATAGAATGAGGATAGACATTTAACGGAAGTATAATATGTGGGAACGGGGATGCAACGGGGATATCATGGGAATAAGGATCCGGGAAAATTTCATCATGGCCTCAGTGACGTCACTGGAAGGATCCTTCGGAGTGGCATCAAAGGTGAACGGCCAAAGATTTCAGGATGGTGACTGATTCATCATAATTCATCCAGTAACTTTGCTTTGGCGTAGATTATTTGAGGATATTTGAGGTAAAGCGGCTTAGGTTACCAATACTCCTGGACTCCAGGCACATTTAGAGGTGTTTTCATTCAGTTACCAAGGGTATCCAAGTAGTTGGCGAAGTTGGTTATGCTGGGTACACTTAGAACTGGGCCGACACCGCTATTGCGTATGGACACCGCCAAATAGAAAGAACAGATTGAACATGTTCCTTTGTGGAGCACGTAGATATATATATATATACATTTTTTTTTAAAGTCAAAGACTAGCTGAGAATCTTGGATATGAAAGGTGATGACACGAAAACCTCACTATCATACAGCTTTCCTGTGCTGCCTGTGCTGCATAAACCGTGTTTGGCTGGAGGAGGAAGAGGAAGACTATATAATGCATGGTTTTTGTCCATGTTCTTTCGCTTTTTTGAACCTTTGAACCACAGAAACTGCTTCCAAAATTCCAAGGACTCAGAAACGACCAAAGACTTCTTGCAAGGATGCTGGGCTCAAAAACTGGTTCTTGGTGAATGGACATAATCAGACAACCTCTAAAGAGAGCCTCCTATACTATGGGATCTATTCATTGTTGGGTCCAAGTTATATATGTTGATGGGGAGTGGGTCAATGGACGTCAGGTCTCAAAGGTCGGTGCTCGGAGAAAAAAAGGGGGGGTGTTTATTCAGACAACCCGGAAATGGAAAGCCTGTAGTGTTCCGGAAATGAATGGAAAGGATATGAGATGATCATAGATGATTTATAAATTATTCATTCTTCACTGGTATACCTGGTATACCTACCATAAACCACAGTCAGCATGGCTATAAACTGGCCTGACGGATGTCTTAGATCAGCCTTCATTTGAGCACCTAAACAAACACCAAAAAACCTGTGTCTTTGTTGTCACCTATCCCTATTTGCCGCAATGAAAGCACATTCTTTGCCAGTGAATGTCGTCATGTTTGACTACATCACGGTGGAAATCTAGGGTAATCTGGTGGCTTTCTCCATTTGTCATTCATCATGGAACCCGCTCCCTTCATCCCTGGTTGAATTTGAAGGAAAATGTGACCGGAACCCGCTCCATTTGAGGTAAAGAACCATGATTTCTAAACCCAGTTTCAACTCTAAATTGACCCATTCAGAAATCCATTGAAACCAGGAAAGAGGTTGATTCCCTTGCGGGACGGCCACAGTGAGCTTGGAAAGTTGTGCCTGGACTTTTCACTGGTGGTTGGAAATGGGGAACCACATGGAACCACCGAAATTATAAGGATTTCATCGCAGAAATGGGACTGAAGGGTGCAGTCATCTTATGTTTAACCAGTTTAACCAACAGAAATGTCAAAAGACTTATAGTTTCCCAGTTTCCCATAAGGCAACCCGCTGCATTGAAACCACCCACAGTGGCCTTACTGGATCCATCTTTCGCATGCAAGGCTAGCTGCCCAACAGATCACGGCTGGGCCCATGGCAGAATGCCACTGTGACCCAAGGGAACGTTGCCAATGAAGTTGGATTCAAGCAGAACATGTGGCTTTAGAGAAACAAACTTTGTCAGGGCTGTTAAGTTAGAGCTGGTAAAGATAAAGCTTTCAAACATGACATTCGTGATGCTTCCACGAATAGACACTTAGCCCGTTCCCGGATTATCCCGGATTTGTTGTGGTTGTTTTTCTCTTTTTTTTGGGGGGAGGGGTATACGCTTAAACACGAACATGAATGGTGGTTTCAACTTTCGTGAGCACCTGAGGGTAGTGCTGTTGGTGATCGGCTTGAACCGGTGGAGTGGGTTGCGACTGTCGTGGCATATCGTGGCATCACAATCGTGGAGCCTCCCAGCCACAGGGAAGGGCTTCATATCCCATCCTTGGAGCTATTGGAGCCTGGCCTCTGGTCCCATCGAGCACATGATCTCCTGGGAGCAGCCTTCAAATCCAGGGTCGACCTGGGAATGACCGAGCCCAGATTCCAGTTCTTGGTAGATGGCGTCGAGAATTGTGGCCAGTTTGCATTTGCCAATGCCAGGGAGCTCCGATGAAACTCCTTTGCTCAAAGTCCAGGAAGTTTACACAGCTGGATGATGTTTTCCCATTGTACATCATTGTACTATTCCCAATATGTCCTGGCCAGGATTTTTAAATTGGTTTTATATTCACATGTTTGCTGGCTGAGCCCCCAATGTATAGCCATTGCCCATGAATTGGAAAACCTTATCGGCCAATATAATGAGACTATGTGACTATGCTATGCCGCTATACCTCATGTTTCCCCAAGTATTAATCAATATTAATCACATATCATATATCCAACTATATCCTGATGTTACAGTTCATTTGAGATTAACCATTGCTTGAATGAGTTTTACTGAGGCAAACCAAATATCTGGATCCTTTGCAGGGCCTTGCCTCTGCCACCGGCGCATCACCCGACGATCTGCTGCTCAGCTGCATGGTCGGATCACCTCTACTGATTTGTGGTGTCATTTTTTAAAGACTTACTACAGTATTAAATGTTAATAGTTTTATTATTATTATATCATATACCATCTAGTATCATATAGAATATCTATGAATATCTATCAATTTATAGACTATATATAATGAATATAGATATTAATATATAGATATATTAAAGTATCCATGTCATTTGGGAATCAAATCATTGGTTCCACCAGGCGCAAACCAGCAGCCCAAATTGACGGGTATAAGTTTGGCTAACTCAGTACCCCAAAAAACACGGCAAGGCTTAGAAGAGGATGTTGGGATAGGAGTTCAGCTGTGTGTTGTCTACATTTTTTTGGGGGAGGATGGGTCGCCCGAGGATTTCCCGGCATTTCACCTAGCTAATCAGAACTGGCAGGATGCTTGGGATTTTTTCCGCTACGGAACGCCTTGCTTCCTACCTAACTCCCCAAGTGTTCAATCTCAGTGGTTGAAGATTTGTTTTCACTCTGGTTTCCTGCGGAAATTCATCTTCAATCCTTCAACCAACCCGCTGTGCTAAACCCCAGAATGAACCTTCAATTTGGGATGGTTCAAACCATTTCCGGGTACGATGGTTTCCCGTTGATTTTGCGCAGAATGGGACCGAGGCTGGCGAAGTTGACAAAGCCTTTCAGTGGACGGCTGAAGCCATTTACCGCTCGCAAGCTGCAAAGTGGCGCCGATGCCCAGTGCCTTGGCGCAGAAGCCTTGGGCATGGTGAATTTGGCCATTGGTGAACTCTTTGTGTGTCATTTGTGACATAAATTGTTGACGGGAAATCCCTGCTGCAAGATTAGCCAACTGTTTTTTCGGGTTTGCCAGCTCCGTATCCTGACTCATGGCACTTGCGAAGCACAGTCGGCCGTTCCGTTGGAAGGAGCCGCGAAGACAGGATGAGCATCATCAAGGACTGCTGATGTGGATCCGTGGGGGTTGACTTGATGAGGCAGGTGAAGAATCCTTGATATTTACCCTGCAGGTAGGGTAAACTAACATAGATGTGGAAACCCATTGTTTCCCTAGGAAAATGATCTACAACTGATGCTTTGTTCCACATCTATATTAGTTTAAAGGAGGGCAATCATCATCAAGGCTATAGGCAGTACGCTTTGACCAAACAGAGTTCAAGGTTGGCCCAGCATTGTTGGGGTTCCACCGGTTTGGCGTCGCACAGAGTTTCCATGATGGTTCAAGAATTTGAGGAACAAAGATGGTGCATAATGTAGGATGTATATGAATGTATTAGAATGGCATCACAGGCATTCTGGAGGTGTGCCCTTTGGAATTGTAACCTGGTTTACTGGACCACTATTTTGAATAGGTAATCATTGCACTACATCAATGGCATGTTGCTCAATCATTGCACTACATCAATGGCATGTTGGAGGAAATGAATCTACAAATGGATGTAAAAGGGAAGCGTTCCCTTGCTGCGTTGGATGGCTACCTTTGCATGGTGTTCCATGCAATATTCTGGAAGAACATCAGCTTATTGAGGATGTTCACCTTTGGCATAGGCATGATGATTTTCCGAATCAACCGTAATCTCTTAGAGATCGAGCTGTGGAGCCCATTGATCCCAATAAAGACCCTGGACGATGCACTTGGCGACTGAAGGAATCTGGGTTGCAAGGATCTGATCACTGGCGAATTTCTGTCGCTCTTTGCTGCTTCAAATGAAGGGCTGCAGTGTTATGCGTGACCGACATCACCAACAAAAATGAACCACTCGAAGTCGTAATTCAATGTAATTCATGTATAGCTTTAATTTTCTGATGAATGGGCTTGTAAACGAGCTTATCCGCTTATAACTCAGTTGCCCCAACTTGCACCTTCCAAGACCACATCCAATCCAAAGTGTAAGTGAGGTCGATCGACCAAATCATGCATGCCAGTGCTTGCACCCATTGAGAATATCTTAAGAATTGCCGTTTTGAATCCATGTTCTAGTTTGTTTGCCCTTGCATGAAAATGGCTCATTATTAGCAATTGTCCATAGCTATGTTGAATTGCCGCATGGTATTCTGTGGGAATGCCCCTTGGGATTTTATACAAAATTGAATTTGTTCCAGCTTCTTCCCAGAATACAAGCAGGGCATAGCGCTGGAAAATCACGAGCATCAACAGGACAGTTATACTTCAATCTTGGTATGATCGAATCGCGCAACAGATCAAATCCTGAGAGCCCCGAATTGCATTACCCAAGGCACACCTCAGAACTGGATGGATTGAATAAAGCAGCAATAGGTAAGGTTGTTTCAAAAATCAAGCCACATAAACCACTGAGAAAAGCAGAAGATCAGTAGAATTTGCATCCCAGGAATCGCAAGTGTTCGATAAACAAGTGCCCCAAGGAAGGATGTTCCGTATATGACTGGGTTGTCAGAAGGCCTGGTATGTTTTTACTATATAATTTGGATGAACATGCAAACAGAGATGTTTTTCTGTTACAGCCTGGTTGACACTGATAACAAAGGAGGACGAGAATTCTGCCCTCAGCAGCGTGCAATGGGAGATGAAGGCCAGCATTTTGTGATAGCGGGGGATGCGAAACAAAGATGGCTGGAGCAGGACGAGCGGCAAGATATTCAAATTATTTGGGTAACATTTGCTGGGGCAGGTGCGTGTTCAAAGAATGAATGGGGACAGATATTCCCATACCGATCCATGTTGTTCAAAGAATGAATGGGGACAGATATGCCCATACCGATCCATGTTGTAGAATAGCATGCTGATTGTTTCTTGCATGTGTTTTCTTCATCGCTGTTCATTTTATTGGATAACATTAGCTATTCTAAGTGTTGCCCCAAAAAATTCATGTAGGACCGTTGGTGGCCCCAATTGCGGGCAAAACCGCTTGCACGAAACAGTCACCAGCTCGCCCGCTGAGGGGCTTGTTGATCCAACCATTAGGGCACCCCAGGAACCATGAACTGTGGCGCACTTCAACTTGGGATTAGGATTATTAGGACCACTCCATTCAACATATTCAAAAAATATTTGGCTGCGGGCCCCACAAATGCACAAAAAGCATGGGATATCATGGGATTCTCATGTTTTTTTTGTTTGGTTTTATATGGAAGCCAGGAAAACCCAACGGCTCAATGGGCTCTCTCCCAGCATTTTCGTCCTGTCCCGATGGTCCAGCAGCCAGGTGCCGGACCCAGAAGACCCAACAAGCAAGGTGTGGAAATGTCATGAAATGGGGGCTGAAATTCTGACTCCCACAGAAAATATCGAGTTGTTCCAGAATTTCCAGAAATATTCATATGGGTTTGTCTGAAAATAGGGTATATTCCCAATTATAGCCATTTAATGGGGATAATGATCACTAACATTCATTAACCATTGGGTTTAGGGGTACACTATTTTCAGACACACCCATATTGGCATTGGATTTATGGAAGCCCACAGAAAAATGGGGAACCCCGCGGAATGTCCAGAAAAGTCGATGCCATGAGGTGCACCGGTCTGTGAGGGGAGATCAGCTAGATCTCCGTGGGTGCTATCCTGTGCTGTCTTTACTTGTCGGAAACAGCATACCCTCTGGTAAACATACAAAAAGCATATGGAAAATCAGCATTTGGATCCATTTGGAATAAGTAAATCAACTGTTGACGAGCCTTTTTCAATAGAAAAAACTGTTTGTCATTACCAGAGGCTAGCTTCGTTCTTGTGGAGCCTTTCACATGGATCGCAGCGTTTCAAAGGGTTGGTGGCTCATTGAGTCACCAGAGGCACGCCTTCAGGGACGATCCCAAGGTGCCCAAGAATATCCAGGTCATTCCAGGTCTAATTTCTTGATGTCCATTAAACCACCAACAATCAGGATGTGAATGAGCCAAAAAAATGAACCTCATGTGGTTGGTGGCTTGGAACATTTTTTTTATTTTTCCATATATTCGGAATAATCATACCAACTGACTTTCATATTTTTCAGAGGGGTTGAAACCACCAACCAGTCATCAATGGTTATTGTAAGCTGGAACTTCACTGGTTTGTTTTGTTAAACAGGTCACGGAACTCGTGCAAGTAACGCGCAGCGATGTGACTTGTTCGCACCATTTTTTTGCGGGAAGCGACTGGTGACATGTTGCTGAATGGATTTAGAGTAGTTTTGACTAAGTTTGATAACTTCCATGTGGTGTTCAGAGTTGTTGAAGTTTCGAGGTGAAAAGAAGAAATCATATTAATTGGTGGTTTGGAACATGAATTTTATTTTCCAATATTTTCAATATCCTAACTGACGAACTCATATTTTTCAGAGGGGTAGGTATACCACCAACCAGATATATGTTTTAGAGGTTGAAGATAAGCATCCCTGATGATTGACATACGTCGTTTGACATGTTTTGGCTAGGTGAAACAGCGTACGAGGTTTCGTTGTTGGTCCTGATATGCACATTGATCATCATTGATCATATGTCATATGTGTATATATGTGTTAATTACTTGATTCTCAAATGTCGCATATAATTATACATCTGTGCCAGAAAATGTGTCACTCTCTGTGAGCACAAAGCGATGACATCGTTTTGATTATCAAAGCCATTCTTGACACCAATTGACCTCCCAGCGGCGTCACTGAAGCGATGGTTAGGGGGTTATCCCTTAAAATAGCCTGAACAAAAACAGGCTGTGTCAATCCATGAGTCTCACCCTTCCGACTTTTCCGCCCATGTTCCACCCTTGCAACCATTTTCATTTGGTACTTAACCCAATGTGGGATAGCCAAGCAGTGTGAAGGTTCTCCCCATCTCCGTGATTGAAATTCCCCACTGCTTGCTGAACCCAAGAATGCACCATACCACATTCATCCCATTTTACCAATTGGAATGGAGCAAAAATATTGAAAAATCTGGTCAATCTCGAAGGAAGTTACGGCATGTTAAACCTGTTAAACCCCACAACATCCCACAACGCGTTGCGTTGGTGAAATTGGTGAAATCCCCCATGGATTCTCCAACTTTGGTGTTTAAAATCCCCATGTTATCCCATTGGAATCCATGATCCCCATCATGCTGCTGGAATTCCCATCAACCACCGAGGAAAATAGGAAAATCACTGGAGGAATGGTCATCAATTCCCTATAGAAATTCGTGACTCAAGTCATCTCACGTCATCATGTTACCCATATTGTCTTAGATAAATCGTCTTCAATATTCGTTATAGAGTTATATAGTTACATCATATCATATTCAAATGTTCCTTCTTTGTCCCATTTAAGTGATGTTCAATTCCGTATTTCTTCCCTATCATTCGGGGCTCCTGGATAACCCACCTGTGCAAAATTATCGCTCGAAATCCAAAACAGCAATAATTATCGCCGGTTGCCTAAATTTTCGCTGTTTGCAGTTTTTTTCGCCGTTTCAGTTTCCACATTTTGGGTTCTTAATTTGTTTCGCCGTTTCGTCGGGTTTTTTCGCCGTTTCGTTGCTTTTTTTCGCCGTTTCAAAACCGGCAAACATATGCAACATGAGAAAAATGATGAAACATGCAAAATCTGTTCGGAGGCAGAAAAGAATGCCGCCAGCAATAATTCCTGAAAAGGCGATAATTTTGCATACATTGGAAGACGCAGGATATATATGGCATGTGCCAGAGACCAGCCCTGAGGTTCTCAAGGCTCAACTGCTCCACCCTAGCATCTGCGATCTCCTGCTTCGTCTCAGCAGCTCCCCTCAACTCTCAAAGTCCGCGCGGTCGTCGACGGCGGAGGTGGGGAAGATGCTCATGGAGATGCTTGGATTTGCACATGGCAATTTACCCATATATATATATAGTGGATTTACCCATTAAAAATTGTTATTTTCCATAGTTATGTTAGTTTACCAGAGGGTAGTTTAGGTAAAACAATGTCATAAACCACCCATTTTGGGAATGGTTTATACGACCTATAAAAATGGTGATTGGTAAACTAACAGTTTGCTATGGAAACTCACCATGTTGAACAGGTAAATCAATGATATATAGAATTTTAAATAGCCATGTTAAATTACCAGATGGTATATGAATGTGTGTGCATGTTTCCTAAGTCATGGGGGTCCCCCCCAACTCATTTGTAAAATCAGACAATGACTTCGTATTGAAACCCATGGTGACTTGGGGATCCCCCATTTTTGAAACCTATGGAGTTTTGATGGCTCAGAGATGTTGAATGGTGATTGATAGAATTATCTTATTATGGAATATTATAGATTATTTTTGGCCTAGATAAATCTAATTATATATATATACATACATGGGTTTCTTAAAGTGGGGGATCCCCAAAACCACGGGCTTCAATACTATATAAATTTATCTAATTTTGATTTTGGATGATTTGTGGGTACCTCTATTTCAGGAAACCTCCATATTCCATACTTGAATATTATATACCTATATATATATATGTATATACATGATTTGAATTTATTTCCATTTGCAAGAATCACCACAAAATGGGCATCTATGTATTCTGCACAACTTGCAAATCTATACAAGTTTGCCAAGGCAAGGTCTTTGGCTATGATTATCATTGAAACTACTGTTGTTTTTTTTTTACTACCATGTCTAATTGAGATAAATTATAAAATTACCATATTTGGTGCAGATAGATCAAGATACTTACCCGTGTAGTTATTGAACATAGATATAGACCGTCAAATTATTTGATATAGATACCCACATGCTCCATGGTGCTGGAATATTTAGCAACACGTGCCCCAAGATTCACCCAAATGTAGCTGAATATACCTGGAGCATATAGGATATAGACCATCAAATAGCCTATGCTATTACTAAAAAAACTCATCGGCTGCAGCCCAGCTATTTACTCCAAGGATCGGCCTGCCGGTGCCGGCGCGTCAGGACCTGGGAGATTGGGATTGGCCGCAAGGGCATGGCTCACCTGACGCGCTCATTAATGGTGATTTAATGATGATTCAAGAAAACCTTGGAAGCACAGACGGCGGAGTTTGCGAAGCCTGGCGTCGACTGGACTTTGGGCTTGCGTCTAGAGCTGATGCACAAAGTGCTGGTTTCGAGTTGGCAACGGCCTCTTGATTTTCACTTGAGATCCAAGATGTTCAAATCTGCGCAGGCGAGCGGAAGAGATTGAGTCAAAGAGCAATTTGCCTCCAACCATGGGAAGGGTCCGCAAAATCGGATATTGGTCTTCGAGACAGAACAGTTGAAGCAGCAAGTGGGGTTTTCTACATGGTCAGTCTGTAGTTTAATGGCATTGTTTCTGAGGTCAAGCGGAGAATATGATGATGCGTTTAAGTTTTAGACTTTGAGCATTGAAAATAGGAGATTTGATAGACACCTGGCTCAACCCACTTGTGGCCCGGAAGGATTGTCCCATATGACCGGATCCCTCTATGGCACAATGGCATACAATGGCAATACTGGAGAATTTAACGAGCAAAGGGGGGGGGTTGTGACTTGGTGCAGCTTCATGGATTAATTAATCTAATTTGCCATTTTGGAGGTTCATCAATCATTACTGGTTGGTGGTTTGGAACAGCCGTGGGCTCTACACCTACCAGCAGGTGCGGCCGTGCCCTGCAGATCGTAGAGCGTTCCGTTCACCGTGTTGTGCCATGGACCGTCATGGATCTTGCTGACGTTGACGCTGGAGGTAGCTCTCTGCTGTGGTCATGGTGGTCTTTGATCCTGTGCATGTGCGCCACTTGGTCCTCTGTCCGCGATGGGACTGGTATGGTGTTTACTGGCCTCTTGGATGGAGTTCCTGATGAGCTCACTCTGGTGGATGTTGTCCTGGTGCAGCAATTCTCTCTTCCGTTGCTGAAGGTGGATGATGGTACTAAGGTGTTGTTTCACTCACTGCATACCTGGGAGGACTTCTTCAAACTGGTCGATGCTTGCTGCGGGTTGGATGGTCCTACACATGGGGCTCATGCCGTTGGTGTGCAAACCATGGTTGCTGTTGACTCTAGTGCCCGTATGGTAACCTTTCACAAGGTTCATGGAGGATGTGAGTATGTGATCGGGGATGCTGGCTGTCCCCAGGTGATCGCTGGAGTGTGGTCCAAGTGTAATCATGCTGCGGTGATGAGTGCGGGATTTTCATGTCAGCCGTTTTCCCAGTTGGGTGATCGGAAAGGAGGGGCAGACTCTTGTGCTATGTCCCTTCCTAACAACCTTAGAGCTGCACTGTCTCAGTGTGTTTATGGTTTGGTACTTGCATGCGTTGTCCCTGCATGCAGAGATCCGTTCGTCTCACAACACCTTGATAGGTTTGTCGACTGGTCTGGAGTTGTGAAGGAGAACATCAACTTTGAGCTCTCTGCTATTGGTCGGGTACTACTGTTGATGCAGAACCACACACAGATTGACGGGCATTTTCTGGAGTTCACCCACCATCAGTCTCAACAAGTTTCGAATCTACAGGCCCTGATGCAGGCCCAGTCTCAACACCTTTACGGCCAAAGTACCCAGTACCAGTGCATCCAGGCTATGTTTGAGAATCAGCTTTCTCATATACGTGGCTTGTTGCGGAAGCGCCTGAGAGATGATGGTGAATGTGGGGGTGGGCCTGAGCTGCATGGCTCTCACAGTGGTATGATGATGATGGGGTCTTGTTGTGCCGTGTGGGTACTTGCTGCTCTGATGCCCTTCTACCAGTTTTTGGGGTTTGTGTCAACTGCCTTTTCCGCCAGGGCCGGCCACTGTGTCAGGTCTTGGTTGTTTACGCTGTTGATCCTTTTCAATGTTTGCCGGATTGGAGAGACCTCTTCTCCAAGTCCGGTTATTCAGGCTTCGTCGCCACCCTGACCAAAGAGTCACAACGGTCAAAGCACTGTCTTCCCAACCCAAGACTGTGCGTCACACAAAGCGGTACAAAGTGGTGGTTTGGAACATGAATTTTATTTTCCATATATATTGGGAATAATCAGATCCTAACTGACGAACTCATATTTTTCAGAGAGGTAGGTTGAAACCACCAACCAGATTATCAATAACCATCATTAATCACCATTAACCATCATTAAATCACCAGACAAATCACCAGACAATTCAATGTATAATGAAAAATCACCATTAATGAAAACATTCCCAAGTAAGTTTCATTAATTGGTTAATGATGATTTTCATGATCGTCAATGATGGTTAATGTTTAATGATGGTTAATGGTTAATGATGGTTTATGATTAATGATGGTGATATATTAATGGTTAATGATGGTTAATCAACCAGTTAACAATCTTCTGGGTATCCAGTTGAGTGGCCCTGAATGACTGACACATGGGGACTCAGGGGATCGCCATGCAGGAACCAATTTCTTGGAGGTACCTACAATTAGTGAGGCCCCCCTTGGATAGCTAAGTTGGTGAAAATAACTTCAATGTCACTATGATTTATGTTACTTATAACGAACTACAGTAGATGGACAAAATATTCAAACCCTGCAGCACGCACTATGTTGAACCCCCGCACCCCCAAATCTCAATGTTTCAGCGCGTGTGTTAGCAAAAGTGATGTTAGGGGTTTGATTTTTTTCGTCCATTGGGGCTAACGCACTTCAGGTTACAATAACATTGAACTTTGGGGGCGAGGGGGTTGTACCGGATAGAAGGGGTTTGAATATTTCGTCCATCTACGGTACCAACTGGGGTGTGCGGCATGCCGCACACCCCAGTTGGTACCGTCTCGCTCTCTGATGTTTTCACATCTTTTGGTCTCCAAACTCTGTTGTGGAAACATCAATGTGCATGCTGCTGATCTTCTTCCAAACTGAGCAAGGCATTGGCTTTTCACAAGTAAATGCCTACTGTCTGTCTCCCGTCCCATTTTTTCTATTCCCTAATTCGCAACTTATTCCTAAGTGCACAAAACATTGTGTTTTCACAGGTAAGTGCAACCTTTGTGCTTCCCGTCCCATTTTTTTCTATTCCCTAATTCGCAACTTATTCCAAACTGCAAAAAACATTGTGTTTTCACGGGTAAATGCTGCATGTGTCTCTCGTCCCATTTTTTCCTATTCCCTAATTCACAACTTATTCCAACATGCGCAAAACATTGTGTTTTCACAGGTAGATGTGCATGTCTCTCTCGTCCCATTTTTTCCTATTCCCTAATTCACGACTTATTCGTTTGACGTGGCCCTGCCATTGGATTTTGCATTTGTGACGTGCTGCTTCTTTTTAAGAGAAAAATATTTCCTTTTTTAATTAGGAGCTGTCTCATGCTGTTCAAGTTGCAAAATCCAATGGCAGGGCCACGTCAAACGAATAAGTCGTGAATTAGGGAATAGGAAAAAATGGGACGAGAGAGACATGCACATCTACCTGTGAAAACACAATGTTTTGCGCATGTTGGAATAAGTTGTGAATTAGGGAATAGGAAAAAATGGGACGAGAGACACATGCAGCATTTACCCGTGAAAACACAATGTTTTTTGCAGTTTGGAATAAGTTGCGAATTAGGGAATAGAAAAAAATGGGACGGGAAGCACAAAGGTTGCACTTACCTGTGAAAACACAATGTTTTGTGCACTTAGGAATAAGTTGCGAATTAGGGAATAGACAAAAATGGGACGGGAGACAGACAGGAGGCATTTACTTGTGAAAAGCCAATGTTTTGCGCAGTTTGGAAGAAGATCAGCAGCACGCACATTGATGTTTCCACAACAGAGTTTGGAGACCAAAAGATGTGAAAACATCAGAGAACGAGACAGTAGATGGACAAAATATTCAAACCCTGCAGCACGCACTATGTTGAACCCCCGCACCCCCAAATCTCAATGTTTCAGCGCGTGTGTTAGCAAAAGTGATGTTAGGGGTTTGATTTTTTTCGTCCATTGGGGCTAACGCACTTCAGGTTACAATAACATTGAACTTTGGGGGCGAGGGGGTTGTACCGGATAGAAGGGGTTTGAATATTTCGTCCATCTACGGTAGTTACTGGGGCGAATCTAAACCAACTTATAAGTGGGGCGCCTCACATTGTAGCATATATAATGCCTATATAAGGCGTAGGGGTCTTATATGGTTTTTCATGAGCGGCTGCCTGTGGTCATCCAAGTCCTGCATGGCCAGTTCTTCATGGCTGCTGCGTACCCCCCTTTTTCTTCCCAGTTCAATCACAATTTTGGCAGCAAATGCACTGCCCTTTATTTTGTGTTCCTAGTTATATACATGTGCTAGGCCAGGGGCACATTCCCATAAAAAAAGAAAAAACATCAAAAATGGTGGTTTGCCTCTAGAAAGTCAGATTTATGACGGCCAGTTTGACACCAATTTCTACTGGTTAAATCACCCATGTGGGATTTGTTGGTGGATGAATTTCCAGTCCTTGTTGAAAGGTTCATCCCTTCCCAATTAATGATTGATTAGTTGCTGAAACCATTCCATCTCTTGGAAAGTTAAGTGCTACTCATAGGTTGAGTGACAAGTTGAGGGTACTTTTAGGGGCGTAGCCATGGTGGAAAAAAAATTTTGGATATGATCCCTATAAATTTGGTTACATATCCACTTAGTTCATTGGAACTTCCAGACAGCCTGGAAGGACAAGAAGCAGGAGTTGCTTTCCTTTGTGGTCAGCGTCCTTCGCAGCTCTCAGATGCTGAGACGAATTTGACGTGGTGAGCGTCCTATAGGCTGCTCCCAATGGTGATTTAATTGGACATATCATCGACACGTTATGGTTACTGGTGGTGAATGGGATAATTGGAAAATTCTTGAAGGTATATCCCAACTTTATTAATGGATAACTGGTGAATTGGATAATGGATATATATATATATATGTATAGACCTTGTCCAGTTGATTTAAACCATCAAGCCTTGGTTTAGCCAATGTTTTTTTGAGATGCATCATGATTGGTGATATGTTGCCGACATAAAACATCGGCAATATGATGTTTTGGGTCCGTCCAAAAAAGGTCGTACCACGAATTTCTGGCAAGTGTACTGGTCTGGTAAATAGTAAATGTAGTGCAATAGTAATTAATGATAATTAAATCGATTTAGGGGTACAGTGGTACAGTGCCCAATTATTTTCCGACACAACCAAATGGCTCCTTGCCATGGTCAGCAAATGCATCCGAACAGAGTCCATGGGTTTTCCTGGAGGGCATGATCTACTGGAGGGCATGTTAGCCTCCCAAGGCGATAGCTGAGGAAAAAAACAATTTGTAGAGGGTAATCCCAATCATTCTCTTGGTAAATACAGTCTTCAAAACCCTGATTGAGGGTTATAGTAGGGGGTTTATACTAATCAAAGATCACCAAAGTATTGAGGATTATCATAATCCCCGAATGGGGAATCCCATTCTAAACCAGGCCATATTTTCACGGTCAATCGCCGTGTTCCCATCTGCAGCCCCTTTCGCTCCAGCTCTCAGTAGCCCCGTCAGCTCAGAGAGCCATGGCTCGGGGCTACCTGCTTTTGCTCAGCTACTGGGCTCAGGAGTTCGGAAAATGAGACACATCATCCCTATTGGAAGGGTAGCTTAATCCAGAAAATCTTGTTTTTTCCTGCTATAAATAGAAAATCACCACTGTTTCACTGGATCACTGTTTCGGGCGTAAAAGGGTGAACCCTTGCCGCCTAAGTTGCAAAGCTCTCGAATTCAAGGAAAATAACCATCACCAGTAAAAAAAATGTGGACTAGCAAAGGTTGATTATGACATTGGGAAACCACACCCTGGTTCATTGACGAATTAATTAAATAATGTAGCGGGACTTATCTTACCAAATTTACTGGGGATTTTGATAAGCCTTAGGGAAACTCATCAACTAGTATAATAGATGTGATAGTGGTATGTTTAATGGCTCACATGGATGTTCCCAGAATGCGAAGTTCTAAAAACATACAAACTTGGTCAGTTTTCATAGAAAAACCAATGGCTCAGGGACTCAGGGGCACTCCAAAATCGAGAAAAGCCCAAACTGATTGGTGGTTTGGAACATTTGTTATTTTCCATAATATATGGGATAATCCTTCCCATTGACTAATATTTTTCAGGTGGGCAGCAGGGGCGTAGACACCACCCTGCGGCCGACCGATAAAGTGCAATAAAGTGTAATATTTTTCAGAGGGGTAGGTATACCACCAACCAGCAAATACTTACTGAATGGTTCTTACCTTCGGGTCATGTCAAAGCAGAAAGGTTCAGAGCTTGGTAAACCTGGGTGAATAGAAATTGTTGAGATTTATGATTGTTGAGATACCCCGATTTGGGATTACTCCCCCAATGGATGCTTACTGGGAGTTGCCGGGATTATGGCCCAGTCTGCAACGCAAGAGTGATTTTGTTTGATGTCAACCAAGCTCAAGCAATATCAAATTGCTCCACTTCTTCGTCACCAATTTTATGCAGAAGATGTTCTTCTTACCTTGGCGTGCATCTCAGTTAGTGAGTAGGTGAGTAGGTAGCCATATGATACCCCAGTTTACATGGCTATGCGTCCAAATTTAGTACCAAAATTATTGGATGTTTGATATTAAACCTAGACATTAAAATAAAAACGTGGTTCTCCAGGTCATTGAATTTTGACCCAATCCACATGGATCCACATGATATATACTATATATACCTATTATATGTATGTGTATATATATATATGTATAAAATACATGATATATATTTTTTACATATATATATAATATACATATAATACATATACATCTATATCTATATCTATATCTATTTATATATATATATATATTATGTATATATATATATATGTATTTAGGGAGAGAGAGGGAGAGCAAAGATATCCACTTGTGATGCCCCAGATGCCCAAGAGGTCGGCATCCACTCATCCATCCACTGAGGCCTGGCCGTGGCCGCCTGGAATTTCCTGCCCGTTTCCTTCGTCAACTCGGCGCCACCGGCTCGCCGCGATGAGAGCTTGGTCAGCCGCGGCAGCAAGGACGGCGAACTGGGAACTCGTAGATGTTTTGATGAACAGCTTCTCCTGGACGTTTTGGAAAGCTTGAATTTTCCGAAGTTTTGAAGTCTTGAAACTCGAAAACCATGGAAAACCAATCTTGAAGAGGCATGTTTTTTGAGGAGTGACCATCGTTTTTTTTGGTCGCAAAATGGAGGATTTTTTCAGTTTGCTGATGGGCTTTGACGTCCATCCAAGGATTTTCCAGGGATATCATGGAGGTACAAGGTCCGAGAATGTAGATCTAATTTGATGGATGTAGGAAAAAAATGGTTCCATTAACCTACGGGTTTTCGTTTTCTGTTGATTTTGTCCTTCAAATCTATTCTTTCAAAATCATCATGAGATGAGTGCAACAGAGATTTGGGGATTTAAAACTAGGCCACCAACCGGGGGAACAGATCACAAAAAAGTCTGCCACTGGATATCCGGAACTCGCAAAAGTTGCCTCACCATCTTCCATTGGGTTTGATGTTGATTTTCGGTTTTGCAGTGTCCCGAGGTTTTCAAGCTCAGACACGTGTAAGTTGGCTCACTTGCGCAGGAGATTCGGGCGAAAGGAAATGCCCGACGACAATTCTACCAGAGGCCCGATTCAGGAAGTGGGTCGGTACTTCGATGTGCATCCTTCAAGAAACCTTCCTTCAATGCGGCCCTATAAACTAAGCGAATGGCTCCCAATCGATCGCTCATTATCCTCATCCTTTTGGTTGTTAATCTCTGATAATTTAACATAGCTATTGAAAATGACCATAGAAATAGTGGATTTACCCATTGAACATGGTGATTTTCCATAGTTTTTTGTATGTTTACCAGAGGGTAACCATCAATTTTGTCAAGATCATGATGCTTACCGGGGTTGAATCCCATTCAAAAATTGGATGTGTTTAAGCATCCCCTGCCGATTCACCCGGATGGATCTTCTACCGATCCGTGGGCGAGTTTCCGCTGGCAGGCAGAACATTCAGATGGTTGAGATTGAAGGCAAGATGATGCCAAAACAGCAACTTGACTGCGTTTCTTATGATTTCTTCGAAGTTTTTTTTTACAGGGTCACCGAAGGAGTTGTATGCTAAGACGGCAAAGGGGGATTCATGGGTCAATTAGTTTCTTGTCTGGTTGGTGGTTTGGAACATTTTTGATTTTTCCATGTATTGGGAAGAATCATCCCAGCTGACTTTCATATTTTTCCAGAGGGGTAGGGTTGAAACCACCAACCAGTTGTAAATCCTTGAAATCTTCAGCGCCTAGCTGACCCTGTCAGACTTTTTTCAGGGTCTCCAAGGTCTCCAAGAGATGGTTGAAGAGATATTCATTGCTAACCCGGAGAGATATTCAAGGAAACACACAATAATTTATCTCTTTTTTGGGGGGCCTGGGTTGCAAAAACCTAGCCTGTTTGAAACATTCGGAATGACACCGCGAACCGAACGCAAGGAGTTGAGGTGGTTTATAGCGTGTCAACCCCCCAACTGGAAACACTTGGATGTGCATCCACGGCATATACCCCATGGAAAGGACATGTTTATCAACCACTAGTCCAGATGCGCACCAAACTATGTCAGGCTGAAGGTTTGATGTACACATGTTGTCTTTTCTCTTTGGGGGGACAATCTTTTCAAGAATTAAGGTTTTGAGGACACTGTCCTTTTCAAGCGGCACTTTCCCAGCGCCATCCCCACCAATACCATGGGAAAATGTTCCCATCAGTTGGTGGAATACACCCTTGACTTGGAAAGGTTCGTAACACCCATTTTTGGTGAAATAGGGAAGGCTTTACCATTGGCTTTACCAGATTACTGTTAGAAAATTAGAGTGGGTTAGCCCCCTTAGTGGCCAAACCATGCTAAACCAATCTGATTGGATTTGGAAAAACCGTTGTTCGTTGCTTTTTTTGCAGAGATTAAGCTACGAAAAGGACGAGTTTTTTCTCTGACTATATGGTCTATGGTCCAAATAGTAAACTTAGAAGTGACAACTCCATTTGTTGGGTTAATTGAGTTAATCTGGTTGGTGGTTTCAAACATTTTTTATTTTCCACAATATATGGAATAATCATCCCAACTGACTTTCATATTAACCACCAACCAGTGATCTATGTCTATATCCTCTAAATCACCATTTTTAATGGGAAAACTCTCTATAAATGGCCATTTTCAATAGCTACAGTGTGTTAAAGTAATTGTGCCATCTCTGCAAGTTTTTGCCCATGACATCTCCCCTTTTTGGAGGTTCGAAGCCTTTCTGGGCTCGGAGGAGGATGTCCCTTGGTCAACATGGCCAGCTGGGTCAAAAACCATCGGTGGTGATATAACGGCCAGCCATGTTTGATGACCGGAGGGTTATGAAATGCTTACCCAGAAAGAGATAAAACAGTGAGAGAGAGAGAGAGTAGCTAAGGTTGACCATGTCTCTGACAAGATTGATCGTATCAAATCTGCAAATGGATGAATCAATCAATCAATCCAGTGTCAATCCAGAGTAGAATTTACAGGATAAACATATAATATCAAATCTTTGATTTGGTAGCATTTTGATAGGATCCCTTCATTGGGTAACCCCCCCTTGATGATCAGCTGCTTTTTGTCGTAGATGTTGACATAGGGCAAATCCATGCTGGCATGCTATTCACATGGTTAATCACGATTACATAATTCATGTCC